TTCACTTTTACAATGTTATCGCTGTCTCACGACGTTATCATTTTCTGTTCATAAGTTTTTACCCTCATTCTACGTCACTACGTTATCAGTTTTAAACTTTTTATTCCAAAGTACATTTACATTTGTTTAAGTTTAAAATCAAATGAGCCACATTACAAGTTATTGCCAAATGATGAACCAAAGAAACCGATGGTGTTGAAATCAATATTGAAACATACAGGAAGATCATTTGATAATGTATACAAAGATAACGGTCATTCAACATCTGACAAAGATCCTGTTACAAGGAGGAAAAAGCATGCTTCTCGAAGTGTGACAGTAAAGGATCCTAGTCGTAAAATAATGGATACAATGGTACTTAATTCATCATCTGCAACTGATGACAGCAATGAAAAAACCCAATCCAAAGAACGTTCTGTATTATCCATCAAAAGTGATTCGACTTCTCGTGAAAACGCCAACGATTCGATTTATTCCAAAAAGAAGTCAAATAGTTCATTCGAAGGACTAAAAAAATTTGACAACGCTATCTTGGACACAGAGAACAATGAACAGAATGTGGAAATCAAGAAGGTATGCTTATTATGCATTTAAATATGTCTTGAAATGTTTTTAAAATGTATGTATAGTCATGCATTTAAATATGTTTTGAAATTTTTTCAATTTATTTTCTTTTATATTTTAGGAAACAAAGTTGTCTTAAATCGTCTCACAGTATTGATTGAGGGAAATATTTTTGTCTAAATACTTAAATAAAAACTTTGATTTTGAGCAAATTTTCCATTTTTTAGTTCAAACGAATGGCTTGGTGTTGCAATCATGACATTAGTGCAGTTTTGTACTTAAGAAATCATTTTGATTCTTCCTTTAAATGAAATTTAAATTTTCCTGTTAATGAAATTCGAATTTTCCTGTCGCTAATAATATACATGAAAAAATTTCTCAATTCTGATTGGTTTAGAGCAGTGCAATTTATCGTAAATATCATTGCAAAAAAAGGAAATACATTGCAAATATTTGCTAAAAAAATGCTGCTGATTGGTTAGTCAAACGAAATTATATAAGGGCCAATCAAAATATATAGTTCAAAGCGGGATACTTAAATTATTGTAAACAAAGCAATTGCTGGCGTGAACTTAAATAGAGTTTCTTTAGCAAATGAATTTAGATTTCAGTGTTTGCAAGATGTTTCTAGAAAAAATATGAGCAGTGCTAAAATTAAATACATGTTCTAGCTATGGTGCTATGAAAAATTATACCGGACGATATTGAAAATACGAGCCGGTCGATTTAAAGCTCATTCAGACATAATTAAATCAATATAATGATGTCATTATAGAAGTGACCTTAATCATGACTGTTTTAGAAATGAACTGAAAATATGACAATAACTATAATTGCTTATAGAACTTTTACTATTATCTGTGTCCTAAGTTTTCTAAATGCAAACGATGATTTATGTGAAAAATTAAAGCCCTGTGGTGAACGTGGTGTGTGTGATAAAACTAACCTTAGAACATTCAGTAATATTCTTAATGTAAAATGTTACTGTCGTTCTTTATACACTGGACAATGGTGTCAATTTACAAGTAAGTTTTTTTTATTTATAAACAACAAATTTATTATATGATGTATCATGTTTTTATTAACAGAAAACAGATATCGACAATCAACAAATGGTGAGCTTTAAATATTTTATATTTCAGTTTTTCATTTAACTACAATACAAAAATAACTGAGGTTTTTTAAGGTAAAGTTCCTGAAAGACCTAAGATTCTCGCAAGCAGAAATTGGTGGTGGACTTATGAGCAGAATCACTTCATCATATTTGAAAGCGCGAAAGCTCATAAAGATGGCCCAGTTTTATACTATATTCTCAGATATATGGATGATAGTATTTCTGATGGAGAATGGCTGTCTGAGTCTGTAGAGGCTGATAAAAATTCATCATATCATGCAATTGTTCTTGATAAGTTAGACTGGGGTCATAGCTACAAACTTGAACTTTACGCTGGAAACAGATTTGGCCTAGGAAAACCTTGCCGACGGCGAATACGAAGAGAATACGGTTAGTATAGAGGTATTTACTAATGCTTTGCCGACCTTAATTGGAATTATTCAGGTTTATTTCATATTCTTTCTGTTTATTTACAGTCATTGAACCAAGTTCTGTCTTAAATACTCGCAACTTGCTTTACGACCACATTCTATGCTGTAATCAATCACTAAACTTGGTATGCAGAATTTCAGGATATCCATCTCCACAGATTTCGTGGTTGTTCAATGGAGCTCCATTAAAATCTCAAGAAAGCGTTTTTAAAATTTCCAAGCCATCAAAAAAACTACATCAAGGAAGTTATCGTTGCGTAGCTTCTAACGAATGGGGTTCTGTTCTTAGTCGTTCCATCAAAGTTGAGATCAATAGTAAAGTTTACTCCATCAATTATGAACATGATCTTCATCCAAAAATATGATTGACAATATAACTGATTTTGAACATATATGTGACACATTTCTTATTATATCTATTCATTAGAAGAATTCAGATGGTATGACTCCCTGCCTCTGTTGCACTCAAATGAGATGAAACGCAAAAAGCTTCGTCCTCAAATTCTCTATGAAAAATCAAACTTAACAATTGACTGTAGTGAGCAAAATGCTTATAACATAACAAAGTGGTACTTCAATGGCATTGCTTTAAAAGATCAGTAAGTTAATGGCAATATGTATTTTATGACAGTTCATCGATTTTTTAAGTGCAGTAAACATTTCTTTCTAAACAGGGCAGGATAGAATAATTACTAAATCAATGCCATTCTTTTACTCAAATATTCTCTGATTTTAGATCACAAGTAGGAGGAGAAGATGTGAAGAGAATTGAAGTGACCAATCCTGATATTTTATATAAGCTACAAAATGGTAAACTACAACTGCTTCATATGTCTCCAATGAGGGGTGTGTTTCAATGTTTTGTTTGGAAGAAAAATTTTCTTTTATCAATGACACAATTTGTCCACGTCAGAGGTAATTTTTGTTATTTACAAAGCACAATAAATCTATGAAAAACTCATACATTCCTTTATTTGAATAAGTCAATCATTTTCTTTCTGAATCAATTTCTTTAACAAGGTTTTCACCGGATAGAGCCTCTCAATCAAATACACAAGAAATCTGACAGAGTCCTTCTTGAAAAGGGAAGTACTGTCACTCTGTCTTGTGTTCCACGTTCGTTTGAAAAATATTCCATTATCTGGAAAAATCTCACAAATGAAACCAAACGTCATTCAGTTATTTTACAGAATGGCAATCTTCAAATTCGTGGAGTTAATCAATCAGAATCTAACATCAGTATTGTATGCAAAGCTATCGCTAATGAATTTTCGTTTGCAACTCGAATCTTAACGATTGACGTTGTGGAGAGCGGTTTGTAAAATACATGAAATGTTACTTTTACAAAATATTTACCTAATCGCCGTTCTTTCCACAGTCAATGGAGCGTGGTCTTCTTGGGGACCATGGCAACGCTGTCGTGAGAAAGGTTGTAAGCACAATCATCGATACAGGAAATGTGATAAACCAAAACCACAATTTGATGGTAAATACTGCCATGGAAATGACACACAGAAAAGTGGTAAGATCTTAATGGAGAAGTGTGTTGTTTTACGAAAGTTTCGTTCAAAATAATAAATTCAGCAATTAATTTTACCAATATTGTTCAATATGCATGTAACTGTTGGTGCCTTTTATCATTGTTTAGTATGGAAATCTTGGTCTTCATGGGCTTGCATCCCAAAGTTTGGTACATGTGGTGAGCACGTGACAGTACGTACAAGAAAATGCATAGGAAGATGTCCAGGAAAACGTAAACAGACAAAACCTTGCTTTAAGTTTACTCATTGTCCAGGTATAGTACTACAACATTTAGATTGTGAATAATATTTCTTTACTAAATTTTTAATATTCTTTCGGTGTAGTGAACGGAAATTGGTCGACCTGGTCCACGTGGACAAGCTGTTCTACCTCGTGCAATAATGGTGTAAGATCACGTGTAAGAAGCTGCAACAATCCTGTGCCAAAACATGGAGGTAGAACATGCCAAGGAAATAACACAATAAATGAGAAATGTTTTATAAAACCGTGTCCAGTTAATGGTAATTGGTCATCATGGTCAGAGATCAGATCCTGTTCAGTAAAATGTGGTACTGGTGTAAAGATCTTATCAAGAAAATGTAACAATCCTTCACCCCAACATGGTGGTAAAAACTGTAAAGGAACTCGTTTGTATCGGAAAACATGTGTTCGATCACCTTGTAAAGGTATTTGTCAAATGCTCTTGTTTAACAAAATACTTCAATATTTCAAAATATATATTATTTATGGCTTCGGTGGCCCGCGAATTATGGTCGAGCTGGACCAAATGCTCGAAATCTTGTGGTGTGGGAACACAATTACGTTTCATGAACTGTACAGATGAATTGGTAAAAACCAAATGATCTGTACAGTTCATGAAACGTAATTGTGTTCCCACACCACAAGATTTCAAGCATTTAGTTCAGTAGGAAAATATGCAAGGATGGATTTAGAATGAAGAAAAAGTCATGTTTTGTGAACAAGTGTCCGGGTTTGACGATATGCTATAATGAATAATATGTCGTCTTCGTTAAAATATGCGCAGATTAATATGCATATTGCGTGCGTTGCATCTACTCAATTGGCTAATTTTGTTCATGGCTAACTTTTACCGTTGTTGGTATTCTTCATAAGCTAACTGAACAGTTTATTGATTCTGTGTCATAAATTTTGTTATAAGCAAATGATTATAACTTGATTCTATTACTTTGAAAGTTTTGTTTTTAGAGTTTGTAAGATGATTTTTATTGCAGGTACAACTAAATCGACATTATCTGATTTCACTCTGACAGCAAATGAAAACGTCCATATACGGAAAAAACCATTATTTACGACTTACACTTTCCTTGCTGTAATTGGTGCATATATTGCTTTTGGAATATTTTTATTTTTTATATATCGATGTATTTGGTAAGTTATCCTCTATTTAACGAATTGATTCCCTTTTACTATATCATCGTAATCTCAGAACATTATTATTTTCTTTTGATAAGTTTTTACCCTCATTCTATGTCACTACGTTATCAGTTTTAAACCCTTTATTCCAAAGTACATTTACAATTTCTCAAGTTTAAAATCACGTGAGCCACATTACAAGTTATTGCCAAATGCTGAGCGAAAGAAACAGATGGTGTTCAAATCAATATTGAAATACATACGAAAGTTACTTGGTAATGTAAACGAAGATAATGGTCACCCAATATCTGACAAAGATCCTGTTAAAACGACGAAATTACATTCTCCCAGTACACTATCCGTAACATCCCATGAAATGTCTTATGGAAACAGGAGAAACTTGATTGATTCAAAAAAAAGCAGTGTATACGGAGTAGTGATAAAATTTGAGGACGCCTTCATGGACACAGAGAACAATGAAGTTGACGTAAAGCATGTAGAAATGCAGAATGCAGAAACTGAAAAGGTATGTTCTATGTAAATTTATTCATTTAAACATGTTTTGAAGTTTTTTCAGTTTATTTTCTTTTATATTTTAGTAAACAAATAGCCTTGAATGGTCTCATGGTATTGGTTGATGGAAATATTTATTTTGTCTACATACTTGAATAAAAACTTTTGAGAAAGAAAAATTCTTAATTTAACTGGGCTTTATCTTTTATGTACGGTGGCTCACAAGGGCCACCACACAAAATAAAAATATTAATACACACACAAAATATGATTGCGGGCGCTTGCAGTGTCGGATCGTCTGACTATCATATTATCAGTTTGTAATCAGATATATGTAATTCACTAATTGTGATTTTAACATGTGGTCGACTTGTCGTCGTATTTAACTGTTTCAACTGCGAAACATTTGAAATTACATTTGGAAAGAAATCGAAAGCAAGCTCTTGCATAATCCTGGCATAATTATGTTTTGTGCCAACTGTGGTGCACAATCACTTGACGAAGCTTCTTTTTGTCACAAATGCGGTGTGCGTTTGGGAAGATTAACTTCTTTGCCAAAATGTTCTGAAGCGTCAATGACGAGTAGCGTCTCTTCAAGCAGTTGCCCTTCGAGCTCTGCAAGTCCGTTAACTTCAACTTCAAGTACCCCAAAGCTGTTTATAACAAATACAGGACAGGCTAGAGCAATAATGTCCTTTCTAAGGACAACACATTAACCTTAATTTTAACCAGAATACGGGGAGCAATATCGTAAGCAACTTTGAAATAATTGATCACAGTGAAATCAGTGAATTTTGTTATGTACTCTGGAAGTTGGAACCTTTAGAACTTTGAAAACAAATGCGATCAATTACGAGCAATTCCGAGTAAGCCGACACTGCAAGCGCCCGCAATCATATTTTGTGTGTGTATTTTTATTTTGCGTGTGTATTTTTATTTTGTGTGTGTATTTTTATTTTGTGTGTGTTTTTATTTTGCGTGTGTATTTTTATTTTGTGTGTGTATTTTTATTTTGTGTGTGTATTTTTATTTTGTGTGTGCATAATGTATTTTGTGTGTGTATTTTTATTTTGTGTGTGTATTAATATTTTTATTTTGTGTGGTGGCCCTTGTGAGCCACCGTATTTATGGCGCAACATTGAATTATAAAGCAATGTTTTGTTAATTAAGTTATGTTAATCTGTTTAAGTGAAGCCATCTTACCATGACAACAGTTTATGTTGACCTTAGATCATCTTTCATCTTAAATAACCTTCGATATAAACAATATCGTGAAATAACAATGTTCAATAAGTTTTTATCCAGCTCGAGATCAATTCATTTCACTTTCCTACTAAATATCTTTGATTATTTTATATCATCAATAACTAAAGGGTGAAGATGTTAAACAGTTTACAAACGGAACGACAAAAAAATGCAACTAAACAAACTTTATTTCTTTGATAAGGATACCAAACCTCGAATAAAGCGTTCTCGTAAGCCAGTCGATCAACTGCCATTTAATATCGCTTGTACAGCAGTCAGTGGATCACTAAAAGTTGAGGATTATTTGCGACAACAAAACAAAGATGAAGAACCTTTACCCGTTGAGATATCGGAACAAGCAGATGGAAATCAAATGGATTTTGACCCAACTAAAGTTTTACAAAATGGAGTCGGAGAGCAATTACCAATATTTCGTAACGAAAAACTATTTCCGACATCGTCGGGTGATATTGAAGTAGAAGAAGACACACAGAGATTTCTGTTTGAAGAAAATAAGTTTGCTGCACCTAACTTACTTGCTCATTTAGGAAGAATTTTAGAAATACTACATGAAAAACATCTCGAATGCTCCTCTTCATCATCTTCCTCATCTCCGAGGTTTCGAGAACGCGCTCAAACTAATGATAATTGGGCCAATCTTACGACGTCATACAACTGTTACCATGACATTTCATCAAGTAACTTTAATTTGCGATCTCTTGGTATTTTCATTCCCTTTCATTTAGCTGAAAAACTGAGGTGGAATTTCGAGCAACTGATTGTAAATACTGTATACACTAAACGTCAATGGCAAACAAATAGTTATAAACAACAGGAAGCTGTTACAAAACAAGAATATTCAGTGCAGCAAGTCATGAAGAAGGTACAAGATGGTAAAGAGGCCAAAGCTACAGGAGACGTTAATGAACAGGATGAGAAAGTGGAGAGTAGTTCTTTTAAAAAGTCATTAAAAAATGTTCAACAGCGAACTTCAAGAGAAGTTAATGAACAGAATTTAAATCCTGACACCTTAGCTAGCTCGTCAATGTCCAATAAATACAATCGCAAGCTTTTGAAGCAACAAAAACCAAAACCGTCAATAGATGTTGTTTTTGTATCTGAAGATACGTACAAAATGGAAGAAAATGATGACAATAATGAAACAATTGAACGTAGAGTAATTGACTCACTTATGCCGGTAAATAATGAACAAATACCGAACAGTCCTCCCAAGAGTATTTTAGGTTTCAGGCGAGAATCATTAAAAGACATTACTATTGAAAAGTTACCAAGAACTCGACTAGAAAAATACAAATACATCCCTGACAAGTCAAACTTGGGTAAGATGTAATTTGACTTCATCGTTAAAAAAATGATTTTAAATTGAAACTATAAAGTTGCGTGACTTCTGTTTAGCTCAACATTGGAAGAGGAAAGCTAATATTGAAGATAACTCTGATGAGTCTGAAAGAGATCTGGAAGGGCATCAATCAGAAAGTGTCACAAAAGTTGCAGATAAAATAAAAATAGGTTTTGAACGAGAACTTACTTCATCGCATAAGATTTCCACCAAAGAGTACGAAGGTTTGAGACATTATAATATCATTCCAACACGTTCATATGCAATGAGTTTATTTTTTCATTTTTATAGTACCCAATGCCACCAAACACATGGAAATTTGATAGCATTCTCTCTTATGTCAAAGTACTGCGAAGATAAAGGTAAAAAGTATTGATTCGTGAGCGCGAAAGTATGATCACATCGTTTTAAGATGCGTTTTTGTAAGCAGGCTGGGTGCATCATGTAAATCCCGACGAAGACTTAGAAAGATTAACTGTCATTGAATGGGCTCGCTCTCGACTTCGACAGGCTATTAACGAAATTAAGTAAGTTTGTAGTTGTAGAAAATAGAAAATAGTCATCCATGCTACAAACATCATTTAATATTTCGATAGTTCTGAATACAGTCTCACCAAAAACGGTTCGAAACTCTTAATAAAGCAATATGGCGGAATGAACAATGTTGAAACTGATAAAGTGGCAAAATTGTGGATGGCAGAAGGCGAGAACAGTTTAGTAAGCATAACAAAATTCATCAAGTATTTACCAAAGGAAAATGATACAGTTTTACACGAGCCAAAGACGAACAAATCACCCTCAGTTGTTTGGAAAGAATACAACGAAAGCCTTTTACAGAAAATAAAAAAAAAGAATCGCTTTCAAAGGACATGTTCAGAAACTGCAAAAATTGATCTTTTCCTCATTTCTTTACCTGACGACACCGTCAATGTATAGTATCTTTTTTTTCAATTCTAAGATGTGAAATTGGAGAAAAATCACTAATTACAACTTAACTCACAAGCTTAGCTATCCAAATGGTAAAATCGCTATTTGTACAGCTGGGAATGTTAATGGCGAAGGAAAATATACTTATGTATATGGTACAGATAACGAGAGTCTTCTGGCTTATTTTACACCATCTCATGGTTTCTGTCGTGAGCAAAACTATAAATTGTAATTACATTCAGCTTTTAATTACTCCATACACTTCCTTACATTTAACTTACGTATAAAATTCTTTCTTTTGAAGATTCCTGTGCTCATCAAAAGAAGCAACAACTTACAGCAAGGTGATTTCTAAAGCACTAAACACATACTATAATACCTCAACTGTAATTGAAGACATTTATGTATTTCACAGGAGTATGATATTATGGAACATTGGAAGTGGAAGGAAATGAAGAAAAAATCGATTATTACATATGAGGCAATTATTTCATCTTATAAAAAAATACATTAATTCCAGTCAAAGATAAATCGCTCAGCGAAATTCTTTTGTTTATCCTTGCTTGCAGTTAAACGAATTCATAACGTTAAGAATCGGAGGAAGAAATCAAATGTACTTACACTTTTCAGCAAGAAGTGAGATGTTCAAAATTAATGTTAGCATTTTGCAAGATGCAAAAAGCTTTCCTGTGAATTCTACCGTAAGCCAATTATTTGCCTTTAGAATTTTTGGTTCGATAACATAATTTGAAGATAAATATTTTAGGATGAAATGATGACAACAGGCGACTATACTTCTGATATTGCTCAAAAGGTAATAAATTATTTAAATTATCATGAATAAATTACACGATAATTTATTTATATATTTAATTACAGCTGACAGTTGTTAAAACAAACAAAAGTCCACGAACAAAACGAGAGGAGAAAAGGGCAAAAACGCAAATGAAGGTAAAAAAACTTTGTTGATTTTAATTGATGACATTGATGATGATTTGTTGACATTGTTGTGTGACAATATTTACAGTTTTATTTACAATCCTCCAGGTTTTTTTGAGTAAAAAAAATTTTAGAGTTGTGACCCAGCGACCTAATTTTTGTCTTAATGAAAATGCATTATTTGTACAATGCATTCGTTATGGGTTTTGTATGTACTATAGGGATATTGTATGAGCTATAGGGATATCGTATGTACTATAGGGATATCGTATGTACTATAGGGATATCGTATGTACTATAGGGATATCGTATGTACTATAGGGATATCGTATGAACTATAGGGATATCGTATGAACTATCGGGATATTGTATGTGTCATACAGACATCTTGTGTATACTAGAGATGTTGTCGAAAAATTGCTTCCATTTTCCTCTTCTTTCTACCTTTCACACAAATAATGGATTTAGAAAACAAGTCAACATATTATTGGTGAAGAATCACAAGAACAGAGACGAGAACATTTGGAAAAAATGTTTCCTGAAAGAAAAAAGCTTGCACTTCATCTAACTTCTGACGTAGATCTATATAAGATGAAACGTCGAATCAAGTGAGAACCAACGTTGTTAGCTTCCGTCTCATGAACTATCAAAAAATTAAAAATTTTTGTCAATTTCATCTTTTTTTAGATCTCTTGTTTATGACTGGATGCAAAGCTATCGCCTAATGGCTGGAATGGCTTCTCCTCTCAAAATACCGGATAAAAGGCCCAATCGTCTACTGAGCATGTCAGCTAAGTCTTGCCCTGGAAAAATGCCTTCTACTCAAGTTTCTATGAAAGCTACCCGAAAATTCAAAATGTCTATTTCTCATCGTGTGCCTTCCGCACCACCCATAGAACGTGACACGAAAGTAACACTTCTACCACTGGATAAATTGGTGAATTCTGTAGAAGAATATTTGGGAAATGGGAAGAGTACTTGTCACGAAAGCTCAATCCGTCATGTTTATCTTACCGAAATGGACAGAAAGAGAATTCTTGCGTAAGTGCGAAATAAGATGGCGACCTTATTAACATAAATTGATGTAAACACGTTCACTTGTGAATTTTGTAGAAATCAGTCAGGTCAAAAGCTACCTTTTCGTTGTGGTATGACGTCTTACGATAATCGCAATTCATCTTTGAAAGAAGGATGTCCTGTGTATCCTTTATTGTTCCATGTACTTTATTATCTCATGTACTTTACTGTCCTGAGTATCTGTTATAGTTCCATGTATATTTTATTGACCGGGGGATCTGTCATAGTCCCATGTATACTTTACTGTCCCGAGTATCCGTTATGGTCCCATGTATACTTTACTGTCCCGAGTATCCGTTATAGTCCCATGTATACTTTACTGTCCCGAGTATCCGTTATAGTCCCATGTATACTTTACTGTCCCGAGTATCCGTTATAGTCCCATGTATACTTTACTGTCCCGAGTATCCGTTATGGTCCCATGTATACTTTACTGTCCCGAGTATCCGTTATAGTCCCATGTATACTTTACTGTCCCGAGTATCCGTTATAGTCCCAGTATACTTTACTGTGTTTTAGTCCCTGTGTATTCATTATTGTTTGTTTTATCCAGTAAATTGTGTGTTTGAGTAACTTCGTTATTTTTGCTGCGTATTTCCTAAACGTTGTATCAGAGCATTGCGCTCAATGATGTTGGGCGATAAATATCCTTGTTGTAGGTGGGTGTAACAAAAATGTCCTTCTTGCAGATGTGTGTAATATGAATATCCTTTTTGTAGATGTGTGTAAGAAAAATATCCTTGTTGTAGATGACTGTAAGATAAATATCCTTGTTGTAGATGTGTGTAAGAAGACACCATAGAGTTTGAGCCGTCTTCCTGGAAATATGCTGTATAAATTATATTTATCTATTGGTTCTAGATGTCGAAAACGAGAAATACCTTTTGTGTCTGACATTGCTTATGACAAGTTTATAAAAGAAGGTGTTCCAAATACGCAATTGTTGGTCATTAGTATAGTGTCCTCCAGGTATGTTTTCCTGTATAAAAATATGATTTTATAGACTTTGACTCTTCTCCCCAGGTCATTTTACTGAAATGTTTTAACTACTAGAAATCCAAGTATTTCTCAATGTACCATTATGTTGGAACAACTATATTATGAGAAAAATAGAAACAGATCTTTTCCTTGTGCTCAGGTAAGATAAGTCATTATTTGCATTATTACGTCAAATTTATCTTGTCCATCACAGGTCAGTTTTAGAAAACAAATTTTTCTCATATACAATAACCGATCGTCATTATCCATTACAGTCCCTTAATGATCCATTTCGTATTGTGCTGTACAATGTAGACACTTTAATAGAACAAAGTCTACTCGTACGAAGACACAATGTTGTACCAGGAATGTTTTTGGTATGGATTATAAATTACAATGACTTGTATTTCCCACTCCCCCTCTACGCATCAACTTTTATCATTCATTATCCTTAGATGTACATTGGGGGGAAATTACTGTTTGCTGATCATATTTTCAATGGATATGGAAACGCTCGCAAAGATTTTTTAAAACAGGTCAGTGATAATGTTCCAAAGTCTTTAACAATTCTATACAAATGATAAACGTATTTAACGCTATTTTATAGATATCTAAAAGCAGACGAGATTATTTGCAAGGTTTAGTTCTGCCTTCAGATTTTCAATTTAATCCTACACCTTGTCGTTCCGGTCCAAGATCGGCGTGGGGAGGTGAAATTGGAGGGCTGTCGATGAGTTCGTGTAGTGCGTCACATTTAGATATTACGTCATCTATCAGGCTTCATTCACCAGCTACAACTTACTCGTCCTCAGGCTCCCCAGTTTTAAGGTAAGTCAATGAATTAAAAATATACATTTAGTCCTGAGAGTGAAGCATTATATCAAATGAGACAAAAATTTACAATATATACGTATCTACTTGACAGTCGATACAACAAATCATTCATTTAAGGATGTCAAGGATGGAATAAAACGTTGATCTAACAAAGCTCCATTTTTGTTATGAAAAGATACGCGCCTTTAAATACGCTTGAAAAGTTACTGTCCAATGAATGGCCATCTCCTGGGTTTTTGAAATTGCAGTTTCGAATGCTACATTTGTTTCTTTTAGAGCAAGTGGAGCGAAGTCTGTTGCGAGTTTTGTAAATCTTGGTTTATCGTTGCACACTCCTGGACAGTTCAAGCCGATTAAAAAGCAGTCTTCATCGTCATTGCTTCCTAGAACAGCGCCGGCGAAGTCTAGAGCTTAAAGTTAGTGAAAAGATAAATAGAAACTTTTCCTGTTAATAATAATGACTAACTAGGAAATGATCATATCTGGATGTATAGATACGTGAGCTGGTGTTTTATTAAAATAAAACATCTCAGGTGAAATTTACACCATTAAATAATTTACACAATCGTGTTAAGTATTATGGACGTGTTAATTTTGTTTAGCAAGAACACTGTCGATTTGATTGTTATTTAGGGAGCAGACATTCACACTACATGACAAATAAAAACTTGGAAACTTGTATATATTTTTCTTTGCACAACGCATGTATTATCATAATGGCCCAAGGCCCGCTGCTCGATTACATTTTCTGAACAATAAGAAGCAGGAGTGTCCATGTAGCTACTTTGCTGTGTGGTACAAATTGTATGATTACATCTGAAATCAATGGCTTATGATAACTGTGGTATCAAGAAAAACCGCTCCAAAATTGACTTTAGAGACAAGTCATGGTTGAGTTAAGTGCTCTGCAAAAGAAAGACGACAAAAACGAGCAGAAGATGTGTGCTGTAAAGCAACACTTCTCGATATATGCTTTTGAATGGCTTGTAATTCTCAAGTAGTGTAAAGCCTCGTCTTTCAGTTCAGAGAGATGTTTTTGTGGAGTTTTTTTACCCTCGAACCAGTTGTGGTTAGTGAGCTACTGTATACCTGATGGAGAGAGATGTTTGTTTTTCATTCGTCATTATACAAATCTGGACAATGTCAGGTTACCATATGAAGTGTTGCAAAGATTTCTCAGTCATTGAAGAAATGTTTTCGCTATTTAGCTACAATCGAAAATATGTATTAGCTTGATAAAGAATGGAAATGAAACATAAACTCGTAAGGTCCCGAAGTAATCGTTTTTGTGCTTAGTTACAAAGACAATATCATTTTTTTTGTTTACTAGAATTTTGAATTGGTTTGTAAGCAAACAATATTTTGCTTAATATACAAGTGCAATTTATTTAAGAGCCGGGTTACTGTTTTCTTGTTGTTGTATTTAACATAATAACATTATTGTATTTGTTTAGATTCAGAATATGTTACATTCCCTTCAATGTGTGAAATTCCTCCCTCTCGATAGCGAAGATAAAGACGGTAATTGATCAAATCTAGCTGGGTGAAAAATACGTAAAACGATTTCAATCATGTATTGGAAGTTACTTGAACGTTGTAATCTTACAGTCCAAACTAATAATTTTACACATTTCATGTATGTTTGACGCCCGAAACGTGACTTCAAGCTGGAAAACAACACGTTCATTTCTTTATGTAATAGCTTTGGTAACTTGTCTATAGTGTTGGACACTTGCACTGTCTAGCGCTAACCATGGCAACAGCCAAGAATGAAGTCGGTGATTTTGATAACAGAATCATTGTTGGACGTTTAAGCGGTTTTGCTATGAAATTGATTACGTTACCAAAGCATAAGTGCATCGTATTCAGAATTTAATAAGTTGTTCCTAAACTGTTGTTCGTGAACACAGAATTTCATCAAATTCCTTTGTGTCTAATCAACCATGTTTTACAGCTGTTTATGACAAATGAGATAAGTTCCGGGAACGTTATTTTTTGAAACGCCCCGAAATCAACCGTCAAACACACAATGTTATTACACCACAAACACTGTGGTTACAGCGTTAGCCATTTTTAGCGAAAGTACTTCAGCGTTGTCGATTTTGGCGTTCATTTTTAACGAAAGGTGAAACAAACACGACCACACAAGCTCTGAGTGGCTCTTGTCTTCCTAGTCAATGAGTAAAAGATTAATTCATATGTAAATAACCTTTTACTCATTGACTACGTCAACACACGGTATTCTGTAACTTTTAATTAGCAGTTTTTCTCTTGACACTTACGTAAGATAAAATATGATTGAATTTAAGAGGAACAAATGGGTTTTTGGCGTCCTTCTTTTATTTTCTGTGTTGCTGATATTCATTTACATGGAACTTAGTCAAAGGGTCATAATTGAACAAACTAACATCTTTCTTCCTCAGATAAATCCTTCGTTTGCTGCATTTTGCAAGAGGGTTATCGAAGGTGATCGTGACACTCTTGAAGAAGCTAAAGAGATTATGGACCATTCTTCAAAGCATATTACTTCACCAGAAGAATATATGAATCTGACAAAAGATTGCAGTAAATTTAAGAGAGTAAGAGGTTATATAATGACAGCTTTAGACGCCAAGGAAAGAGACTTTCCTTTAGCTTTTAGCATTAATGTTTACAAGCATGTTGAACAGTTTGAAAGACTTCTCAGAGCAATATATCGTCCTCAAAACTTCTACTGTATTCATGTGGATAAAAAATCCCCCGATATATTTTACCATGCTGTTGAAGCGATCGCTGCTTGCTTCCCAAATATATTCCTAGCCTCAAAACGTATAAACATATTATGGGGAGATTTCACGATCCTAGAAAGCATTCTTCTTTGTTCAAGAGATCTTCTCAGTCATGAAAAACCATGGAAATACCTAATAAATCTCACAGGACAAGAGTTTCCCCTTTGTACGAACAATGAAATTGTAGATAAACTCCACAAAATGAATGGATTTAGCATTGTCCCAGCAAAACCGGCAATCGATAGGTAAAAACAATTCAATTTCCAATAAATACAACACATCTTAAACTTCAAAAAGTATTAAATGACACTATCGGTAACTGCATTTGCATTTGTGTTTAGCAAAACCAGAAATCGCTTCCTCTATGTTCACCGTGACTTGAAGAGGACCGAGATATTAAAGAAAAAGTTTCGTATAAATTTTACGTTTTATAAAGGTTCTGTGTATACAGTACTTACAAGAATGTTTGTAAACTATACTCTTTATGATAAACTGGCCTTAGATTTCTGGGAATGGCTTAAAGACACCGCCAAGCCAGATGAAACCTTCTATTCAACATTATACCAAAATATAAAACTTGAAGGACACAGAAATGGCAAGTATTGCAAAACTATGCATAATTGCTTGTATTTCACATTGCGCAGACTGGTCATTAAGGTCACGTATAATTTTACAAATATAAACAAATATTAGATTACAATCTGTCATTGAGCTTACTAACAGTAAAACAAAGGAAAAAATAAATATCTTTTATTCTGCTAAGAGCCGAAATACTTTTTAATTTGTTTTAAAGGTACCGTTGGGAACCCGCACACTCGTTATGTGGTTTGGCACAAAGATCGCTGTCATGGTAAAACAGTTCGTTATGTCTGTATTAATGGTGTTGGCGATCTCAAAGCCATAGCAAGAAGTCCCGCTCTATTTGTGAATAAATTTTATTTGGATTATGAACATTTGGCTTTGGATTGTTTAGAAACATGGTTTCAGAAAAGAACTTTATATTATTATGCATCTAAAAAAAAAATTAAAAGATGAAATTAGTTAAATTGTGCTGAGAGAATGGAGCTTCCTGTTCATTGTATGTACGCACAAAATGCAACTTGCAAAAGAATATGTACAGCTGTGTTATAGAGGAGTTTATATACATCAATATACAATTTGTCATTACCATGATTTCAGCAACCTGCACAGCCACTTGCTGGCATTTTTACAAAATACAAGTTGCCATTTAAAGTTTGCCACAAGTTTCACTGACGCGCTTATTTTCTTACTAGCGTTTTGGTAAGCAGGAAGAAATTTTGGTCAAAGTTAAACGTTATCTATACTTAACAAAGAGGACCATATTTAAACCGTAAGAAAGTATCTAAGCTTCTGTTGATGATCATTCAAAAAAATCTTCCAAGACCTGCAATATTTTACAATTTCAACTTTTATGACGAAATTTATGACATAAGTTCACGTCATCACATTTCTACCAATGATCATTCTTCAAAATAACTTAACACTATACATACTCTTCATTACAACAACAACCATCTTCTTGAGACTATTGAAATACGTACGTTTCAAAAATCGTCATTTGAACCACATCTAAACTCTATATTTTAAAAACTTCTGGAGAATTTGTCATTTAACCTTAATCCCTTCATCCATTTGTAGTAAGTAAAACTTTCAAACTTTCTTCTCATTGCTGAGATCATTTTCCCTGTGAGATCAATGGCAGATCATATTCTCGCTTGTGATTAATCGCTCCTGTAGAATCTTAGTTTGATAATGACTTGCAAATAAAGCCAAATTTTGTTTTAAAAACTCTTGTGTTACAGTTATCATGACTCAAATCATGAGTTTACGAAATGATGTTATTTGGAGTATGTTCTGGCTTATACAATTAACCAGTTTCTTTAGAGTAGATTTTCATCCCATTCTGTGCGTTGATTATTTGATTCCAGAAATCGCTCAAACACTTTTTTCAATAGAAACTTAGCCGACCACAGAATCACTTGGCTTGTAGCTAAATAGTTTAAACAAACGATAACTTTCCCTATTCCATCGTAACAGACCGTGCGCCACAAACTTTGAATTAATTGATATATATAATATATTATACAATTGCATATTAATTGTTAATTATATAGTATATATAATATACATCAATTAGTACAAAGTTTGTGGCACACGGTCTGTTACGATGGAATGGGGAGCGTTATCGTTTATTTAAACTATTTAGCTACTAGTGATTTTTTGGGCCGCCAATGGTCTCATTAGAAGTCAATCTTTCTGTTTCCCTTATTTCTTCTTGCCCTATATGATTCAATGGTCACAACTGATGCAGAAAGTAGTACGTTTCAGTTTCTAATTTTTGAGTAGAATATTAACAAAAATATCTAACTGTAAATTAAAACATGAGTACAAATTATTATACTAGTCCAGTTACACGTAATATTGTAATATTGTTTAGTATGGAACCTTGTGGATATGAGAAGTGTATTATTTTTCTGTGTTATATCATCACCAGGGTAAACTAATAGAATAAAACTTGGTTGTCAATCTGGCAACCTTAGGGAAATCCTGTAATTGCCACAAATCTGTTTTTTGCCTGATTAGCATAAATCCAAGATGGCCGCCGTGGGAGCAAATCAGGCATAACTTCCTTCAGATCCTTGGCATGCATTACCTTACCGGCTCAAATGCAACCTCATACCTGTGTGGGAAAGGAAAGGCTTCAGCCTTGACAACGCTGCTAGCTGAAGATTCTCCACGGCTGAGTACTGTTTTAGACGAGATAGATGCTACGGAGTAGCAATTAGTCGAAACTGGGCAATTGCGCCTTGAATGGCCGTGAACGTGGAACATCTATGAGTGAGGCTAGGTACCGTATATACACAAGAAATTCAAGAAAACTTCCTAAGATAATGTCGCTGCCACCAATTCAGAATAACGTCTTTTATCATATCTGTCGTGCCCATTGCAGGTTATACCTCCAAAAGCTGTTGACCAGTAAACTCCGCCAGACCTCGACACCATTAAATATAATTGGAAATTAGAAGATGGCCTACCTGCCCCAACAATTGCGCATCAATTGGCAGGACCTCCAGACCTTATGAATGTAATAAGATGTAGATATAAAGCCAAGGAAAAGCATGCAGCACCAGGGCAGCACTGGTAGCTGAAGCTGTCACAGCTACAAGATATCAAGCACAGAGACGACTGCGACAACAAAATTACATGGAGTTTAACCCCACGAAAAGACACCAATTACAAAAAATATTGTCGAAATCGGTTTCTCTGATTAAAATAATGCGAGGAAGTTTAACAGGGATAATTTCCATTTAGTGGTTAATACGTTATGCTTGATTCCTTCCACAGCGACACATGGAATAAGAATATACAGAAGAGTCACTGGTGTCGGAGCCTTTGATGTTTTCGTCCTTGCGCATGTCGTGCCGCGCATGGTGACCGCCATTATTCCAGCCAGATGATTAAGGTTTATGACTTTTTCCAAACCTTTAAAATGATCCGAAGTCATTTTTTAAGTCAAAATATACTTGAATTAATTTTTAAGTATTGACGTCATGTAATTTTAATGGTTGGAAACTAGTGACAAATCCTAATCATCTGGCTGGAATAATGCCCGACATGAGGACACGTCAAGACACGTTGTACACCTGAGTGACCTTATGTATAATCATTATTCTGTGACAGCGGCTATCTTCGATGTATGCAAATCAGGCCAAACAAATATGGAGGGCAACGAAACTGAATGATAATCGGCAACAGAATATACAGCCTGTGTGCCAATTACAGGATTTTCCCAGATGCCAGATTGACAACCAAGCTATACTTCTTTAGTTTACCTTGTAGATGATATAACTACAGAAAAACACTACACATCTCATATCTGAAAGGTTCCCAAATTGGAAACTGGACTATACGATCCATTAAGTATCGTGTCAGTAATTCTCTTTGTATCCATACGCTACAACAGACAAAATATGTCTAAAACTTTAAGGAGTAAATGGATTTTTGGCATTCTTCTTGTATTTGTTGTATTGCTAACATTTACTTACATGGAACTTACTCAAAGGGTCATAATTGAACAAACTAAGATCTTTCTTCCTCAGATAAATCCTTCGTTTGCTGCATTTTGCAAACGTATTATCAAGGGCGATCGTGATACCATTACAGAAGCTAAAGAGATTATGGACCATTCTTCAAAGCATATTACTTCACCAGAAGAATATATGAATCTGACAAAAGATTGCAGTAAATTTAAGAGAGTAAGAGGTTATATAATGACAGCTTTAGACGCCAAGGAAAGAGACTTTCCTTTAGCTTTTAGCATTAATATTTACAAGCATGTTGAACAGTTTGAAAGACTTCTCAGAGCAATATATCGTCCTCAAAACTTCTACTGTATTCATGTGGATAAAAAATCCCCCGATATATTTTACCATGCTGTTGAAGCGATCGCTGCTTGCTTTCCAAATATATTCCTAGCCTCAAAACGTATAAACATATTATGGGGAGATTTCACGATCCTAGAAAGCATCCTTCTTTGTTCAAGAGATCTTCTCAGTCATGAAAAACCATGGAAATACCTAATAAATCTCACAGGACAAGAGTTTCCCCTTCGTACGAACAATGAAATTGTAGATATACTCCACAAAATGAATGGATTTAGCATTGTCCCCGCAAAACTGGCAATCGATAGGTAAAAACAATTCAATTTCCTATAAATACAACACAATATCTTAAACTTCAAAAAGTATTAAATGACACTATAGGTAACTTTGTTTGCATTTGTGTTTAGCAAAACCAGAAATCGCTTCCTCTATGTTCACCGTGACTTGAAGAGGACCGAGATATTAAAGAAAAAGTTTCGTATAAATTTTACGTTTTATAAAGGTTCTGTGTATACAGTACTTACAAGAATGTTTGTAAACTATACTCTTTATGATAAACTGGCCTTAGATTTCTGGGAATGGCTTAAAGACACTGCCCATCCAGATGAAACCTTCCATTCAACATTATACCAAAATATAAAACTTGAAGGACACAGAAATGGCAAGTATTGCATACGTCTATGTATTTGACGTTCGATCTCATTTCTCAAGTCCACAGACAATCATTCATTTAGCTTAGCAAAAGTAAAATAACAGAAAATAACAAATATCTTTTATTCTGCTAAGAGAAACTTTGTAATTTGTTTAAAAGGTACCGTTAAGAACCCGCACACTCGTTATGTGGTTTGGCACAAAGATCGTTGTCATGGTAAAACAGTTCGTGATGTCTGTATTAATGGTGTTGGTGATCTCAAAGCCATAGCAAGAAGTCCCGCTCTATTTGTGAATAAATTTTATTTGGATTATGAACATTTGGCTTTGGATTGTTTAGAAACATGGTTTCAGGAGAGAACTTTATATTATTATGCATCTAAAGAAAGAATAAAAGATGAAATTAGTTAAAGCAGAGACAACGAAACAGAGTCCTGTTTGGGGCGTGGCCAAAAACTCTTTCCATGACGGAGCAATTTATAGTTTGAATTTCTGCGCCCCGGATATAGAGTATTTTCTTTCGCTTTTCGCCCCCTCCCTCTGCAGGGGCTAAGCATTTGAGCTTGGAGCTGTAATATTGTACTATATTTCGTGAACTGCGGTCGAAATTTTAGAGAATATTTGTAATGGTGTACCGCTGAGAATGTGTTATAGCAGGCTCAACTGTTATTATTATTATTATTATTGTACATCAAAATAAAATTAACTATTTTTATCAAAAAAAATCATCACGTCCATTCACAATGCCATTACCAGCGGCTTTACAAGCAAGACTGGCTAAGCGAGGATTAATAAAGTCAAAAGAAAACGGTATGAACTTGAAATTTACTAAATATATTTCACATATTATAACCTCGATGTTTACTCGTAGTCGGAGCCAAAGAAAACTCTGGTCAAACTATTTCTACCGATGTCCGTGCTGAGAAATCACCAAATGTCTCCAATCCATATCATGAAACTGTGGAGTTAAGTGGGAAACGGACTGTTGCCTTCGATGGTAACCAGGTTTCTGGCCATGTATTAATTTATTAATTACACTCACTCAATGTTTTCTAATGGAGCGATTGCAGAATATCCGTCCATTCATACACGTGAAATATAAACTTGACCCTGACCCTAACATTAACCCTGACACTAAAACCAAGTGGACGGGTATTCTGCAATTTAACCTTTCTAAATATATGACAATGTGTTGTCTTGTTTTCTTAGCAAGGTGATTATGAACAATTACCTGTCCCTCCTGGTTGGTTTCTGGTGCCAGAAAAAACTGTGGGTGCTAGCTATTACTGGAATCCAATGACAAATCAAGTGACATGGTTGCATCCTTTGAGTAAGTTTAAGATTTAATGCCTGAAATAGTAAGACAATAAATCATTTACATTTGTAAAATTTTAGATCCTAAAGCTCAAATAACAAACCCTATTTCAGGAGGAGATAGAGGTGAATATTACTTTTTTATTGATTATTTATTAATAAATAATGTGAAGTAATGATTTATTGTTTTATATGTAAGAAATCATGCCAAACACTATTATTCCATCTCCATTGGCGAGTGGCGATGATAAAGAACAACTATTTAATGTTGGTCGACATCCCAGTTTAGTTAAGGTGAGTTGGTTAGATTAACACAGCTTATTTATATGTATACATAACGATAAACATATGTGTAGTGGTGTTGAGAAAAAATCAAAAAACTACAGATTAATCCCGACAAGCTTGTTTTGTGATTAAATCCCCTGAAAAGTGAGCACTCATGAAACAGGCTTGTCAGGATGAATCTGTAGTTTTGTGATTTTTTCTCAACATCGCTACACATATTTACGCTCTGCTCTTGAGCATTGAGTACTGTTTCATACGGAGAATCATCAAATTTAAACTTCCTAAGGATAAACATATATACATAAGGATGTATTTTTTCATATATAGAAAATCATATGTGTTTAGGGATCACAGAAAAAAATGCAAGCTGCAGTAAAAAGGAAACAGCAAGAACAAGGTCTATAAATATGTTATGAAATCTTTTGAACTTTGTGCAGTTTAATCACCCAAAATGAATATTTTCAATAGAGGCCCGTGCAAAGAAGAAAAAAACAGACGATCTTGACCCTCTAGATCCTGCCGCATACTCAGATGTCCCAAGGTGAGCGATAAACTTATTCATGGTTAGTTATAGAAGGGAAGGAAGATTGAAAACAATTTCATTAAACTTTTATGATAGGAAAAACTTAGAATATATTAATAATATACTGCATTGCCAACTAAGATTCAACTTCAGATTTAATGATTACCGAGGTTATGAAAATCATTGTAAGCTACCTGTCAACATCAAATGATGAGTCATCATTCTGTCTGAGGATGTAATATTGTACTATATTTCTGTACTGAAATGATGAGTCATCATTCTGTCTGAGGATGTAATATTGTACTATATTTCTGTACTGAAATGATGAGTCATCATTCTGTCTGAGGATGTAATATTGTACTATATTTCTGTACTGAAATGATGAGTCGTCATTCTGTCTGAGGATGTAATATTGTACTATATTTCTGAACTGAAATGATGAGTCATCATTCTGTCTGAGGATGTAATATTGTACTATATTTCTGTACTGAAATGATGAGTCATCATTCTGTCTGAGGATGTAATATTGTACTATATTTCTGTACTGAAATGATGAGTCATCATTCTGTCTGAGGATGACTTTGAAATAAAGTCGAAAATTTACAGTTTACTTCTCGTCTTGTTTTGATTCATATTTTGCAATCTCAAGATGTCTTGTTTCTTCGGAATTTGTTTTATATTATACTTCTTTAAATTGTCGGCTGGTCATGGTTTCTACCTGTCAACAATTTGTATTTCATAAATTATAAGGGGAACATGGTCTACTGGTTTAATTGAAAAAGGAGAAGCTAAAACAGGAGTTGATACAACAGCCAATGGACCTTTGTTTCAGCAGCGACCATATCCAAGTCCTGGGGAAGTGCTTAGGCAAAATGCTGCCATCAAATGATACCTTGGTTATATGCTGGTAAGTATGACACACACATATTTTAGAGAAAAGACAAATTAAAACTATGTTTAAACAAGGAGAATTACCATACAATTGTATGAATATATTTTAAATCAGATTGGTTTCATCATTTTAGGCTTGGACAAAATCTCCATCTTGTTTTGTTCTTGAACTTTGAAATGTGTATATAATATTATGCCAAATAAAGTCATTAGTACTCCAATGGTTTGATTAAAAGAGATTGGATCTTGAAACAATATTACACCACCAACCAAAGTGATACAAAATTTTAAGTGTCCAACCATATTATATTTGTGTAAGGTTAAGGAAATGTTAAACACTGTCGTTATACTGTATTTGCATTTCAAAATTGCTAATTCATGTTCATTTCAAAAGGATATGTTACAGGAGAAGTATTTCCAATTATCCAGTATATTGATAAATTCACAGAAAAAGCTAAACTTCCAGATAAAATTACAAAGATCTGAAATGGAAATAACAATGAAATTTCCTACAGTGCAAGAAAACCTGTTATAGTCTACAATGAATTGATAATGACTTACAATAGCTGATGGTGGCCAATGTGTTAATAATCCACCTGTTTTTAATGGTGGTTCCCACCAAGGGAATATAAGTGAGAGTACCAATGCTGACAATGGTGCCTATGTTTTGTAATTATTTCATGTTTAATTAGATAAAACAATATTTAGTAGTTGATGTGTCTTTTTTACCTGATAGAATAACAATTGCATGGATGACAACTGGTGTTGCTGTTGTTTAGTGCCAACAAGCTGAAGATATAAGTTTGAAAACTTTAGCCTTAAATGTAATCTTATTGATCTCCATAATAAAAATCACTTACCACTTGATAAAGAGCCGTGACAAGGACACCAGTTGAAGCATAGATTGTCCCAATAATGTTGAATTTTACATCGTACCAAAAATTCAGAAATACACCAAGTATTATTGGAAACTAACAAAGAGTAAAGTTAAGTTGTAGGTGAGACAGACGCAGTTATTATAAGCCAAGAATAAATGATACGTACAATTGTCAGTATTATTTTCAGAGAATATTTCTTATGGTAAATCAAGCTGTGAACAATTAAAATTGTCGGAGTAGTCATAACTTTAGCGACTTGATAGGTACCAACTGTGTTGTTTTGTAGACTGAGATTTGTAAAAACAACGAAACCGCAAAAGCATAAACATAACGGGATCATTTCGCAGAGAGGAATCTTTTTGGGAGTAAATATGTTAAGAACTATACAAACTTTAAGTGCCAAGTATGTCATTACGAAATGAATGCATGTCAACGTGACGTTAGGAAATCCATAATTTGTATAGATCCATTTATTGCAAAAAACAATGGCTATACTGGAAAAAATATTTCCCACAATACAGATGAATAATTTCGTTGAAGAGATCATTTGTGATTACATATTTTGGTAATTTTACATGTGAATCATATTGTAATTATGAAAATACTTTCTTTGACAGTTGAGTTGATATTACATTTGTTGTTGATCAATGAAATTTGTTCATTTAAATGGAAGCATCGTTTTGCAATACTCATGGAAATTCTATGCAAATTATGAGAAATAATGATCATTATATTGGATAAAATTGCAATTATTCCATTGATTTATATTTTAAAATGTTGAAATATAAGAACATTATCTGAGATTGACAATATGTGATTATTAGTGGCATTATGTAGAAACTAGAGAGTCAACAAAAATAATGTATGTGTTGTATGAGTTAATGCAACAATTGATCGCTGAATCCAAAGACTTTTCTGCACTCGTAAAGCAGGTATGTACTCTCCTTCTTTTCTTATTTATTTGCACTATTTTAACTGTTTTTATGTTCTGACTGTAATCAATTTTTGACAAGATGTTGGCAATCAGAACACAGGAAATGGATATGACTTGGACGTAATGACAAAGTTGTGCTAAGCTTTAAGTGCTACCCATTCAAATTTACTTCTTCTAAATCCAACACAAGCATTGATGAAGATGAGTATCCTGATTTGATGCCTATTCATTTCGGCTACGCTACGAGAAATTCAAGAGTACGGAATGAATTTGAGGTGTTGTTATTGTTTCTATGGTAACGAACGCTACTTTCTCAACATGGCCGACAAAAGAGACTCGAAAATGGAGTATGACACTGGAGGCGTTTCAAATGAGGTAAAAATATGTACGAAATATAGAAAAAGTAACGTTGAAATAAAATTAATATTTTTTCTATTTACAGAATTCATCGAAGCATTTCGTGGACGACTTGGAAACATACCACGTTAGTTGCTTGACGAGTACACAATGAGAATGAACACTGTGGTTTCCAAATATTTGCATTTACCAAGGAATCAGCATAGTTTGTCTGTATTTTAGAACGTGGAAAACTTACAAGATACCATTACTGAAGGTTTATCACAACTTGGCCGTTCTGCGGATGGAACTATGCAGGTTTTTCTAACCCTGACGCTAAATGTGCGTGGTAAAATGAATAAATATATTGCTGAGTTTAATTATCCGTTTATTGTTAAAATAGATTATAATGTTGTTTTATCTCAACAGAATTTAGGTCTTCATGATGTATCATTTTTAAAGTGTTACAAACACCTGCAGACTATCATCTTATCACAAAACCAACTTTCAGGTTCATTTGTCTCTTGTTTTGGCCCTCGACGTTGTTCAATTTGTGAGTTTATCTTAATCCCTATTCTCAGATTTGACAGTTCTTGATAACATGGATAGTTTAGTCAAGTTGGATGTCTCACGTAATAAACTGACCAGATTATTGAATTTTAAACCATCTAAATCCCTCGTAGTAAGTATGATGATCTCATGTATTTTGATGTTTTGTTGTTATTTAACGTCAATTGTGACCTCCTTTCTTTGAGGATGTCAATTATGCTCACAATTTAATTCAAGATATTCCTGATTTGTCAGAACATCGTTCTCTTGTCACATTAATTCTTGATTGTATCCTTTTAAACACTTCATGTAATCGTAACTCACAGAACTTATTTTCTTCAATATTTTGTTGTTCAGACAATGTATTTCCTCAGCATGCTACAGATAATAATATTGATAAAATCGATGGACTTTCTTCGTGTTGCTCTTTAAAAAATTTACATTTGTCTTACAACAAAATTGAACGCATCGAGGGCTTGTTGAATCTACCAATAGCTTTTCTGAACTTGGTAAGAAATCTTTTTTTTGTATGAACATAGAAACATTACTGAACTATATTAACCCCTCTAAATGTACTAATATTACTGTCTTCATAGAGTAATAACAAGATCAAGCGAATTGAAAATCTAGAATCATTAAAATATTTAAAGGTAATTTGACACTGAACATGTCTAACAACATTGAACATGTCTAACAAGTAAATATAAACAATTTAGGTACTTGATTTGTCTTACAATTTTATTCGGAGTCTGAAAGGCCTCCAAGGTCATGACTTCTTACAAGAAATAAATCTGGAGAGTAATCAGATTATCGACATTGCTGATATCCGCTATATAAGAGAACTGAAATTGTTGAGGATGTTGAATTTTAATCATAATCCCATTCAAGAACTGAATGATTACAGACTGTCCATCTTGTTCAGACTACAGATGTTGACAACTCTTGATGAAACCCATGTGACTGCTCATGAAAAGGTATCCATTTCTGTTTATCAAGATTCTTTTCCTCTATCCATTTCTGTTCATCAAGATCCTTTTCCTCTATCCATTTCTATCCAAGATCCTTTTCCTCTATCCATTTCTCCAAGATCCTTTTCCTCTATCCATTTCTACTCGCCAAGATCCTTTTCCTCTATCCATTTCTATTTTCCAAGATCCTTTTCCTCTATCCATTTTTATGAGATCCTTTCTATCCATATCCAAGATCTTTCATCCATTTTCTTGATCTCCTCGATTTTCATGAGATCCTCTGATCCATTTTTTATGAGATTCGGATTTTATTTGATCTTCTTGATTTATGATTCTGAGATCTTTTTTTTATGAGATCTGATCGATGATTTTGATCTGATCCATTTTGATTTTATGAGATCTTATCGATATTTGATCTTTCATCGAGATCCTTCTCTATCCATTTCTACTCACAAGATCCTTTTCTATCCATTTTATTCACTAGATCTTTCTATTTTCTACCAACTGATGTCCTTCCACTCCATTCATTTCCATCCACTGATATCCTTATCATTCATCCATTTCCATTTTTTTCGTTTATTGATTTCCATTCAGTTTTCATCTGGCCACTCTGTATGTCAAGAGTGCAAATCTTGATGATTTGGTATTCAAACTAGATGTATTTACATACTAAGGTAAATGCAGCCAACATGTTCAATCCTTGTTTTGACGTCATAGCTGCACGTGATCACATGGTGCACGTGGTACGATCGTTAACACAACCTGCAAAAGTATTTGATAGGTAATAATTTCTTGAAATTTTATAAATCATAAAGTTGTCTTTCACTTTACGTAACGTTTCTTGTTTTTAAATCTTTTTACATGTGGTATATTTTATCCTCGTCAGTACTTTATCAAGTTTACACACGCCATATCCAATATTGGTTCTAACTGGACCTTCAGGCTGTGGCAAGCGATATCTTGTGAAAAGATTATGTCAGGAATTTCCTGATTACTTTGGAGTAGGGTTAGTAGTTTGTTAATATAATGTACAAGATTTTAATGTTAGTTTGAACGTATTTACTTGTATTTCTATGTACTAAAGGGTATCAACAACAACACGTACACAAAGAAAGAATGAAGAAGATGGTTTGGATTATTACTTTACCAGTCAGGAGGAATTTGAACATGATGTCATGAAGGTAAGTTTTTCATTACCTCATTACTTTGTGGATAGAAAGCGTGTTAGGTACGAAAAAGGGTTAGAAAGGAACTTCAGGAATAATGAGGGACAAGTGGTTGCTTAAAGGCTCAAAGGAATAAAGGGTTTTAATGACGAACGGTTGCATGGGTAAATGAGATTACAGGGTAAAAGATTTCGAGGTATGTGTGAGAGATGAAGAACGGAGTAACAGAAACCATGACCAGCCGACAATTTAATGAAATATAATATAAAACAAATTCCGAAGAAGCAAGACATCTCGAGATTGCAAAATATCAATCAAAACAAGACGAGAAGTAAACTGTAAATTTTCGACTTTATTTCAAAGTCATCCTCAGACAGAATAGGATTCTGTCCGAGGATGACTTTGGAGTAACAGAGGTTTTCAGGGAATGTATGAGGTAGGAAGAATGGTATAAACAGGGTGAAAGAGGATATCAGGGAATGTATTAGAGATGAAGAATTGTATATAGAATGAAATAGGTAATACAGCAATCACAAATATAATTCATTTCTTCTCAGGGCAAGTTTCTTGAGACGATAAAGTATGGCGGTTATCATTATGGACTAACTCGTCAGGCTGTCGAGTTTGTTGCAAGAAAAGGTCTTGCTTGTGCATTTCATATGGAATATGAGGTGGTATATCTTTGTTAAGACGATAACCAATCACCATAATCCTTGCCAGTTTGTTTATAAGTCCTTTTCATTTTCTATAGGGTGTACTCAGCCTGAAAAACAGCAGTTTTGAGCCACGTTATGTTCTTTTGCTTCCAGAAACTTCTCAGGTTAATATGCATCATTTAATTTGTACGATTTGTCTCCCGTTATTGTATTCTAGTTCCCATTCTCCTTGTAGGAACACGAGCGACGGCTGCGTGAAGACTGTTGCCATTCGGAATCATTGATAGATCAAGCTTTATCACGTGTCGACATGTACGCTGATATAAATAGACAAAAACCTGGATTCTTTGATGTCACTTTTGTCAATGGTAAACTTCCCACAACTCTTTGCAACTTAGGAGGAGGGGGCAAAGTTTCATTGATTTTGATAAGATTTCGTTCTTTTTCAGATGATATTGAAGTACTGTACCGTGAGTTAAAAATGCTGGTCCTGGATTATCTTGGATTTTCTCCGACAGCTACGACAAATTCTTATTACGTTGGTACTGCAGAAATTTTGTGCAGCACGGCAACTTCCGAAAACTACTCGAAGGATTCCGAAGACAGCACTGTGACGACATCTTCTCGAGCATGGTCACGACCAAAATCCAACATTTCCACGAACTTTGTGAGGAGAAACATAAGTTTTCAAAGTTCTGAGGTTTCATCGTTAGAGCTAGCTTCACTTAAAAGACGTCGCGCCTTGGCAAAGGCTGCTTTAGTCGGGATACCATACATCTCTAAGGAACATCTCTCTAACAATGGGTATGTGCATGTCAACTTTTCCTTGGTTGGGGATAAGGTCTATCTATAAGGAACATCTCCCTACTGTGGGTGAATGTTTGTATTTCGTTGTTTTGTAAAGAACTATTGCTGGTTTTATTGAATGCAATGCAGTGTGTAATAGTTAGTATTAGAACCACATCGTCCAAGTTGCTTCAGTCGTCCTTATCGTCGACAAACAAGACTAAACTCTCTAGGTATTTATATGATTGAGACAAGACGACAAGTTATTGACTCGTCTCAATCATATAAATACCTAGAGAGTTTAGTCTTGCTTCACACAAACGACGTAAGACTCGGGGGTTAAATGAGAAGTTTTTATAAGTTTCAAAGACATTAACTCTAATCATTATTGTCCTTATTACAGGCAAGTCAACGAGCTCAGGGAAAGAATGAATAGCAAAATTTCATCGTTACTTCATTTTCAACGTTCCTTCTCTGCTCCTGTAGATCAAAGTAACGTTTCATTGCTTATGAACACAAGTAATACCCAGAACACACTTCATTTCGACGATCACATAAGGTTCCTATTATTACCGCTGTATATTTGATGCAGACTGCAGGCGACAATTACAGTGTGGTAAATTTCATGTTTTGTTTATTGTATATATTCTAGATTTGAAGTCGACTCTGATGCAGAATCCAAAAGTTTTGGCATTTCAACCTCAGTCGGAACTTTTTTTCCTGTTTTTCATCGACCAGATGACGATGATTTAGGAGAAAGTTTTAAACTAGAAAGTTCTTTGGAGACTAGCTCAGGTCAAGGTCGCGAAGAGAACATGGTATAGTGAAAAACGTTTGTATATGGTTATAAATGTTTATTTGTTAAGTTTTTATCGTCGATATTACAGTTATATAATTCAAAAATTACATTTAAGGAGTGAAACATCGTTAAATGTTACATTTTATTAACATTGTGTTGTTTTCCAATGAGCGAAAGGTATCTGAAAAGAAAGAACAACGACAATTGAAACTTTATGTGTTACTTCAATACTAACGTGTTTACTTCAATGCTAACGTGTTTACTTCAATACTAACGTGTTTACTTCAATACTAACGTGTTTACTTCAATACTAACGTGTTACTTCAATACTAACGTGTTCACTTCAATACTAACGTGTTTACTTCAATACTAACGTGTTTACTTCAATACTAACGTGTTTACTTCAATACTAACGTGTTTACTTCAATACTAACGTGTTACCTCAATACTAACGTGTTTACTTCAATACTAACGTGTTACTTCAATACTAACGTGTTACCTCAATACTAACGTGTTTACTTCAATACTAACGTGTTACTTCAATACTAACGTGTTACTTCAATACTAACGTGTTGACTTCAATACTAACGTGCTACTTAAATACTAACGTGTTTACTTCAATACTAACGTGTTCACTTCAATACTAACGTGTTACTTCAATACTAACGTGTTGACTTCAATACTAACGTGTTACTTAAATACTAACGTGTTTACTTCAATACTAACGTGTACACTTCAATACTAACGTGTTACTTCAATACTCACGTGTTCACTTCAATACTAACGTGTTCACTTCAATACTAACTTGTTCACTTCCTTCTCCAACCAAGGTCCATGACAAAGACCATTCACCCAAGATTGAGGAAGCTTTTTAAAACCCAATTTACAGCCAAGTAACGCACCAGCGACAGCACAGTTAGTATCAGCATCACCTCCCTACGAAGTTAAAACACTTAAAAGTGGATTTTACAAAAATCTTTAAAGTTGCGACAATAATCGTTCATATACCTCCATTACTAGCGTTTCAATTGCTCTCCTAAAATCGTTTTGCCTTAGGGCCCAGAATCCAGCACCCATACATTTGAACGTATAACCATTTTTCTTACGATCATCTAACTTAAGTTGTTGAGGTGTTTCAGCAGATATATGGTGTTTCAGTTCATTAATCTAAATAACAAATAAAACACATTGTTTAACGGAAAAGCATTAACTAAGATATTTAATAATAATTCATTCATCTTACATGTCCTTCATCAACAATTTCTTTCTCGGCGTGATCATATGCTATCATCGTAATTGTTACAACATCTTGTTTTCCATTATTTAACAAATATTTACGTTGCAACATTAAAGCAATTGCTATGGTTACAGCAACACATGACGCAATACAACGTGGATCAGCATGTGTAACAAGACAAGCATCTCTTGTCATCTCTTTAACTTTCTCCAGGTTCGTAAAATTTAATGTTCCTATTATAGAGGTCCTCATCACACCACCATTTGGTGCCAAAAATTTGCCGCTACTTTCCCAGACATCTGTTGCTGCCTAGCAACAATACCATGGATAGTGTTAAACAAATGTAACAATAAAAAGAAAGACAATGACCATTAGGTACCTTGTAGGGATCATCCAAGAATAAGGGGTGATGAAGGACTGTAGCTGTTGTACCGCCCAAACCATTGCCACCATTATCACCGAGTTCTTTATATCCATAATACACCCAGTCATACAAATTTTTTGCAAAATCCTTCACATTGAACTGAAGAAAATCAATGAACAATACAGTAAATGGCAAACAAAAAAGTTAATTACTACGACATCTATTTCTTACACTTCCATTATTTTTCACCAATGTTCGAAGAATTAAAATCATTTGATCAGAATCATCAGTCCAATCTCCAATTTTCCATCTTGCACGATGTGAATCATGTATCTTCATGGTATATTCAAGATTTTTATATCCACCATAGAACTAAACAATTGACAAAATGTCAAAAACAGTAAAGAAATGTTTTCATTCTTATGGATACAAACCTCATGAGCGTCTTTTTTACTCATGACCTCAGTAAGCACTCCAATGGCATCTCCAATACAATTTCCATACAACACTCCTTTGATTTGGTCTTCCAATGTTAAATAACTTTCTTTTTGTTCTTTATCTGTCATCTTCCCTTCTGGTAACACATTTTTTGCTGAAACACCCTCTGCATTGTGTGATCTTTGACGCAGTGAATCTTCACCATTTACTATCAAACTTTCTGTCATCTTCGTCTCAACTCCTTCACTTTGACTCAATTTGTCAACCATCATCATCTCTTCTCCTGTAGGCAATTGATCTGTTGATCCATTATGAACTTCCTGAGCAAATCGATCTGTTGATCCATTATCACCTTCCTCAGGCAATGGATCTGTTGATCCATTGTAAACTTCCTCAGGCAATGGATCTGTTAATCTCAATTTGTCAACCATCATCATCTCTTCTCCTGTAGGCAATTTCTCTGTTGATCCATTATCACCTTCCTCAGGCAATCGATCTGTTAATCCATTATGAACGTCCTCAGGATATGGATCTGTTGATCCGTTATGAACTTCCTCAGGCAATGGATCTGTTAATCTCAATTTGTCAACCATCATCATCTCTTCTCCTGTAGGCAATTTCTCTGTTGATCCATTATCACCTTCCTCATGCAATGGATCTGTTGATCCATTATGAACTGCCTCAAGCAATGGATCTGTTAATCCATTGTAAACTTCCTCAGGCAATGGATCTGTTAATCCATTATCACCTTCCTCAGGCAATAGATCTGTTGATCCATTACGAACTTCCTCAGGCAATGGATCTGTTAATCTCAATTTGTCAACCATCATCATCTCTTCTCCTGTAGGCAATTTCTCTGTTAATCCATTATCACCTTCCTCAGCCAATTGATTTGTTGATCCATTGTCACATTCCTCAGCAAATTTCTCTGTTGATCCATTGTGACCTTGACATAATAATATTTTATGAACTGTCAGAGGTATTTCATTGGGTTTTTTGCTTTCTCATATTTTATTATGAGATTCTCATTATGAAATTCTTTTACTTTTTTATACTTTTCATAGTTTTCTTGTACAGTTTACCAAAATTACTTAAGGGACTAGCAAAATCACCACGATCTGTACCTAACGACTTTTTACAAATTTGTAGAAACTTTTTAGCTTTTGTTATATTCTTCACTAATGAAATCCAAATCGAGGACTATTTTGCGTTTTTTCTTTTTATATACCATTTTTTAGAACCAATTATCAATTATTTATGCTTGCATTAGTTTAAGCTTGCATTTATGCATAACTTATGAAATTAGAGCATTTAAAAACAAAGAATTTAAAATAGCTTGCGATTTGAAAGCTAAGCGTTCGTGTAGGCGTCAACCAAAATTCCTAAAGCTTTTTAGCTTAAAAAAACATTTACTATGTCTTAATCCTATTTTTTCCAACTCCTTTCTAGCTGTGTCATTTTCATGTACAAACTACTTCAAAAGTGCTATTTAGCAATTTGATTTTTATTCTGCAAGTATTCATTATTTGCTAGTATTTGCTGTCAGATAAATTGACCATCCATCACTTTTCATTTTAAGAAAAATTTTGACAATTGTAAGAGTTCCCGCGAAGAAATTCCCATAAAAGTCAAACGATTTGATAAAAACTAAACGGAGTTTAGAATACTTAAAATCAAGAACAAGAATTTTGTTTTCACCTTGCCCTGCCTCATCCACATCTTTGACGATATGTGAAATATCAAAAACAGAAGTTTCTTCCTCTGAAATAGCGGGCATTCCATTTCCGTTCATACAACTTTTTTCTTTGTCATTTTTATCCTTATCTATAATAATGAAGAATTTGTAATAAAAAATTAAATAGTCTTCTGTATATGTACAATGCTGGTATTAATTTTTAGGTTACGAACTATATAATAATAAACAATAAGAGTGGAAATAATAATGAGAAAAACGTACAATGACTGATAGTATCAAAGATTATCATAATAATATCAATATTACTTAAAAAATGATCAACCAACACATGGTGTTAATGTTATGTAACAATATTGTTTAATTTAACGTACTATTTAACGAGTACATAATTAAACCATACATGGTGAAAATTTCAATGCTGACCTTTAAGTTCTGAATTGTTTTTTAATTTTTTATTTGACCTGATAGCTGCGTGCACCCGAACAGGGAGATCAGGGAATGTTTTGAGAAAATACAACTTGTGATCGCCAATCTTATCATATGGTTTTGGTCCAGGCCAAGGTCGATAGTTCCAATGCAGCCCAAAGTTTCGAATAAATCTCAAGCATTCTGTCCAAGAAGATCCATACTTACGAATTTTTCCAATCACCTCATGTTTTGTAAAATAAGCATATACATCACTATCAATTTGACTTCTCCAGTCTGAAGATTCATTATTTGTTTGATGGACCACTCTTGACTGGGTATCATTTGTCTTAATTGACAGTTGGTTCCCAACTTCACATAACATTTTAAATTTCTCGTCATCTGACATAAAAAATGGGTGTTTCAACGCCTCGTTGGCAGATGGCCTGTCTTCCGGCAAACGATTTAACAACCACATCAAAAGGTCTTTCAGCGTTTCATTCTTGATTTCATCCAAGCCAACAGGGTTTCCTTTCAACATGTTGTCCAATCTATAACGTGTCACTCCAAAAGGATGTTGCCCTTTTGTTGCAACATAATAAGCCACCATTCCGGCATTCTAAAATAATAAAAAACGTGAAAGCAAAAATAAAATGTCAGAAAATTTAATTTAAATGTATGTTCTACAAATGTTAGTATTTCCTACACCTACATATACATCAGATTCTTTTTTGTAACGTCCTTTATCTACTGTGTCTTTATCTTCCCGATATGACTCAGGAGCAATCCAATACTCAGTTCCCGTGTTAGCTTTGCTTTCATATGTGCTAAATTCATCATTCAATATTCGACTAATTCCAAAGTCCGCGATCAAAAATTTGCCATGCGAGTCTCGGAGAACATTGGAAGGCTTCAAATCGCGATGAAGAATAGGATTTGGGTCAGTATGAAGATCAGTTAATCCATTTAAAATTTGTCTAAGAATATTAGGAAGAGCTTTTTGAAGATCTTCTATGGTAGAATCTTCCACAAACTGCTTCAATGATTCTTCGCATAAGTCTAATATTAAATAAACATAGTCCGTTCCAGTATCTTCCTCTAAGAAGTAATAATTCACAACATATTTCGACTCCCTTGCATTAAATTCATTTAAAACTTTTTTTTCGTGCTGTGCAGGCTGTAGGTAGTTATTTCTACGCATTCGTTTTACTGCTTTGCCGTAGCCATCCTTTGTCAGTCCAAGAAAGACATCGGTTCCACTGCTTCCTTTGCCAAGGCTAAATCTGTCCGAGAAAATTACACGTAAATTGCCAATATGTTCTGATTCAAGATAACACAATTCTGACAACAGTTTTCCATGCTTGACAGAATGACCAAGATATTTCCACTTTTGAAACTGAATTTCTTGAAAAGGCATAAAAAAGTACCACTTACAAAGGGGAGTGAAACAAATATATTCAAGGAATAGGTATATCGAATTCACCCTGAACACATGGGATAACCACTTTATATATTGATTTAAGTCTTATAAATTACTGATAACGACGTACATTTATTCAATAAGCAAACATGTATTTGTTAAGATTGAGAGTAAGCTGATACAAAAAATCGTTCTTTATTTAGAATGTAGTGCTTTTTAGCACAACCTATGTTTAAGTTTAGAAAATTGCTATCTAATGAATAACACTATCCAGGCTTCATGCAACTGGCCACTGCTATACACCCAAATGTTTATTGAAATATTTTGAGCTAAGAAAAATTAGAGTTTCTGGAGCTTATTGTTATTATTTAAAGTATATATTTCATAACGGAAGATAACAGAATGGCTCTACTTTAGCAATAGATTTTCACCCTCTTAACGCCTTACATCATACCTCTATTATTTTAGTTTAATTAAGTCTGTGGTTCTTTAAATACTGCTTCGAAACAATGCATAATATAAAGTTAATAACATGCATAATTTTATGAATATGAGTCCTCAATTTATTGATCTTTCCACGACTATGATTCTAACTATAATATAACAAAATAGCCATTCATTTTTGGTAAAGGCAAACTGTGAATCGCCTTTTTAAGAAAAAACTTAACTTATTGATTTTAATGATTATTTGCAACAACGGCATTATTTGGTTTTATTAAGCTTTCACGTTTAACTGTACATTAATGATTTATTTGTGCAATTTGCTTGCCTGTTTCCGGAGGCCATAATTCAACACAAGATATTGACCAATTTTAGTTTTGCAATTCTATGCAATTGTAATGGTTTCCTACATTGTTTTTGTTTTTGCTAATGTTACTACCGTATTCTTTAGCTTGTCATTTAAAGAAAAAACTTCTTTTGGCATTTATCTCACTTTGACCTTTACTTAAAACTGTCCATTATTGAATCATAATTAATTTGACATAAATCCTATGGATTTTTCGTCTTTAACTTTATGAAGTGTTTTCAGCCTGCTCAGATAAAACACAAAACAAAACAATTTTCATTTCGACAACAGTTTGCTACCAAATGACAAAAGATAAAAGAGCAAAATCCTGTAAAAAGATCATAATTTTTTAAACAATATGTGACATTTTAGCCTTTTTCTTTTAGAAATTGAATAGGCCACCGAATATGTATATTTTTAAATAAAAATGAAAAAACTAGGAAAATAAAATCATATAAAATTTCACAATCTAGCTGATAATTCTTTTATTATATTGTTTAATAAAACGCTTCCTTGTCGCCAGGCGCAAGAAAAATCATAAAAACTTGGATGCATTAATTTTTTTTAATTCCTCTCAAAAGATCAACGACAACGTTTTTTTGATATTATTTTGAGCTGCATGGGAAATGCCTTCGTTTTGACTGTATTTAACGGACAAAACAGAGTACACATACCTTGTTTGCTTTTTTGAATGCCACGTGAAGGGTTGTTACCCATCATATAAGCAAAATTATCTCTCCTCAAATCTATAACATAACTTAACATAAGCATAATTTTATAGTACAAGCATATGGGTATAATTTGCCTTGGATGCAAAGAAACTTGGCACATGATGTCGATTTTTATTTTATTTATGTATAAATCATTTCTGGTTCGTATGAATAGTTGGAACAAAAAATTATTTTATGATTTTGGGAATTAGTGTGTCAACGTGCATTTCTACAATTTTGTTTATACTTTTTTAGAAATTGACTGGATCGCTTGCAACAGCAGCAACAGCAATTGATCTTTAACGATAAATCGTGCATTTCATTGGAGCTTTTTCTGTGGCCTTTATTCAATAGTTAACATATTTTCGACAAATATAAAATATTGAAAAAATTTCTTTTTGCCATTGTATGTCTTTTATTATAGCTTTCAGTACATTTCTAAGGATTTGCTTGTGTCAGAAATGAAATCCTTTATGTAGTTGTACGGGTAAGATAGATATGTAGATAGATAGGCAGTGACATTATGGCGTAAAAACCACTTACAAATTGACGGTATGTTCCGAGAAATCGCATATTCGTTAACCACCGGAACGTACAATTCTCATTTTCTGTTTGTCTTTATTTAAGATTTTGTGATGAAGAACAGGGCTAATTTTGAAAAATATAAGCAAATAACATAATTCAATTGATAAGAAAACATCATTTGCTTTTCAATGCCCACGTTAAAACATTTTTTAAGGTACCTAATAATATTGACCGGCTCGTATTTTTCAATTCCATCAGATATTATTTTTCACTACACTATGTAGCCTGCACAAACGCAGCTAGAAGAAGGTATCTTATTTTCAATGTTCGTTAAAACCAAGACTTTTTAAGGATTGGGCATCATCAACATTAAGGATGTAGGAAAACATTTTATGCGAGCTCCATCGCTTTTTCATGTTATTTATTACGTTTGCCATGTTTTCTAGGACTATAAAAAAAGGCACATAGATTTCTTTAACACACCAACACATAAACTAAGCCTAAGTAATGAACAATAAGATTACGAGCTTGAGATTTCTATAAGCTAAAAATGTATGAGGGTGAAGGCAAAATCATCACCAGAAATTTTAGATATTGCTCACACGCCTAGATTCTGTAATCAAATACGACTGCGCGGTTTCATTACAAATTTTGTAAGGCTTGAAATAAGTTTTGAATTTAATGCAACTTCCATGGGACGTAATATCAATTTTAGACAAGAAATACTTCTGTACTGTGATATAACAATTGTTTATTATTTCAGTCTTTCTTTGAACAGGTTCCCTTACAAAATTTTACAAAATGTTTTATGCAATGTTATATTTGCAAACAACTGCGAATAAGAATTAAAGCATTTGCAATAAAAAATTGGCATTATTCTATACTAACGGTACTAAAATGATGTGAAAAAAATTATTGTCGATCAACTATAATAGATGATGTGGGAATTTAAAATTCGGATTTTCCCGTACTGTTGCAATATTATACAAATATTATACAAATATTATACTAAAACTTAAAGTGACCACTCACCCGGCGGCTCGTGGCCACTTTGTTTTTATCACAATTGACGTCATACCCATGTATCTATAACTGTATAAACAACGATTAAATGTTATCTATTTGTTAAGTATCAATTATTAATATACATCATGTTATGACGAGTAAGATGCACAAATCACCACTGGTATGATAGAGAAAATAAAAAAAAGAAAAAGAAGTCTTCATTATTGACGATTTTATCGTACATAGAAAATTTGCAGAACATTTTCGTTTCCCATCAACGTAAAGCAATAATAAATGTGCATGCCCCTTCCCAGCATAAATTAACTTTAAGCTTGTCCCCTCCTCATGAAATTTTGAGACGCCACTGAAAACATGAATAATTATGTGAAATTTTCTATTTCTTAAAAGAGTTATGTATAAAGCTTACATCTGACGAGTTTAAGGGATCACAAATGTATATTAAATTGATTCAAATTCTATTTATGTTAAATGGTTAATTGAAATTAGCTAAGTTTCGCAAAGAATCAACGCTAAGATCATTTCATTCCTTGCATAAACTTTACATTAAATGTTCATTTACAAATACAAAAGTGTCCATAATGAAGGATTACTATTTGCTCGTGTAGTATACTTAATATATACTTAAGGATAAAATTGTAGTTTTTGTGTATTTTCTTCTTCTCATCAATAATATATACTTAATATATATTTAACAATGTTTATGTTAAATGCTGAATCTTCATATATCATCGATGAATATAATTCACATTTATGATAACGTCTATAAATTGCAAGCATGCGCAATTTTTGTTCGTTGTTTATTCAACGTACCTTTAAATAATGATGTTTAAACTTTTACATTTTCAGAAATCCGACCTAACAAGCTATAAACACCAAAAGTATCTTTCGAGTCGATATGTGATAAATTATTCGTAATCTGCTTTAACGGAATTTCAATCATTTTGAGAACTTTGTTATGATAATAAAGATACACCTTATGATTTCAATTGTTGCATGCTCATAGCACATTTTAACTTTATCGTGAGGAGAGAGATATACAGAGAATATAAAAAAGGCAACTTTGATATTCTATCATCAGTATATTGTCTTAAGCACAAAATATTTTGGCCTTTGGGAATTTAAAATCAGTGACTTCGAATAACAATTACAAGCCTTCTGAAACGCCACAGACCAAAATCTTTTCCATTGTAAACCAAAGCAGTTAATATTAATATTAACTGTTGCCTGTTTTTATACACCTAGTATTTTTTTGAGAAATTAAGAACTTTGACTTTGAAATACATAACACATTCCTTATAATATCTTTGCAGTGGGACACTTCTAAAACGTTTGGTCCAGGGGCGGATCTAGGGTATGTCAAATCAGTCACGCGACTGATGTTTATAGTTCAAAAATTATCTATAAATTTAATGATTAAAATTTTAAAATTTTAGCTATGATTTCTTTAGTGCTTGGGGAATCGTGGCCGTTATATGGCAGCGAAACCCAACATTCCTGCAAATATATTTCAATGGACAAAAAATCTGTAGCCATAAGGCGCCATACTATTATTTACTTTATCATAAACAAATGTTTGGGGCTTTTCAGTTTATGATCATTGATCATTCAATCATTGGACAGTTATACTACACATTGTTTAAGATTTGAGAAAACTAACATTGATTACATGAGAAGCTGTTTACTATAACCTGTGATTTTGAGTCTTTTCTGATCCATGAAGCTTTTTATTTTGACAATTTGACTGGAATGGTATTAAACCTAGGTATTTCACATACATGAAATGTTGTCCCATGTCACATATTGTCCCCTTTTCTAACTGAACACCTCATGTAGAGATGTCAAGGTGTGTTGATCTACGGCTCATACCGGATTGTTTACCATAAATTCCAAAGGGCTATTGATGTATGAAAAGCATTTTCTATAAAGTAAAAATGTGCTCCTACGTATGCAGATAAATCTTGAAATTTGGCAAAACAACAAAGTATTTTTCATGATCACTAGGTAATTTTTCTGATGATCATTCTAAACTAAACTAAATTATTTCAGATTTACATTTAAACGAGCTTTGATCATATGAAAAGATATTTATCATAACAAATAAGCATGACACATTAACCAATTTTAACATTCATGTAATTATATAATTAAAGGTATGTTGGTTACATTCTGTTTGTATTGGCAAATACAATGCTACTGGTGATTGCTATGTAGCACACCTTGCATATACTTACAGAGGATAATAGTCTAATAGCCTAATAAACATTAATGGCATTAAGCTGTCCTTAATTGCAACTTTTCACTCTGATATTTTTGCTTAATCTTTGGCAGAAAAAAATTTGGAGTTTTTTCTCAAAAGGTGAATTTGCTGGCACTGTATGTGAAGATGGGTAAAGGGTTAGAATAAACTTGCATGGTTTGAAGTCTGAGCTTTTCTACATCTATGAACTGTCACTTGCAGTACCAAATTTCTAACTTAACTCATTACATAGAGGTTTGAATGGGGTTCTCTAGGGGGGTCTATGCCTAACAACTTGGTAGAAATTTTTGAAGACTATGTCTGTTTTTGAATAGCATTATTGTAAATTAAATTTTATGTTTCTAGACATGCTAATGAGCCATATACTTGGCATGATGATAAGCCTAAATATTTGGCAAAACATTCAAGTATTGTTCACTTCAGTTTTTTTTTGAAAGAAACGTAAGCCAAATGTGTTGTTTTTATGCAAAAACGATGCCCACAAATTTCCGCACTACAGCTTGCAGAGGCCATAAAGATATTGAGTTGGCTTCTAAGAATTATGATAAGTTTTAATAGAATTTTCTAAGAATTGAAATAGTTTCAAAACAAATAATTTGAAAGTGAAAAACGAAAGAAAACAATTGTCTTCAGTTTCTTTTCACATAAAGGACAAAAGATAGAAAATCAATTACGTGATGTAAGACAAACTGACAAACTCCAATTGTCAATATGTCCGCTCCAGTCCGCTTTTGTAATTTGAATAAACCAAGTTTAAATTTGAAAATAAAAACTTTCCAAGGAAATGCATGAGTGATGTTTAAATGATGGATGACATCCCATCAACTGCTCTAAAATGGCCGTTTCCAAAGCGTCTAGATGGACGTTTGTGGCGATTTAGCAGCGCTGTGATTATTGCTGGAACGGCAATATTTACGAAAATATGGCTTGGTAAGACAGATATTATGACATCAAAATGTATTGACTGCCTTGATTTAGATGTTTTGTCGCAGGTTGGCTGAATACAAAACATGTCTATAATCTTGAATATCTTGAAGAGACATTTTCACGAAATAAAGACACACCTTTGTTACACCTTTGGGGTAGGTTGTTTAATGAATCTTTTGTATGGGGTATGTTGTTTAATGAGTCTTCTGTATGTGGAAGGTTGTTTAATGAATCTTCTGTATGGGGAAGGTTGTTTAATGAATCTTCTGTACAGGGAAGGTTGTTTAATGAATCTTCTGTATGGGGAAGGTTGTTTAACAAATCTTTTGTATGGGGAAGGTTGTTTAATGAATCTTTTGTATGGAGAAGGTTGTTTAATGAATCTTTTGTTTGGGGAAGGTTGTTTATTGAATCTTCTGTATGAGGAAGGTTGTTTAATGAATTGTTTGTATGGGGAAGGTTGTTTAATGAATCTTTTGTATGGGAAGGTTGTTTAATGAATCTTTTGTATGGGGAAGGTTGTTTAATGAATCTTTGTATGGAGTACGTTGTCTAATGCATTGTTTGTAAAGAGAAGGTTGTTTAATGAATCTTTTGTATGGAGAAGGTTGTCTAATGATCCTCTTGTTGTAGGATAGGTTGACTAATGACTACATCTTTTGAAAGACCTTTTGTATAGGGTACTTTCACCAACTAATCTATCTCTTGTTGCTAACTTATCTTAGGCCTATGTGTAACATGAAATAATTTCAAGAGTTTGTTGTGTGGATAATTTAAATAATATAAACAAATCCCTTTGAATGTGAATATGCAATTTTTATAGGAATGCTGAAGTGGAGATATATCTTAAATGCATCATTAATTTGTACGATTTGTCTCCCGTTATAGTATTCTAGTTCCCATTCCTCTTGTAGGAACACGAGCGACGGCTGCATGAAGACTGTTGCCATTCAGAATCATTGATACATCAAGCTTTATCACGTGTCGACATGTACGCTGATATAAATAGACAAAAACCTGGATTCTTTGATGTCACTTTTGTCAATGGTAAACTTCCCACAATTCTTTGCAACTTAGGAGGAGGGGGGGGGAAAGTTTCATTGATTTTGATAAGATTTCGTTCTTTTTCAGATGATATTGAAGTACTGTACCGTGAGTTAAAAATGCTGGTCCTGGATTATCTTGGATTTTCTCCGACAACTACGACAAATTCTTATTACGTTGGTACTGCAGAAATTTTGTGCAGCACGGCAACTTCCGAAAACTACTCGAACGATTCCGAAGACAGCACTGTGACGACATCTTCTCGAGCATGGTCACGACCAAAATCCAACATTTCCACGAACTTTGTGAGGAGTAACATAAGTTTTCAAAGTTCTGAGGTTTCATCGTTAGAGCTAGCTTCACTTAAAAGACGTCGCGCCTTGGCAAAGGCTGCTTTAGTCGGGATACCATACATCTCTAAGGAACATCTCTCTAACAATGGGTATGTACATGTCAACTTTTCTTTGGTTGGGGATACCGTGTATCTATAAGGAACATCTCCCTACTGTGGGTGAATGTTTGTATTTCTTGTTTTGTAAAGAACTATTGCTGGTTTTATTGAATGCAATGCAGTGTGTAATAGTTAGTATTAGAACCACATCGTCCAAGTTGCTTCAGTCGTCCTTATCGTCGACAAACAAGACTAAACTCTCTAGGTATTTATATGATTGACACAAGACGATAAGTTAGTGACTCGTCTCAATCATATAAACACCTAGAGAGTTTAGTCTTCCTTGACACAAACGACGTAAGACTCGGGGGTTAAATGAGAAGTTTTTATAAGTTTCAATGACATTAACTCCAATCATTATTGTCCTTATTACAGGCAAGTCAACGAGCTCAGCGAAAGAATGAATAGCAAAATTTCATCGTTACTTCATTTTCAACGTTCCTTCTCTGCTCCTGTAGATCAAAGTAACGTTTCATTGCTTATGAACACAAGTAATACCCAGAACACACTTCATTTCGACGATCACATAAGGTTCCTTTTATTACCGCTGTATATTTGATGCAGACTGCAGGCGACATTTACAGTGTGGTAAATTTCATGTTTTGTTTATTGTATATATATTCTAGATTTGAGGTCGACTCTGATGCAGAATCCAAAAGCTTTGGCATTTCAACCTCAGTCGGAACTTTTTCTCCTGTTTTTCATCGACCAGATGACGATGATTTAGGAGAAAGTTATAAACTAGAAAGTTCTTTGGAGACTAGCTCAGGTCAAGGTCGCGAAGAGAACATGGTATAGTGAAAACGTTTGTATATGGTTATAAATGTTTATTTGTTAAGTTTTTATCGTCGATATTACAGTTATATAATTCTAAAATTACATTAAAGGAGTAAAACACCGTTAAATATTACATTATTATATTAACATTGTGTTGTTTTTCCAATGAGCGAAAGGTATCTGAAAGGAAAGAATAACGACAGTTGAAGCTTTATGTGTTACTTCAACACTAACGTGTTTACTTCAATACTAACGTGTTTACTTCAATACTAACGTGTTCACTTCAATACTAACGTTTTCACTTCAATACTAACGTGTTTACTTCAATACTAACGTGTTCACTTCAATACTAACGTGTTTACTTCAATACTAACGTGTTCACTTCAATACTAACGTGTTACTTCAATACTAACGTGTTCACTTCAATACTAACGTGTTACTTCAATACTAACGTGTTTACTTCAATACTAACGTGTTACTTAAATACTAACGTGTTACTTCAATACTATCGTGTTACTTCAATACTACAATACTAACGTGTTACTTCAATACTAACGTGTTACTTCAATACTAACGTGTTTACTTCAATACTAACGTGTTTACTTCAATACTAACGTGTTACTTCAATACTAACGTGTTACTTCAATACTAACGTGTTACTTCAATACTAACGTGTTCACTTCCTTCTCCAACCAAGATCCATGACAAAGACCATTCACCCAAGATTGAGGAAGCTTTTTAAAACCAAATTTACAGCCAAGTAACGCACCAGCGACAGCACAGTTAGTATCAGCATCACCTCCCTATGAAGTTAAAACACTTAAAAGTGGATTTTACAAAAGTCTTTAAAGTTACGACAATAATCGTTCACATACTTCCATTGTTAGCGTTTGAATTGCTTTCCTAAAATCATTTTGCCTTAGGGCCCAGAATCCAGCACCCATACATTTGAACGTATAACCAATTTTCTTACGATCATCTAACTCAAGTTCTTGAGGTGTTTTAGCAGATATATGGTGTTTCAGTTCTTTAATCTAAATAACAAATAAAACACATTGTTTAACGGAAAAGCATTAACTACGATATTTAATAATAATTCATTCATCTTACATGTCTTTCATCAACAATTTCTTTCTTGGCGTGTTCATATGCTATCTTCGTAATTGTTACAACATCTTGTTTTCCATTATTTAACAAATATTTACGTTGCAACATTAAAGCAATTGCTATGGTTACAGCAACACATGACGCAATACAACGTGGATCAGCATGTGTAACAAGACAAGCATCTCTTGTCATCTCTTTAACTTTCTCCAGGTTTGTAAAATTTAATGTTCCTATTATTGAGGTTCTCATCACACCACCATTTGGTGCCAAGACTCTGCCGCTACCTTCCCAGACATCTGTTGCTGCCTAGCAACAATACCATGGATAGTGTTAAACAAATGTAACAATAAAAAGAAAGACAATGACCATTACGCACCTTGTGGGGATGTTTCAGGAATAAGGGGTGATGAAGGACTGAAGCTGTTGTACTGCCCAATCCATTACCACCATTATCACCAAGTTCTTTATATCCATAATACACCCAGTTATGCAACTTTTTTGCAAAATCCTTTACATTGAACTGAAGAAAATCAATGAACAATACAGTAATGGCAAACAAAAAAGTTAATTACTACGACATCTTTTTCTTACATTTCCATTATTTTTCACCAATGTTCGAAGAATTAAAATCATTTGATCAGAATCATCAGTCCAATCTCCAATTTTCCATCTTGCACGATGTGGATCATGTATCTTCATGTTATATTCCAGATTTTGATATTGACCATAGCACTAAACAATTGACAAAATGTCAAAAACAGTAAAGAAATGTTTTTATTCTTATGGATACAAACCTCACGAGCGTCTCTTTTACTCATGAACTCAGTAAGCAATCCAATGGCATCTCCAATACAATTTCCATACAACACTCCTTTGATTTGGTCTTCCAATGTTAAATAACTTTCTTTTTGTTCTTTGTCAACCATCACGAACTCTTCTCCTGTAGGCAATTTCTCTGTTGATTCATTGTGACCTTTCTCAGCCAATGGATCTGTTGATTCATTGTGACCTTTCTCAGCCAATGGATTTGTTGATTCATTGCGACCTTTCTCAGCCAATGGATTTGTTGATTCATTGCACCTTTCTCAGCCAATGGATTTGTTGATTCATTGCGACCTTTCTCAGCCAATAGATCTGTTAATTCATTGTGACCTTTCTCAGCCAATAGATCTGTTGATTCATTGTGACCTTCAGCCATGGCTATTAAATGTCAGCAAAATGTACACTTGTGTGCTTGTAAAGTAAAACAGCAAATTTCAGGTACAACCTAAGTAAGATAGAAATATGTATACTATACACAAGAGTACCACCAGATAGATACAGGGGGGTGTGTGCATTTATGAATATTCCCCCCCCCCTCCCAATTATTGCAGTAGTTGGTTTGTAAGCGAGTAAAAAGTTATGTTTAAAGTTCACAAACTGATAAAAAAAAGATTATAACGAAAATTACATCAAAAAGAAATGGTCGTGTTTTAAATTATGAATACAAAATTTACAATTCATTTCATTATATATAACATTCTATATTGTAGGAGATTCAAGATGGAAATTTTGCAAGAACAGCTGCTTTAAGAATTCCTTCAAGCAAAGGTGATGTAATATCTGAAAATGAAAATAAAATATTGTTAGAAGTCTGTCAAGAAATTTTGTTCATATAATGAAAGGAAAACTTACATGAATCACATTCATAACACCAAACACTCAAATCAGAGAAACTTAAAGCAATGGCATGTCCAGATATCTCGTTGTGTAAAACCATATGTTCGTTTACGTAACGACTGCAATAAACTTCGGAACAGATAAGGCAGAGCCAATTTTCCCCCACATTTTGACAACTACAGCATGGAGCTGTAGGATCAATGTTTAAACTTTCCGTATTCTTGATAACCTAGCATATTTATATGAACAAAAATATCTTTGTTTCTTCACACCTATAATTCCTAAATTAAAACAACCTGACTGTATGTAAGTCCACTTTTGCTTTCAATAACTTTTCGTGACATTCCGAAAGAAGATTGCGTTTCTTTGTATAAAACGTCATTATTGTGAAGGATAAGAGTTGCACAAAAACTCTAACATACTCAGAACAAGTGAATTATGAATTTTACCTGTACGTGAGGACAGTCAGTCTTCGGTATTATAGAAAAGAATCCTTCAGTACTACAGCTTGCAGAGGCCATAAAGGTATTGAATTGTCTTCAAAGAATTAAGATAAGTTTTAATTGAATTTTCTAAGAATTGAAATAGTTTCAAAACAAATAATTTGAAAGTGAAAACGAAAGAAAACAATTGCTTTCAGTTTCTTTTCACAGAAAGGACAAAAGATAGAAAAACAATTACGTGATGTAAGACAAACTGACAAACTCCAATTGTCAATATATCCGCTCCTGTCCGCTCTTGTAATTTAAATGAACCAAGTTTAAATTTGAAAGTAAAACTTTTCAAGGAAATGCATGAGTGATGTTTAAATGATGGATGACATCCCATCAACTGCTCTTAAATGGCCGTTTCCAAAGCGTCTAGATGGACGTTTGTGGCGATTTAGCAGCGCTGTGATTATTGCTGGAACGGCAATATTTACAAAAGTATGGCTTGGTAAGGAAGATATTATGATATCAAAATGTATCGACTGCCTTGATTTAGTTTTTTTGTCACAGGTTGGCTGAATACAAAACATGTCTATAATCTTGAATATCTTGAAGAGACATTTGCACGAAATAAAGACACACCTTTGTTAACTGTTACAAATCATATATCCTGTTTTGATGAGCCTCTTATTTGGGGTAGGTTGTTTAATGAATCTTTTGTATGGGGTAGGTTGTTTAATGAATCTTTGTATGGGGTAGTTTGTTCACTGAATCTTTTGTATGGGGAAGGTTGTCTAATGATCTTCTTGTTGTAGGATAGGTTGACTAATGACTACATCTTTTGAAAGACCTTTTGTATATGGTACTTTCACCAACTAATCTATCTCTTGTAGCTAACTTATTTTGGCCTGTGAGTAACATGAAATAATTTCAAGAGTTTGTTTTGTGGATAAGTTAAATAATATAAAAAAATCTCTTTGATGTTGAATGTGAATATGTAATTTTTATAGGAATGCTGAAGTGGAGATATGTCTTAAATGCAAATCTAGTAAGATGGTAAGAATTATATTTTTGAAGTTGTATTAACAAAATTTAATTGTCTCACTATTTAATTTCTTCTCCAGGGCCATTGGTGCAGATGAAATGTGTTTTTACACATGGTTATTGAGTCAATTCTTTAGCAAAGGAAAGGTAGGTTTTTCATCCAAATAGATCAAGCCTTGGCATTGTTCTTTTCAAAGATATGTACATTTATTTTTAGGTTATTCCTGTTATTAGAGGTAGAAAATCATGAACATTCACGTACATTCTTAATGTTAAATGGTGGCTATAGTAATTATGGCAATGAATTTTTGAGGTAATGGCATCTATCAAAAGGGGATGAACTTTGCTATAGATCGCCTCAATGATGGTCAATGGGTCCATTTATTCCCAGAAGGTATCTTCATCTATTCTACTTTTATCTTTTAATTTTAACGTAGATCCCAATTTTTTTCCTTCAAATTTTTAGGAAGAGTAAATGAAAGTGGAAAGATGCTTCGATTGAAATGGGGTAAATAATCGTCTGGTCATTGTTATTGTGAGTTTTTTGATGATATGATGTATTTTATCAACATTGTAGGCGTTGGAAGGTTGATAGTTGAGTCATCAAAGATGCCAATTGTCATTCCATTCTGGCAATTAGGTAACATATCACTAATAACTTGTTTCTTTTTTGTTTTATATTAAATTTTATCAATTCAAGCAATTTCTTTACAGGACTGAATGATGTTTTACCAAACAAATCACCTTATATTCCTAAGATTGGAAAGGTTTTATTTTAAAGTTGTTAAAAATAAATTACATTGTCAAAATAATATCGTATGTTATATGAAGTACATTGATTTCAATTTAGTGAAATATACTGTTGCAATATATTTTTTTAATTTTGGTCAGACACTAACTGTGATTATGAAGAACTGCAAACACAGATATGTGGTTTATCGAAAGTTTTTGTTCATAACAAGAATAGTAAAAATAACAGTGATTTTACTCATGATGCAATGAGATAAATATGTTTATCTTTTTGTAGCATGTTACAATAAACATCGGCAAACCAATGTTTTTTAATGACATTATGACAGAATATCAAGAATTGAAGGAAACTGCAGTAAGATGAAATCTTTCCTTTTTTTGTCTAACTCACAACAGTAAAAAATGTTTAATTTTCGTTAGATTGGGGCACGTGTAAGGGTAACAAACAGAATACAGGAAAGGTTTAAAGAATTAAAAGAAGAAACAGAAACACTTCACAAAAAACACGGACAATAATGGCAAGTATTTTCAAATCTCAATACCAAAAACAAAAAATTATTTTGATATTGTACAAGGCGAGAAAATATGTACTTATGATTTTATAAAAAACATAATAAAAATGAACAACAATTAGGTATCATGATGTTTTAAGCTGCTATGGTCATTATTTGTGTTACGTATGTAAAAGAATTTCAACCTCGTCATTGTTTGATGAATTCACTCGTGAAAACTGTACACGACCATTCTCGTTAGCTTCACGCTTCTTCTTTGCTTCATGAGAAAGTTATCAACGACCCAAAACATAAAGGCCTAAAGTGAAAAATGTTTGAATGAATAATGTAAAATCAATGCTACGAGTGCCATTTTCTTACGATATCTAAAGTTATTTTTCAACTTACATTGATTATAAATGGTACTATCAACATAACAATAGCAACTTCAAACTTCGGATGTTTTCGTACTGGTTTCAAAATAAACATTCGTACATCATGCCAGAAATCTAACATGACCAACATTGCTATGGCAATTTTCTCCAAAATCAATACAAGAATATATAAACCACATTGACCAATCCACATCACACTGTGGTGGCTTTCCTGGAAAAATTTCATTTCTATGATTTGTAACATGTGGTTGACATTGAACACTGTAAAATTGAGCCTACCATACTCTCCCAGGATTAGAGTATCCCATTTATAACATCGAACAAGGAGTTGAGTACTTTGAAGCAAAACATAGATCAACAACAAGCCAACAGTTGAATCTAAAAGGTAGTTAATAAAGTACCTAAGAGAGAAAGAAAATGATTAGTGTATTGAAAAACAACAAAATTATCTGTTAATGATTACCATGTACACGGATCTCCAGTAAATAGTGTTGATAGATATACATTTGCAAAATGGATCAGTAACGCACCAATAGCTTGTTTAGATGTGTCGTAAAACCTAAGATACAGTAAATAATGGACAATAATAAACAGACTAGTATATAATGTACTTAATACAAAGTCAAGATAAAGTGTAAATTTTCATACACTATTAACACTAACGACTGACATAGTCCTGTTTTATTTACCAGATTTGTAATGGTCTTCTTGATGCTTTTGGTTCTCTCAATCTTTTTACTAGCAAAAACAACCCTTAAAAACTTCAAAATATATTTACATTCATGAAAATTTTGTGCCTTAGTAATGGCCTTATACGTATATGTTTTATATATATCTTGTTAATTTACCACTTTCCATTGTCTAATATCTATTAGGAAATAAAACATTGAATGTTTATTTAGAGAAAAGACAAACACTTACGTATTAGAGTACTGAAGGCTACAATCGCCAATAATCCTTGAATAAAAAATCCGAATGTGTCTAAAAGATCACACTGAGCAGATGTTTCGTTTCTCGATGTGTGATTAGCAGTCATTGTTGTTGATATCTTGGAATCTATCGTACTTTAACAAAGTTATCCATCGTTATGGTAGGAAAATATCCTTAAAACTTGATTTCACATGCTTATGAAAACGAAATTAATGTCAAGAATTTATTTTTGAATTTCGACGATGTAAACGAGCAATGATCACGAAAGAAAATTTCCGTTACCCTCCCCTCCCTAGAGTCATGTAATTTGACACTAATGTTTGTATTCGTCTTTCCTTCCATGAAAAATGGCGATGCCATCTGGCTCCTTTGGTTTTTCTAGCAATTCCCCAGTGCCGTTGTCTTCTTCCCCATCAAAAGCCATACTAACAGAAGCATTTCATTCCCCTAAATTGTCCCGGAAATTCTTGGAGCAAATTTCACCCGTAGAAAAAAGTGGCCTGCCACTAAATACACCATGGACACTATGGCTTGACAGGTCTGCAATATTCGCGTTTTGAATTGGTTTTTTTTATTGCCTTGATAATAGTTTTAACTTTTTTTAGATATGTACGTGGAGCAACTGCGGCAGAATATGCAGCGAATTTGAGAAAAATTTACACAGTTAACACAATTCAGGTGCAAATTATCTGAATTACAGTTCATTTATTTGGATGGAACTAATCATTCTTTAATAAGGCGGATTTTATATACTCTGGGGGGAGGGGGGCTATCGATAATTTGCTAAACAATGCCCTTCACAATGAACAATGTTCACTCAAATAGTTCAAATTTTGTTTGTTTATTGATCTATAGAGTTTCTGGAGTGTGTTTAACAACATTCCAAGTGCTTCAAAACTTGGTTTTCGAACAAGCTATCACATGATGCGTGGTGAGAGACGTCCAGTTTGGGAAGATCCAGAGAACATTGCTGGTGGTTATTGGAAAATAAGATGTCCCAAAGACTACACTGTATGAGTTATATATATGACAGTCGTTGCATTGCGGGGAGCAAGTTCAGTTTGTGCTATTATTAAAAGAGAGTGAACTCACAAATATTTGCATGATCAAATGATTGGTTTTACAACTTTTTAAGGTTTCTCATCAGAGAGTTGTGCCTACAATCGATTATTTTATCATTATTTTAGGACAATGCTTGGAAAGAACTTTTATTGGCTGTAATTGGGGAACAAAGCCTAATTGATTCTCTGGCTGAAGGTAATTTAATTAGGGGTTTTGTCAATTAAGTTGTCGTCCTTAAAGATGTTGTCTATAGAGATGGTATCTGTACATACAGATTGTCTATAGAGATGTTTTCTATATGTACAGATTGTCTATAGAGATGTTTTCTATACATACAGATTGTCTATAGAGATGTTTTCTATAATGCACAGATTGTCTATAGAGATGTTTTCTATCATTACAGATTGTTTATAGAGATGTTTTCTATACGTACAGATTGTCTATAGAGATGTTTTCTATATGTACAGATTGTCTATAGAGATGTTTTCTATACATACAGATTGTCTATAGAGATGTTTTCTATACGTACAGATTGTTTATAGAGATGTTTTCTATATGTACAGATTGTCTATAGAGATGTTTTCTATACATACAGATTGTCTAAAGAGATGTTTTCTATAATGCACAGATTGTCTATAGAGATGTTTTCTATACATACAGATTGTCTATAGAGATGTTTTCTATACATACAGATTGTCTATAGAGATGTTTTCTATACTACAGATTGTTTATAGAGATGTTTTCTATACATACAGATTGTCTATAGAGATGTTTTCTATACATACAGATTGTCTATAGAGATGTTTTCTATACATACAGATTGTCTATAGAGATGTTTTCTATACATACAGATTGTCTATAGAGATGTTTTCTATATACAGATTGTTTATAGAGATGTTTTCTATACATACAGATTGTCTATAGAGATGTTTTCTATACATACAGATTGTCTATAGAGATGTTTTCTATACATACAGATTGTCTATAGAGATGTTTTCTATACATACAGATTGTCTATAGAGATGTTTTCTATACATACAGATTGTCTATAGAGATGTTTTCTATACATACAGATTGTCTATAGAGATGTTTTCTATACATACAGATTGTCTATAGAGATGTTTTCTATACATACAGATTGTCTATAGAGATGTTTTCTATACATACAGATTGTCTATAGAGATGTTTTCTATACGTACAGATTGTCTATAGAGATGTTTTCTATACATACAGATTGTTTATAGAGATGTTTTCTATATATACAGATTGTCTATAGAGATGTTTTCTATACGTACAGATTGTTTATAGAGATGTTTTCTATATATACAGATTGTCTATAGAGATGTTTTCTATATATACAGATTGTCTATAGAGCTGTCATCTATAGAGATGTTGTCTATAGAGATGTTGTTTATAGAGATGTTGTCTATAGAGATGTTGTCTATAGAGATGTTTTCTATAGAGATGTTGTCTATAGAGATGTTGTCTATAGATATGTTGTCTATAGAGATGTTTTCTATAGAGATGTTTTCTGTAGAGATGTTTTCTATAGAGATGTTTTCTATAGAGATGTTGTCTATAGAGATGTTTTCTATAGAGATGTTGTTCATATCAGTAATTTAAGAATGACTTTAGATAATGATATGTTACTAAGGATGTATTTGTGCACAGGTGATGAGATAGTCGGAGTGAGCATTAGTATTCGAGACAGAGATGACATCTTACAAATATGGAATGCGAGAGCTAACTTAGCCAATGAGTCAAAGGTGAGTTAAATTATAAATGATATTTTTGATCATCAGTTTTACTTTTATCAAACCTTTTATTTTTTAGATTTTAGAAAAGATATCCGATATTCTTCCACGTCTCAAGAAAGAGGATGCCTTTTATAAATGTGAGTGTCATTCGTTATGTATTTACAGTAGCATAATGAAATTTGTCATTTAACGAAGGACGAAATGCCTTTCTAGTTCATCGTGATCATTTAGCGTTCGAAGGGCAACGTCTCGTTACCAGACCTCCAGGTTTTCCTACAAGTGGCCCTCCAAAGTTAGAATGAATGAATCGTTTTCTCCCAAGAAGTATGATTGAAAAAAAACACAATGAATAATCGTTGAAATTTTTTGGAAGATATTCCATTTAAAGTACGAACAAAGTTATGTTGAGAATGTTACAAACTGCAAAAATCCAGTTGCTTTAAAAGAGCTCTGTACATGTTACGATAAATCATATTAAATGGTTTCAAATAGTTCAAATCTTGATTGCTTATTTGTATAACAAATACTCCTTCATCCGTGTCTCGTGAACTTAAATTTCCCAACGCTCAACGAATAGTAACGATTGTCTTTGAGACAACATTGTGTGCAGTTGTGCCTCAAGGATAGGAAGTTCATGCATTGTTATTGTAATTATCGTACAATCTCATAACTGCACCATTTTCGCGTAATGTTTGCCTCTATAGAATTGATCTGGGTATATTTGTCTAAGGAAAAACGGCTTTTTATCCACTCGTAATCTTGGTATCTACGTGTATCTTTGAAAGCAGATTTCAACTGAAGACTATGGTAAGGTCAGAATTGTTTATGAATAGTTTTTTTATCATTCATGACACATTAAGGTAATGTTACCAACCTGGACGATCGACATTTACAAACATGTAACATTACTCCCGGGTTCAAACCATTTACTTTAAGGTAATGTGTTGTTTTTGAAATTTTATTAAGTGACGTTTTGTCATCATTTTAAGACATCATCTACATCTACATGTGAATATGATAATTATTGACTACAAGGTTAAGAAAGAGTTAAATAAGGTTCGCCTTAAAGGACTACTATACTTAATGAGGTTCGCCAAGGTTACTAAGTAAGGCTGCAGACGTTACTGAAGTTGCTAAGGTTACTAAGTAAGGCTGCAGACGTTACTGAAGTTGCCAAGGTTACTAAGTAAGGCTGCAGACGTTACTGAAGTTGCCAAGGTTACTAAGTAAGGTTGCGGACGTTACCGAGGTTGCCAAGATTGCTAAGTAGGGCTGCTGACGTTACTGAGGATGCAAGATTGCTCAGTGTGTCAAAGTTTCCTGATGTTCATGACGTTAATATGGCGCTTATCACCAAGATAGTTTATCTATTCTTAACTCCATTGAAACCATATGAACCATTGATATTTACTGTAAATAGGTTGTCGATAGCACTTGCATCAAGTTTGATAAATTTCCATTCTTTAACTTCAATTAGCAAAAAAGTAAAGTCGGACATTTTCAACGTATTATTTTTTTATTTCGTTAGGATTTCATTTGTGCTGTGTGAATGTTGGTTATATGGAAAATATAGGTATGTTCTTGACGATTATGTTTTACCATTAGTCATGTCTATTCCATCTCTGATTAATCTACTTACATCTTTCCTGTGTGGGGTCGATATGATATATGTACGTTTAGGAAAAGCTGGCTTATAGATGTCTTTGTTATAACGACTGTGTACATGGCTGTATTTGTCGCTCTTTTTTGTGGATTTTAAAGGTGAATTTCGTTCATGAATAGGTTCCAATGTTGAAGGTTTTCTGTATATGTAAGTTTCTGCTATTGATATCATTTCTTTTTTGTCGTTGTCTCTGTTGTTCTTCATTTTCTCCGGGATCATAAACTTGAGCATTTCTTCTTCATTAAGTTGTGTTTCATTCAAATAACCTGTATTTTGTCTTACTTTTGGAATGTTTAATTTCCACGTTGAACCTTTTGAATTTCTGTTATTACGAGGACTGTAGTACTCTCGCTGAGTTTCACGAAATTGATAGTTTTCAATCCTTGGTCGAATATTGTCGGGCGATTTGATATTTTCAACCAAAGATTTATCTTCCGCTTTATTCTTTCCCATCATGCTTTCGTTTGACATCACGTCATCTTTTGATTTTTTGATATTCTTTCGTGGTCTCTCTGACCAAGATTTTCGTGTTGAAAAACTTTCTATTGTTGAATATGTCTCTTCTCGAGATACCTCTGCTTCTTTCAATGTCATCCCATGAAGTTTTGAGTGCAGTAAATGAAACTCGTCCAGGGAAAACTGAACACGTGTCCTGGTGACGTCATGATCTTGGTTTGATTCTATAATATCGCCTATATTTGTTACTTCATCATGATGGTCATCATAATTCAGTTCTACTTCATGTAACATCCCATTTTTGTCTTTACATTGATCACACTCTTCAATAGGACAGACAAGTTCCTCTACTTCTGACATCACGTGACTCATGTACGTGAAGAATGCATCATCTGTGTCAGCAGCCACACGGCCCTGCCACGCAAGGCGACCTTCATTAAGAGCAAAGATTTCTTAAAATCAATTGATGATATATTACAACTTTAATATTATGACAAACCTTTCATATCAAGAATACAAAATGTCGGCACTCCCACGAGATTAAAAGATGCTGGGATGCTAGCATTTTTCATCTTTTCAGTTGTATTGTTTGGGAGGTCTGGGGCGAGATGGCATGCACAGCAATGACGTATATTTCCAATGGATCTCAGTTTCTTTTCGTTAAGTAATTCAATGATTGATTGACGATGTGTAAGGATGTCTTCATCACTTTTTATACAACAGGCGAGATACTGATACTAAAACAAAAAATAAATCATGTGAATAAGGATCTTGGGGGTGAAATGTATACATTGTTTCATCTCGTACTTTTTCCTTTAGCCTAAGAGCATAGAAACAGAAGCGCTCCAAGATTTCTTGAGAAGAGAGACACCTAAATGTAAAAATAGCTTTCTCAGGCTTTGAGTCCAATGAAAGCATACTTAACAACTTCTGCAGAAGATGAAGAAATATCGAGATGTTGTTACCATTTGGTCCAAAAGAGAATGATTGTTGGTTTCTTGGCAACAAAATGACGTATAAGCTGTTGCCAGGTTGCGTCGTGAACACCCATAACGCGAAATGATTTGGGTTGAACGCGCGTCTTCAAGAGCCCACGATGCACTTTATTTTTACTGCTCATTTTTTTCTCATGAAACAGGAAATCCTCCAGCCGACATCCTCCTTTACTAGGCCAACTGTAATTAAAGAATGAGATCCTTTTAATGAAATCGTTGGTGATAGATTTTACTATTTAGTCAGACAACAAGCTTTTGGTAAACTGTAACAAAATTTTTAACGCACTTTGTGTATTTATCATGATTGGTGAAGTAACAAAAAAATCTGTTGGGACGAAATATCTTTGTATCAACAACTTGCACATTTGATTCATTGCTGTGTCCTACTGGATGCCATGAAAGTGTTGTTATGGATATCCGGTGACTCAATTTCTTGATATCAAGCTATATAGAAACGATACATCCCATGTTGATCCTTTATTTAAACGATATATCCCATGTTTATCCTATATGTACCACTTCCCTACGCTTAGTTATATTAACGATCACCTTAAGAGAAGTTTCTGTGGTATCTAATGACAGCAGATCCTGGAGACTATGATCATCAACATTCATACGAAAGCTGATTGGCTCAGAGAACTCATCAAACTCCGGTGTCTTCCACGATACAACGACGGGAACAAAACCTGTTAATTTATTGACGATCTTCACAAGTTCTTGAAGACGCGTTTCAATCCGATACAACTTTACATGCATGTCTTGCATCTGGTGAAGAAAAAATGCACAATATTTACGAAGAATACATGGAAACATCTTCACTCTTGTTTATTCGAGTTGTTTTTTCCAATGTCTTACTTCAACATTCTTGAGTTGAGCACCCATGATAACTTCCGATGTTTCTGTCAACATTTTATGTCGACTAATTCTGTTTGAAATGTGATTGGAATCGTTTAAACTGTTCATGTCAATTAGATGAAATACATGTTTACCATGTATTATACCTACCTGTCCTGAAGATCCAGCAACTTTGATATCTCTCTGTTGACTTCTTCTCTTTCGATGACTCCGTAGACATTCACACTGATCTCAGGTGCTACCGGTCTTATAGTTGCACGGACTTTTATTGGTGACGTAATAACGGCTGGACAACCTTCTGGTATTATCTCCGCCCGGAGAATGGCCCAGTAGTTTTTATTTGCCTGTACTTTAGCGAACGACACAGTATCATGTGGAGAGTGAACTTTTATTATGCTGTGTCTATGACCGAATATCTTGTCAGGATCTGGTTTATCATTATCATTATACATTTCATTTGTCGTGGTTTCCTTGTAGTACACCTGCAAAATTGTTTTTATTCTAGTACTAAGTTTGATTTGATAGGACTGCTTTCCTACTCTTGTAACTTTCTACTGAAAGAAGTCGACAATTTATTGTTTAGAGGTTCAAGGACATAGTTTATTGTGTTTGAATATGTTTTGTTTTTTGATTTTTGTGTTTTGACTTATTTTGAGTTATTAAAAAGATGGCTAAAACCTACTCTAAATTCTTTAATTCTCGCTCCACCAATGCATTTAGGCAGACTCCATCCAACTTTTACTGTGTTTATTGTTTCAGATCGTAGTCTTTCCAGTGTAATTGATAAAGATGCAGGAGAGGCAACCTCCAGTACATTGGACCATTCACTATCACATTTTTCTTTTGTTGATGATGCCTAGAATAGCAAAGAAACTTATCACAATATAGAGCTTGAGGAATGATTAACATCTTCAGTTGCGTTTCTTATCGTCACCTGAATTCTAAATGAGTATTCTTCCATGGGACTGCATTCGATAAAATCAAATGATATTTTAGTTGAGGAAATATTTGTGTAAAACTTTCCATTAACCTGAGAATGACAAAGTTGAGTTTAACTTTAGTTTTGTACATTTTTTAGGACTAGAGAACCACCGAACCTTGAGATGATATTCGCGAATAAATCCATCACCATACTCTGTTGGTCTTTCCCATTCAATTGTTATAATCTTAGGACTGTTCTTTCTAAAAAACCACAAGATAAACATGTTAGAATACGTTTCTTTGAAATCATTGTTTCATTTCTTTAGAATGTTTTTAATATTGAAACTTATTATCCATCTTGTATATCTTTCTAAATCCGAAGTCACTGCAAAATATCCTAAGATTCTTCTTGAAAGGTTATTTTACTTTAGTTTTAAAAATGGTCGATCTATAGGAGCCGATGTTTGAATAGTAAGCTGTTTTGATATATGAATAACTTTGCCATAGGCATCAACAGCAGACAGGACGAAAAAATTGTTTGTTCCTGGTGTGCAATTTTTCTGCAAATATTGGCGTTGGCTTGAAGGTAATTTCACGATGGTAAACTAACAGAAAAAATAAAATTATATTCAGGTTTGAAGGAAAAAGATTTTACGAGGGACTATTTTTGACTTACGTTTGGTTTGGTGACACTGCTATGTTCCAATACGAACTGATAGATTGGCATCCCCGCTGTTGAAAAAAAATAAATTAATTATAAAAATAATTTTAGGATAGAAATTCACTTTTCTCTCATTTTAGTTTACACTGTGCAGGACAGTAGGTCCATTCTACGAAAATGCTATCGTTTGATCTTGATTTCAGATTTAAATAAATTCCCATTCCCTGAACTTTTCTTGATGTCTCATGTGATGGATCCATTGATGTTAGTACTCTGTTTCTTTCAACCACCACAGAACCATGTCTGACGCATCTTGTTGCATCTAGTCTTCTTATGCTTTGTGCAGTTATTTTTTGTGTTGTGTTTCGACTGAAATTCTGCAATTATTAATGAGGTTTTACTGCTCCGTTTATTTAGGAAGCTCCATTATAAAGGAACTATGTTTTGGGTTTTTGGGTCATTTATCGAGATCTTACCGAATTCTTTGCTAAAATAGGCAATGTCTGCTTTTCATTTCGTGGTGAAATCAAACTTTGATCTGTCAATCCTTCTGGGTTCTTTAAAAAGGAAAAGATTATTGAAATTACGAAAATGTGTTTCATTATTGTGAGGAGATACTTATTTCCATATCATTTTATCGGGTAAAAATGTAAAGTTTAGTCAAACTTCTTTTTTTTCATTTCCATGGATCAACTTGACTTATTTTTTCTTCCTTTTTTATTTCGTTTTTCTTTCATTTCATTGTTTTGATCATTGCTTAGTTACAGAGCCATTCATTCTAATCTTTAGAAAAAGTTCATTTTGAACTCTCATTTTTTGTGTTAAATTGCAGCATTGTAATATTTGGCGAAATGAAACATTTCCATTAAAATTTAAAGAAATTTTACCAGTCTTACCATTGTTTTGTTCTTCAACTTTCTCTCGCCTCTAAAGAAACAGCATTGCTTCCCTTTAGAATTTAATTAAAAGCATGCAATGCAAAGATAATTTAAATTTCATTAAAAAATGTGTTATTATTGGACAGGTTAATTAAGCTGTTATTTTTACTATACAAACACGTTTCCATAAAGAAAATACACCTGTTTTTACTGTGTTGTACGTCACAGTTATGGCGTTCCTTTTGTAAAAGTGAGCGATTTTTTAAAGTTTGAAGGTTTCTTGAACACTTTTAAATTTTCTAGCCACATCAGACCATGTATGACACAAAGATTTTTTATGATTTCTTACGCCTTAAGTGTCTAGCGTTTGGTAATTATATCGTCATCTAACATTGAGGGAAATAGCTTATGACGAACATTATAATTTTGAACATAATATGGACAAATACACTAATATTTAAGTGCATTTTAATTGTTTCTCATTTTATTGTAAAGCAATATATGTAACCAAAACACAAGTGTCTTTTCATTCTACTAAATGTAGTTGATATTTAACTAATCATTTTCACACCCAAAAATTCGTAATGTATCCCATACGTAAAGTAATTAAAGTTTCATTCTTTTTAACAATCAAGGTCCAGCATTGTCTGCAGCTACTCTTGTAAACGTATTTAAATGTTTCTTTGAAGGTAAAATACACAGCAACTTATACTGAAAGTGTTCAAAAGATCATCACAGCTGCTCACAATTTCCCATTCATCTTTACTGCTGTCGTAAGCCTCGATACTTGTCAGAGACTCCTGTTGATTTCGTCCACCAAAAATGTAGATTCTATTTCCTATTGAGCAACCGCCTGGTGCAACACGATCCGCATGACAACGAGCAATTAGTGACCACTCATCAACCAAGCAATTATACACCTCGTTGGTGTTAATAGCAAGTTGATACGTTCCACTATCTTCGCTGCCACCAATCACAAATATACGATGAGCAATATTAGCTGCAGCAGCCAGTGAACGCCCAGTTTTCATCGGACTTATATCTTTCCACATATTAGTCAAAGGACTGTACCTTTCACAGCTTCTAAGATCTTCAATCGCACTTTTCCTTCCACCAATAGCATAAATGTGATTCATACAACTTACAACAGCTGGGCCACTTCGTTCTTCTCTTAATGATGCCACCATGTCCCATTGGTTTATTCTTGGATCATAACGCCAGACCGTTTTAAGTCGGTTTGTTGGAGTCCGTCCTCCCACAAGGTATAGAAAACCATGTAATGAAACCAAACCTGGCCAATAGCTTGAAGCTGGTAAAGCACCAGTAGATATCCATTTATTGGTTTGAGGATTGTAAAACTCAGTTTGAGCAAGCAGTCCATTGCCAGATCTACCAGATGTTACATATAGTTTACCATTACATAATGTTATAGGAGTATTTTTGTGTTCCCAATGCATTGATGGCATGTGAAACCAACTTTGATCACTGGGTATGAAACACAATGGTTCATTACTTCCTGACAGTAGAATAACAGCTTCAATCACACGTCTTGGCTTTCTGTTCTCTGCGACATGATCATCACAAAAACCTTTCAAATACATCACTTCTTTGAGATGACCAAGGGCGGCATTTAGAGACTTCTCATCCGATAACACCAAGCTTTCACGAAGAATTTTGTCAACTATGGTCGACTCTGGTATCTCACACAGTCTAATAAGGGGAAATAAATCAGAGATTGCTTTATTTTGGTTTGGATTATGATTTATCCATTGTATAATAGCATCAAACACATCTTCCTCAGTCTGAACAACAAGATCATCACTCTTTACGATCTTCATCAACTGACACAAGCTAAACTTCAAATGCTTTCCGCTATCTTTTATCTCAGTAAATTTCGTCTGTATAAAGTCGTAAACTAGTTTACTCAGTTCCACAAAATCGTAACGTTCAGAAAAAGTTAACGTTTCCAAAAAGTTTTTCGTGGTTAAAAATGACTTCATGTGCAATATAGCCGCCTCTTGAAGCTTCGCTAAACTCAAATAATCTGCCGCAATCAAAACATTTTGGCTGTGATTTAAATCACCAAGATTTATTTTACCAGTATAGACATAATCCAAGACGCCGTTCATAACTCCCGGGCAGATAGCAGGCAGCTCAACTTCATACGCTTTTTTCTCGCGCAAATTGTGTTCAAACACCGCTGCAAAATAACCACCAGCTGAACAAAGGACAGCTTTGTGAGCAGGGAATTTTTCATTTCTCACAACTAAGACAACATCACAATACTTGACTTTCTTGCGAAGTTCATTCAAAAAGCTAACAACGTGATAAGAATGATCGCAATGCCATTCCTCATGTGATGCACATACATGAGTACAACAATTCTCTTTTTCTGCCATTGTTTCGTCTTTTTATGGTGAAAAATAAATGATAACAATGGCTTTGATTGAAAACAAACAAATTCAAATCAAACAAACTACGAAAGTACGAAGAGCAGTTTCTCTCCTCAGTCTCCTTGTCCGCGTCAAATTATCAGTGGTCCCATGGTAGCATGGTTCTGGTGTTCTGGCAAAGTTCTGGTAAATATTTTTTTTTGTGGTTGTACATTTGACAGTTCTTGCAGTTAACACCTCCATTTCCTACCTTTCAATAACCCAGCGCGAACAAGTGTTTTTAATAAACAACTTCCAAGAATGCATTCAGAATGTTACTCTATGGTAAAGTCAGATTTAGTTTTAAACCTCTAGCACACCATAGTGCTAAGATGTTTGTTTGTTTTTACTTGCCAAAATGATTGAGTCGGAGAGAGTTCATCTATGCAATGATTTCTATTGATGAAAAACTTTGTCCATTGGCTACGAGGTAGACCGAGAAAGGGATGGATGGATGCTGTGAACAGTGATATGAAGGCGATGGGTATAACGAGAGATATGGCGAGAGATAGAGACGTTTGGCGTGGAAAAATTCATGGACCGGACAACCCCCCTAGCGGGAATTAATACTGGCCGGTATACAAATGTTGTTTGTTTGTTTGTTTTGATTGGCTACAAAAGGTGTTTGAGGTTTGTTTTTATCATTTGATTGTGAAATAGTTAAAATTTTTGATTGGACTGCCCTATGTGACATTATAAATGCCCCCTTTTGTTTTATGATTTAGTACCGGAATTGTATGCCACATTTCATTAATATCAATCTGCCTGCATGTGTATTTCTACCCATATTTCCCATACCTTTTAAACACTATATGCTCAAAATACTGCACATTTAAGCTGAAGTTTTTAATTCAAAAGAAAAATCATATTATTAACAAATCTAGTGTTTTATCTATAAATTGATTGAATTATGATGTTCTTCTATTGTTCAGCTTCCGTATAGAGAGTCATCAACAGCTGTTTCCTCACCAAACACTTCAAAAAGATTGAACAACACACATCTCTTTGGCAAACGAGGTAAAACAAATGATATTTTGGTGTAAAATTTTGAAACAGCTGTACATCATGCATCATAATGTAAACTTTCCTATAAGTGTCTGATAATCCTTGTTATTTGATAGCACTCTTCTGGCGGTAGATACATACATAATTTACCGTTCAAGTGATCAGACAATATTCAATATTTCACCAAACATAAAATAGTTAAGATATTAAAATTAAATTCATGATATTCAACCAGAGTATTTTTCATTATAGTGTTGTAAAACATATCCTTTTCAAGACATGTTTCGCCTTTCATTTTGAGAAACTTTTAAATCATATTTTCGTGATTACTGAATAGTAAGGTCCTATAATAATTTTTTTAAAACAGAAACACATCCATCATTGTTCCTCATTGTACAATCTTCTATGAAAATGATGAAGAACTGTGATTGGTTGACATCTAGTCACGTGAGTAATCAAACATCTACAATGAAAAAGTTTTATTATTTATAAAACTTTATATAAAGTAAATGGTTTAAACCCGGGAGTATCGTTACATGTTTGTAAATGTAGATTGTCCAGGTTGGTTTAGTCCTGAGAAGGACTGTTTTTGCTGTTGTTGACTAACAACAGCAAAAAGTCAACAACAACAAAAACAGTCCTTATCAGGACTATACCAACCTGGACGATCTACATTTACAAACATGTAAAACATTATATAATTAAGACATAAGATCTTTCTACACATAGACAGTTACCTTATAAGATTCTTTTTTTCTCCTTTCTTCAGTGTATTGATCGCCTATGGATGATCCTCCATATTGACTGATACTGGTAATATCTGATGAACTTGGTGAAAGGGGGGGACCTTCAAGATGAAAGCTGGGGGGAGCTTCAAGATGAAAGGTGTGTAAACTTCCATGTTCACTTGAGGAGTCACCATAAATGTCACCTTTGAATGCCTCACCACGAATACTTGTCAATTTCCAGTTTTCTACTTCCACTTCCTCTCCCGAAGACTCTGCTCTAGCATGACGACTTCGACTTCCGGCTCTTAACGTTTCTTCTTCAAAGTATCTTTCTTGCAATGACTGTGTTTCGTTAGCCTGTAATCTAGCAACAGCTGCTGGAGGATAGTCATGGAGATGTACTGTATATTCTGCAGCTGTTGAAGTATCAGTCTCCGCAGTCGATAACATACCATTGTAATCATCACCAGCAGCAAGTCTTACAACAATTCCACCTCTTCTCGCGTCACTACTTTCACGTATATTCATTGATCTTTCCGCGCCATGACTACGGTAACCATGACCACGGTAACCATGACCACGGTAACTAATACCTTGGTAATCAAGCTCTGCCTCATCGCGATAACGACGTTCACTGGACATTCTTCCGTTCACTTCATCCAATGTTTCTACTCTCCAAGTTCCATCGTGTGTCTTTTGACTTGTCTCAAGGTCCGCAACTGGATGTCGATGGGCACCTGGGGTGATTGAGACATCATAACGATCCTCGTACCTCTCACCACCTTCTCTTCCTCTTTCGGAAGACTGGAATTTTTCTCTTTCATACTGTGATGACGTCATTATTTTACTGTCGGATCTACCACTTGATTCCTCGTGTGCTATTTCCGTTCTCTGGCTACCATCAACAATATCACGTGATTTTGACGTAATCACGTTTCTCCTGCTATCGGTGCTCTGGTCTCTAAAAGCACTTGAACCAGCTATCCGAGTTTCATCTTCATGCCTTTGCATACCCTCGTTATATCTAGCTCCATAAGCATCGTGTTTAAAGGTTCCTCCGCGTTCCCCTTCATCAATATTTAATGAGATAGACTGCGATGATCCTGTTTGACGCGCGGTATCCGTCTGTGTCCCCTCTGTGGCATAACGCACATTAGATTTTGGTGGAGCATCAGTTTCATCTGTCGTCAATACAGTTCTCATATCGTCCTTGGATTTCTTTTTACGTTGTCTAAACACACATTAAAAGTGACGGTTTCATTTATGTATATTTTCATGGCTGGGTACTAGGCTTCGCGCAATTTCGCTATAGGATTATACGTACTTGCCACATGGACAGCAGGCGCAGCATGGACAGTAACGACAACATAGATATAATAATCCAAGCAACAGTAACAACAAAAGTAAACCAAGGACAACCCAAAGTAGGATCCCTAAAAAATCATTCAAATGTTTCACTTTCATATTGTACACGACCGTCAACACTTTCATTTTTAATGGTTGTGTAGCTACTTACAATAATCGTCGTCGTCATCGTCTGATCTAGCAATGATTGGAGGAGCATCTAGAGGTGTATCTAAAGGTGGAGGGCGGAGATTCATTGGCAGTTCACATTATCTTTGAACTTGTTGTGTTTTTATTGTTTACCTCGACAACCAGTGACTGACACTCTCATACAAATATGGTTGTTCCACTCGAGAGGATAAAATCTTATATATCGAAAGCTACTTCTTCTCTCCAAGGTGTGTCTTCTTACGATCATCGCATTGACGTTGCCTTCAAAAATCTTAAATCAAAATACACATAATTGTCATTACTTTACTCTTACTTCTTCATTGCAAATATCGTTCTTCTCAACTCACCCTGACGGAGCCATTTATTGTGTAATCTTGCCACAGAGAGTTATCTGAACGACGAAAATCTATAAAAAATCGTGTAACCCACGAAGAATTCGTGCCATTTTCGAGTCCTTGTGTTGCTATTTCAGTAACTCGAGTTTCACCACCTGGATGAAATGATTATCATCATTTAAAACAACCATCTTTACCACCATTTATGTTACAACTTATTCAATTATTTCCATACCAAAGTCGATCTCCAAATATTGATTTTGATCACTTATGTTTGAACACCATGCACCTAAACCGTTCAACCTTGCTTTGAAAGGTTCAAAGCCAGGTTTAAATGTCGACGCTTGAAATGCACTGTTATTTATCGCACGATTATCATCGACAATACCCAACTCTCCACATACTGTGAGGAAGTAGAAACAAAAAAGTTTATTATTTTCAATAAGAAGTTAGTACTTCAACTGAATTTCATGTTTCCGCTGATTCAGATTTTTAAAAATCGACATACCGACAGGACACTGCTGTGTTAAACATTCCTGTGTTTCGTTCCTATTTCCTTTACATCCTTCAAGTGGCTTTTCACAATTTCTTCTACGTGTTCGTCCACAATTTGTACTCGTTGAAGACGTTGAAAAACATGCACTCCATTGAGTCCATGATGTGAACCCGTTGTCTAAACAATTATTACAAACGTTAGTTAGAAATGGTAAACGGAGCATATAGGGAAGATAGGGTACACATAGTATGTGAAATAGTGCAAAGGTATTGCAAATAGGATAAATATAAAACATAGCAGATGGGGTATAAAAGGTAAAGGTGAGGTAAATTTGGCATGTCGAAAGGTGAAAAGATTCTGTGAAACATTAATAATCTTTCTTCTTTAACTTACTGACATCCATATATATCTACTCTTGTACATAGATTACCCATATAAAACATTAATAATCTTTCTTTTTTACCTGACTGACATCCATTTATATCTACTCTTGTACATAGATTACCCATATAAAACATTAATAATCTTTCTTCTTTACCTGACTGACATCCATATATATCTACTCTTGTACATAGATTACCCATATAAAACATTAATAATCTTTCTTTTTTACCTGACTGACATCCATATATATCTATTCTTGTACATAGATTACCCACGGATTCTTGTGGTCGGAAACGCACATATTGTGCTAGAAAAGGACGAGAAATGTTGCTTTCCGCAATGTCAGAACCCGTTGATTTGCCTGGAAATGGACCAAAAAATTCTCGTGCCGAACACTAAAACAACAGGAACAAACTAAGAGTTAAAAAGAAAATTCTACAAAATTTGTTTTTTCCAAATGATAATATTGCTTACTTGAGGTCGAAGTCCATTTCTTATGTTTTTAAACACTTGGCCATCAATACTATAATCAACTTCATAAGCTGTGACATAATTCTCTGTTCTTTCTTGACCCTGAACTGCTAATTTCGTCACATTTGTCACGCTGCCTGAACATTTAGAATTATATGAAATAAAGTGAATTAGTTGACCGAAACGTTGTTGCCGCCATAAGCAAAACTTACCGGCAAAATTATGCCATTATTTTGAAAGATCATATGAGATAACAAAGGTTATTTAGTGGCTTATTGTCATACCTAAATTGACTGTGAGCGAGTGATTATTGACTGGCAAACACCAAGCTTGTCCGAAAATAACTGGGATGACCGTGAGATTGTAACTGGAATCAAATATGGATAATGATGGTGTGATGAGGTTATTTCGAAATATCCATCCGCATTGAGTTGCTCCTTGTCAAATAAAGGCATAATTAGTATGATAATGACGACTGCATGATTTATTATGTTCAAATTCTTTTTTTTCCGTTTTCACTTGTAAAGATTAGAAAGGTCTTTATCTCTTGTAAATCGTTAATGGTATTGTCTCCGATTTAAGTGTTATTATTATCGACTTGAGATGGAGTGAAAAATTTTTTTCGTGATCGAATTTAGCTCATCCATATTCTTTTATCAAAAGGAACTACCATCTACCGTTTTTTATGTTCATGCTATGTTTAACATATGGAAGCTGCATATTTTTCATTTGAAAATTATTTTTTGTATGATAAAAACATCAGTAAATCAACGAAGATACCGGATCACACAATTTAAGTTTGATTAATGCCTACCGCGCCCAGAGCTACCTCTATCTACTTCATTAATCTGATTTTATTGTACTTTCCACAAATATCTTTAATAAAGTAAATGGTTATAATGCATTCTTAATCTCGTGTTTATAAACCCTAATTACAACGAACTAAGTTTTAATAGAAAGAAGTGTGTACTCCATTGTGACTTAGCAAGTTTGAGAGAAAGTTTCTATACACGACTTCGCCTCATGTAAAATGAAAAAAACTTTTCATGAAAAAAGTAGAAGCTGAAAATATTCAATTGCTACTCTTACCTCGAATCGAATCTGTTAATATTGACATAAACACTAGTAGAATGACGGAACATTTGAATCTTAACCCAGTTGACATTTTAACTTTCATTTTTCATAGTACTTTCTGTGTTAAGTATTTGTAGATTATAGTAAAGCTTTCGTCAGAACGAAGCTTTGAACATAATGACTTTTATTTACCGTGTGTAACTTTGGTTGTGAATTAGCTAGGAAATGTCAGACAAAAGATATGAGATTGATCGTATTAGAACAATGCTTTTATATAGCTAATGTTCCTTTTGCATAGAATAAGTTTCGGATTTTAAATGCAAATTTTGCTCAAGGTCTTAATATCGACAATATTTTGGGAAAATGATGTGCGAATTTTTTCATACTACACGAAACACGTTCACGACTAAAATACTACCATTGCTATAATGAAGTGTTTCAATAAATGTAAATACCACTTAAGAAAATTTCTTGTAAAACGATGAAAGACAGGTCTTTCAAGTGTCCCTCTGACGACACTAAATTTTTAGGTGACTGTTGATGACTGTAGATGACAGTGGAGGACTGTAGATGACAGTGGAGGACTGTAGATGACAGTGGAGGACTGTAGATGACAGTGGAGGACTGTAGATAAATGTAGATAACAGTAGTTGAGCGTAGATGATTGTTGATGACTGTATATGACTGTAGATGCCTGTACATGCCTGTAGATGCCTGTAGATCCAAATTGGTTAGGGTGTACTGTCATCTGATTTTGACCTTCTGTGGCCGGTTGCCCAAAGCCTGGATAGCGTTATCCACTGAATAGCAAATTTTTCTGAACGTTCATAAAATCTCTTATGGGAGATGAATATAAGATTTGAACTGTGCAATTACTGAAATAAAACACTGTTTCGAAGCTAACAAAATTTCTTTGTCATAAAAAATACATAAACACCATTTTTACAAGTTTGAAAAATTTCACTATCCGATGGAGGCGCTGTCCAGGCTTCTTGCAACCGGCCCCTGACCAGTGACTCTGACCCACGCTGACCTCTGACCAGAGTCTGACCCATCTGACCTGTCTATGCAACTGTACAGCGGATACTTGCTTTAATGCATTTTGTCTGCCAGAAATGGACTCAAAAAAACATTGAGAAAGTCGAAAGTTTGACAGCAAATTGGTGAAAGAAGCTCCAAGCAGAATGCTCTCGTCAAAGGACATAACTACACCGAAAGGTTCTATAATATCGTTAGTAAATAAGCTATGTGAAAAGATATTTTACGAGAAGAACTGTACAAACGAGAATGATGCAGTGAAAGTTCGTTTCAATGGGAAAATATGTCAGCATTTACGAAATATCGTTTTTGATCGTTTGATTTTCAACAAACAAAGAGAGGAGGAAAGAAATTTTACTGTAAAACAAAGAATATGCGTGGAAGGCTTTAAATTAAGAGTTCGTGGACTCGTTGATAAGGCTGAAAATTTGGAAAGGCTTCTTTCAGTTCTTGGTATATTGTATTTTTATGATAGTAAATCTTTAAACATGTTGTCGTTGCTTTGAGATTACAAATCTTAGTAGCAAACATTTTTATTCTTTCAGAATCGACCAGCATTTATTGCTCTGTTTTTTGTGGAGAGTTGAAATCAGTTAACGAGATTGAAGCCATTATCAATGTCTTACTTCTTCTATCAAATCAGACGCAAATATTTACTCAAAAACTTGCGAAGTTTGGAAAAAAGAACACCATTATCTGGTGTGATTGCAGTTTCTCTTTCTTGTATTTATCTGCTCTTGTTGACTTGACCTCTCTTGTTATCTTTGATGTGTAGGTTCCTGTGAGTTCCATCACAGAAGGTTTGCCTGTAAATGAAGTTATCAACTATGAATTTTATCCAAATGAAATCTTTGAAACTTCACCAACATTTGGCATTTCATATGCTCAAAGATGTCAGTATGTTGAGGAATTAATACCAAGCAATGTAGGTTTTCTGAGATAAAATCTATTTCATAAGTAGTAGAATTGTGAATTGTAAAATATTTCATTTTGATTTTTAGGTGTTCATTCAAAAGCCTGGAGCTCGTACTAAATGGTTCAACTCAGACATGGTGGGTCCATGACATTTTTTAATTAACTAAATTGCATTCGTCAGTATTTAATATAGCTTTATTTTAATTGGTGTAAATTTCTAGAGCAAGGACCCATTTTTGAAAAGCACTCAAGATTCTCTGTATAATGCTCTAGTTTATAGTGAAACATCGAATATTCATATAAAATTAGAAGTTCCAGAACTTTCATCTTGTCCTCATGAATCAAGGTAGTTTGTTATTCATTGTTTCTGCTAGGTATCAAATGAAAATTTAGTTTAACAAGTTGGTTTTCCATGTTTCAGATGGATACCTAAGCTTATGTCTATGGCAAAAGAGGTAGTTAATTAAATGAAATGCTATGTGTTGATTTTCTGGATACGCAACTCTCAAATCTTGAATGTAGGTGACTGAAGATGAAGGTTTTGAAGATGCTGACTCGTCACAATCATCAGCCATTACAACCGACTCAGGTGTGAATAGTCTGGACATTTGGGACGAAGCTCTTTCTTATCAACCATCAAATTTTCATACTTGGGAATCTAAGGGACAAAGGTAGCAGTAATCATTCTTATCCTATGATGTACCACATGTAAACTGTACTTTGATCAGAGAATTTGCTCATAATTTGCAGTGAAACAGAGGGATGCAAACCATACCTTAGTGAATCAGGAGTAAATATCATGGATCAATTGTATGACATGAGAATGAATGAAGTGTGCTTTCTCATTAATGCTTCATGTCCAGTCTTCAAATATTTTGATATGAAAGTTTTTGTCAGAGATTGTCTTATGGTTCTGATAGGTGTTTCATCTAATGTCTTTATAATAAACAAGGTAAGCATATCTAGTAAAGTTGTGTATTTAGTCTTTATATAGTAACTCAATATTTGTTATATACATCCCCTACACAAGCTTGGCTTTATTCTACAAGATATTTAGCAATTTTGTAAACTAAAAGATTGGTAGTATATAAAGTAAATGGTTTGAACCAGGGAGTATCGTTACATGTTTGTAAATGTAGATCGTCCAGGTTGGTATAGTCATGAGAAGGACTGTTTTTGTTGTTGTTGACTGACATTTCGACAACCTTAGCGGTACTCATCTTCAGAGTCCTTCTCAGGACTATAACAACCTGGACGATCGACATTTACAAACATGTAAAGATTGGTAGTATATCTTAAAATATTTCTACATATTTTACCAAACATCTTTCTTCTCCTTCTAAAACCCTAACTAGAAGACAGCCTCTTTTCATGTTGCCACCAACATCCGTCTAAAAGGTGTCTCACCAGAGTCGTTAAACCAAATGTTAAACAAACTGGCGGAGACTGGAACGAATTATTATCGGCTTAATAAATTTACTCACTGTGAACAGACATATGAAGTCAAGAGTTGTGTTTTGAAAGCATTTTTATGTGGTTTGGAAACCTGTTTACAACAATACAGACAGTTGGTTGTTCAAAAGAAAGGTTTGTTCTTTTGGGAAATTTTTAACCACGTAGTTGCGTGCTGACGTTGTTTTCTGTTTTAGTTTCATCTATACCAAGTATTGCAAATGTCGTGGAGCTATTTCGAGATCAAGGGCTCAAGTTGAAGTAAGTCACGTACATCTTTTAATTGAATATTTTTTTTCTTGAAAATATGTATAGTTTTATATCTCACTCGCTCCCAGGTTCCTAGCGGATGTCTGCATGTGTACGCAAGGTTTCAATAGAGCAATTGGACAACCAAAGCCTAGATTTCCACTGGTAAGAATCACATTGTTTACCAAAGCTATCATTTACATCTCCTTAAGTGTAAAAATTAAACACTGGATATTTTAGGGGTCAAAGTTGTTGACTTATTTGTACAATCTTTGTCTTCAAAACATGAACTCAAGTGTGTCTTCGATGTTGCTTTATCTATTTAAAGTCAGTTGCACTCCGTACTTCAGGTAACAGTCATCGTCTTTTAAAATAATTTTCAAATTTTCATACCTAACTTGGTTTGTTACGTACTCTACGTAGATATCTCCAACAGTGGATTTATAAGGGAAAATGTATTGATTTTTACAAAGAGTTCACCATATATGAAAATGATATCTATTTATGTCGTAGAGGTAAGTCGTTCTTTTTCCTTCTCTTGTGTATTAAGGAGGCTTCCTACAGTTACTAAGCATGAGAGGGGACTGGTGACGCTTCGCATGCGCATATTGTGCTCATGTCGAGTGGGTTTTTTACATAAACGCCTGGCTTCGATGACTTTAATGAAGATTTTTTCGTTTTTCCCGCGCTAAATTTTTTTAAAAGCTCGTGTGGATGTTCATTTCAACAAAAATTATAACATACGCAAAATAGAAAAAAATCTACAAACAAGTTTTCATGTAGCCGAAATTCTCAGATATCACAAAAAATGTTTATAGAATTCCTTCAATGTTAAATATAATACAATCGTGATGCAAAAAGTAAGAAAAATTCACCGAACTGAAAAAAAGATCAAGCGATCAATTGTTTTAAAACTAGACAGTAAAAGTGTTGAAGAAAATAAGACATGGCTGCCATAACAAAGCAAACAGCCTATTCAAGCATCTGTAGACTTTACTGACGTTCTTGAGTTGAAGATTCCCGCATCGTTCATAATTCTAAAGCTTGAGTGTGTTTTATCGAAATAATGCTGTTAGTGAGGGCCACCTGAAACACCCGACTTTCAGGTGGGGACCTCCTTAATAAACATCTCGTGTTTCTCATTATATCGCTGAAGATAAACGATACTGGAGTGATGGCTACGTCATGTCTAAGCAAGATATTCCACTGTTTCTACAAGACCTATGGAAAGATATTTTTGTTTGTGGTAAATCTATCAATTTATTGAAGCTATGCTGTCCTCAGGTACAACGTGAGATAATCGTGGTTATTCATGTGCTTTATCTCCGTTAATCCTTTGCGATTCATTTCAGCATTATATATGCAGTAACAACGTGGAGATTCCTAATTTGACCATAACATACTCGCTGGATTCAATTATAAAGATATCGGAAAATAATGATCGATATCTTGAGGAAATGGAGTTAACTCGAGAGGGAATTGACAAGGAAAGAGAAAAAAATGTACGAGAATAAAATTTATTCTTCATCATATTTCTATGTCACTTTGTCCGATGAATTTATCATATTTAAAAAGATAGAATAACGTGATTGTAACACGTTTACCCTGACAACCGAAGCTGATTTAAATGGCTGTATGCATTTAAAAATGTTTTCCTGTAACTATAAATTTTATTTAGAAATCTTTTAAGGAAGATATGAAACGAAATGAAGTCTTAAACATGAAGAACAAAGTGCGGAGTGAATTAAACGTAGTTCAAGGTAAAGTCGTGATTTTTTTCATTTTCTTTATGGATTATGAAATGGTGGAAAGTTTTTAACTACTTTGGTGCTTGTCGTATTGATGACGACCGCGTGTTTTGTTTGAAGATCTGGTAACTAGAGCGAAGGAAGCTCTTGCAGAGAAAAAGAGAAAAGATTTGGGTTTTCTTAAACAACAAATGGAAGACGCGATTAATGTAAGTTACATAAAATTGGAGAAAGATATCTGTGAAATTAGCCAATATAATCTCATGTATTGAAATATTTCTCCAGTAAATTTTCATGTACCCATTTGCATCCTTATAAGCTCACATGTACTCACATGCACTCACATGTACTCACATGCACTCACATGTACTCACATGTACTCACGTGCACTCACATGTACTCACATGCACTCACATGTACTCACATGCACTCACATGTACTCACATGCACTCACATGTACTCACATGTACTCACATGCACTCACATGTACTCACATGTACTCACATGCACTCACATGTACTCACATGTACTCACATGCACTCACATGTACTCACATGTACTCACATGCACTCACATGTACTCACATGTACTCACATGTACTCACATGCACTCACATGTACTCACATGCACTCACATGTACTCACATGTACTCACATGCACTCACATGTACTCACATGCACTCACATGCACTCACATGTACTCACATACTCACATGCACTCACATGTACTCACATGTACTCACGTGCACTCACATGTACTCACATGCACTCACATGTACTCACATGCACTCACATGTACTCACATGCACTCACATGTACTCACATGCACTCACATGTACTCACATGCACTCACATGTACTCACATGTACTCACATGCACTCACATGTACTCACATGTCACATGTACTCACATGTACTCACATGCACTCACATGTACTCACATGCACTCACATGTACTCACATGCACTCACATGTACTCACATGCACTCACATGCACTCACATGCACTATAGAGGAAGTTGTTAGAACGGAGTCGAGAAGAAAAAGAAGACAGGCGTTTTTTAAGAGAATCTTTAAGATATGACGTCACAACTGCAAAAATTGATGATGAACAGTCTGAACAAGCGAGGTAGCAAAATTCTTAAACTATCAAGACTCGATAGATCAATTGTGATAGAAGACTTCGACGTTGTTTTATTCATCTTTATTTCTACCATAGACTAGATCTGATTCGTTATTATGAAGAATTGACAAGAGAAGCTGATCTCCGTGAGAAACGTGCCAACTGGATAGCCAACCGTCATTCTCTGAAGAATCTTCGAGATGATTTCTTGAAGTTAGAATACGAAAAAGAGAATAATATGAAGAATGAAATTGATGAAGAACAAATGCGTCCTGAAAAATTTGATGTCGATAAGGATTCAACTATCCAAAATGATATAAATATAACAACTAAATCTTTAAGTCAAGAGAAAAACCTTTTTACAAAAGGATCACAAGCCATGCAGTCAACTGTTCAAGATTTAATGTATCCTCCTAGCACGATAAACGATAATGATGCTCTGCCATCAACTGATATCCCTATGCATACATCCTTATCCAAAGCTACTGACTCTACTGTTCAAGATTTAATGTATCCTAGCAGTGCGAAGAATGATTTTGGTTTACCATCAACTGATGTCCCTATTCATACATCCTTATCCAAAGCTACTGACTCTACTGTTCAAGATTTAATGTATCCCAGCAGTGCGAAGAATGATTTTGGTTTACCATCAACTGATATCCCTATGCATACATCTTTATCCAAAGCTACTGACTCTACTGTTCAAGATGTAATCTATTCCAATGATAATATATCAAATCGTTCATATGTCGCAAGCACTTTATCACAAACTTCATCGTCTCATCAAATATTTACAACTGCGGTCAATCACGCTGCTAATAATGATTACGTGTTGACGTCAACTTCTAAGGACTCTGGTCTTGAAACATCGAGACGTTCTATGGATTCAACAGCACAAAACCTCCTTTATCCATCACGAGACGATCACGTGTCACCGTATCGTAGTACACGTGGTTCTGGCGCGGCTTTTCAATCGACTATCCAAGATATAATGTATACTGACAGTTCCGAAACGAAGTCATCAACTCCAGAAATATCAAACGAAGAGAAAGATATGTTTTACAAAGCACGTGATGCCCTCGTGTCGTCTTCAAAAATATCACATCGTGTGGAAGAAGAGAGCGCAATGAAAGGTATTCTTTATCCACGTGAACTTAGTGATGAACGTCAACAAACAGTAAGAGGTACCAGAGGTAAAGCTCCTTCAAGTACCATTGAAAATATCATTTATGGTGAAGCATCATCACATGTAACATCAAGTATGTACAATATGATATTGAATTTTGAAGCTTTTTTATAACAAACAATGATCTAGCTGTCTGGTGAAACAAAACCTATTTTTCTTTTTATTTAGAGCATATTGAAGAAGAAGAAAAACCTATAAAAATAGAGGATATTTGGTTTACTTCGCAGGTGGAGTATCTTCAGGATGACTTCAATATTTTAGGCAAGTTAAGTTTTTTTTTGTACAAAGATGTTCAGAGTATTGGAGATGAATTTTTGTTTCATTTCAGACGAGAAACCATACGGAGATTTTATATCTAGAGTTCTTTCAAAACACACCAATATTTCACAAAGTAATGAAGAAAATGAAGACGTAAATGATGCTTATGAAATCCTGTGTTTACCTACAATAATAAAACAATGTATTTCACGATCTCTTACAACTCAGTTAGTATAATCGTGTTTATCTTTTATCGTGAGAGAAACTCATTTCTTTAACGTTGTGCTTTGTGTTGTTTTTTTTAGAATTAACTTGGTCAATTTAACTGTGGTTCGTTATTTCATGGACGATTTAAAGATCATTAAACATTTTGAAACGCTCAAGAAATTTCTTCTCATGGAAGATGGCGAGTTTTCATTCTCACTTACACAGCAACTGTTTGAGAAGGTTTGAACATAAGGATCTTTTTGTCTAACATCAACTTCCTATCCTTTTGTTGTGATCAACTGATTATTTTACATTATTTTTTGTAGATTTCTTCAGGTGAAACTCCCCAACAACTATGTAACATCTCTGTATTAAATGGCATTATGACACACTCGATCCAGTCCTCAGTTTACGCCTCACATTCGGAAAACTCACAAAGTCTGTCATTCGTACTAAACTCCGTCCCTCATGTGTTTAAAAGATACGGTAAAGACTCTCGTTTATATATATGTTTGCCTTTACGTTTTTCTTGTTTCGTGACAAATTTAGTTAAATTTTAACGTTTAATATCTTAGATGTAAAGGTTTTTGACTTTATTGAATTAAGCTATAAGGTAAGACGTGTTAAAGTATGATAATGATAAGTTTTAACATCATAGGGTGTGACATCATAGGGTATGACATCATTGGGTACGACATCATAAGGTGTGACATCATAGGGTATTACATTATTGTGTCTGACATCATAGGGTGTGGCATCATTGGGTATGACATCTTAGGGTGTGGCGTCATAGGTTATGACATCATTGGGTCTGACATCGTAGGGTATAACATCATAGGGTTTTACATCATGGTGTATGACATCATAGGGTATGATACCATAAGTTCTGAAATTGCAAAGTACATCACCTGCTAAATGTTAGCGTCTTTTGTTCAATACTATGCATGATACCATAAATTAACACTGACGTCAGAACTATTGTACAATGATGATGTCATTGCTATACTGGAACAGTGACTTTCTGAAATACTTTTAGATCCACTGGCCTGTCAATATAATTATTACCGAAAGCTGCATGACAAAGTATAACAGGGTAAGCCAGCTTTCGATTTGGATTTTTTCAAGTTTTTTATCTTTGAGTACCATCGCCAAATACTTGATATTTGTTGGATGGTTAAAGGATAAGGTTCAATGTATAATTTTCATAATTTTAATGAAGTGATGTTTCTTTAGATATTTGCCTTCTTCGTGGAGTTAAAAAGAACAGCTTGGGTGTTAAATGACGTACGACGTTTTCTAAAACGTGCAGGTAGGTACTTCATATTAATATTAATGAAGCTCGTTGGTATGATGTCTTCACAATTCTTTTTTATTTTACTTAGATAAAATTGCGTATCACAGTTCTCAGCTGCACAAGGTCCATCGCTTTCGGTAAAAATTGCAATCGTATAATAATTACGTCATCTCTTGTTTCTATAGTTACTTTCATTGTTTACTAGACACGAGATGAATCATTTTGTAAATGACATCCAGGGATATGTGTCAAATCAAATACTTCATGTTAGCTGGCAAGAATTCATGTATTCTTTACACAACAACGTATGTTCTGTGTGTGTTCGTGTTCTTTCAGCTATGTAAACATATCATCATTTGTAAATTTATCTTTGGAAGGTTTACAATGTTGACGATCTTCATGATTCTCATGCTCGTTATCTCAATAAATCCTTATTTCGTGCTCTTCTCAACAAGAAGGCTGCTCCAGTAATGAAAATTATAACTGATCTCTTTCAAAAAGTATTGAACTTTTATACATTGCTTGTATCGTCATCGTGGATCATCGATTCTACGTCGGGTACTGCCGTCCACCCAAGTTTTTCTTTACTTTGCTCGACGTACGATTCATTTAGAGAGAGCACATGTTTTCTTCTTACTGGTATGTACTCCATGCTGAAGACTTATTTATTACACTTCATTTTATTTTCTTTCGCTGTGCCATGGTATAGTTGAGAAGGTGAAAGTATTGTTTTGTTTTTGTAGTGATAACGAAACTTGTAAATCGTGGTTATCAGCCTCATTTGGAGGAACTTCTACTTAGATTGAATTTCAACTTTTATTATGGAAAAGATATTTAAGCGAGACCTTGACGGTAGTAGGTAACGCATAACGCATACTAAACAAAAAACAAATATTTTTATTGACTATTAAAAGTTAGTTGAAGTTCAAGATTAGACCTTTCATGGGTAGATCCACCAATATATTGTCTTCTTTGATGGAATGAATTACCTGTGTGGATGATTTTAATCCTCCGTTTGTTCACAACAATAAAATGGAACTGAAATTATCGTTGATACAATGCAAGTCCTATTTTAGATATCATGTTTTAAATGTTGTGCAAAGCCCAAAAATTGATAAGAATGCACGTTTATGTCTGGCATTAAAGCAAGCCGCCGTGAAATTCTTTTAGACATTATTGAACTTAAAGAATTTCACTGCGTCAAGAAGATATAAAGCGGTTCTTATTTAAATTTTTAGATTTACACTAAGCCCAAAACATGATATCTCAAGAGATATCTTCTCTTCATTGATAAATCATGAAATCGTCAGAATAGACTAACATTACACTCCATAAGTTCAACTTAAAAAATTTTAAGAATGAATTATTGTCATCATTCGTTATAAAAACTCATTAAACTTATTAATTTTTAAGGTATCAGGTGATTTTTGAAACAGTTTTCAATCGATCATTAGGTTTATTTTGTAATCAATTTAAAGCGGAAATTACAATGTCTGATATTAGTATGAGGGTATCATGTTTATGCTAATAAATTTCTGTATATATGCTTATCGCAGCCATCTCAAATATATTTACAGTATATGGAATAAATAGTTTGAAAAAAATACATGAATCACGGACTGTATGAACGAGTTGAATCTTGAATTATTTTACACTTTTACTTTTCACAAAAAAAACTATTTTGACGCAAGTAAACTACAATATCATATTTCGTCATTATGAAAACTATGTAGGCTTGCGTCAAATGTATATATGCGTAAATTTTGACGTACTCTTGAAGCGGCAATCTTATCGACAAATTTATGATCAATAAGAACTGGATTTTCGGTGATTTATAGTTGATACATCATGGTTTTTCGTTCACAATTCTATCATCATAAATTCAAATGTTTAATTCTTCCAATCTCTTTATTTGTTTGTGGCTTTATTATTTTCCTTTGTGGATTGGTGAGAACCTTTCATGTTGGAGAAAAAATGACAAGTGGTGATTTCGAAAAGAAAAGTCTGCAATCTCAAAACGAATACGTTGAATGGTGGAATGGCTTTCCTGTAAGTGTATTATGAAACTTGTAGATAAAACAACATTGTTTCCAACAGGAGCGATTTGTTATATTTTTATTTTGTAACGTAAGAAAGTCCTTTTGATATCTCCGCTCCGTCACGTATACATCTTCATCACTTGTACAAGAGTCAAGTCTACATTGCTGAAAAGTTAACCTTTGCTAGTTGAATTCTAGTAAATTGTTCATTCAAATTTTGAAGTAATTGTGTTGATGATAAATTCATCTTCATAATGATCTGTTGTTGTTTTATTATAGCTGATGCTTAGTGCTGCCTTAGGAATCGTTGCTGTATTATATGAGAAACCGTTAGTTGTAAGTTATGGCTATCTGGTGACATGTATGATCGTCATCATTTTAAACATTCATTGTTCTTTGTTTATAGTTCAAAATCGCTCTTGTTTCAATTGCTGTATGTTTTGTTCTGTCAATATTCTCGTTGATGTTGGACTCTGCTGAACTTTCTTGGTTATCTCGAAGTGTACAATACATGAATTTGTTGAAAATGGAAGGATTTGACTGCAAGGATTCTACCCCGACGTATGATTATGGTTATAAAACAGAATGTAAATGTACAAAAGGCGATAAAACAGGTTAGTAAATATGTTTATTTACCTTACCGTCTTCAAGATCTGTGTGGGAAGTTTTTACTAGGTCTCAAAAATGACCTGGAGGCAAAGTCTATTCTTGACGAAATCGGTCAACTGGAAGCTACGGCTACTGCCTTCTGATACCGGCCGAATACTGCTATTGGTACGGGTAGATTATGACGTGTAGAATTTCACTGGTAGATTAAATTACCGGTAACGATGATTTTAATCCTACGTTTCTTTACAACAATTTTAGAACAAACGCAATCCATTGATTTTACACAAAATTGCAAACTTGTCGTTTTTAGTTTTATTCAATTGCTTCATCCAATCTACATGGAAAACGATACGCCTCTAACGTCTTGTGTATGTGTCTGTTTGTTTTTTCAACCAACCAACGATGCGATCTCAATCACTAAATACTTATATCCCAAGAACCTAACACATTCGCCGTAAATCGTTAGGGCAAAGCTCCCTTAGATTTTGTAGTTTTATTTGTCGTCCACGCAAAGATCGTATTATTATATCCAATATGAATAGATTTTGGCATCTCTAAGGACCTATTACTCGTACCTGTCTTACGAAGTATCTTTGTAAAGAGTATTTGTGTTTTCCAATGAACAGTAAATAATATAATTATTTATGAAGTCAGACTGAAAATCAAAAAAATTATGTAATGTAAAAAATCCCTTCAGTCCTGATGCTAAAATCATCTATAGAAATAATTAAATGCTGTTGAATGATGTTAAACAAATGGTCATGTTTAAACTGTTGTAACAAAGAATTGCGTGTTTTATATTTGTTTATTTCATAGCTGTGGGTCTGTACGTGTGGACGTCGTGTAAACTATTACTGGCTGAGTTTTATGTCTACTTAATGATCGTGTTCTTTACATCTTGTTCCTGTGGTCTCTGTTTGTTCACGCTTGTCTATTTTGTTCTTCTGCTGAAGCCGATTTCACAGGTTTGTTGACGTCAAGTTTTATAAACTGTCAAAGTTTTCATTTAATTTTTTATGTGTTCTCCTTTAGATAAAAAATGCCCTGAACTTGGACGAGAAGCCATTAAACGACGACTTTGCTAATCTTCATGATAATCTCTACGCTGCATCCTAAGTTCTTCGATCAGTTCATTTTAACTGTATCTTATTTTGGTTATATATATTGATTCATTATATATTATTTACCACAAGGACTAACATTGATCATGAAGGATTGCTGTTGATTATATAGTACACTATGCCATCATAACTTCTAAGTACATGTAGAATAAACCATGCTGGAGTGTCATGCAGCAGTCACCTACAATTAAACATCGTTGAAACATTTTATTTTGAGATAAAGATTGATTTTCCTCTAAACTTTACCATTTTATCTCGTAATTTTCATACTGGCACTTATGTCTTTGTGTTTCATTTTAACATGTTGGTTTATTGACCTTTGAGTGTCATCTACAGTGATGCTACAGGCATGAAAAGACGGTCTTCTTTATTCACACAAAATATAGAAATGAATGTGAACAAATTTGAGATTGAGAGATTTTAAGTATCATCAAGTGCACGTACAAAATAATATTGAAAACTTTAAGTGACTCAATTTCCTCGTTTATCAAAACAAAATTTATTTTCTTTTTTAACTTAGTATGTAAGGGATGTTTGGCTTAATTGACATGAGCTATGAAGTAAGACATTGGATTTGACATTGTAAATTACGTCACCATAAGGTATGACGTCATAACTTGTGAGTCGTGGCATAGATATTTGTCAGATATTTAAACAAGATTATCGTAAATTTACGTAACGAATACGTGCAGTAAACAGAAAAACGAATAATTTTATTGTCGTATTAAAATTTTTGAAAAATTTTTCAAAAGACGCGCTTTTTTGTAATAGCTAAATTTGATGCGAAAATTGTCTTATGTAATGATGATCTGAGGTACTTAGAGATGTCATGCTTTTGGTGAAAATGATAATATCTATGTATGTTATCATCATGACAGGTTCACAGTCATCTCAAATATACTGATTTTAAAATAATATGAAACGTTCAGTGGAACTCAGATTGTAGTGCATTAGAAGTTACCGTGATTCATCAATGATTTTACATGTGAAAAAAAACGTGACTTTACTTTGACGCTAATATTACATTATTGTATCATATTTCCTTACTATTAAGATTATGTAGCATCTTGCTTTGCGTCGTGCTCTAGTGGTTTATTTTCATGAAGAAAACTTAACAAATTGGCGAAGTAGCAATCTTTGCAAGAACGTCAACGACTAGTAGTATTTGTTGTTTTATTGTTAATGCACAATGTATCAATATCAAGTAAAACGTTTAATTCTTCCAAGCTCTTTATTTGTCTGTGGCTTTATTATTTTCCTTTGTGGATTGGTGAGAACCTTTCATATTGGAGAAAAAATGCCAACAAATGATATAGAAAAGAAAAATATTCAAGCGTATAATGAATATGTCGAATGGTGGATTGGCTTTCCTGTAAGTTTATTTATAAAACGTGTGTATGTAACAGTGTTGTCTTTCAAAGTAGCGGTTTACAACCAACAGCGTTGTTTTTATCCGTTGTAATCGTAAGAAGGTCCTTGAACCTTAGTGAAATCTCCGCTCCCTTATAAATCTTCATATCTTGTACACAAGTAACGTCTACAAGTTCACGTTTAATTGCAAGTTGAAGTATATGTAGTAAATAATTCATTCATATTTTTAAAGTAATCGTGTTAATGTTAACTTTATCCTAACAATAATCTGTTGTTATTTTATTATAGCTGATGGTTAATGCTCTGTTGGGAATCGTTGCTGTATTATATGAGAAACCGTTAGTTGTAAGTTATAGCTGTGTGATTATTTCTGCGGTATTCACCATTTTATAAACATTCATTGTCTTTCTTTATAGTTCAAAATCGCTGTGGTTTCAATTGCTATGTGTTTTGTACTATCAATATTCTCGTTGATGTTAGACGCTGGTGAACTAGCTTGGATTTCCCGTGATGTACAATACATGAATTTCTTGAAAATGGAAGGATATCATTGCCAGGATACGTATCGTGTACATCGTTATGGTGATCAGGTCTACAATTTTACAGAATGTGAATGTAAAATTGGCAATGAAAGGGGTTAGTGTAGAATTTTATTCACCGTCTCGGAGGTTTATATAGGGAAGTATTTAACTAGGTGTAAAAACAGCCGGGAGAGCAAAGGTCAATTCTGTTTCTTTACTGAACCGAAATTTTTATCAACTGGAAAACACTGATAATGGGCTTCAACGGGGGATTCAGGGCACATGGGAATGGTGATACACACGGGTAATGGTGATACATGTACGGGTACACACGGTAATGGTGAATGGTAATACATGGTAATGGGATACATGTACGGGTACATGGTAATGGTGATACATGGGGTAACACGGGTAATGGTGATACATGTACGGGTAACGGTGGTAATGGTGATACATGGAATGGAACGGTGGAATGTACGGGAACACGGGTAATGGTGACATGTAATGGGATACACGGGTAATAATGTACATGTACGGGACACGGGTAATGGTGATACATGTACGGGTAACACACGGGTAATGGTGATACATGTACGGGTAACACACGGGTAATGGTGATACATGTACAGGCAACACGGGTAATGGTGATACATGTACGGGTAACACGGGGTAATGGTGATACAGGTAACACACGGGTAATGGATACATGTACAGGTAACACACGGGTAATGGGGATACATGTAGAGGTAACACACGGTAATGGGGATACATGTAGAGGTAACACACGGGTAATGGGGATACATGTAGAGGTAACACACGGGTAATGGGATACATGTAACACACGGGTAATGGTGATACATGGAACACACGGGTAATGGTGATACATGTAGAGGTAACACACGGGTAATGGGGATACATGTAGAGGTAACACACGGGTAATGGGGATACATGTAGAGGTAACACACGGGTAATGGTGATTGTCATCATTGCATTGTCCTTTGAAATGGAAAAAGTCGCTGGGATTCGGTAATTTTGTTCTTTTTCTTCTCCCCTTGTTCACAACCATCATAGTCTTTGTATCGAAACAAGATAAGGTTTTTTAACACACAGATAAGGTTTTTCAAAAAGTATTCATACTTTACTATCTTCCATTTTCTGTCCGTATGTGGCGATCTGTAAAGTTTTATATTTCAACATTTTTTAATGTTTCCATTTTTTCAATATTCTTTTGGAAGATCAAAGTTTTTTTTTACATCATTGGCATTATCACTATAATTTCATAGAAAAAATATCAGACAAATTTAAAATCTTCTATGAAAGTTGAAAAATGCTGTTGAATGATGCATAACCAAACGGTCACATACAATTTTGATAAAGAATATTAAATATTTATTTATTTTCTAGCTATGGACTTTTATGTTTGGTCTTCTTGTAAACTATTTCTGGCTCAGTATTATGTCTACTTTATGATTGTGTTCTTTACATCTTGTTCCTGTGGTCTCTGTTTGTTCACGCTTGCCTCTTTTGTTCTTATTCTAAAGCGGATTTCACAGGTAAGTCGACTTTATGTTTTATAAACTGTCAAAGTTTTCATTTAATTTTTTATGTGTTCTCTTTAGATAACTTCTGCCCTGAACTTGGACGAGAAGCCATTAAACGACGACTTTGCTAATCTTCATGATAATCTCTACGCTGCATCCTAAGTGCTTCGATCAAATTGAACGACAATACATTTTAACTGTATCTTATTTTGATTTGATATACTGATTCATCATTATGTATTATTTAATACAAGCAATAACATTGATCATGAAGGATTGCTGTTGATTATAAAGTACACTTTTCTATCTTAACTTCTAAAATACGTATATAACCAATAATTGAATATTTTGAAACAATACTAACATTTTTCCTCGCATTAAAGTAAGATAGGCACCACACTGGGGATGTTATGCACCAATCGGATAAAACTTGTGTTGAACTTCGTCTTTTTTTGTTTGGTGACATTCTGAAAACGTCGTTTGAACATTTCATTTTGATAAGATTCGTTTTGCACCAAACTCCATTTTTATTCCTTAATTTTCACTCTCCCTTGTACGTATCGTCATTTCATTATGTTTGTATGGCTGCAATATTAAACTACGAGTTTCACCTGTAGCGACGCTACGTGGTTTCAAACATGAAAGGTTTGCCTTATTCACTTGTGTTTACCAAACAAACAAACAAAAAAGTATCAATAAAAATATCATTACGTGGGATCATCTCATCTACCATCCAGTATATACAATACATGATGTTTTCTTTTAAGACTTTTTATATAATACACAATGATCAAGCTGACTACCGAAACAAAAGTTGTACGCATATTTCTCGGTGAATTCAACGTAGAAATTGTCTTATGATAAGACTGTAAGTATTACTATGAACTTATGGTTTTTTTGTCATTATGAAAATATCATGAATGATTTTACATGCAACATGCAATATGTTATGAAGCACATGAATAGCGTAAATATTTTATTATCGTATCATATGTCCTAACTATGAAGATTATGTAGCATCTTCCTGTGCGTCAAGTGTTCTATTTATATGTAAAAAAAATATGACCTTGAAGTGGCGGTCTGCGGGAAAGTAGCGCTCAATGAATGGTGGTATTTCGAGTTTATGTCTAATGCAGCATGAAACTCAAGCCTTTAATTCTTCCAAGCTCTCTACTTCTTTGTGGCTTTGCCGTTTTTCTTTGCGGATTGGTTAGAACCTTTTATGTTGGAGAAACAATGCCAAGAAATGATGAAGAAAAGAAACAAATCCAATCGAATAATGAATATGTTGAATGGTGGATTGGTATTCCTGTTAGTTTATTTATGAAACTTATATAACAATATTATTATGAAGTCTTTGACGTATTTTCTACAAATACAATTAAACATGCACAAACAATAATTTTATCTCATATTTGTTAATCTCGTGTTTCATATCTTGTTATCGTAAGAAGGTCCTTGAACTTCAGTGAGAACCCGGCTATGTTATAAATCTTCATATCTTGTACACAAGTCACATCTATTGCCAAAAAGTTAACGTTAAAATGAAAGCTGAAGTACAAGTAGTAAATAATGCGTTCATATTCTGCGCTTAAAGTAATTGTTTTGATAATTAATTCATCTTAATAATGATCTGTTGTTGTTTTATTATAGCTGATGCTTAGTGCTGTATTGGGAATCGTTGCTGTATCCCGCGAGAAACCGTTTGTTGTAAGTTATGTCTGCGTAATGAGACATACGTGATTTTCACCATTTTAATTTTTGCAGTCTTTCTTGTAGCTCAAAGTTGCTGGGGCTTTGTTAGCTTTATGCTTTATACAGTCGTTAGTGTCGTTGATGTTGGACTGTGCTGAGTTATCTCAGTTATCTGGAACTGTACAATACATGAATTTCCTGAAAATGGAAGGATTTGCTTGCAAGAATAAACATTATTCTTACAATTTTCGTGATCATGTCTACAACTTTACAAAGTGTGAATGTAAATTGGGCGACCAAAAAGGTTTGTGTATATTTTTTTGTTTAGCGTTCATAGGGGGCCCCTAAAGGAAAGTATACAAGTATATCAGAATGTCACAAAAACTATTCCAAAAGTTAAGTTCGCTACTTTTCCTTAAATTAGGATCGCAAAATTGAAAAACTACAATGTATAATCCTATCAGTGATGAAGCGAAACTATTCTTTACAAATCAGTCATCAATCGGTCACATCTAGTTTCTGATAGCAAGCAATAAATGTTTATTTATTTTATAGCTATTTCTGTGGGAAGTTCTTGTGAACTGATAGTGGCTCTGTATACTCTTTATTTCATAATCGTCATCTTTACATCATGTTCCTGTGGTCTCAGTTTGTTCACGCTTGCCTCTTTTGTTCTTATTCTCAAACGGATTCCACAGGTAAGTTGACTTTATGTTTTATAAACTGTCGAAGTTTTTTTTAAAACATTTCATGTGTTTCCCTATAGATCACTAATGCAGGGAACTTTGATGATAATATCACATTCGAGCGACGAAGATTAAACGACAGTTCTTTTTAACTGTATCTTATTTTGGTTTGATATACCGATTCATCATTATGTATTATTTACCACAAGGACTAACATTGATCATGAAGGATTGCTGTTGATTATATAGTACACTTTTCTATCTTAACTTCTAAAATACGTATATAGCCAATAATTGAATATTTTGAAACACTGCAAATGTTTTTCCTCGCAGCAATATAGATCGACACCACACTGGGATGTCATGCACCAATCACGTGTTTGGAGATTGCTACATTTACAATGTTGTAACTGGCAACGTCGAACAATAGATAAAACTTGCGTTGAACTTCGTCTATTTTTGGTGACATTCTGAAAACATCGTTCATACATTTCATTTTGACAAGATTCGTTTTGCACCAAACTTTTCCATTTCATTCCGTAATCTTCGTCCTCGCACAAAAAGCAAGACGATTTTTGAGTAAGTATTGGTCCTTTAAACGGTAGAGATTGTATTTACATTACAAAAGGCTTAATCATGTATTCAAATTGATTTTGTCCATCAATTGAATATTTGCCAACCTGTGTCGTATTTCTCTTTCACTATTAACGATAGAGGTTTTTGTCTTTGTGTGGGGACTTGTATCGTTTTAAACAACAGTGAATCAATCCAGAATATACAAAATCCTCCTAAAAATACCAGACAAGACGACACAGCTCTTCATTACCGTTTACAAAAGTAAACTAGTAAACTACTGTGAAATCATCAGTAAACTACTGTGAAATAAATCGAGTCTAATGTAGACTTTGCAAGCTTGGATTTTGACGCTCATTCATTGAATATTGTTGTGATGGAACACCTGTTTTGTTTGGAGAAAACATTTCTCAATGAAAACTTTCACAGGAAAAATTAGATTTTGAATGTAGCTATGTAATTATATAAAGTTTTACCGTCCTTTCAAACCTGTCAGCAAATAGTTCTAATCGTTGAAATGCAAACAACTGCTATATTTCAAAAAATAATCGCTAACTATAATTTTTCTGTATCATTAAAAATAAAGATAAAATTTACCAATAACTGTTGTGAGGATTAAAGGCATAAACGTAAATTGTTTTCGTAACATTTTCGGATTACAGACTTTGCACAGTCATTATATTCCTGATCCTTTATTGCACCAAGTTATTCATTGTCACCTGTTAAATCAAGGATTTCAATTGATACAACCACCCGTAAAGATTCGTTGTGATACTAAATGTAAAACATCAACATGAAGAAGAGGAGCTCTCCTCGAATCGTTGATGCAGTAATTAGAAAAAAGAAAAACAGATTGACCAATTTTGTAGTTTTTTGCATTTTTAATGTACGATGCAAAAGAATTTGACATATCGATAATTCACAATTTTCACATCTTATTTACCACGTATTCATATCTAACTGCTGGGCAAAAGCCAGGGGGGTGTTTATTTAACTTCAATAGTATTTTCTACATAGAGAATACTTACAAGGAAATGCAGTAGCGGAACAACAAAAACATTCAAATCCTAATTATGTTCAGATACAACGGGCCTTAAAGGCCTTTCGAAAGCCCCGGCCTCTAGGCTTAAACCTACTCAGCCAACCGGATAATCAACCCTTGAGGAAATGAACAATAATAACACAATATCTAAATTAGTATTTAGATATTATTCTGTACTTAGAGATTTATAAAATACCAATAAAATATTGTTCTCCATTGTTTTCACTCCATCTATAGACTTTACTCGAGCTTTAAATCCCACAGCACTTCATAAATTTTAGGCACTATGGGATATAGAACATAAAAATACTGGATGCTGATTGGTCGAGTGGCTTTGGCCACTAACTTTAGGACAGATAATTTGTCGTCAGGATCTTATGTTTACCAAATTCTTTATATTTTCATCGCCAAGTGTTCGAACCTTGATATTCAAATCCTTCTGTAGAAAGGACAATCTCTTTCAAAAAAAAAATCAGTCGGGCAGAGCTGAATACATGAATATAAATTTAACTCAAAATTTTTGTTCTAGTTTCAAGTGTAATAAAGCATGGCTTTTCGTTCACAATTATATCATCATAAACTCAAACATTTACTTCTTCCAAGCGCTTTATTCGTTTGTGCTTGGATTATTTTTATTTGTGGATTGGTGAGAACTTTTCATGTTGGAGAAAAAATGCCAAGAAATGATGAAGAAAAGAAAGTTGTTCGTGCACGAAATGAATATGTTGAATGGTGGAGTGCCTTTCCTGTAAGCTCATTTATGAAATCTGTAAAACATTACTGTCTTAGCAGAAGTGATTAAACGACCTGCAGCGTTTATTTTTTTATCTCACAGTTATAAGAACATTCTTAAATCCTTAGCTGTGATAACTTCGCTTTGTAACAAAATCGTCTTCGTATCTTTTACACAAATAAGTCACGTCCACATTGCTGAGAAGTTTACGCTTAAATGCACTTTAAAGTATGAATAGTTAATAATGCATTCATATTAATTTTAACAGTGATCTGTTGTTGTTTTATTATAGCTGATGCTTAGTGCTGCGTTAGGAATCATGGCTGTATTATATGAGAAACCGTTAGTTGTAAGTTATGGCTAAGTAATAAAGTTAATAATTTGAACCAGGAAGTATCGTTATGTGTTCTTAGATGTTCATTGTTGAAAATAGTGCAGTCGTGAAAAGGATTGTTACCGTTTTTCTTGACTGATGGCTAAACATCATTATCAAAGCACTTTGTATATCATGAAAGCCCTGTGTTTGTTATTTGGTTGCCTGGTTCATATAGGCGTACGGGACAGGAGGCAGCTGCACCCCTAAGGGGCTGTTCACATGATCTCTGTAGCAGGGTTTCAGCGAAGCGCTAAATCATTTTGGCAAATGAGAAAGATTAAATACGTCACAACAAAAAACTTATTTGAGCAATTTCTCTGTGCTCTTACTTTGTACATTCAAAAAACATTTAAAATGAGAACAAATAATTTAGCCTAATTTGAAAATCAAGAGTAAAAGGACTTCTGACGCTTAGAAAAAGATTGTAAGTTTTGTGCTTAAAGTTTTTGCACATTTAAGAAAATGTGTGGCTAAATTGTCAAATTAGGACACCACAAGCCCACACAGTCCACAGTCATAAGGTTGATTGTGAAGGAAACGTGTCGTTGAATCTGGGCTGAATTGTCAAACATCAGTCAACACAACAACCAACAATCCAATCTCAGGACTGCACTATTCCAGACAGTCCACATCTACAAACATGGCAATGTGTGGTCGTCACTATTTTAAATACGCGTTGTTCTTTCTTATAGTTCAAAATCGCTGTTTTTTCAATTGCTGTATGTTTTGTTCTGTCAATATTCTCGTTGATGTTGGATGCTGGTGAATTAGCTTGGCTATCTCTAAATGTACACCATATGAAATTCTTGAAAATGGAAGGATTTGTTTGCAAAGATAGTTATCGTATGCGCGACGGAGTTTACAATTTTACAGTTTGTGAATGCAAACTAAGCAAAAAAACTGGTTAGTATAGCATCGTCGTCTTAATGAAGGTCCACATAGGGAACTATGTCACAAGGTATAAAAGCATCCGAGTTGAAAAAGGTCAAGTCTGTTTCTTTTAACCACTGATCAAAGATATATATTTATTTATTGTTTAGTGGTTAGTTAATTTTAACGACGATTCAAAAGACCACTTGTTTAGCCAATCAGAATGAAAAAAATATGAAATGAAAATCCAAACTGTCTCAACCAATGTTAACATAATGTTTTTAACCTGGAGCTATCGTTACATATTGATTGTTCAGGTTGATGCAGTCCTAAGAAAAACTGTTGATGAAACTTGCGTTTAAACATTCCTAGCGATAATCAATTCCACAATTATTAACATCGGTCTTAGGAACATCTACAAACATTTCCTGTGATATTTAGTACAATAAGGACCATTAAATATTTATTCATTTTATAGGTTTGACCTCTGTGTATCTTACTTGGACTTCTTGTAAACTATTGATGGCTCAGTACTATGTCTACTTTATAATTGTGTTCTTCACATCTTGTTGCTGTGGTCTCTGTTTGTTCACTATTGCCTATTTTGTTCTTGAGCTTAAGCCAATTTCACAGGTAAGTTGACCTTATGTTTTATAAACTATTAAAGTTTTTGTTTAATATAATATTTGTTTCCCTATAGATCAAAAATGCAAATGCAGGGAGCGTAGATGAGACTCCATTGAACGACGACTTTGATAATCTTCACGGTAGTCACGTCACATCGTAAATTCTTCAATTAGATTGAACGATAACTCAGTGCTTTAATATTTAACTTTACAATGTCAAGAAAAATGTGTAACATGCAATGTCAAAAATATGAAGATTTTAATTCACATCTAACCCCAGGACCCTTTCATCTCCAAAAAGAACAACACCATGCTCTTGCATGGAGACTCGCTTCCAGTTCCTCATCAGGAACATAAGCTCTTATTGTTTGAGCATTTTTGCGTTTTAACAGAGCACATTTCGGACACTTGGTTCATCCGTTGATGATTGCACAATTTGTGTTGTTAGAGATTAAAAACAATACTAAACCCTTCCACCCATCATACAAATGACAACACCATATCTTCTTGAAGTGTTGATTTCTCACCGCCAAAAGTATAAGCTTATATAATACAGTTTGACCATTATTCAGTCTTAATAAAGCATATTAAGTAGTGTCGGCTCATCTGTTGACGATTGTTCAACACAGGATTATCGCGATTAAAGACAGATCACAGTGGATGTATGTGAGTTACAGTAAATCACAGCTTGTAAATATTGCACTGAGTTTACAGTAGATGACACTATATAGGTTACAATGAAATACAGTAAATGATCCTCGCTCTTGCTTGCTGTAGTTTTTTGACCATTCATCACCCTACTAGATAACTTAAGGACTGATATTTTATCATCAGGATCTGATGTTTACCAAATTCTTTATAATTTCATCGCCATGTGTTTGAACCTTGATCTTCTAATCCTATTGTAGAAAGAACAATATCTTTCAAAAGAAATCAGTTGGGTAGGGCTGAATACATGAATATAATTTTGATTCCCTAAACCTACTCAGCCAACTGGATAATCAACCCTTGAGGAAATGAACAATAATAACACAATATCTAAATTAGTATTCTGTATTTAGAGATTTAGAAAATACCATTGTTCTCCATCGTTTTCACTCCATTTATGGATTTTACTTGAGCTTTAAATCCCACACTACTTCATGAATTTTAGGCACTATGGGATATAGAACATCAAAATACTAGATGCTGATTGGTCGAGTGGCTTTGGCCACAAACTTTAGGACAGATAATTTGTCATCAGGATCTTATGTTTACCAAATTCTTTATATTTTCATCGCCAAGTGTTCGAACCTTGATCTTCGAATCCTTCTGTAGAAAGGACAATCTCTTTCAAAGAAAATCAGTCGGGCAGAGCTGAATACATGAATATAAATTTAACTCAAAATTTTAGTTCTAGTTTCACGTGTAATAAAGCATGGCTTTTCGTTCACAATTATATCATCCTAAACTCAAACATTTACTTCTTCCAAGCGCGTTATTTGTCTGTGGCTTGATTATTTTTATTTGTGGATTGGTGAGAACCTTTCATGTTGGAGAAAAAATGCCAAGAAATGCCAAAGAAAAAAGAATTGTTCAAGCACGAAATGATTATGTTGAATGGTGGAATGGCTTTCCTGTAAGGTCATTTATGAAATCTGTAAGACATTACTGTCTTAGCAGAAGCGATTTAACGACCTGCGGCGTTTATTTTTGTATCTCACAGTTATAAGAACATTCTTGAAACTTTGCTGTAATAACTTCGCTTAGTTAACAAAATCGTCTTCGTATCTTTTACACAAATAAGTCACGTCCACATTCTTGAGGAGTTTACACTTAAATACACATTTAAGTATAAATAGTAAATAATGAATTCATATTCTGCTCTTAAAGTAGTTTTTTGATAATAAATTCATCTTAATAATGATCTGTTATTGTTTTATTATAGCTGATGCTTAGTGTTCTGTTGGGAATCGTTGCTGTATTATATGAGAAACCGTTATTTGTAAGTTATGGCTATCTGTTGACACGTATGATCGTCATCATATTAAACACTCATTGTTCTATTTTTATAGTTCAAAATCGCTGTTGTTTCAATTGCTGTATGTTTTGTTCTGTCAATATTCTCGTTGATGCTGGACTCTGCTGAACTTTTTTGGTTATCTCAAAGTGTGCAAGACATGAATTTGTTGAAAATGAAAGGATTTGACTGCAAGGATTCTACCCCGACGTATGATAATGGTTATAATACAGAATGTCAATGTACAAAAGGCGATAATACAAGTTAGTAAATATGTTTTATTTACCGTCTTCAAGATCTGTGTGGGGAAGTTTTTACTACGTCTCAAAAATGACCTGGAGGCAAAGTCTATTCTTGACCAAATCGGTCAACTGGAAGCTGCGTCTACTACCTTCTGGTACCGGCCGAATACTGCTATTGGTACGTGTAGATTATGACGTGTAGATTATCACTGATAGATTAAATTACCGGTAACGATGATTTTAATCCTCCGCTTCTTCACAAAAATTATAGAACAAACGCAATCCATTGGAGCATTAAATATTTATTTTATAGGTTCGACCTTCTCTTTTTATCTTAGTTGGACTTCTTGTGAACTATTGATGGCTCAGTATTATGTCTACTTTATAATTGTGTTCTTCACATCATGTTCCTGTGGTCTCTGTTTGTTCACGCTTGCCTCTTTTGTGCTTAAGCGTAAGTCGATTTCACAGGTAAGTTGACGTTATGTTTTATAAACTATTAAAGTTTTTGTTTAATATAATATTTGTTTCCCAATAGATCAAAAATGCAAATGCAGGGAGCGTAGATGAGACTCCATTGTGCGACGACTTTGATAATCTTCATGGTAGTTACGTCACATCGTAAATTCTTCAATTACATTGAACGATAACTCAGTGCTTTCATATTTAACTTTACAATGTCAAGAAAAATGTGTAACATGCAATGTCAAAAATATGAAGATTTTAATTCACATCTAACCCCAGGACCCTTTCATCTCCAAAAACAACAACACCATGTTCTTGCATGGAGACTCGCTTCCAGTTCCTCACTAGGAACATAAACTCTTATTGTTTGAGCATTGTTGCATTTTAATGCAACACACTTCGGACACTTGGTTTATCCGTTGATGATTGCACAATTTGTGTTGTTAGTGATTAAAAACAATACTAAACCCTTCCACCAATCATACAAATGACAACACCATATCTTCTTGAAGTGTTGATTTCTCACCACCAAAAGTATAAGCTTATATAATACAGTTTGACCATTATTCAGTCTTAATAAAGCACATTATGTAGTGTCGGTTCATCTGTTCATGATTGTAAAACACAGGATTATCGCGATTAAAGACAGATCACAGTGGATGTATGCGAGTTACAGTAAATCACAGCTTGTAGATATAGCACTGAGTTTACAGTAGATGACACTATAGGTTACAGTGAAATACAGTAGATGATCCTTGCTCTTGCTTGCTGTAGTTTTTTGAGCATTCATCACCCTACTAGATAACTTAAGGACTGATATTTTGTCATCAGGATCTGATGTTTACCAAATTCTTTATAATTTCATCGCAATGTGTTTGAACCTTGATCTTCCAATCCTATCATAGAAGGACAATATCTTTCAAAAGAAATCAGTTGGGAAGCCTGAATACATGAATATAATTTTAATTTCCAGTTATTGTTCTAGTTTCACGAGTAAACAGCATGGCTTTTCGTTCACAATTTTGTCATCCTAAACTCAAACACTTACTGCTTCCAAGCGCTTTATTTGTTTGTGGCTTGATTATTTTTATTTGTGGATTGGTAAGAACCTTTCATGTTGGAGAAAAAATGCCAAGAAATGCCGAAGAAAGAAAAACTGTTCAAGCACGAAATGAATATGTTGAATGGTGGAATGGCTCTCCTGTAAGCTCATTTATGAAACTTATAAAACACTTCTGTCTTCAACAGAAGTGATAAAACGACCAATAGCGTTAATTTTTTATCTTGCAGTTGTAAGAACATTCTTGAACCTTTGCTGTTATAACTCCGCTTTGTTAAAAAATCGTCTTCGTATCTTTTACACAAATAAGTCACCTCCACATTGCTGAGGAGTTTACGCTTTAATGCGCATTTAAGTATAAATAGTAAATAATGCATTCATATTCTCCTCTTAAAGTAATTTTTTGATAACAAATTCATCTTAATAATGATCTGTTGTTGTTTTATTATAGCTGATGCTTAGTGCTCTGTTGGGAATCGTTGCTGTATTATATGAGAAACCGTTAGTTGTAAGTTATGGCTAAGTAATAAAGTTAATAATTTGAACCAAGAAGTATCGTTATGTGCTCTTAGATGTTCATTGATCAAATTAGTGCAGTCTTGAAAAGGATTGTTACCGTTTTTGTTGACTGATGGTTAAACATCACTAGCGGTGATCATCATAAAAGCACTTGTTTGCTATTCGGCTCGCTGGTTCATACGTCACAAGGTTGATTGTGAAGGAAACGTGTGCCTGAATCAGGGCTGAATTGTCAAACATCAGTCAACACAACAACCAACAATCCAATCTCAGACTGCATTATTCCAGACAGTCCACATCTACAAACATGGCAATGTGTGGTCGTCACTATTTTAAATACGCGTTGTTCTTTTTTATAGTTAAAAATCGCTGTTTTTTCAATTGCTGTATGTTTTGTTCTGTCAATATTCTCGTTGATGCTGGATGCTGGTGAATTAGCTTGGCTATCTCTAAATGTACACCATATGAAATTCTTGAAAATGGAAGGATTTGTTTGCAAGGATAGTTTTCTTAGGCACAAAGTCTACAATTTTACAGTTTGTGAATGTAAACTGGGCGAAGAAACTGGTTAGTATAGAATCACAGTCTTAATGAAGGTCAAATAGGAAACTATTTCACAAGGTATAGAAACATCGGAGTTCAGAAAGCTCAAGTTTGTTTCTTTTAACCACTGATCAAAGATATAACAAATTTACTTATTATTTAATCACTTTAATGGTTAGTTAATTTTAACTATAAGACTCCGACAGACCACTCGCTCAGCCAATCAGAATGAAGAAAACTCTTAAATGTGAAATGAATTATGAAAATCCAACTGTCTCATCCAATGTTGATACAATACATCTACAAACATTTCCCAGCAATATTTAGTACAATAAGGAGCATTAAATATTTATTTATTTTATAGGATCGACCTTCTCTTTTTATCTTAGTTGGACTACTTGTAAACTATTACTTGCTCAGTATTATGTCTACTTTATAATTGTGTTCTATACGTCGTGTTCCTGTGGTCTCTGTTTGTTCACGCTTGCCTATTTTGTTCTTAAGCTTAAGTCGATGTCACAGGTAAGTTGACGTTATGTTTTAAACACTGTTAAAGTTATTGTTTAATATAATATTTGTTTCCCTATAGATCAAAAATGCTGGGAACGTGGATGAGAAGCCATTGAACGAAGACTTTGATAATCTTCATGGTAGTTACGTCACATCGTAAATTCTTCAATTACATTGAACGATAACTCAGTGCTTTCATATTTAACTTTACAATGTCAAGAAAAATATGTAACATGCAATGTCAAAAATATGAAGAGTTTAATTCACATCTAACCCCAGGACCCTTTCATCTTCAAAAACAACAACACCATGTTCTTGCATGGAGATTGGCTTCCAGTTCCTCATCAGGAACATAAGCTCTTATTGTTTGAGCATTGTTGCATTTTAACGAAACACATTTCGGACACATGGTTCATCCGTTGATGATTGCACAACTTGTGTTGTTAGTGATTAAAAACAATACTAAACCCTTCTACCCATCATACAAAGGACAACACTATATCTTCTTGAAGAGTTGATTTCTCACCGCCAAAAGTATAAGCTTATATAATACAGTTTGACCATTATTCAGTCGTAATAAAGCATATTATGTAGTTTCGGTTCATCTGTTGATGATTGTACAGCACAGGATTATCGCGATTAAAGACAGATGACAGTGGATGTATGCGAGTTACAGTAAGTCACAGCTTGTAGATATAGCACTGAGTTTACAGGAGATGACACTATAGGTTACAGTGAAATACAGTAGATGATCCTTGCTCTTGCTTGCTGTAGTTTTTTGACCATTAATCACCCTACTAGATAACTTAAGGACTGATATTTTGTCATCAGGATCTGATGTTTACCAAATTCTTTATATTTTCATCGCCATGTGTTTGAACCTTGATCTTCCAATCCTATTATAGGAAGGACAATATCTTTCAAAAGAAAGCTGTTGGGAAGCCTGAATACATGAATATAATTTTAATTCTCAACTATTGTTCTAGTTTCACGAGTAAACAGCATGGCTTTTCGTTCACAATTATATCATCCTAAGCTCAGGCATTTACTTCTTCCATGCGCTTTATTTGTTTGTGGCTTGATTATTTTTATTTGTGGATTGGTAAGAACCTTTCATGTTGGAGAAAAAATGCCAAGAAATGCCAAAGAAAAAAAAACTGTTCAAGCACGAAATGAATATGTTGAATGGTGGAATGCCTTTCGTTTAAGCTCATTTATGAAACTTATAAAACACTTCTGTCTTCAACAGAAGTGATAAAACGACCAGTAGCGCTAGTTTTTTATCTTGCAGTTGTAAGAACGTTCTTGAACCTTAGCTGTGATAACTCCGCTTTATGAATGTTTTTTATGAAGTGCGGTATTTGAAAATTAAATCAAGATATGATCTTCGCACTTTGCTGGACAATTTAAGCAATCGTCTCAGTTATGTATAAAAAACATTCATACGACATTCCTTTCACGAGAAAACATGAGCCCAACAATATTGACCTGCTCACCACTGTGTGACTTCATAGCTCAGTAGGTCAGAGCACTGCACCGGCACCGCAGAGGTCATGGGTTCGAATCCCGTTGAGTCACCTGATTTTTTCAGGTCCTGAGACGATTGCTTAAATTGTCCAGCAAAGTGCGAAGATCATATCTTGATTTAATAACTCCGCTTTGTTAAAAAATCGTCTTCGTATCTTTTACACAAATAAGTCACCTCCACATTGCTGAGAAGTTTACGCTTAAATGCACATTTAAGTGTAAATAGTAAATAATGCATTCATATTCTCCTCTTAAAGTAATTCTTTGATAACAAATTCATCTTAACAAATCGTCATCGTATCATTTACACAAATAAGTCAAGTCCACATTGCTGAGGAGTTTACGCTTTAATGCGCATTTAAGTATAAATAGTAAATAATGCATTCATATTCTCCTCTTAAAGTAATTTTTTGATAACAAATTCATCTTAATAATGATCTGTTGTTGTTTTATTATAGCTGATGCTTAGTGCTCTGTTGGGAATCGTAGCTGTATTACATGAGAAACCGTTAGTTGTAAGTTATGGCTAAGTAATAGATAGACATAAAGGTAGACATAAACGTAGACATAAAGTTAGACATAAAGGTAGACATAAAGGTAGACATAAAGATAGACATAAAGGTAGACATAAACGTAGACATGGGGGTAGACATAGTTGCACACATAAAGGTAAGACATGCAGACATATACAGGTAGACATATAGACATAAAGGTATACATAGTTGTAGATTATAAAGGTATACAAATAGGTATACATAAAGGTGAAGACATTAAAGGTGAAGGTAGACATGAAGGTAGAAAAAGGTGACATAAAGTTGACATATACAGATACAGGTGCATATATAGAAATATTATGGTATACATAAAGAGAAATAGAAGGTAGACATTAAAGGTAGACATAAAGGTAGACATAAAGGTACATATAAATAAATACAGAAATGAAATGTATACATAAAGGTAGAAATAAAGGTATACATACAGCAGAAATAAAAGATACATAGAAATAAAGGCTGACATAGTAGAAATAAACTAGACATAAATGCTGGATGAAAGAAGACACAAAGGCAGACAAAAGGGACATAAAGTAGGCATAAAGATAAACACAAAGATAAACATAAAGGACAGACATGAATAAAGGAGACATAAAGGAGACAAGAAATGAAGGCTAGACATGAAGGAATAAAGGAAGAAAGGAAGGAAATAAAGAAATGAAATATGGAAGAAATGGAAATGGACATAAATGGACATAAAGGAACATAAAGAAATAAACATAAAGATAAATAGATAAGGAACATAGAAGGCAGACACATACATAAAGTAGAAAAACATGGTAAGACATGAAGCATTGACATAAAGGTGATTAAAATACATAGATAAAGGGTGTAGAAATAGTAGCAGAAAGGTAGCTGGTTGACATAAAGGTAGACATAATATATAAAGGTAGAAAAAAGGTATACATAAAGGTGACATAAAGAAATAAAGGTAGACATAAACGAAATAAAGGAAAGGATAAACATAAAAGAAGACATAAAGGTAGACATAAACATAAAGACATAAACGTAGACATAATGGTAGGTAAAGTAAACATAAAGATAAATAAAGGGACATAACGGACATAAGGAAAATATGTCAAAGCTTATGGTCCAACCTAATGAACACCCAGTGACGACATATTGTGATTTCAGATAAAATGAAAGGTAAAAAACCCACAAAAAATCCTTCATTGGTCTTCATACTTCAATGTTTAACCCTAAAATACAATTGATGAAAACGGGCACGCGCAATATCAGCTATTTACAGAATTGAATATTGAATAAAAAGGCTTCGATAACTACATTTGCCTAAATTGCAATAGCAAAGAAAGAATTCATTTTTGTACTGGGGTGGTAAATGGTCATTAAGTTATCTGTACTGCCAACTATTGTAACCTACTGGTAACTCCTGGTAACTACTGGTAACTACTGTTAATTATGGTAACTACATGTAACTACTGTTAACTACTGGTAACTACTGGTAACTACTGTAACTTACTGTAACTGACTGTAACTTACTGTAACTTACTGTAACTTACTGTAACTGACTGTAACTTACTCTAACTTACTCTAACTTACTCTAACTTACTGTAACTTACTGTAACTGACTGTAACTTACTGTAACTTTTATTCATACTCTGTCATCTGTCTTTAATCACAAACAGCACATGTTGCGCATACATCAAAAGATCAACAGACACTACGAAGTGTGCTCCATTAAAACCACTGATTAAAACTAAACAATGCTCAAACAAGAAGAGCTTATGTTCCTGATGAGGAACTGGAAGTGAATCTCCAAGAGAATGCCCGATAGTGTTGTTCTTTTTGAAGATGGAAGGTTCAGGATTGTTCTGGGATTAGATATAAAATTATACTTGGAAAATATGACGTGAATCAAAATCTTCATTATTTTTTGACATTGTAAAATTAAATATGAAAGAACTGAGTTATCGTTTAATCTAATTGAAGAATTTACGATGTGACGTGACTACCATGAAGATTATCAAAGTCTTCATTCAATGGAGTCTCATCCACGCTCCCTGCATTTGTATTTTTGATCTATGGGGAAACAAATATTATATTAAACAATAACTTTAACAGTTTATAAAACATAACGTCAACTACCTGTGAAATCGACTTAAGCTTAAGAACAAAATAGACAAGCGTGAACAAACAGAGACCACAGGAACACGATGTAAAGAACACAATTATAAAGTAGACATAATACCGAGCCATCATTAGTTTACAAGAAGTCCAACGAAGAGCATAAGAGGTCGAACCTATGAAATAAATAAATATTTAATGCTCCTTATTGTACTAAATATCACAGGGAAATGTTTGTAGATGTATTGTAATTGTATCAACATTGGATGAGACAGTTGGATTTTCGTAATTCATTTCACATTTAAGAGTTTTCTTTGTTCTGATTGGTTGAGCAAGTGGTCTGTGGGCCTCTTATAGTTAAAATTAATCGAGATTAAGATCGCATCGTAGGTTGGTTGAAAAAAAAACCAGACACATACACAAAACATTGGAGGCGTATCGTTTTCCATGTAGATTGGATGAAGCAATTGAATAAGACTTAAAACGACAAGTTTGCAATTTTGTGTAAAATCAATGGATTGCGTTTGTTCTAAAATTGTTGTAAAGAAACGGAGGATTAAAGTCATCGTTACCGGCAATTTAATCTACCAGTGAAATTCTACACGTCATAATCTACCCGTACCAATAGCAGTATTCGGCCGGTATCAGAAGATAGTAGCCGTAGCTTCCAGTTGACCGATTTGGTCAAGAATACACTTTGCCTCCAGGTCATTTTTGAGACCTAGTAAAAACTTCCCTACACAGATCTTGAAGACGGTAAATAAAACATATTTACTAACTTGTATTATTACCTTTTGTACATTTACATTCTGTATTATAACCATAATCATACGTCGGGGTAGAATCCTTGCAGTCAAATCCTTCCATTTTCAAGAACTTCATGTATTGTACACTTTCAGATAACCAAGAAAGTTCAGCAGAGTCCAGCATCAACGAGAATATTGACAGAACAAAACATACAGCTATTGAAACAACAGCGATTTTGAACTATAAAATAAGAACAACGAATGTTTAAAATGATGACGATCATACGTGTCAACAGAGAGCCATAACTTACAACTAACGGTTTCTCATATAATACAGCAACGATTCCTAACGCAGCACTAACCATCAGCTATAATAAAACAACACCAGATCATTATTAAGATGAATTTATTATCAAAAAACTACTTTAAGAGCAGAATACGAATGCATTATTTACTATTTATACTTAAATGTGTATTTAAGTGTAAACTCCTCAAGAATGTGGACGTGACTTATTTGTGTAAAAGATACGAAGACGATTTTGTTAACAAAGCGAAATTATCACAGCTAAGGTTCAAGAATGTTCTTATAACTGTGAAATAAAAAAATAAACGCCGCAGGTCGTTAAATCGCTTCTGCTAAGACAGTAATGTTTTACAGATTTCATAAATGACCTTACAGGAAAGGCATTCCACCATTCAACATATTCATTTTGTGCTTGAACAGTTCTTCTTTCTTTGGCATTTCTTGTCATTTTTTCTCCAACATGAAATGTTCTCACCAATCCACAAATAAAAATAATCAAGCCACAAACAAATAAAGCACTTGGAAGAAGTAAATGCCTGAGCTTAGGATGATATAATTGTGAACGAAAAGCCATGCTGTTTACTCGTGAAACTAGAACAATAGTTGAGAATTAAAATTATATTCATGTATTCAGGCTTCCCAACAGCTTTCTTTTGAAAGATATTGTCCTTCCTATAATAGGATTGGAAGATCAAGGTTCAAACACATGGCGATGAAAATATAAAGAATTTGGTAAACATCAGATCCTGATGACAAAATATCAGTCCTTAAGTTATCTAGTAGGGTGATTAATGGTCAAAAAACTACAGCAAGCAAGAGCAAGGATCATCTACTGTATTTCACTGTAACCTATAGTGTCATCTACTGTAAACTTAGTGCTATATTTACAAGCTGTAACTTACTGTAACTCGCATACATCCACTGTGATCTGTCTTTAATCGCGATAATCCTGTGTTGTACAATCATCAACAGATGAACCGAAATTACATAATATGCTTTATTACGACTGAATTATGGTCAAACTGTATTATATAAGCTTATACTTTTGGCGATGAGAAATTAACATTTCGGGAAGATATAGTGTTGTCCTTTGTATGATGGGTGGAAAGGTTTAGTATTGTTTTTAATCACTAACAACACAAGTTGTGCAATCATCAACGGATGAACCAAGTGTCCGAAGTGTGTTTCGTTAAAACGCAACGATGCTCAAACAATAAGAGTTTATGTTCCTGATGAGGAACTGGAAGCCAATCTCCATGCAAGAACATAGTGTTGTTGTTTTTCAAGATGAAAGGGTCCTGGGGTTAGAAATGAATTAAAATCTTCATATTTTTGACATTGCATGTTACACATTTTTCTTGACATTGTAAAGTTAAATATGAAAGCACTGAGTTATCGTTCAATGTAATTGAAGAATTTACGATGTGACGTAACTACCATGAAGATTATCAAAGTCGTCGTTCAATGGAGTGTCATCCACGTTCCCTGCATTTATTATCTGTAAGGAAACAAATATTATATTAAACAATAACTTGAATAGTGTATAAAACATAACGTCAACTTACCTGTGAAATCCGCTTTAGAATAAGAACAAAAGAGGCAAGCGTGAACAAACAGAGACCACAGCAACATTGATGTAAAGAACACGATTATAAAGTAAACATAATACTGAGCCATCAATAGCTTACAAGAAGTCCAACTAAGATAAAAAGAGACGGTCGAACCTATAAAATAAATAAATATTTAATGCTCCTTATTGTACTAAATATTGCTGGGAAATTTTTGTAGATGTATTGTATCATTATTGGATGAGATAGTTGGATTTTCGTAATTCATTTCACATTTAAGAGTTTTCTTTATTCTGATTGGCTGAGCGAGTGATCTGTCGGAGTCTTATAGTTAAAATTAACTAACCATTAAAGTGATTAAATAATAAGTAAATATGTTATATCTTTGATCAGTGGTTAAAAGTAACAAACTTGACCTTTCTCAACTCGGATGTTTCTAGACCTTGTGAAATAGTTTCCTATGTGACCTTCATTAAGACAGTGATTCTATACTAACCAGTTTCTTCTCCCAGTTTACATTTACAAACTGTAAAATTGTAGACTTTGTGCCTAAGAAAACTATCCTTGCAAACAAATCCTTCCATTTTTAAGAATTTCATATGGTGTACATTTAGAGATAGCCAAGCTAATTCACCAGCATCCAACATCAATGAGAATACTGACAGAACAAAGCATACAGCAATTGAAAAAACAGCGATTTTGAACTATAAAAAAGAACAGCACGTATTTAAAATAGTGACGACCACACATTGTCATGTTTGTAGATGTGGACTGTCTGGAATAGTGCAGTCTGAGATTGGATTGTTGGTTTTTGTGTTGACTGATGTTTGACAATTCAGCCCTGATTCAGGCACACGTTTCCTTCACAATCAACCTTGTGACATATGAACCAGCCAGCCGAATAGCAAACAAGTGCTTTTATGATGATCACCGCTAGTGATATTTAACCATCAGTCAACAAAAACGGTAACAATCGTTTTCAAGACTGCACTAATTTGACAATGAACATATAACTACTAGATAACTTAAGGACTGATATTTTGTCATCAGGATCTGATGTTTACCAAATTCTTTATATTTTCATCGCCATGTGTTTGAACCTTGATCTTCCAATCCTATTATAGAAAGGACAATATCTTTCAAAAGAAATCAGTTGGGCAGGGCTGAATACATGAATATAATTTTAATTCTCAACTATTGTTATACTTTCACGAGTAAACAGCATGGCTTTTCGTTCACAATTATATCATCCTAAACTCAGGCATTTACTTCTTCCAAGCGCTTTATTTGTTTGTGGCTTGATTATTTTTATTTGTGGATTGGTGAGAACTTTTCATCTTGGAGGAAAAATGCCAAGAAATGCCAAAGAAAGAAGAACTGTTCAAGCACAAAATGAATATGTTGAATGGTGGAATGCCTTTCCTGTAAGGTCATTTATGAAACCTGTAAAACATTACTGTCTTAGCAGAAGCGATTTAACGACCTGCGGAGTTTATTTTTGTATCTCACAGTTGTAAGAACATCCTTGAACCTTTGCTGTAATAACTCCGTTTTGTTAACAAAATCGTCTTCGTATCTTTTATACAAATAAGTCACCTCCACATTGTTGAGGAGTTTACGCTTAAATACACATTTAAGTATAAATAGTAAATAATGCATTCATATTCTGCTCTTAAAGTAGTTTTTTGATAAGAAATTCATTTTAATAATGATCTGGTGTTGTTTTATTATAGCTGATGCTTAGTGCTGCGTTAGGAATCGTTGCTGTATTATATGAGAAACCGTTAGTTGTAAGTTATGGCTATCTGGTGACACGTATGATCGTCGTCATTTTAAACATTCGCTGTTCTTTTTTTATAGTTCAAAATCGCTGTTGTTTCAATTGCTGTATGTTTTGTTTTGTCAATATTCTCGTTGATGCTGGACTCTGCTGAACTTTCTTGGTTATCTGAAAGTGTACAATACATGAAGTTCTTGAAAATGGAAGGATTTGACTGCAGGGATTCTACCTCGACGTATGATAATAGTTATGATACACGATGTAAATGTACAAAAGACGATAAAAAAGGTTAGTAAATATGTTTTATTTACCTTACCGTCTTCAAGATCTGTGTAGGGAAGTTTTTACTAGGTCTCAAAAATGACCTGGAGGCAAAGTCTATTTTTGAAGAAATCGGTCAACTGGAAGCTAAGGCTACTATCTTCTGATACCGGCCGAATACTGCTATTGGTACGGGTAGATTATGACGTGTAGAATTTCACTGGTAGATTAAATTACCGGTAACGATGATTTTAATCCTCTGTTTCCTTACAACAATTTTAGAACAAACGCAATCCTTTGATTTTACACAAAATTGCAAACTTGTCGTTTTAAGTTTTATTCAATTGCTTCATCCAATCTACATGGAAAACGATACGCCTCCAACGTCTTGTGTATGTGTCTGTTTTTTTTCAACCAACCAACGATGCGATCTCAATCTCGATTAATTTTCACTATAAGAGGCTTACAGATTACTTGCTCAACCAATCAGAATAAAGAAAACTCTTAAATGTGAAATGAATTACAAAAATCCAACTGTCTCATCCATGTTGATACAATACATCTACAAAAATTTCCCTGTGATATTTAGTACAATAAGGAGCATTAAATATTTATTTATTTTATAGGTTCGACCTCTTATTCCCTTAGTCGGACTTCTTGTAAACTAATGATGGCTCAGTATTATGTCTACTTCATAATTGTGTTCTTTACATCGTGTTCCTGTGGTCTCTGTTTGTTCACGCTTGCCTCTTTTGTTCTTATTCTAAAGCGGATTTCACAGGTAAGTTGACGTTATGTTTTATACACTGTTAAAGTTATTGTTTAATATAATCTTTGTTTCCTTATAGATAATAAATGCAGGGAACGTGGATGCCATGGAAGCCATTGAACGACGACTTTGATAATCTTCATGGTAGTCACGTCACATCGTAAATTCTTCAATTAGAAAAACGATAACTCAGTGCTTTCATATTAAAATTTACAATGTCAAGAAAAATGTGTAACATGCAATGTCAAAAATATGAAGATTTTAATTGATTTCTTACTCCAGGACCCTTTCATCTTCAAAAACAACAACACCATGTTCTTGCATGGAGATTGGCTTCCAGTTCCTCATCAGGAACATAAGCTCTTATTGTTTGAGCATTTTTGCGTTTTAACAGAGCACATTTCGGACACTTGGTTCATCCGTTGATGATTGCACAACTTGTGTTGTTAGTGATTAAAAACAATACTAAGCCCTTCCACCCATCATACAAATGACAACACCATATCTTCTTGAAGTGTTGATTTCTCACCGCCAAAAGTATAAGCTTATATAATACAGTTTGACCATTATTCAGTCTTAATAAAGCATATTAAGTAGTGTCGGTTCATCTATTGGCGATTGTTCAACACAGGATTATCGCGATTAAAGACAGATCACAGTGGATGTATGCGAGTTACAGTAAATCACATCACAGCTTGAAAATATTGCACTGAGTTTACAGTAGATGACACTGTAGGTTACAGTGAAATACAGTAGATGATCCTCGCTCTTGCTTGCTGTAGTTTTTTGACCATTCATCACCCTACTAGATAACTTAAGGACTGATATTTTATCATCAGGATCTGATGTTTACCAAATTCTTTATAATTTCAACGCCATGTGTTTGAACCTTGATCTTCTAATCCTATTGTAGAAAGAACAATATCTTTCAAAAGAAATCAGTTAGGTAGGGCTGAATACATGAATATAATTTTGATTCCCTAAACCTACTCAGCCAACTGGATAATCAACCCTTCAGGAAATGAACAATAATAAGAAAATATCTAAATTAGTATTCTGTATTTAAAGATTTAGAAAATACCATTGTTCTCCATCGTTTTCACTCCATTTATGGATTTTACTTGAGCTTTAAATCCCACACTACTTCATGAATTTTAGGCACTATGGGATATAGAACATCAAAATACTAGATGCTGATTGGTCGAGCGGCTTTTGCCAGAAATTTTAGGACAGAGAATTTGTCATCAGGATCTTATGGTTAACAAATTCTTTATATTTTCATCGCCAAGTTTTCAAACCTTGATCTTCGAATCCTTCTGTAGAAAGGACAATCTCTTTCAAAGAAAATCAGTCGGGCAGAGCTGAATGCATGAATATAAATTTAACTCAAAATTTTAGTTCTAGTTTCAAGTGTAATAAAGCATGGCTTTTCGTTCACAATTATATCATCATAAACTCAAACATTTACTTCTTCCAAGCGCTTTATTTGTCTGTGGCTTGATTATTTTTATTTGTGGATTGGTGAGAACCTTTCATGTTGGAGAAAAAATGCCAAGAAATGCCAAAGAAAGAAAAATTGTTCAAGCACGAAATGATTATGTTGAATGGTGGAATGGCTTTCCTGTAAGGTCATTTATGAAACCTGTAAAACATTACTGTCTTAGCAGAAGCGATTTAACGACCTGCGGCGTTTATTTTTTTATCTCACAGTTATAAGAACATTCTTGAAACTTTGCTGTAATAACTTCGCTTAGTTAACAAAATCGTCTTCGTATCTTTTATACAAATAAGTCACGTCCACAATTTGGGGATTTTACGCTTAAATGCACATTTAAGTATAAATAGTAAATAATGCATTCATATTCTGCTCTTAAAGTAGTTTTTTGATAATAAATTCATCTTAAAAATGATCTGTTGTTGTTTTATTATAGTTGATGCTTAGTGTTCTGTTGGGAATCGTTGCTGTATTATATGAGAAACCGTTATTTGTAAGTTATGGCTATCTGTTGACACGTATGATCGTCATCATTTTAAACACTCGTTGTTCTTTTTTTATAGTTCAAAATCGCTGTTGTTTCAATTGCTGTATGTTTTGTTCTGTCAATATTCTCGTTGATCCTGGACTCTGTTGAACTTTTTTGGTTATCTCAAAGTGTGCAAGACATGAATTTGTTGAAAATGAAAGGATTTGATTGCAAGGATTCTACTCCGACGTATGACAATGGTTATAATACAGAATGTAAATGTACAAAAGGCGATAATACAAGTTAGTAAATATGTTTTATTTACCGTCTTCAAGATATCTGTGGGGAAGTTTTTACTAGGTCTCAAAAATGACCTGGAGGCAAAGTCTATTCTTGACCAAATCGGTCAACTGGAAGCTACGGCTACTACCTTCTGATACCGGCCGAATACTGCTATTGGTACTGGTAGATTAAATTACCGGTAACGATGATTTTAATCCTCCGTTTCTTCACAAAAATTATAGAACAAACGCAATCCATGGGAGCATTAAATATTTATTTATTTTATAGGTTGGACCACTTATTCCCTTAGTCGGACTTCTTGTAAACTAATGATGGCTCAGTATTATGTCTACTTTATAATTGTGTTCTTTACAACGTGTTCCTGTGGTCTCTGTTTGTTCACGCTTGTCTATTTTGTTCTTAAGCTTAAGTCGATTTCACAGGTAAGTTGGTGTTAAGTTTTATACACTGTTTAAGTTATTGTTTAATATAAAATTTGTTTCCCTGTAGATAATAAATGCAGGGAGCGTAGATGACACTCCATTGAACGACGACTTTGATAAACTTCATGGTAGTCACGTCACATCGTAAGTTGTTCAATTACATTGAATGATAACTCAGTGCTTTCATATTTAACTTTACAATGTCAAGAAAAATGTGTAACATGCAATGTCAAAAATATGAAGATTTTAAATCATTTCTAACCCCAGGACCCTTTCATCTTCAAAAACAACAACATCATGTTCTTGCATGGAGATTGGCTTCCAGTTCCTCACCAGGAACATAAGCTCTTATTGTTTGAGCATTGTTGCATTTTAACGAAACACATTTCGGACACTCGGTTTATCCGTTGATGATTGCCCAACTTGTGTTGTTAGTGATTAAAAACAATACTAAACCCTTCTACCCATCACACAAAGGACAACACCATATCTTCTTGATGTGTTGATTTCTCACCGCCAAAAGTATAAGCTTATATAATACAGTTTGACCATTGTTCAGTCGTAATAAAGCATATTATGTAGTGTGGGTTCATCTGTAGATGATTGTACAACACAGGATTATCGCGATTAAAGACAGATCACCGTGGATGTATGCGTGTTACAGTAAGTCACAGCTTGTAAATATAGTACTGAGTTTACAGTAGATGACACTATAGATTACAGTGAAATACAGTAGATGATCCTTGCTCTTGCTTGCTGTAGTTTTTTGACCATTCATCACCCTACTAGATAACTTAAGGACTGATATTTTGTCATCAGGATCTGATGTTTACCAAATTCTTTATATTTTCATCGCCATGTGTTTGAACCTTGATCTTCCAATCCTATTATGGGAAGGACAATATCTTTCAAAAGAAAGCTGTTGGGAAGCCTGAATACATGAATATAATTTTGATTCCCTAAACCTACTCAGCCAACTGGATAATCAACCCTTCAGGAAATGAACAATAATAAGACAATATCTAAATTAGTATTCTGTATTTAAAGATTTAGAAAATACCATTGTTCTCCATCGTTTTCACTCCATTTATGGATTTTACTTGAGCTTTAAATCCCACACTACTTCATGAATTTTAGGCACTATGGGATATAGAACATCAAAATACTAGATGCTGATTGGTCGAGCGGCTTTTGCCAGAAATTTTAGGACAGATAATTTGTCATCAGGATCTTATGGTTAACAAATTCTTTATATTTTCATCGCCAAGTTTTCAAACCTTGATCTTCGAATCCTTCTGTAGAAAGGACAATCTCTTTCAAAGAAAATCAGTCGGGCAGAGCTGAATGCATGAATATAAATTTAACTCAAAATTTTAGTTCTAGTTTCAAGTGTAATAAAGCATGGCTTTTCGTTCACAATTATATCATCATAAACTCAAACATTTACTTCTTCCAAGCGCTTTATTTGTTTGTGGCTTGATTATTTTTATTTGTGGATTGGTGAGAACCTTTTATGTTGGAGAAAAAATGCCAAGAAATGCCAAAGAAAGAAAAATTGTTCAAGCACGAAATGATTATGTTGAATGGTGGAATGGCTTTCCTGTAAGGTCATTTATGAAATCTGTAAAACATTACTGTCTTAGCAGAAGCGATTTAACGACCTGCGGCGTTTATTTTTTTCTCACAGTTATAAGAACATCTTGAACCTTTGCTGTAATAACTTCGCTTTGTTGACAAAATCGTCTTCGTATCTTTTACACAAATACGTCAAGTCCACATTGTTGAGGAGTTTACACTTAAATAAACATTTAAGTATAAATAGTAAATAATGCATTCATATTCTGCTCTTAAAGTAGTTTTTTGATAATAAATTCATCTTAAAATTGATCTGTTGTTATTTTATTATAAATGATGATTAGTGTTCTGTTGGGAATCGTTGCTGTATTATATGAGAAACCGTTAGTTGTAAGTTATGGCTATCTGATGACCCGTATGATCGTCATCATTTTAAACAGTCATTGTTCTTTTTTTATAGTTCAAAATCGCTGTTGTTTCAATTGCTGTATGTTTTGTTATGTCAATATTTTCGTTGATGCTGGACTCTGCTGAACTTTCTTGGTTATCTCGAAGTGTACAATACATGAATTTCTTGAAAATGAAAGGATTTGACTGCAAGGATTCTACTCCGACGTATGATAATAGTTATGATACACAATGTGAATGTACAAAAGGCGACAATACAAGTTAGTAAATATGTTTTATTTACCGTCTTCAAGATATGTGTGGGGAAGTTTTTACTAGGTCTCAAAAATGACGTGGATGCAAAGTCTATTCTTGACCAAATCGGTCAACTGGAAGCTACGGCTACTACCTTCTGATATCGGCCGAATACTGCTATTTGTACGTGTAGATTACGACGTGTAGAATATCACTGGTAAATTAAATTACCGATAACGATGATTTTAATCCTCCGTTTCTTCACAAAAATTATAGAACAAACGCAATCCATTGGAGCATTAAATATTTATTTATTTTATAGGTTCGACCTTCTCTTTTTATCTTAGTTGGACTCCTTGTGAACTAATGATGGCTGGGTATTATGTCTACTTTATAATTGTGTTCTTTACGTCGTGTTCCTGTGGTCTCAGTTTGTTCACGCTTGCTTATTTTGTTCTTAAGCTTAAGTCGATTTCACAGGTAAGTTGACGTTATGTTTTATAAACTATTAAAGTTTCTGTTTAATATAATATTTGTTTTATGTTTGTGCATTTACTTTATAATATTTGTTTCCCTATAGATCAAAAATGCAAATGCAGAGAGCGTAGATGAGACTCCATTGAACGACGACTTTGATAATCTTCATGGTAGTCACGTCACATCGTAAATTCTTCAATTAGATTGAACGATAACTCAGTGCTTTCATATTTAACTTTACAATGTCAAGAAAAATGTGTAACATGCAATGTCAAAAATATGAAGATTTTAATTCACATCTAACCCCAGGACCCTTTCATCTCCAAAAAGAACAACACAATGCTCTTGCATGGAGACTCGCTTCCAGTTCCTCATCAGGAACATAAGCTCTTATTGTTTGAGCATTGTTGCATTTTAACAAAGCACGCTTCGTACACTTGATTCATCCGTTGATGATTGCACAACTTGTGTTGTTAGTGATTAAAAACAATACTAAACCCTTCCACCCATCATACAAATGACAACACCATATCTTCTTGAAGTGTTGAGTTCTCACCGCCAAAAGTATAAGCTTATATAATACAGTTTGACCATTATTCAGTCGTAATAAAGCATATTATGTAGTTTCGGTTCATCTGTTGATGATTGTTCAACACAGGATTATCGCGAATAAAGACAGATCACAGTGGATGTATGCGAGTTACAGTAAATCACAGCTTGTAGATATTGCACTGAGTTTACAGTAGATGACACTACATAGGTTACAATGAAATACAGTAGATGATCCTTGCTCTTGCTTGCTGTAGTTTTTTGACCATTCATCACTCTACTAAATAACTTAAGGACTGATATTTTGTCATCAGGATCTGATGTTTACCAAATTCTTTATAATTTCATCGCCATGTGTTTGAACCTTGATCTTCTAATCCTATTGTAGAAAGAACAATATCTTTCAAAAGAAATCAGTTGGGTAGGGCTGAATACATGAATATAATTTTGATTCCCTAAACCTACTCAGCCAACTGGATAATCAACCCTTGAGGAAATGAACAATAATAACACAATATCTAAATTAGTATTCTGTATTTAGAGATTTAGAAAATACTATTGTTCTCCATCGTTTTCACTCCATTTATGGATTTTACTTGAGCTTTAAATCCCACACTACTTCATGAATTTTAGGCACTATGGGATATAGAACATCAAAATACTAGATGCTGATTGGTCGAGTGGCTTTGGCCAGAAACTTTAGGACAGATAATTTGTCATCAGGATCTTATGGTTAACAAATTCTTTATATTTTCATCGCCAAGTTTTCAAACCTTGATCTTCGAATCCTTCTGTAGAAAGGACAATCTCTTTCAAAGAAAATCAGTCGGGCAGAGCTGAATACATGAATATAAATTTAACTCAAAATTTTAGTTCTAGTTTCAAGTGTAATAAAGCATGGCTTTTCGTTCACAATTATATCATCATAAACTCAAACATTTACTTCTTCCAAGCGCTTTATTTGTTTGTGGCTTCATTATTTTTATTTGTGGATTGGTGAGAACCTTTCATGTTGGAGAAAAAATGCCAAGAAATGCCCACGAAAGAAACACTGTTCAAGCAGGAAATGAATATGTTGAATGGTGGAATGCCTTTCCTGTAAGGTCATTTATGAAATTTGTAAAACATTACTGTCTTAGCAGAAGCGATTTAACGATCTGCGGCGTTTATTTTTTTATGTAACAGTTATAAGAACATTCTTGAACCTTTGCTGTAATAACTTCGCTTTGTTAACAAAATCATCTTCGTATCTTTTACACAAATAAATCACGTCCACATTGTTGAGGAGTTTACGCTTAAATGCACATTTAAGTATAAATAGTAAATAATGCATTCATATTCTGCTCTTAAAGTAGTTTTTTGATAATAAATTCATTTTAATAATGATCTGTTGTTGTTTTATTATAGCTGATGCTTAGTGCTCTGTTGGGAATCGTTGCTGTATTATATGAGAAACCGTTATTTGTAAGTTATGGCTATCTGTTGACACGTATGATCGTCGTCATTTTAAACACTCGTTGTTCTTTTTTTATTGTTCAAAATCGCTGTTGTTTCAATTGCTGTATGTTTTGTTCTGTCAATATTCTCGTTGATGCTGGGCTCTGCTGAACTTTCTTGGTTATCTGAAAGTGTACAATACATCAAGTTCTTAAAAATGGAAGGATTTGACTGCAAGGATTCTACCCCGACGTATGATTATAGTTATGGTACAGAATGTGAATGTACAAAAGGCGATAATACAAGTTAGTAAATTTTTTTTTATTTACCGTCTTCAAGATCTGTGTGGGGAAGTTTTTACTAGGTCACAAAAATGACCTGGAGGCAAAGTCTATTTTTGATGATATTGGTCAACTGGAAGCTAAGGCTATTATCTTCTGATACCGGCCGAATACTGCTCTTGGTACTGGTAGATTATGGCGTGTAGAATTTCACGGGTAGATTAAATTACCGGTAACGATGATTTTAATCCTACGTTTCTTTACAACAATTTTAGAACAAACGCAATCCATTGATTTTACACAAAATCGCAAGCTTGTCGTTTTAAGTTTTATTCAATTGCTTCATCCAATCTACATGGAAAACGATACGCCTCCAACGTTTTGTGTATGTGTCTGTTTTTTTTTCAACCAACCTACGATGTAATCTCAATCTCGATTAATTTTAACTATAAGAGGCCCACAGACCACTTGCTCAACCAATCAGAATAAAGAAAACTCTTAAATGTAAAATGAATTACGAAAATCCAACTTTCTCATCCAATGTTGATACAATACATCTACAAACATTTTCCAGCAATATTTAGTACAATAAAGAGCATTAAATATTTATTTATTTTATAGGTTGGACCTCTTATTCCCTTAGTCCGACTTCTTGTAAAGTAATGATGGCTCAGTATTATGTCTACTTTATAATTGTGTTCTTTACATCGTGTTGCTGTGGTCTCTGTTTCTTCACGCTTGTCTATTTTGTTCTTAAGCTTAAGCCGATTTCACAGGTAAGTTGGTGTTAAGTTTTATACACTGTTTAAGTTATTGTTTAATATAATATTTGTTTCCCTATAGATCAAAAATGCAAATGCAGGGAGCGTGGATGAGACTCCATTGAACGACAACTTTGATAATTATACGTTTGTAACATGTTTGTAACATTTGATAACTTTGATAATCTTCATGGTAGTCACGTCACATCGTAAATTCTTCAATTAGATTGAACGATAACTCAGTGCTTTCATATTTAACTTTACAATGTCAAGAAAAATGTGTAACATGCAATGTCAAAAATATGAAGATTTTAATTCATTTCTAACCCCAGGACCCTTTCATCTTCAAAAACAACAACACCATGTTCTTGCATGGAGATTGGCTTCCAGTTCCTCATCAGGAACATAAGCTCTTATTGTTTGAGCATTGTTGCATTTTAACGAAACACACTTCGGACACTTGGTTCATCCGTTGATGATTGCACAACTTGTGCTGTTAGTGATTAAAAACAATACTAAACCCTTCCACCCATCATACAAAGGACAACACCATATCTTCTCTAAGTGTCAATTTCTCACAGCCAAAAGTATAAGCTTATATAATATTGGTTGACCATTATTCAGTCTTAATAAAGCATATTATGTAGTTTCGGTTCATCTGTTGATGATTGTACAGCACAGGATTATTGCGATTAAAGACAGATGACAGTGGACGTATGCGAGTTACAGTAAATCACAGCTTGTAGATATAGCACTGAGTTTACCGTAGATGACACTATATAGGTTACAGTGAAATACAGAAGACGTCTTTGCTCTTGCTTGCTGTAGTTTTTTGACCATTAATCACCCTACTAGATAACTTAAGGACTGATATTTTGTCATCAGGATCTGATGTTTACCAAATTCTTTATATTTTCATCACCATGTGTTTGAACCTTGATCTTCCAATCCTATTATGGGAAGGACAATATCTTTCAAAAGAAATCAGTTGGGTAGGGCTGAATACATGAATATAATTTTGATTCTCAACTATTGTTCTAGTTTCACGAGTAAACAGCATGGCTTTTCGTTCACAATTATATCATCCTAAACTCAGGCATTTACTCTTCCAAGCGCTTTATTTGTTTGTGGCTTCATTATTTTTATTTGTGGATTGGTGAGAACCTTTCATGTTGGAGAAAAATGCCAAGAAATGCCCACGAAAGAAACACTGTTCAAGCAGGAAATGAATATGTTGAATGGTGGAATGCCTTTCCTGTAAGGTCATTTATGAAATTTGTAAAACATTACTGTCTTAGCAGAAGCGATTTAACGATCTGCGGCGTTTATTTTTTTATGTAACAGTTATAAGAACATTCTTGAACCTTTGCTGTAATAACTTCGCTTTGTTAACAAAATCATCTTCGTATCTTTTACACAAATAAATCACGTCCACATTGTTGAGGAGTTTACGCTTAAATGCACATTCAAGTATAAATAGTAAATAATGCATTCATATTCTGCTCTTAAAGTAGTTTTTTGATAATAAATTCATTTTAATAATGATCTGTTGTTGTTTTATTATAGCTGATGCTTAGTGCTCTGTTGGGAATCGTTGCTGTATTATATGAGAAACCGTTATTTGTAAGTTATGGCTATTTGTTGACACGTATGATCGTCGTCATTTTAAACACTCGTTGTTCTTTTTTTATAGTTCAAAATCGCTGTTGTTTCAATTGCTGTATGTTTTGTTCTGTCAATATTCTCGTTGATGCTGGGCTCTGCTGAACTTTCTTGGTTATCTGAAAGTGTACAACACATGAAGTTCTTGAAAATGGAAGGATTTGACTGCAAGGATTCTACCTCGACGTATGATAATAGATATGATACAGGATGTAAATGTACAAAAGACAATAAAAAAGGTTAGTAAATATGTTTTATTTACCGTCTTCAAGATCTGTGTGGGGAAGTTTTTACTAGGTCACAAAAATGACCTGGAGGCAAAGTCTATTTTTGATGAAATTGGTCAACTGGAAGCTAAGGCTATTATCTTCTGATACCGGCCGAATACTGCTCTTGGTACTGGTAGATTATGACGTGTAGAATTTCACGGGTAGATTAAATTACCGGTAACGATGATTTTAATCCTACGTTTCTTTACAACAATTTTAGAACAAACGCAATCCATTGATTTTACACAAAATCGCAAGCTTGTCGTTTTAAGTTTTATTCAATTGCTTCATCCAATCTACATGGAAAACGATACGCCTCCAACGTTTTGTGTATGTGTCTGTTTTTTCAACCAACCTACGATGTAATCTCAATCTCGATTAATTTTAACTATAAGAGGCCCACAGACCACTTGCTCAACCAATCAGAATAAAGAAAACTCTTAAATGTAAAATGAATTACGAAAATCCAACTTTCTCATCCAATGTTGATACAATACATCTACAAACATTTTCCAGCAATATTTAGTACAATAAAGAGCATTAAATATTTATTTATTTTATAGGTTCGACCTCTATATATCTTAGTTGGACTTCTTGTAAAGTAATGATGGCTCAGTATTATGTCTACTTCATAATTGTGTTCTTTACATCGTGTTGCTGTGGTCTCTGTTTCTTCACGCTTGTCTATTTTGCTCTTAAGCTTAAGCCGATTTCACAGGTAAGTTGGTGTTAAGTTTTATACACTGTTTAAGTTATTGTTTAATATAATATTTGTTTCCCTATAGATCGAAAATGCAAATGCAGGGAGCGTGGATGAGACTCCATTGAACGACAACTTTGATAATTATACGTTTGTAACATGTTTGTAACATTTGATAACTTTGATAATCTTCATGGTAGTCACGTCACATCGTAAATTCTTCTATTAGATTGAACGATAACTCAGTGCTTTCATATTTAACTTTACAATGTCAAGAAAAATGTGTAACATGCAATGTCAAAAATATGAAGATTTTAATTCATTTCTAACCCCAGGACCCTTTCATCTTCAAAAACAACAACACCATGTTCTTGCATGGAGATTGGCTTCCAGTTCCTCATCAGGAACATAAGCTCTTATTGTTTGCGCATTGTTGCATTTTAACGAAACACACTTCGGACACTTGGTTCATCCGTTGATGATTGCACAACTTGTGCTGTTAGTGATTAAAAACAATACTAAACCCTTCCACCCATCATACAAAGGACAACACCATATCTCTCTAAGTGTCAATTTCTCACAGCCAAAAGTATAAGCTTATATAATATTGGTTGACCATTATTCAGTCTTAATAAAGCATATTATGTAGTTTCGGTTCATCTGTTGATGATTGTACAGCACAGGATTATTGCGATTAAAGACAGATGACAGTGGATGTATGCGAGTTACAGTAAATCACAGCTTGTAGATATAGCACTGAGTTTACAGTAGATGACACTATAGGTTACAGTGAAATACAGTAGATGTCTTTGCTCTTGCTTGCTGTAGTTTTTTGACCATTAATCACCCTACTAGATAACTTAAGGACTGATATTTTGTCATCAGGATCTGATGTTTACCAAATTCTTTATATTTTCATCACCATGTGTTTGAACCTTGATCTTCCAATCCTATTATGGGAAGGACAATATCTTTCAAAAGAAATCAGTTGGGTAGGGCTGAATACATGAATATAATTTTAATTCTCAACTATTGTTCTAGTTTCACGAGTAAACAGCATGGCTTTTCGTTCACAATTATATCATCCTAAACTCAGGCATTTACTTCTTCCAAGCGCTTTATTTGTTTGTGGCTTCATTATTTTTATTTGTGGATTGGTGAGAACCTTTCATGTTGGAGAAAAAATGCCAAGAAATGCCCACGAAAGAAACACTGTTCAAGCAGGAAATGAATATGTTGAATGGTGGAATGCCTTTCCTGTAAGGTCATTTATGAAATTTGTAAAACATTACTGTCTTAGCAGAAGCGATTTAACGATCTGCGGCGTTTATTTTTTATCTCACAGTTATAAGAACATTCTTGAACCTTTGCTGTAATAACTTCGCTTTGTTAACAAAATCGTCTTCGTATCTTTTTCACAAATAAGTCACGTCCACATTGTTGAGGAGTTTACGCTTAAATACACATTTAAGTATAAATAGTAAATAATGCATTCATATTCTGCTCTTAAAGTAGTTTTTTGATAATAAATTCATTTTAATAATGATCTGTTGTTGTTTTATTATAGCTGATGCTTAGTGCTGCGTTAGGAATCGTTGCTGTATTGTATGAAAAACCGTTAGTTGTAAGTTATGGCTATCTGTTGACACGTATGATCGTCGTCAATTTAAACATTCGTTGTTCTTTTTTATAGTTCAAAATCGCTCTTGTTTCAATTGCTGTATGTTTTGTGCTGTCAATATTCTCGTTGATGCTGGACTCTGCTGAATTTTCTTGGTTATCTCGAAACGTACAACGCATGAAGTTCTTGAAAATGGAAGGATTTGACTGCAAGGATTCTACCTCGACGTATGATAATAGTTATGATACAGGATGTAAATGTACAAAAGACGATAAAAAAGGTTAGTAAATATGTTTTATTTACCGTCTTCAAGATCTGTGTGGGGAAGTTTTTACTAGGTCTCAAAAATGACCTGGAGGCAAAGTCTATTTTTGATGAAATTGGTCAACTGGAAGCTAAGGCTATTATCTTCTGATACCGGCCGAATACTGCTCTTGGTACGGGTAGATTATGACGTGTAGAATTTCACTGGTAGATTAAATTGCCGGTGACGATGATTTTAATCCTCCGTTTCCTTACAACAATTTTAGAACAAACGCAATCCATCGATTTTACACAAAATTGCAAACTTGTCGTTCTAAGTTTTATTCAATTGCTTCATCCAATCTACATGGAAAACGATACGCCTCCAACGTTTTGTGTATGTGTCTGTTTTTTTTTCAACCAACCTACGATGCGATCTCAATCTCGATTAAGTTTAACTATAAGAAGCCCACAGATTACTTGCTCAACCAATCAGAATAAAGAAAACTCTTAAATGTGAAATGAATTACGAAAATCCAACTGTCTCATCCAATGTTGATACAATACATCTACAAACATTTCCCTGTGATATTTAGTACAATAAAGAGCATTAAATATTTATTTATTTTATAGGTTCGACCTCTAAATATCTTAGTTGGACTTCTTGTAAAGTAATGATGGCTCAGTATTATGTCTACTTCATGATTGTGTTCTTTACATCGTGTTCCTGTGGTCTCTGTTTGTTCACGCTTGTCTCTTTTGTTCTCAAGCTTAAGTCGATTTCACAGGTAGTTGACGTTATGTTTTATAAACTGTTAAAGTTATTGTTTAATATAATATTTGTTTCCCCATAGATCAAAAATACAAATGCAGGGAGCGTGGATGAGACTCCATTGAACGACAACTTTGATAATCTTCATGGTAGTCACGTCACATCGTAATTTCTTCAATTAGATTAAACGATAACTCAGTTCTTTCATATTTAACTTTACAATGTCAAGAAAAATGTGTAACATGCACTGTCAAAAATATGAAGATTTTGATTCATGTCATATTTTCCAAGTATAATTTTATATCTAATCCCAGAACAATCCTGAACCTTCCATCTTCAAAAAGAACAACACTATCGGGCATGCTCTTGGAGATTCGCTTCCAGTTCCTCATCAGAAACATAAGCTCTTCTTGTTTGAGCATTGTTTAGTTTTAATCAGTGGTTTTAATGGAGCACACTTCGTAGTGTCTGTTTATCTTTTGATGTATGCACAACATGTGCTGTTTGTGATTAAAGACGATGACAGAGTATGAATAAAAGTTACAGTACGTTACAATAAGTTACAGTAAGTTTTAGTCAGTTACAGTAAGTTACAGTAAGTTAGAGTAAGTTAGAGTAAGTTACAGTCAGTTACAGTAAGTTACATTAGTTACCAGTAGTTACCAGTAGTTAACAGTAGTTACAAGTAGTTACCATAGTTAACAGTATTTACCAGTAGTTACCAGGAGTTACCAGTAGGTTACAATAGTTGGCAGTATAACTTAATGACCATTTACCACCCCAGTACAAAAATGAATTCTTTCTTTGCTATTGCAATTTAGGCAAATGTAGTTATCGAAGCCTTTTTACTGAATATTCAATTCTGTAAATAGCTGATATTGCGCGTGCCCGTTTTCATCAATTGTATTTGAGGGTTAAACATTGAAGTATGAAGACCAATGAAGGATTTTTTGTGGGTTTTTTACCTTTCATTTCATCTAAAGTCACAATTTGTCGTGACTGGGTGTTCATTAGATTGGACAAAACATAAGCTATATGACAGAATGCAGGACTTTTCCTTATGTTTAGCGTTATGTCAACCTTTATATCTAACTTTATGTCTATCTTTATATGTTTACTTTTTTGTCTTCCTTTATGTTTACCTTGATGTCTACGTTTTTGTCTACCTTTATGTCAACCTTTATGTCTACCTTTAGGTCTACCTTTATGCCTACGTTTATGTCTACCTTTATGTATACCTTTATGTCTACCTTTATGTATACCTTTACGTCTACCTTTATGTCAACCTTTATTTTCCCTTTATTTCACCTTTATGTCTTTATTTCTACCTTTATGTGTACCTTTATGTTCACCTTTATGTCTACCTTTATGTCTATCTTATTTCTACCTTTGTCTCACCTTTATTCCTTTATCCTTTATGTCATCTTTATGTCTACCTTTATGTGTACCTTTATGTCTTTTATGTCTTTTATGTAACCTTTATTTCACCTTTATGCCTTTTATGTTCCTTTTGTCTACCTTTATGTCACCTTTATGTCACCTTTATCTTTATTTCTACCTTTTATGCCTACCTTTATGTCTACCTTGTGTTCACCTTTATGTCACCTTTATGTCAACCTTTATGTTCTATTGTTTATGTTCACCTTTTAATCTACCTTTATGTTCACCTTTATGTTTATTTATACCTTTATGTCTAGCTTTATGTCTGTCTTATATTCCACCTTATGTTTATCTTTATGCCTACTTTTCTTTATGTTCACCTTTATGTTCACCTTTATGTCTATCTTTATTTATCTTTATGTCTACCTTTATGTCACCTTTGTCTCCTTTATGTCTACCTTTATGTCTTTATGTGTACCTTTATGTCACCTTTATGTGTAATCTTTATGTCACCTTTATGTCTACCTTTATGTCAACCTTTATGTCTATGTTTATGTCTCACCTTTATTTCACCTTTATGTCTACCTTTATGTTTACCTTTATGTCACCTTTATGTCTAGCTTTATGTCTGTCTTTATATCTACCTTTATGTCTACCTTTATGTTTATCTTTATGCCTACTTTTACTTCCTACCTTTATGTCTACCTTTATGTCTACCTTTATGTCTATCTTTATATCTACCTTTATGTCTACCTTTATGTCTACGTTTATGTCTACATTTATGTCTACCTTCGTGTTTATCTTTATGTTCATCTTTATGCCTACCTTCATGTGTATCTTAATGTCTACCTGTTGAGTTACAACTTCACGCAATAAATTATTCCGCCAGTGGAATTTTGCAATCCTAGGAAGTATAAAGACATGAAAGAAATTCAAGACATGTCACATTTCAACAAATTTAAAAATAGCACTGACGACAGTAGTGGCATAGGAAAAGAACTGTTTGATCTTTTGATAACATTTCTACGCGAAATAACGTCAATATTCTGTTTGTGGAACAAAAAATGATTTCAATTGAAAAATCATTTAGATTAAAGTTTACTGAATGCATCTTCCTTTACTCGATGTACATTTTCAAAATATCACAATGCAATGTAACAAACAAGATTTTAATTCACGTCATATTTTCCACGTATTATTTTATATCTAACTCCTGGACAATCCTGAACCCTTCCACCCTCAAAAAGTACAACACCATGTTCTTGTAGACTCGCTTTTTCACCAGGAATATAAGCGATAATAGTTTGACCATTGTTCAGTCTTAATAAAGCACATTTTCTGTTTGCGGAGTTTGGTTTTTTAGGTTTTCTGATAAAAACCTTTACACAAACACCTTTCCTCTGAGGACCTTTTAGAATTTCATTTGATTTTTTCGCCGTTGACTTCAGTTTTTTTGCTTTTGTTCGACGTTTGCCGCGTTGGATCTGATTTAAAGTTGGAAATCTTCGAACAATCCAGTGACCATGTGTTTCCAGGGGTAATGATGGTTTGATAGTGGTTATAGGTGTTATGGAGTGAAATTTGGCGATTTTATGGCCGTCGTAGAGCTTATCTGTGTAAAGAAAGGATGGGATTCAGATGGGAAAAGTTGACGAAGTTGGGAGAGAAGTCTGCTACAGCTTCATTGACAATTTTATAAATAAACACACATTTTGTTGATTTCATACCGTAGTGAACAGCAAGTCTATTTTCAGGTTTTGAAAGTTGAAAATATCCAACATATCGCTGGAGTCACATGAAAGAGTTAAAGAGAACATATTTTAAAAGTGAATATTTCGTCCAAGTCACACACCACCAAGACAGATTTAGATGTAAAGGTTTATTTTACTTACATTTAAAAAAAAGCGTTTGGAGAAAAACACTGACGAAAAACACTTGTTTGTTTTGTCACTTTTACAGTGTAAATATGATGGGACGCAAAAGAATATTCTTCGTGTTTTGCAAGAAAAATTGACAAGCTTCCAAAGAGCAGCCATATTGGAAACAAAACACTTGTTTTTATCGTTCAATATTATTGAAAGAAATTATTTACTGTACATGTTGTTTAAACAATATCATCAGTTTTCTTCCACTTAATGTCTACAAGAAAAAATATATAAGGGTAGAACTTTTATTCAGCATTTAAGAAACTATTTAATTTTTTTAATACGCACCACAACATGATGGTGTATTTCTGAGCGATGTAAACACGGCAGTTATGTTAGAAGCTACAGTACTGAACTATATATGTATGAGTAAAACTGAAGTATTTGTTTAGTAAATGCACGACTCAAAATGGCGGAGGTTTCTGGAAATTTTAGAAATGTAGATTATACAGATATCAGAATTAGGGAGCATGAATTGTACTATTCCATTTTCTCATGCTCAAGCTTTGCTGGAAGCTTTCATCCAACGTACGTGCTCTTGCTGTTGTTGCTTGATATTTGCAAAATTGAGCTTTGAGTATAAGATGTAGAGACTTTTTAGGTTTTCTTCTAGTGACAATGGATAGATGGAATAATGATTGAGTTCATAAAACAGTTACCACTTTATATATGTTTTAGAGTTAGGTCAGAATGAGATGATTTTGACACGAATGAAGAGCTTGTGAATAATATGAAATATGTGGGCACTGAGAACTTTTAGCTGCAGGCTGCAGAAGACAGCCGTTGACAGAATCAGTTCATTTGCTGAGAAATTTATTAAATTTTAATTGTTAAGATAGTAATTTATTATAATGCGGTGCTGTAGTTTTTTATTTAGAGAAATTTGACTTAAAGTTTCCGACTGTTTCTGCAACAAAAGACATTTTTATTTGAGCCCAATGTTATTCGTCCATACTGTGTGTCTGTTGATAAATACAGCACATGCACTGTCTGTTGAAGGATGAGAAAGTTTACTGTGTACAAGTGATAATTTGCCTTTCTTTCTTCCTTTGTCATAGACTTATCATGGAGGAAAATCCAAGTGATCAGAATTCAAGATGGGTATCTGAAACGCACGTACCACCACAAGTTTGTTTTTTTCTACTATTTCACATTATTTCTCATTAAAATTGCGTTGATATCATAGTCATTTGTTGCTTAAGCTATAAAGTCATATTGCTTTTATTTTACTTTACATAGTTCATTACTTTGAAACTTGAGAAACCATCTGCCGTAACAAAATCATATTTGGAAAGTACTCACAGAGTCATGTCTGTAATATAAAGAAATTTAAAGTTTATGGAAGTTTATATGATGATGATGAAAATATGATTGAATTATTAGAGAGGTAGTTATTGCAAAAGTTATTGTATCTTCATAAATTAAACATTATCATGATTAAATCTTTGTTTTATTTCAGTGGTCTACACAATGACAATGTAAAAGAGACATTTGATTTAAAACATAAAGTTGGAGGAAAAATCTTTCCTGTAAATTTCATCAAAATTGGTACATTACACCATTGTACATTGTTACTTTTATAATTTATGTAGCATTTTTGACATTGCATGGAATAACACTCAGTCTTCGAAGTGGAAATGCAGAAAAAACTACTTTAGGGACTTTAATATTTAATTATTCACTAATAATCAACTATGTAATCAATGAAATTTGATATTTTTGTGCTTTCAGAACCATTGGTAAGCTGGGGAACAACTTTTAGCTTTAGCATTTGGTTTGTTGAGTTGATTGGGGTTGATGATGATGATTGTGTCAAGGTTTACACAGATTGGTTTAATAGTGTAAGTTAACATTTGAATAAAGTTTTTGGTACAACATCATTAAACTATGACATCATTAAACTATGACATCATTAAACTACGACATCATTAAACTATGACATCATTAAACTATGACATCATTAAACTATGATTTCATGAAACTATGATATCATTAAACTATTACATCATTAAACTATGATTTCATGAAACTATGATATCATTAAACTATGACATCATTAAACTATGATTTCATTAAACTATGATTTCATGAAACTATGATTTCATGAAACTATGATATCATTAAACTATGACATCATTAAACTATGATTTCATGAAACTATGATATCATTAAACTATGACATCATTAAACTATGACATCATTAAACTATGATTTCATGAAACTATGATATCATTTCCTTGTAATGATAATTATACGTTTGTAACATGTTTGTAACATTTGATAACTTTGATAATCTTCATGGTAGTCACGTCATATCCTAAATTCTTCAATTAGATTGAACGATAACTCTGTGCTTTCATTTTTAACTTTACAATGTCAAGAAAAATGTGTAACATGCAATGTCAAAAATATGAAGATTTTAACTCATTTCTAACCCCAGGACCCTTTCATCTTCATAAAGAACAACACCATGTTCTCGCATGGAGATTGGCTTCCAGTTCCTCATCAGGAACATAAGCTCTTATTGTTTGAGCATTGTTGCATTTTAACGAAACACACTTCGGACACTTGGTTCATCCGTTGATGATTGCACATCTTGTGTTGTTAGTGATTAAAAACAATACTAAACCCTTCCACCCATCATACAAAGGACAACACCATATCTTCTGAAGAGTTGATTTCTCACCGCCAAAAGTATAAGCTTATATAATACAGTTTGACTATTATTCAGTCGTAATAAAGCATATTATGTAGTGTCGGTTCATCTGTTGATGATTGTACAACACAGGATTATCGCGATTAAAGACAGATCACAGTGGATGTATGCGAGTTACAGTAAGTTACAGCTTGTAGATATAGCACTGAGTTTACAGTGGATGACACTATAGGTTACAGTGAAATACAGTAGATGATTCTTGCTCTTGCTTGCTGTAGTTTTTTGACCATTAATCACCCTACTAGATAACTTAAGGACTGATATTTTGTCATCAGGATCTGATGTTTACCAAATTCTTTATATTTTCATCGCCATGTGTTTGAGCCTTGATCTTCCAATCCTATTATAGAAAAGACAATATCTTTCAAAAGAAATCAGTTGGGCAGGGCTGAATACATGAATATAATTTTAATTCTCAACTATTGTTCTAGTTTCACGAGTAAACAGCATGGCTTTTCGTTCACAATTATATCATCCTAAACTCAGGCATTTACTTCTTCCAAGCGCTTTATTTGTTTGTGGCTTCATTATTTTTATTTGTGGATTGGTGAGAACCTTTCATGTTGGAGAAAAAATGCCAAGAAATGCCCACGAAAGAAACACTGTTCAAGCAGGAAATGAATATGTTGAATGGTGGAATGCCTTTCCTGTAAGGTCATTTATGAAATTTGTAAAACATTACTGTCTTAGCAGAAGCGATTTAACGATCTGCGGCGTTTATTTTTTTATGTAACAGTTATAAGAACATTCTTGAACCTTTGCTGTAATAACTTCGCTTTGTTAACAAAATCATCTTCGTATCTTTTACACAAATAAATCACGTCCACATTGTTGAGGAGTTTACGCTTAAATGCACATTCAAGTATAAATAGTAAATAATGCATTCATATTCTGCTCTTAAAGTAGTTTTTTGATAATAAATTCATTTTAATAATGATCTGTTGTTGTTTTATTATAGCTGATGCTTAGTGCTCTGTTGGGAATCGTTGCTGTATTATATGAGAAACCGTTATTTGTAAGTTATGGCTATTTGTTGACACGTATGATCGTCGTCATTTTAAACACTCGTTGTTTTTTTATAGTTCAAAATCGCTGTTGTTTCAATTGCTGTATGTTTTGTTCTGTCAATATTCTCGTTGATGCTGGGCTCTGCTGAACTTTCTTGGTTATCTGAAAGTGTACAACACATGAAGTTCTTGAATATGGAAGGATTTGACTGCAAGGATTCTACCTCGACGTATGATAATAGATATGATACAGGATGTAAATGTACAAAAGACAATAAAAAAGGTTAGTAAATATGTTTTATTTACCGTCTTCAAGATCTGTGTGGGGAAGTTTTTACTAGGTCACAAAAATGACCTGGAGGCAAAGTCTATTTTTGATGAAATTGGTCAACTGGAAGCTAAGGCTATTATCTTCTGATACCGGCCGAATACTGCTCTTGGTACTGGTAGATTATGACGTGTAGAATTTCACGGGTAGATTAAATTACCGGTAACGATGATTTTAATCCTACGTTTCTTTACAACAATTTTAGAACAAACGCAATCCATTGATTTTACACAAAATCGCAAACTTGTCGTTTTAAGTTTTATTCAATTGCTTCATCCAATCTACATGGAAAACGATACGCCTCCAACGTTTTGTGTATGTGTCTGTTTTTTTTTCAACCAACCTACGATGTAATCTCAATCTCGATTAATTTTAACTATAAGAGGCCCACAGACCACTTGCTCAACCAATCAGAATAAAGAAAACTCTTAAATGTAAAATGAATTACGAAAATCCAACTTTCTCATCCAATGTTGATACAATACATCTACAAACATTTTCCAGCAATATTTAGTACAATAAAGAGCATTAAATATTTATTTATTTTATAGGTTGGACCTCTATATATCTTAGTTGGACTTCTTGTAAAGTAATGATGGCTCAGTATTATGTCTACTTCATAATTGTGTTCTTTACATCGTGTTGCTGTGGTCTCTGTTTCTTCACGCTTGTCTATTTTGCTCTTAAGCTTAAGCCGATTTCACAGGCAAGTTGGTGTTAAGTTTTATACACTGTTTAAGTTATTGTTTAATATAATATTTGTTTCCCTATAGATCGAAAATGCAAATGCAGGGAGCGTGGATGAGACTCCATTGAACGACAACTTTGATAATTATACGTTTGTAACATGTTTGTAACATTTGATAACTTTGATAATCTTCATGGTAGTCACGTCACATCGTAAATTCTTCAATTAGATTGAACGATAACTCAGTGCTTTCATATTTAACTTTACAATGTCAAGAAAAATGTGTAACATGCAATGTCAAAAATATGAAGATTTTAATTCATTTCTAACCCCAGGACCCTTTCATCTCCAAAAAGAACAACACAATGCTCTTGCATGGAGATTGGCTTCCAGTTCGTCATCAGGAACATAAGCTCTTATTGTTTGAGCATTGTTGCATTTTAACGAAACACACTTCGGACACTTGGTTCATCCGTTGATGATTGCACAACTTGTGCTGTTAGTGATTAAAAACAATACTAAACCCTTCCACCCATCATACAAAGGACAACACCATATCTTCTCTAAGTGTCAATTTCTCACAGCCAAAAGTATAAGCTTATATAATATAGGTTGACCATTATTCAGTCTTAATAAAGCATATTATGTAGTTTCGGTTCATCTGTTGATGATTGTACAGCACAGGATTATTGCGATTAAAGACAGATGACAGTGGACGTATGCGAGTTACAGTAAGTCACAGCTTGTAGATATAGCAATGAGTTTACCGTAGATGACACTATATAGGTTACAGTTAAATACAGAAGACGTCTTTGCTCTTGCTTGCTGTAGTTTTTTGACCATTAATCACCCTACTAGATAACTTAAGGACTGATATTTTGTCATCAGGATCTGATGTTTACCAAATTCTTTATATTTTCATCACCATGTGTTTGAACCTTGATCTTCCAATCCTATTATGGGAAGGACAATATCTTTCAAAAGAAATCAGTTGGGTAGGGCTGAATACATGAATATAATTATAATTCTCAACTATTGTTCTAGTTTCACGAGTAAACAGCATGGCTTTTCGTTCACAATTATATCATCCTAAACTCAGGCATTTACTTCTTCCAAGCGCTTTATATGTTTGTGGCTTGATTATTTTTATTTGTGGATTGGTGAGAACCTTTCATGTTGGAGAAAAAATGCCAAGAAATGCCCACGAAAGAAACACTGTTCAAGCAGGAAATGAATATGTTGAATGGTGGAATGCCTTTCCTGTAAGGTCATTTATGAAATTTGTAAAACATTACTGTCTTAGCAGAAGCGATTTAACGATCTGCGGCGTTTATTTTTTTATGTAACAGTTATAAGAACATTCTTGAACCTTTGCTGTAATAACTTCGCTTTGTTGACAAAATCGTCTTCGTATCTTTTTCACAAATAAGTCACGTCCACATTGTTGAGGAGTTTACGCTTAAATACACATTTAAGTATAAATAGTAAATAATGCATTCATATTCTGCTCTTAAAGTAGTTTTTTGATAATAAATTCATTTTAATAATGATCTGTTGTTGTTTTATTATAGCTGATGCTTAGTGCTGCGTTAGGAATCGTTGCTGTATTGTATGAAAAACCGTTAGTTGTAAGTTATGGCTATCTGTTGACACGTATGATCGTCGTCAATTTAAACATTCGTTGTTCTTTTTTATAGTTCAAAATCGCTCTTGTTTCAATTGCTGTATGTTTTGTGCTGTCAATATTCTCGTTGATGCTGGACTCTGCTGAACTTTCTTGGTTATCTCGAAAAGTACAACGCATGAAGTTCTTGAAAATGGAAGGATTTGACTGCAAGGATTCTACCTCGACGTATGATAATAGTTATGATACAGGATGTAAATGTACAAAAGACGATAATAAAAGGTTAGTAAATATGTTTTATTTACCGTCTTCAAGATCTGTGTGGGGAAGTTTTACTAGGTCTCAAAATGACCTGGAGGCAAAGTCTATTTTTGATGAAATTGGTCAACTGGAAGCTAAGGCTATTATCTTCTGATACCGGCCGAATACTGCTCTTGGTACGGGTAGATTATGACGTGTAGAATTTCACGGGTAGATTAAATTGCCGGTGACGATGATTTTAATCCTCCGTTTCCTTACAACAATTTTAGAACAAACGCAATCCATCGATTTTACACAAAATTGCAAACTTGTCGTTCTAAGTTTTATTCAATTGCTTCATCCAATCTACATGGAAAACGATACGCCTCCAACGTTTTGTGTATGTGTCTGTTTTTTTTTCAACCATCCTACGATGCGATCTCAATCTCGATTAAGTTTAACTATAAGAAGCCCACAGATTACTTGCTCAACCAATCAGAATAAAGAAAACTCTTAAATGTGAAATGAATTACGAAAATCCAACTGTCTCATCCAATGTTGATACAATACATCTACAAACATTTCCCTGTGATATTTAGTACAATAAGTAACATTAAATATTTATTTATTTTATAGGTTTGACCTCTATATATCTTAGTTGGACTTCTTGTAAAGTAATGATGGCTCAGTATTATGTCTACTTCATGATTGTGTTCTTTACATCGTGTTCCTGTGGTCTCTGTTTGTTCACGCTTGTCTCTTTTGTTCTCAAGCTTAAGTCGATTTCACAGGTAGTTGACGTTATGTTTTATAAACTGTTAAAGTTATTGTTTAATATAATATTTGTTTCCCATAGATCAAAAATACAAATGCAGGAGCGTGGATGAGACTCCATTGAACGACAACTTTGATAATCTTCATGGTAGTCACGTCACATCGTAATTTCTTCAATTAGATTAAACGATAACTCAGTTCTTTCATATTTAACTTTACAATGTCAAGAAAAATGTGTAACATGCACTGTCAAAAATATGAAGATTTTGATTCATGTCATATTTTCCAAGTATAATTTTATATCTAATCCCAGAACAATCCTGAACCTTCCATCTTCAAAAAGAACAACACTATCGGGCATGCTCTTGGAGATTCGCTTCCAGTTCCTCATCAGAAACATAAGCTCTTCTTGTTTGAGCATTGTTTAGTTTTAATCAGTGGTTTTAATGGAGCACACTTCGTAGTGTCTGTTTATCTTTTGATGTATGCACAACATGTGCTGTTTGTGATTAAAGACGATGACAGAGTATGAATAAAAGTTACAGTACGTTACAATAAGTTACAGTAAGTTTTAGTCAGTTACAGTAAGTTACAGTAAGTTAGAGTAAGTTAGAGTAAGTTACAGTCAGTTACAGTAAGTTACAGTAGTTACCAGTAGTTAACAGTAGTTACAAGTAGTTACCATAGTTAACAGTATTTACCAGTAGTTACCAGGAGTTACCAGTAGGTTACAATAGTTGGCAGTATAACTTAATGACCATTTACCACCCCAGTACAAAAATGAATTCTTTCTTTGCTATTGCAATTTAGGCAAATGTAGTTATCGAAGCCTTTTTACTGAATATTCAATTCTGTAAATAGCTGATATTGCGCGTGCCCGTTTTCATCAATTGTATTTGAGGGTTAAACATTGAAGTATGAAGACCAATGAAGGATTTTTTGTGGGTTTTTTACCTTTCATTTCATCTAAAGTCACAATTTGTCGTGACTGGGTGTTCATTAGATTGGACAAAACATAAGCTATATGACAGAATGCAGGACTTTTCCTTATGTTTAGCGTTATGTCAACCTTTATATCTAACTTTATGTCTATCTTTATATGTTTACTTTTTTGTCTTCCTTTATGTTTACCTTGATGTCTACGTTTTTGTCTACCTTTATGTCAACCTTTATGTCTACCTTTAGGTCTACCTTTATGCCTACGTTTATGTCTACCTTTATGTATACCTTTATGTCTACCTTTATGTATACCTTTACGTCTACCTTTATGTCAACCTTTATGTCTACCTTTATGTCTACCTTTATTTCTACCTTTATTTCTACCTTTATGTGTACCTTTATTTCTACCTTTATGTGTACCTTTATGTCTACCTTTATGTCTACCTTTATGTCTATCTTTATTTCTACCTTTGTCTACCTTTATGTGTACCTTTATGTGTACCTTTATGTCACCTTTATGTTCACCTTTTATGTCTTTATGTCTACCTTTATGTCTACCTTTATGTACCTTTATTTCTACCTTTATGCCTACCTTTATGTTCACCTTTATCACCTTTATGTTCACTTTTGTGCACCTTTATGTGTCACCTTTATTTCTTTATGCCTACCTTTATGTTCACCTTTATGTTCACCTTTATGTCTACCTTTATGTCAACCTTTATGTTCATGTTATGTCACCTTTAATCCACCTTTATGTCTACCTTTTATGTTTCTTTTTGTGTCTACCTTTATGTCTAGCTTTATGTCTGTCTTTATACCTACCTTTATGTTTATCTTTATGCCTACTTTTACGCCTACCTTTATGTCTACCTTTATGTCTACCTTTATGTCTATCTTTATATCTACCTTTATGTCTACCTTTATGTCTACCTTTGTTCACCTTTATGTCTACCTTTATGTACCTTTATGTTCACCTTTATGTCACCTTTATGTCACCTTTATGTCTACCTTTATGTCTACCTTTATGTGTACCTTTATTTCTACCTTTATGCCTACCTTTATGTCAACCTTTATGTCTACGTTTATGTCTACCTTTATTTCTACCTTTATGTCTACCTTTATGTTTACCTTTGTGTCTACCTTTATGTCTAGCTTTATGTCTGTCTTTATATCTACCTTTATGTCTACCTTTATGTTTATCTTTATGCCTACTTTTATGCCTACCTTTATGTCTACCTTTATGTCTACCTTTATGTCTATCTTTATATCTACCTTTATGTCTACCTTTATGTCTACGTTTATGTCTACATTTATGTCTACCTTCGTGTTTATCTTTATGTTCATCTTTATGCCTACCTTCATGTGTATCTTAATGTCTACCTGTTGAGTTACAACTTCACGCAATAAATTATTCCGCCAGTGGAATTTTGCAATCCTAGGAAGTATAAAGACATGAAAGAAATTCAAGACATGTCACATTTCAACAAATTTAAAATAGCACTGACGACAGTAGTGGTATAGGAAAGAACTGTTTGATCTTTTGATAACATTTCTACACGAAATAACGTCAATATTCTGTTTGTGGAACAAAAATGATTTCAATTGAAAATCATTTAGATTAAAGTTTACTGAATGCATCTTCCTTTAGTCGATGTACATTTTCAAAATATCACAATGCAATGTAACAAACAAGATTTTAATTCACGTCATATTTTCCACGTATTATTTTATATCTAACTCCTGGACAATCCTGAACCCTTCCACCCTCAAAAAGTACAACACCATGTTCTTGTAGACTCGCTTTTTCACCAGGAATATAAGCGATTATAGTTTGACCATTGTTCAGTCTTAATAAAGCACATTTTCTGTTTGCGGAGTTTGGTTTTTTAGGTTTCCTGATAAAAACCTTTACACAAACACCTTTCCTCTGAGGACCTTTTAGAATTTCATTTGATTTTTTCGCCGTTGACTTCAGTTTTTTTGCTTTTGTTCGACGTTTGCCGCGTTGGATCTGATTTAAAGTTGGAAATCTTCGAACAATCCAGTGACCATGTGTTTCCAGGGGTAATGATGGTTTGATGGTGGTTGTAGGTGTTATAGAGTGAAATTTGGCGATTTTATGGCCGTCGTGGAGCTTATCTGTGTAAAGAAAGGATGGGATTCATATGGGAAAAGTTGACGAAGTTGGGAGAGAAGTCTGCTACAGCTTCATTGACAATTTTATAAATAAACACACATTTCGTTGATTTCATACCGTAATGAACAGCAAGTTTATTTTCAGGGTTTGAAAGTTGAAAATATCCAACATATCGCTGGAGTCACATGAAAGAGTTAAAGAGAACATATTTTAAAATTGAATATTTCGTCCAAGTCACACACCACCAAGACAGATTTAGATGTAAAGGTTTATTTTACTTACATTTAAAAAAAAGCGTTTGGAGAAAAACACTGACCAAAAACACTTGTTTGTTCTGTCACTTTTATAGTGTAAATATGATGGGACGCAAAAGAATATTCTTCGTGTTTTGCAAGAAAAATTGACAAGCTTCCAAAGAGCAGCCATATTGGAAACAAAACACTTGTTTTTATCGTTCAATATTATTGAAAGAAATTATTTACTGTACATGTTGTTTAAACAATATCATCAGTTTTCTTCCACTTAATGTCTACAAGAAACAATATATAAGGGTAGAACTTTTATTCAGCATTTAAGAAACTATTTAATTTTTTTAATACGCACCACAACATGATGGTGTATTTCTGAGCGATGTAAACACGGCAGTTATGTTAGAAGCTACAGTACTGAACTATATATGTATGAGTAAAACTGAAGTATTTGTTTAGTAAATGCACGACTCAAAATGGCGGAGGTTTCTGGTAATTTTAGAAATGTAGATTATACAGATATCAGAATTAGGGAGCATGAATTGTACTATTCCATTTTCTCATGCTCAAGCTTTGCTGGAAGCTTTCATCCAACGTACGTGCTCTTGCTGTTGTTGCTTGATATTTGCAAAATTGAGCTTTGAGTATAAGATGTAGAGACTTTTTAGGTTTTCTTCTAGTGACAATGGATAGATGGAATAATGATTGAGTTCATAAAACAGTTACCACTTTATATATGTTTTAGAGTTAGGTCAGAATGAGATGATTTTGACACGAATGAAGAGCTTGTGAATAATATGAAATATGTGGGCACTGAGAACTTTTAGCTGCAGGCTGCAGAAGACAGCCGTTGACAGAATCAGTTCATTTGCTGAGAAATTTATTAAATTTTAATTGTTAAGATAGTAATTTATTATAATGCGGTGCTGTAGTTTTTTATTTAGAGAAATTTGACTTAAAGTTTCCGACTGTTTCTGCAACAAAAGACATTTTATTTGAGCCCAATGTTATTCGTCCATACTGTGTGTCTGTTGATAAATACAGCACATGCACTGTCTGTTGACAGATGAGAAAGTTTATTGTGTACAAGTGATAATTTGCCTTTCTTTCTTCCTTTGTCATAGACTTATCATGGAGGAAAATCCAAGTGATCAGAATTCAAGATGGGTATCTGAAACGCACGTACCACCACAAGTTTGTTTTTTTCTACTATTTCACATTATTTCTCATTAAAATTGCGTTGATATCATAGTCATTTGTTGCTTAAGCTATAAAGTCATATTGCTTTTATTTTACTTTACATAGTTCATTACTTTGAAACTTGAGAAACCATCTGCCGTAACAAAAATCATATTTGGAAAGTACTCACAGAGTCACGTCTGTAATATAAAGAAATTTAAAGTTTATGGAAGTTTATATGATGATGATGAAAATATGATTGAATTATTAGAGAGGTAGTTATTGCAAAAGTTATTGTATCTTCATAAATTAAACATTATCATGATTAAATCTTTGTTTTATTTCAGTGGTCTACACAATGACAATGTAAAAGAGACATTTGATTTAAAACATAAAGTTGGAGGAAAAATCTTTCCTGTAAATTTCATCAAAATTGGTAAATTACACCATTGTACATTGTTATTTTTATAATTTATGTAGCATTTTTGACATTGCATGGAATAACACTCAGTCTTCGAAGTGGAAATGCAGAAAAAACTACTTTAGGGACTTTAATATTTAATTATTCACTAATAATTAACTATGTAATCAATGAAATTTGATATTTTTGTGCTTTCAGAACCATTGGTAAGCTGGGGAACAACTTTTAGCTTTAGCATTTGGTTTGTTGAGTTGATTGGGGTTGATGATGATGATTGTGTCAAGGTTTACACAGATTGGTTTAATAGTGTAAGTTAACATTTGAATAAAGTTTTTGGTACGACATCATTAAACTATGACATCATTAAACTATGATTTCATGAAACTATGATATCATTTCCTTGTAATGCACACAACTACATGAACTAGCTATGACTTCATTGAATATAATTTTGGTTTTTGTAATGAAGTATAGAGAACAGGAAACCATCCGCTTGTGTCTTAAGCATCTTCGCCAACGAAACTTCTCTGAGGCATTTGACAGCTTAAAGAGGAAAACCAAGGTTGACTTGGAGCATCCAATTCTCACTGAACTTCATCATGAGTTGGTAATGAAAGTGGATTTAAGTTTCGTTATAATTGTATAAAAAAACTACATGTATGTATGTATTCTCTATGTATTTGCCAGGTGAATTGTTCAAATTTTGAAGCAGCAGAAAAAATCATCGTAAAAGCAAGCGAAGGTTAAACTTAGAAATCGATAAATCATAATGTGTATTGCTGAAGATTTTATATTCAAATTTTTCACTTTCCAGAAGGTTTATTTGACAGTTACCTCACTTCACAAGATCATCATGTAGAATGGACGTCCATAGAATCATACAATACAGGTAAGTATTACAATTATGTTTTTATTCAGGTGCAATATTGAATATTCTTGAGATTTAGTGATATTGGAAAATCGACTCACTTAGAGTTTGTTGATAATTATCAATTTCATAGCACTGATTTTTGTATTCTTAAAGGAACAGAGCCGAAATGCCCAAGTATGGAGGTCATCAAATGTGTATTGACAGTGAAAATCATATCATTTATCTGTTTGGTGGATGGGATGGAAATCGCGATCTTAGTGATTTCTGGAAATTTAACATCTATGAAAACAGCTGGAGACTTATATCACATGACACAGAACAAGATGGTGGTCCTTGCGCCGGTCATGTCACAAGATATGTTTTGATTATAAACGAAAGTTTATCTTTCTGTTGGGTCGTTATCTTGATTCAGAAGTGAGAAGAAGCATGGTATTGAAGGTACAATGAGGGATAGAGAATAGTGTTCATTTACATAAGGTGTTTGATGAGTATAACGGTGTTTTCTCTTCTGTTTAGAGTGATTTATATAAGTATGATATTAATTATAATCAATGGACGTTAGTATCAAACGATACTGAAAAAGATGGCGGACCACCTTTAATATTTGATCATCAGGTAGAAAATAACATTGAAGATTTTGTTTAAGAACACAGTTAAATTGAGAAAGAATTACTATTTTATTTGTAGAATTGTTATCTAATTTTGACGAAATTTTCACCATAGATGTGTATAAATGTCGACAATGGAATGATGTATGTTTTTGGTGGACGAATATTATCGAAGTAAGTCAATTATCTACAGATTTACAATATTCTTGTGTCCTGACGACGTAGCTATTTTTTATGATTCTTTAGCATGGCTGACGATTGTTCTTGTTCTGGACGAATGTTTAATGGTCTTTATTCATATCTTACACTAACTAACACATGGAACAAATTAAGGTACAAAGTTTGTCTCATATTTTCTACCTGGCTATGTTATGTTTTGCGTTCTTTTGTAATATGCTACGTTATCCATACATCATGCTACGTTATCCATACATCATGCCTCGTTATCCATACATCATGTTATCCATACATCATGCCTCGTTATCCATACATCATGCCTCGTTATCCATACATCATGCTCGTTATCCATACATCATGCCTCGTTATCCATACATCATGCCTCGTTATCCATACATCCTACGTTATCCATGCATCATGCCCGTTATCCATACATCATGCCTCGTTATCCATACATCATGCCTCGTTATCCATACATCATGCGTCGTTATCCATACATCATGCCGTTATCCATACATCATGCCACGTTATCCATACATCATGCCACGTTATCCATACATCATGCCACGTTATCCATACATCATGCCACGTTATCCATACATCATGCCACGTTATCCATACATCATGCCACGTTATCCATACATCATGCCTCGTTATCCATACATCATGCCACGTTATCCATACATCATGCCACGTTATCCATACATCGTGCCACGTTATCCATACATCATGCTACATTATCCATACTTCATCCTACATTATGCATACATCATCCTACATTATCCATTGTTCTCAATTATGTACCATGTTATCCTTCATATAGAGATGACAATCCTCCACTTACCTCAAGAATTGGTCATTCAATGTTATTTTATGAGGTCAGTCATTCAGAGAAAATATTTTGCTAAATAAGTACTTTATTCAACAAAAAAATGAACTTGAAAAATTGGTTTTTCAAAATTTCACGTGAAGCGTGCTTTTGTCGTTAGAGTTTTTCTAATTAACTAACAATTTATCTTCTTAATTATTGACAGCTATTTGTGTGACTTTAGTTTGTGCGTCTGTTATTTCTTTAGAAAAACAAGTCATTATATATTTTTGCTGGTCAACGAAAACAAGAATTTATGAAGTAAGATAATGGCTGTCAGTTATATTGACAAAACCTTAAATAATATCTTCGTACAATTCTTTATAATTCAGTTCTTTAACAAAGTATGAAACAGAAACAAAGAAGATTACCGTCTTAGTCAGCGGGAAAAAGCATGAAAAAGGTTCAAAAAACAATTTATTTTTATCAACGCTGTTAATTTTCAAATCGCTAAGTCACCCTATGATTTTTTCTTTTAGCTCCAGAGAGTGGATTTACTCAAAGAGCTACCATAGATCCTCTTACTGGAGAAATATTTGCTTTATCGGTAGATAACCTTTTCATAAAATGACTGCAATTCTTCATTGTTTTTCATGCTATACAATCGAGTTTTTAAATACACTGTGTTTCAGGGTTTGAGCAAAGATAAATCTAAAAAAGAACAATCAACTCGAAATTCGTTTTGGCTTTTTAATATTGAAAGCAATAAATGGTCTTGCATTTATCGTAACGAAAAGAAAGGCGATGAGTATTGGATAAAAGATGGGGTCTTTGAACCTTGTCCAAGATTTGCCCATCAATTAGTGTATGATTATGTGGACAAGGTAAAAAAGGCATGATTTTCAGCTTTTGTACAACCCTGACTCTTATCAATGTGAATTTTCAACGTTTTCATTTCTCTGAAACAAAATCTCAAGTAACTTTTTCATGTCAGATTCATTATTTATTTGGTGGCAATCCGGGAAATCCAGCGTTTCCTAAAATGCGCTTGGACGATTTTTGGTCATTGAAACTTACGAAAATATCGCTGTCAAATTTCTTGAGGAAATGCAAATATTTATTAAGAAAACAAAAGTATGTCGAAACAACGAGTGTAAGAATGCGTCCGTTATTCTTTATTCGTGAAATCCCTGCTTTTTTCTACTTTAAGGTTCCTTGAATTAGCTAGAGTTGACAGTCTACAGGCACTCAACTATTTACAGGTTTTGTTGTAGAAACTTAATTTAGTTTGACATAGAAACACTACTTGAAAAATTGTGATAACACTGTTTGTTTATTTTCTTCCATCAGAATGATCTATCAGCAGTTGTTAATCATGATGAATTAGATGAGCGTCGTGAGGTTAAACACTTTCATTCAAGTGTTGATTGAAAGCATTAAATGTTATATAATAATTCTTTGTCTTAGTTTGAACGGCTGACTTCCAATCTGTTTTTATATAAAGATGAAACAGAGAATATGGATGTTAATACTGAAGGTAGAGACGTTCATGTTTGAAAGTGTAGTTGGTGATGATTTTATGTTGTTATGGTTTTGGTAATCTTTTAATTTTCTCAGGAGCTGAGCAGTCTAAGGAACAATCATTACTTAGGGACCGTTCTCAGGTATTTTATAGTAATGAATAGTTTTATCGCTAACATTCCTCATTCATCAACTCAAACAAGGATTCATTGTTTTTCAGTTATTTGATCAACTTGTGACTGGTTTTCCTGACACTATGACTCAACCAAAAGAAAATCTTGTCGACATTATAAAGATTCGATAATGTGCTCCGGAAGTTTGTGACTTATTATTTATATGTTTATAGAGAATTTTGTATATCTTTAGTATGGAAAATGATATTTCTCTTTATGATTACATTATATTATTTGCAAGAAAAGATGTTCAGTCGTAAAGCTTTCTTTAACACATCAAAGTTGTTTTTCAAACACTAATATAGTTCACAAAATCCTTCTAATTGCAACTTTCCTTCATTTCTATGCAGATGATCATTTAATAACCTAGGCTAAATTTTCTTTACAAAACAATGATTTTATTTTTATAAACTATACATTCCATCAAATTTCATTTGGTTAGTGTTCTGCTCCAAGATCACTTTGACCAAAGTACCTTGAATGAGAAGGATTTTAAATTTCTAAAATGCTTCAATGAATAAACTGGATGATTTTTTTACAAACCCCATTACAAGAGTAATGATCAAACATAATGCAGCCATTTCATCCGTTTGACCAATTGCCTAAAGTAGAATAATGACAAAATTATGACATATTCATGTTAAGATTGTTAATTTAATTGTACCCACCAAACTATTTTTTTGTTTTGAGCATAATCTTGCTAGCATGCGTAAGGCATAGGTTGTGTCTGGTAGTAATGGCTTCTCAACAGCAATTAATAAAGCATAAATCCATTGCCCCTTAAGTAGAAAGTATTTCTATTTCACCAGCAACATATATTGTTATAATCTCAATACCCTTTCCCAACCTGCAGCATTGTAAACGGTCTTGATTCCATCCAATGAATATGATGGTCTAGCACTTTCAATACTAATGTCTACATCCAATAAAACACCAAAAATTGGGGATTTTTTCTCAAAAAAAAAACAAACCATACAATACTTAATACCTGGTTCATTTGACAAATTATACCAAGAAAAGCTGGACAACCATTGTTTTCATTGTTTTCATTGCTGGTGGCAAACAAAGAGTGTCTCAGTATTGCGTGTACAATGTTCTCTTTGAGAAGTATTAAGTATTTTTACCTTGAAAAAGATTCTTGTGTTGTTTGACCAAAGCAAAATTTTAACCATTGCTCTGAATTTTGAGGATCTGGCTAAAATTTTTGTTATAGAGAACTTCAACAAGATCATGATCCCCATCGAATTTAATATTTACTAACCAACTTTCTCTTTTCAATATTTTTCTTAACAAACAGGAGTTTTTGATGTGCTAGGAACTTCCAAAACAAGAAAAAAAACAAAGAGGTTGGAAAGTCAGTCACTCTTAAAACTTTCAAAGCTGTATTAATATTGCATTAATAAACATGATGGGATATAATACCTGTCTGATTTCAGAAAATGCTGACACTTGCTCATTTTGCCACAGGACTGATAGCCCAGATGTGTTGACTGGCTCAACCTGTAGTGACGAAGATGAATGAACAAAGTTGGTGAAATATATAAATAAAAAGAAAGAAGCAATAGTTTGTCAGTGATCGTACAAATAATCTGACATACAAGCATGAAATTATGATCTTGATTGGCCTGGAAGATACTGCAATCCATGTCAGCTACTACAATATCTGGGCAGTTTGATGCTTCATGCCTAAAGAAAATGAACAAGAGTTTCATAGACGACAAAAGCCCTTCGTACAGAACGCTTTCTTCAACTTACTGAACACTTTTCAAGTAGTCATAAGCAGAAGTGGGAAAACCAGTTGGATTGCTATTTGAGTTCTTTTTTCCTGTATTTTTTAAATGTTCAAGGCGAAATACTGCTTCCATTGAACTTTTGATTGTTTGTAAACAAACTAACCAGGTCCAAATGATATGACAACGATTTTGAATTCGGCCCTGTGTAACAGTGTAAGTGTTCAGATATCTACGTCAAAAAATGCATTTCACAATAAATCGTGAAAGTTAATCGCAGTAGCATATCGTTGATGATGTTTGTTACGATTTCTGTGGACCAAATTCATAGTTCATATTTCAAATGAAATGCTTTTGTACTACACAATGCGCCTGCGTTCGCTAATATTTCGAACAGCGGTTAACATCAATCGTTGCCATGATGCAAAATAAATAATGTACTGTATCACGTGGAAAAGGAAAGATAAGCAGCGAAAGAAAATAGAAAAATAACCAAAAAACCAAATGATATAATCTTATTTAAGTTTGGATGTACAATTCATTAAATATGATTCAGTGTATTGTTTTTAAAGTACAGAAGCGAAAGAGTGAAAGTACAAAAGACTACGTCATGCAGATTGACATTTGAATGTCACCTGTAAGTACGTCGTTTATACTCAGATTGTAATTCATTCAAATTCTTTTCTAATGATAATACTTCATCGTATTGTTTCCTCTGTCTGGCTTGCTCGATAAAGACTTTTACATTTTCAATTTGCTGTAAAATAGCCTCTGTTTCAGGATCAAAAGATCTTGGTCTTTGTTGTGTGTCAGTCACGGGCATTTGCTGTTTTTTTTCTCTTTGTAAGACTTCTTGATGCATCTTGGCACGTTCCTTCATTATTTTCTCCTGTTGAAGTTTTTCTCTCTCTGCTCGTCTCTTTATTAACATTGCTTGTTCTTTTTGTAGTGTTAAATACTCATCCTCTGATGGAATGGCTTTCAATGTGAACATATTTTGTGTGAGGTAATTAGTCACATATGCATGTACACTGCGATGAAGTTTTTGTGATGATCGTAATGACGTCTCTATATTAGTTATGGCCACAGTGTCTTCGTTGTTTGGTGGAGGTGGGTTTAGAGCTAGGACTTTCTTTCTAAAAGCAGACATTAAAATCAGTTCATTCATAGCATTTTCATTTTCTGGAGAGTTGATGTCATTAGTGTCAATCCTGCATTAATTAGGGGACCATATACTGCCGTACCTAACTGTTTTCTTTCCAAAACAATTTAACTTTTAAAGAAACCAGCTGGGCTTAACAGAATATATGAATATGGTTTAACATTCAGTAGATATCCATGCTTAGTGTTACTGTACACTCAAAATCATTAATGACTGTCATCGTACCCCAATATTCCCAATGTTTCATAAATCTTCAATAATTTCTGACGTGTGACAACAACCTCTTTATATGAGTATTTTGATTCACCATGGCTATATAAAATATGAGTAATTGTTTAGCAATGAGTGTTTATGATTCTGAGCAAGGATATAATACAGTGATATGAAGGCGATGGGTATAACGAGAGTTATGGCGAGAGATAGAGACGTTTGGCATGGAAAAATTCATGGACCGGTCAACCCCCCTGGCGGGGATTAATACTGGCCGGTATACAAATGTTGTTTGTTTGTTTGTTTGTAGGAAGGATATAATACTGCAATTGATACCTTAATGATTGGGCCATCTTGTTAAAAGTGGGAAGAAGCTCATCAGCATCCGCCATTAATGTTGTTATCCTCTACAAATGAATTCATACGGTATGTGAAACTGGATGTGAGTTGTAAAGTAAATACAAATATTGAGAACTTACATCATATAACTCAACCAAAGGTTCTTTCATTTTTTTCTGTTTTATCATTTCATAATTTCTATGTAAAATTATCGTAGGTGAATTGTCACAAAACCTTTTCTTTTCGTACATTTTATTTCATTTCAAACTTACTTTAAAAGTAAACCAAAGCATTGATTGCAAACGCGAAGTGCATTCTTCTGATTTATCGCTTCATCATCTGCATTGGGTGTAAAATCTGCTGTGTCACCAATCTCACAATATTTTGCTGAAAAAAATATCCATTTTTTTTAAGGTGTAACTGTTATTGTAAGGAGTTAAAGAAAATCATGTAACCTGCAGTTTTGAGAGGTAGAAAATCTGAGCATTTTCCACAAATGATTTGACCACAAAGTCGACAGTGATGTTTTCGTCTTGTCACAGTAAATGATTTTGTGCATAGGAAACAGAACTTTGCTTCTTCATCTGCTATCCAAGGAACTAGACTCTGCTCTTTAACTAAAATTTATTTCATTTTACAACAGTTTTTGCATTGCAAACATTCATCGTTTCCCAGTTACCTTTCTTCTTTGAACTACTTATTTGAAAATCTTCATTGTCTTTCAAAATATTTAAAATCTAGTAAAAACAAACACTTCTAGATGCTTTCAAGCATGTCTTCACGAACAGAAAGCATTAACAAAGAATATACCTTTTCCAATCGAACAAGAATTGTGTTTGTAAATATCATGCAATCATCCACTTTCAAATTTCGTGCTTTCCGAAACTTATTGGTATGATCTTGGGTAAAACCTTGATTGAATAAAGAAATAATAAACTGCTTAGTTACTTTACATAGCATCTCATGAACATTTAATTTGTTTTATTAAGGTGAGAGAGAGGCATTGTCCCTACAGGCTACAGCATTCAATTTTTACTTTTTCCTATACCTAGTTCTTGTGGTTCCCAGTAAGAAAAGCTAACGTTGCTTGTGAAAGAACTTCCTTGAAATTCTTCATTCCTTTCAAATTCGCTATCTTTTCGCAGTAGTTTTCGTTTGGCTCTATCGAAAATTCCTTGAGCATTTTGCCCCTTGCTGCTTGAATCCTCCGAGCTATGCTCATCGATAAAATGATTTTGTAGCAATTGTGGGTTTTGAAAATCTTTCTTACACAACGGACAGAGAAATCCTTCTTGAATTTCACTCGTTTCTTGCATTGTATCCAAAGATTCTTGGGAATCGTGAACATTATAATTAGAAATTTACATGCCAAACTTTGTTTTGCACTTGATGCTTAGAGGGTACTTGATCTCGAAGGGCCTCTCCGGTGGGTGGAAAAGCCCGGTAATGAAACTTTATTATACGGCAACAGATCCTTCTTTGGATTTCTACTTCCATAACTTGAAAAAAAGAATCTAGGTGGCTCGTTTCTGCAAGTAAATTTATCGTTGTAGGGTATTTTATGATAAATTTGACCATTGTTTGTTAATAAGGTATAAAAATGTAAAATTGCATTATTTTAAACTATTACGTTAAGGGGGACTGGAGCAGAGTCTGCTTATAAACAATCACCATGACAACTAGGCAAGATGAAATATGGCGAATACGAAGTAATGATAAATTTAGTTTAAATATTTTGTAAAATGGCTGCGTTGAAAAACTGCAGTGCTGATTTAAGAGAATACTTTCTTAAGCACAGGCTTCCAGAATTTTTTGAGGTATTTATCAAGTTTGTGTTTGTTATACTGCCGTAGTTTGTTTGTGTTTAGAAAATTTTCAACGTTTTAGCCTTTTCTAGGCCCTTCTAACAGGACTGGCTGTAGAATGTCCTCCAGACGCTTGCACTTTTATTTTGGATAAACTGAAAAATCTAAATAATGAGAAAGGCAGATCTGAAGAAGTGCGATGGTTAGTCACAAAATATTTTTTAACTTAAAAACTTTATATGAATTATGATTTGAATGCCAATGCAATCCATAAAGCGTTTGTCTTTTATTAAGGGATTTGTATATAAGTGAAGAGAAGAAAACAAAATATACAATCTTGAAGAAAAGTTTTGGAGAAGTTTTATGGTGTTATGAGGATGAGAACTCGCAGGTTATTTAACGGAGAAAACCGAATTTTATTCAAGCTTTAATTGTGGAGTGTTAAGTCTATCAATGGATAATCTGATGGAGTTTTGACTTGAATGAAACATTCAACAAAGACAGTTGTTACGTCAATGGAGTCTCATGACCATGGCCGTCAATCCTGGGATAGTTAGGATGGACCATATTCATATATTCTGTTATCCCGGGCTGGTTTTTTTTGAAAATGAATTTGTTTTAAAAAGAAATTAGCCAGGCATAGCAGAATATATGAATATGGTCCTCCCTCAATTAAGACAGGATTGACACCAATGCTCATGATCTATAAAATTGATTTCGTAACAAACATAAGTTGTCAAAAGCATGTAGAAAAAACAGTTCAATCTAAGTTTTATCGCGTAAGAATGATAGTTGGATGAAAAATTGCTTATCATATGTCACAAGCTATGCTTTTGTAACTCCATGTTTCTTGGGAATTACTGGACTAATTTATTGCAAAATATAAACTTTTTCGTGACGCATAAAAACATTTGTCTGACACTTAAGCTGCGTTTGTTAACATAAACATCTTTTTCCTATGAATTTAAGAATGGGAGCAGTGAATAGCTTATTGATCATCAAGATTTGTCAAAAAGCTCAAATGCTATTGAATGATATATAAAAGAGAACAAACTTACACCAATTATTAAGTCTAACAATGTGTAAGAATGGTATGGGGAATAGTCGTAGATTTTTATGGAATTTAAAAATGTGTTTATTGGTAATTTTTTCTTGGTGGTTGCTTTAAGGAAAACATGGAGGTGACAAAATTCACGTTTAACTTTATATGAACAATGTGTGTGAAATATGTTTACGCTTTGATATTTTGATGTTTTCAGCCAACACCGGAGATGTATCAACGTGCTTACAGTTTGTATAATTTGAAGTTAAAGCTTGTCTGTTTCAAGTAAGTCGGTGATCTTCATGAATCTTTGCATTACAAGGTCCTATTTATGTAACTTTGGTCACATTTTAGAGCATGGAACATTTTTTATGTCACAAAGAAAGAAACAAGGATAGAACTAGAATCGAAATTGACTTACGCACGCCGCTACTTCAGATTAAGGACACTCAGAAACTCTTTCATGAAATTTTATGTATCCTTTGAATGAATGTTGCTGGTCATGAAGAGAAATTATCTTGCTCGCTTGCGGTTGATTAGAATTTTGACTTATCTCCGATTCCTGTTTTTACGGTAACTTAACATGTCGAACGATGATCAAATATTGTCTTAGCCACAAGTTTTTCATGTTTAATAATTGTTACATAAATATTGTTCTTATCAGCTGTAGAAGTTTTCTGTAGACGGTTTATTGTGATTTTTTTTATAATTCCTAAACTCTACGAATCAGAATTGGTACAGCGAAATACGAAAGACACGGATAGGTTAGAAATTTCTTTGATATTTATCTTCACAAATCGTTTTTATGTTTTTGTTGTTGTACAGATATGTCAGCGAAGATCAAGAGAGTGCTGAAGATGGCTCTTCTTAGAATGGTTTTTACTAGTTGGCTTAAAGTTGTTTCTGACTCCAAAAAGACGAGGGAATATTTTGAGGTGATCTTTAATAATACCGTCGTGTGATTGAAAGGCCTAAAATTACGACCAATTCATCTTTCCCCTCGAAGTCTGCATTCTTTGTGGAAAACTAATTTGGTTCCGAAAGTTTTGTTGCTGATTTCGGCCATAATGACCATTCAAAATGAACAGTCAAGGGAAAGTTTTGCCGCACAAATGTTGTATATTGCTGGCTAGCAAGTGATTATAAAGGATATGATAATGATAATATTGGGGTGTTTTATGTGATTGCAGTGGATAGAATGATAAAATTGGGGTGTTTCATGTGATTGTAGTGGATAGAATGATAATATTGGGGTGTTTCATGTGATTGTAGTGGATAGAATGATAATATTGGGGTTTTCATGTGATTGTAGTGGATAGAATGATAATATTGGGGTGTTTCATGTGATTGTAGAGGATTGAAAGAGGTGAAATCATTGATGCTGGCGAATATAGTGAATTTTTTGAAACAAAGGATGGCAAGGATGTAATATCATCTTTACCAAAGCATGTTGCATTACGGGTAATGTTCAAATTTTAAATCTCCGTCATAAAAGTACGTGTGTTACTAACATAAGTAAATGTTATAAACTTTTTAGATCTTTGTCAATGTTGATATTCAAGATCTTGGAAGATGTGCTTCAGTAAGTCGTTCGTGGAAACTCATCATTCAATCGAGTCTTTTATGGAGTAAAATAGATTTCACAAAAATGAAGAACAGGTACGTCAATCAAAGACGCTGTTTGTTTTCATTATTTTTATTTCCTGTGTTTGTCAACTTCATTTGATAACATTTTGATATTACCTCTCTGACGTCATTTCTGTGACGTGCCCTTATTTGTCAACGTCATCTCTTCATTCTATGACGTTTTCTCCTAGTCATCGGTTTTTTCATCTTAATTTGTTACTCTTGCAGACTGACTAACAAGGTTGTTGCAAGACTTGTGCATAGATATCGTTCAGTTTTGGGTCATCTAAACCTTCGTGGTTGTTTTAATCTCACAGTTAAAAGTCTCATGATTATCAGTAAGGAAACATATTTGTGGACGCATATTTTTTCTTGTCTTGAACATCGTGTGATGTATTTTCTCTTAGGTGTATCAAAGAACCTGCAGGATCTTAATGTTTCAGAATGTGAAGGAATCGATGTAAGCATGTGTCTTTTTTCATCGACATTTTTACTCACACTACATGAAGTTTCTTTCTTAGGACGAGGTCATTAAGAGTATTGCCGCTGGATGCTCCTCACTCTTGTATCTGAATCTTTCACGATGTAATATATCTGATGCTGCATTACGTTCATTGGCTAGGTAAGTTTTCTCTGACCATCATTGGCTAGGTAAGTTTTCTCTTATTCATCATTGGCTAGGTATGTTTTCTCTGATAGTTCATTGGCTAGTTAAGTTTTCTCTGATCCATCGTTAGCTAGTTAGGTTTTCTCTCATCTTTCATTGGCTAGTTAGGTTTTCTCTCACCGTCCATTGGCTAGTTAGGTTTTCTCTCATCGTCCATTGGCTAGTTACGCTTTCTCTCACCGTCTATTGGCTAGGTAGGTTTTCTCTCATCCTTCATTGACTAGGTAACTATTTATAAATGTAAATTCGGATGATTGAGTTCGTAAATGCTTTAAGAGGCATACATAGTACATACAGCAGTTAAAATTCTTTTCATTTTTTAGAAGTCTGTCTGAGTAACTATCTTTGTTGTTTTTTATTAGAAACTGTGTGAACCTACAATATCTTAATGTTTCATTTTGTCGTGGTTTCACTGATAAAGGTCTTGGTTACGTATCCCACGGTAAAGGAGCAAGAAAACTATCGTATTTGGATCTCTCTGGCTGTGAACAGGTTTTGTTTATAACATTGGAAATTATTATTCTTTGTTAATGCACTTTCAGCTGCTGTACCAGTGACGTCATGTACATCGATATTAATAATGACGTCATATTCAGTTGTATTACTAATGACGTCATATCTTACATTGGCATTTACAAAGACTTAGCTTTTATCAGTATTATCAATGACAATATTATGCAAACATTGCTTTATTGCTTGATTTTTTTCATGTAAATCTCAGTCTTTGAAATATTATTTAAATTTCATCCTTCCCTTTTCAAAATAAATGTATTCCTTTCTTTCATAATATTCATTTGTAATTTTTTCTCTGTTCTATAACACACCAGGTGACCGAATTTGGATTTATGTCATTATCCCTTGGATGTTTATCTTTGTCGACGTTGGTTCTAAATAACCTTCCTGAACTACGAGATGATGATTTGCAGGTAATACTTCATGTAAATATAACATTAAACAATCAATGGAATTATAAAACTCGGGAATTTATGTCGTTATCAAGAGTGAAAACAATCACCTTTGTTTCTTCTTCATTCTTACAATCTACTACCTTACATACTTAAATTTAAAGTAAATGGTTTGAACACGGGAGTATCGTTACATGTTTGTAAATGTAGATTGTCCAGGTTGGTATAGTCCTGAGAAGGACTGTTTTTGTTGTTGTCGAAACGTCAGTCAACAAAACAGTCCTTTCTATCTTACTGTGTATACTTTCCTTCCAGTTTAATTTATTTATTTTTTCTTCTCAGATGTTATGTGAAAAATGTAATTCAGTTAAAATGATCTCGATGCTCAATTCTCCTCTTGTTTCTGACGTTGGTATTCGTTATTTCACATCATTTCGTCGTCTTGAACGTCTTTATATTGAAGGTCAACACATAACTATATATGATTATACATTTATTGAACAATAGTCTCCCCCCCGTAATCTTGCTGGTACCTTTCCTTGAATAGTGGCCCCCCCCCGTAATCTTGTTTGTACTTTTCCTTGAATAGTGTCCCCGTAATCTTGTTTGTACTTTTCCTTGAATAGTGTCCCCCCCCGTAATCTCGTTGGTATTGGTTAAATAAGGTGTCGTGATCTTGTCCCATATTCATGCTTGAATGAAAATCCTCCCGTCAACGATACGTTTCTCTGTGATGTTGTTAATGCTTAAAGCCATGACCAGCCGACAATTTAAAGAAATATAGTATGAAGCAAATTCCGAAGAAGGAAGACATCTTGAGATTGCAAAATATGCATCAAAACAAGACGAGAAGTGAATTGTAAATTTTCGACTTTATTTCAAAGTCGTCCTAATAAGGTCGAAAGTTTACAGTTCACTTCTCGTCTTGTTTTGATGCATATTTTGCAATCTCAAGATGTCTTGCTCCTTCGGAATTTGCTTCATACCATATTGTTAATGCTCGCCTTCTTTTAATTTAGGTAATCACCGCATTACTGATACTTCAATAAAAGCATTAGCGAAGAGTTGTCCTGAATTATTTCAAATCTACATCACCGACTGTCCTCGACTCACTGATCTTTCTCTCAAGGCATTGTCCAGTTGTAGAGAGATTGTTGTTCTCAATGTTGCTGATTGCGTCAGGTTTGACTTTTTTACGTGTTATTACAGAAATATTCTCACGACAAGGGAATCGTTGATTGGTAGCTAATTTATGCGTAAAACCCCCTTCATTTCGTTTTTTTACCTATTGTAAATTGTTAACCTAATTAAGCTTTAAAAAACGGCTATCAAATTTCATTTAACTTTTTAACGATCGCTTTATCTGGCAGAATACAAGATGCTGGTGTTCGACAAATAGTTGAAGGTCCATCTGGAGCAAAACTTCGAGAGATTAACTTGACAAATTGTGTTCGAGTTAGTGATGTTTCTTTGCTTAGAATTGCTCAAAGGTGGTGACAATTCGTTCATTCATATAGACTGAATTTCATGGAAATGAGATTCCTTGATTGAGAATTGATCGTATTTTACGATTTTGCAGATGTCACAATTTGACATATTGCAGTATATGTTATTGTGAACACGTGACCGATGCTGGTGTTGAATTACTCGCTACTCTCCCCTCCCTGGTGTCGTTGGATGTCTCAGGATGTAATATTCAAGATCATGGTGTCTCTTCCTTGGGAAATAGTTCAAGATTAAAAGATATTACGCTTGCTGAGTGTCATAGAATTACTGATATAGGATTACAGGCGAGTTGAATTTTCACTCAAGTTTTTTCTCTCTTATTTACTGTCGGTTGACTGAAAATATTTAGTATTATTTTTAAAAATTTTATTGCTCTTTACAGAAAATGTTTCAACAATGTCGTTACCTGGAGAACTTAGATTTGTCATATTGTGTAGTATGTATTATATCATTTTGTTTTCATTTCACTCTATTTATCCATCTTTACTCATCGTTATTCTAGCACTTATGCATTTCACTCTATTTATCCATCTTTACTCATCGTTGTTCTAGCACTTATGCATTTCGCTCTATATATCCATCTTTACTCATCGTTATTCTAGGATTTATGCATTTCACTCTATATATCCATCTTTACTCATCGTTGTTCTAGCACTTATGCATTTCACTCTATATATCCATCTTTACTCATCGTTATTCTGTGTACCACTTTAGAATATAACAGATCATGCAATTAAGAATTTGGCTTTTTGCTGTCGAATATTGAGAACGCTGGATTTATCTGGCTGCAAAAAGGTGTCATAAATAGCACAAATATTTATTTATGTTGGCTTTGAAACTGACAATTTTCCGGTTTTTTCTCATGAGAATTTCCACATTTGGTCGTGAATGTCTGGCGTCTGTCAAGGTGCTTGAACATACCAAAAATATTGGGGTTTTTATGTTGTTTAGTCGAGAAAAATTTACAAAAGTAAACATGTTCACTATACCACGATTTTGTTGTTAACTTTATTTCTTAATTTATGTTCAGTTAACGGACTCCAGTGTTCAATACTTGGCTGGTGTTTGTCATTACATTACACATCTTAATTTATCAGCTTGTGTTCGTCTAACGTAAGTTTTTTTTCCACAACACTTATGACATCGCACTTAATGAATTCTTTACGATGTATTCTGTACTATTCTAATTTGGTGCCATATTTTAGAGATCGATCTTTACGGTTCATGAGAAAAGGACTTAAACGCTTGAAATCATTGAATATTCTTTATTGTTTAAACATTTCAAAGTAAGCATGATTTTGGTATAGAAAATTTAAAACTTCTTCATTGACTAGAGATATCAACGATATGAATATATTGCTCATTTCTATTTATAGATCAGGTGTAAAGAAGATAATAAATAAAGGATATAATGTACATCATAGTAATATTCATCCTCCCGTATTTATGACGACAATGATTAATCCAAAACAGCCAATCCAACCGTCAAAATCTTTGACAATGCGATGACGCAATTTGTGAGTATTTTTTTTAAATATAGCGAGTTTTATTTATTACGCCAGCGTTGTCTTCATTTCACTGTTTATTTGCCTACATGTTTATTGATGAAAGAAATCTTAACTACAAGTCGGGCGTTCGGACTATCACACCACAAGCAATCCTTTTGCCCGCATTTCCTGTCTTTAGACTTCCTATGTTACCGCCTCGTCCTAAGTCGTCTATTTGTTCATGAAGCTGTTAGAGATATGCAAGGATAATGCAGGTTAATTTTGCACTAACGATAAATGAAGATTTTCACCAACATCAAACAACATGAATGTAAATGAACAACAGTCATTCCTGTATTTAAGCCGACACCCTGGGGGAACCGAAATATAAAGAGGTGTTCGTTTAATATGAGGATTCATTATTACGAATTATCCAGAAATGCAATTAAATTCAGGAGTTTACGAAGTGTCCGCTTAATACTGATCAGACTGTATTAAGAACACAATATAATTTTACTAACCACAAAAGCTCGACCAAGAACGCTTAGTTCACCTACTAACGAGACAAACACATCGCGTTTAATAACTTTTACTTCACCTTTATTGTCGGCGTATACGTTACCCAGGTCCCCTACATGTCTATAAATAAAGATGGTTGAATTCAATTTTTATCAACTTCCAAGTTTGTTTTTCTTTGTGCTAACAAATGTGTTTTACCTTCGATAGTCCATGGGTGCTCCGTGCATTTGTTGATGTGGATTAAAATGTCCTCCTGTGCTTTGACATCCTTTAAACATTCATTCATATACAACATTTTATCACACCACGTCAACATCTCGTTTTAAACTTTAGATATCGTTCTCTGTCTCTCACCGTTGAAGTATTTCACGTGTTTAGTACTTACCTTTTGTAACAATGTCTCCGTACTCATGGATGTGAAAACCATGAACAGAGTTTGGTATCAGACCTTTAATATTAATCTTCATAAAGGTTGTCGGTACTTTCTAGTTAAAAAAAAAATCATTTTATTCTTTACAGCTAAAATCTTTCACTCGTCGGATTATGTGTTGTTTCATCACGAAACTGTCTGTGCTTTATTTTCGTCATCACTTACCAACATTGTAGGTTGAAAAAGCTCCACTGTTCCTTTAATTCTCCCCTTTTTCCATCGTTTGGTTGTAGTAAGATACTTTTTGCTTTTTGAATGGCTATAATGACAAAAACTAATTCTTACTGTACGTTCTACCATTGAACACAATCGTTTCATGTCGGCGTTCGTTTACTGGTGTCTTTCAATTCACGAGTACATAATTAATCGGTCGGGTTGTGTAAATGTATTGCTAAACAAAACGAATCGTTGTGGTAAAGTTAACTTCTTTCTTGGAAAGTAATTTGCTTTAATGTTTAATGGAAAGCAACGTATAAAATGTTCCCATCTAAAATATTTCCACCATCACTAAGATTCTCGACTTTGTTCATTGATATTTTCATTCATCAAACTTGGCGAAAGCAGTTCTAACAGGAATGTCATTCATGGGAAAAAATTCAAAGAATTTCATGGTTTGTGGCCACCCGATGTACATATTCTGAGGAAAATTTATGTTTTATTCAAACTCATCTAGCGTCAAATAACGCTTGCTTACGCAAACTTAAAAAATCGTATAAAAACTATAGATGTTCTTATTTCACCTTTTCTTGGATTTGAAGACTCTGAATGTTTACCAAAGAAGCTGTATGTGAGCATGAAAAATGCGAATACTTTTAAAGATCTTGCCATTCTGGATGCTGGTTGCAAAGTAAGGATTAGTGTCCTCTGACACAGAAATATAATACGTACCTACGTTTTACAGCAGGAGTGTTGTTGACATTGTAGAAATATTGGTTTACATAATGTTAAAGAGAACGTCTGAACTGAAAAACACTTTAAATTATGAAACCAAGGTGCTATTTTTAGTGGTAAACTGGAACTAATAAGATTGTAAAAAAATTTACCATTTGACCAGTTGTGTTTCATGGTGTTTCATTGAATGTCAAATCTGCTTATACAGTTGTGGTGACTTACATGAAGTAATGCATACAATGGTCAAAGTCTAAAATGGCGCTTGTCTCTTCTCGTGGAAAGACCTTTAAGTTTTGCTTGGTAAGAATTATGTTCTTTCCCATTTGTGAACTCTCTTTTTATTATGCTAATATTGAAAAAATCAAAGTTTTTTTGTAAATCGGAATCATAAACATTAACGTATATTGTAACGGTTTTATCGCGCCTTAAAGATGACATTAATTTTTCGGCCATATTAAATTCTTATCCTACCCTTATTTAGTGGCAATGGAAGTCGAAGAACTACAATTGTTTATTTCGGTTTTTAAGGTGGGTTTTCTGATGTTTAAATTTTGTTCAAGGGATATTGTTATATCAAGTTCTTCATTCTATAAACTTCAAAAAAATATATAATTACCAATGTAAGTGTTTTCTATTTTTTTTATATGTCAGCTCTGCTTCAGGAGACGAGAAGTATATTCAGCGTAGTATTGTACCTACGTACCATTTTCAAGCCAGCTTACCTCGTCTGCCAATCCCTAAACTAGAAGACACTTGTCGTCGTTATTTGGACGCACAAAAGGTCATATTGAGTTCAGAGGAATATGAAACGACTAAAAGACTTGTTGAAACTTTTCAAAAACAAGAGGGTCAAGGTTAGTATTCCGTTTAGCAAAATCATCACGAAAGATATGTACATCTACATAAAGGGGTAATGTGTTTTCTTTGTTAGAACTTCAGAAAAAGCTTTTGAAAAAAGATAAAATGAATAAACATACAAGTTACATCTCAGGTATTTTTTTTATGTCTTAAAAATATCAAGTCACAACTGAATAATTTAAATCTGCAAGTTGTAATTTAATATCATATTGTGTAGAACCATGGACAGATATGTATCTAGAGGATCGTAGATCTCTTGTGTTGAACCATAATCCATTTATTGCATTCAATTTTGATCCAAATGAAGAGAATAATCATCAGGTACGAATACTAGAAGGTGGGTTGAAGAAGAGTGTGAAGGAATGTGTAGGGATCATACAGAATAGCAACATATTGAATGCTAGGAGTGTAGAAGGGTTCAACCATGACAATTTAACAAATTAATCTATGGGATATCTAGGAACATAGCAGTGTGTAAGTGTAACATGTTGATACATGGGATATGAAGGAACATAGCAGTGTGTAAGTGTAACATGTTGATACATGGGATATGAAGGAACATAGTGTATATGAACATGTGAAGGAATATAAATGGACAGGAAGGTAACATGTTGATACATGGGATATGAAGGAACATAGCAGTGTGTAAGTGTAACATGTTGATACATGGGATATGAAGGAACATAGCAGTGTGTAAGTGTAACATGTTGATACATGGGATATGAAGGAACATAGCAGTGTGTAAGTGTAACATGTTGATACATGGAATACTAAGAATTTGGAAGTGAAAATTATGCCATCTTTGTCAATGAAATAACTGTTTAATGTGTTTACTCTGTATAGCTGGTCAGGGCAGCAAATGTTATAGTGTCAGCTATGAAGTTCAAAAACTCATTGGACGACCAAGTGTTAGAACCAGAAATATTTCATTTAAATCCAAAAAAAAGCAATACAGAACGTTTCAAGAAACTAATCAGGTTTGATGATGGTAACTTAACCATTTTCTTACAATCCACGTTACAATTTATTGTATTTTATCAATTATTTCTACTAAGATATGTTCCATCAAGTCTTTCTTGGTATGGTGCATATTTAGTTAAAGCATTTCCACTGGATATGAGTCAATATGACAGACTTCTTGCTTCAACGCGTATACCACTGTTGACGAAAGATAAACTTGTAACATACGAAGATAGTCGACATATTCTTGTAATTCATAAAGGCAATTATTACACATTAGATGTGATTGGTGAAACAGGTGAGTAGATTACCTTAATGCCTTTCCTTAACACCCGTTTCTTTATCGTACTAATATTCTTATAACCTTTCATTCTTTTGTTATATTTCTTAAGGCATTATCCGTCCCGTATCAGAAATCTTAATCAATCTCCAAGCCATCACAATGGATGATTCTACGTCATTACAATCTCCAATTGCCGCGCTCACGTCTAATGATCGTGACACATGGGCGCATGCGCGCGAGGAATTAGAAAAATCCAATGCGGAAGTTTTAAAGTTGATTGACAGCGCGTTGTTTGTGTTGAGTCTTGATGATGACGAACCAAAAATACCTGAAGAAGTTACAAAATCATTTCTTCATGGTGATGGCAGAAATAGGTCAGACTTTATACTGTATTTATCATCTTGTAGTCGTCGTGTAATGGCACTTTGAGTGTAGTGACGTCATGATCATGTGACATTCTCATGTATGACCTATGATGACGTCATGGTCATGTGACGTTATTCTCGTGCGTTTTTGACCTATGATATTTTCAGTTTAGATGGTTTGATAAATCTCTTCAACTCATCGTATGTCGTAATGGTCTGATGGGCTTGCACTTCGAGCATTCTTGGGGCGATGGTGTCGCAGTCCTTAGATTCTTTAATGAAGTTTCTGAAGATATGAGAGAAAATCCAGCTTGTTCTCCTGCACAGCTTGCTGCTTTAGATCTAAGTTCTGCTAACTATAGGAAACTATGCTTTGACATTCCAGCGAGCGTTGAAAACGTCATTAGTTCATCGAAAGAAAATTTTGATTCTCGTGTTAATAGTTTAGAGATGGAAACCTTACAGTTGTTTAGTTTTGGTCGAGATTATCTGAGGAGAAAGAAAATAAGTCCTGACGCATTAATGCAACTTTCCTTTCAAGTGAGTTGTAAATTTATAACCTATTTTTCTTTTGAGTGACCTCGCAATGATGAAAGAAAGAAGTGGAAAGAAGAAAACAGAACCTAAAAGAAAGAATTCCCGATAAAATGCCTTATGAAATGTTTGCTTTCAAAGAAAAATAAGTGAAAAAAAAACCACTTTAATCCAAACTATATTCTTTTAGATGGGTTATTATCGTCAGAATGGCAAGTTTGTTGGCTCATACGAGTCCTGTAGTACAGCGGCATTTAAACATGGTCGTACAGAGACTGTTCGTCCTGCTTCCTTAGCAACAGTCGCGTGTTGTCAGGCGTTTGATAAAAGCCATAAAGCAGGCATTGAGGAAATGAGAAATTTTATAATGAAGTCGTCAGATTATCATAACCAAATAATTAAAAATGCAGCCATGGGTGAGTACATAGGTACTCATAATGATCTCGATGGATACGTTTTCAGCAATGACATATTCTCTTTTTTGTTTGTAGGTCAAGGCTTTGATCGCCACATGTTTGCCCTTAGACATATTGCTCAATCATCAGGCAAGTTACCAAAGATATATCAAGATCCATCTTTTGCTCGTCTGAACCATATCATTTTATCAACCAGTACTCTCACTAGTCCCAATGTGTTAATGGGAGGATTTGCGCCCGTGGTTCCCGATGGCCTAGGTGTGGGTTACACAATACTTGATGATAGCCTAGGATGTAATGTATTGAGCTACGGCCCGCCTACTGATGTTCGTGGATTTGTCGAGTGTGTACGATCTAGTCTCGAAGATATTCTAGAAGTTTTGGAAGGAAGAAATTTCAAAAATACATCAGGATAGAAACGTTTTTGGTTGACAACCGATTTGACAATCTTTATTTCAATGTCGGCATTTTTAAACTTTAAACATTCCAGGTTTTTAACGAAGGCAAGGCTATTTACTGTCGACTGCATCAAGATGAGGTTGCGTCGTAAAAAAACATCAAAAAAATCAATTACCGCACATAATATTATTTCGTAATCTGAGCAGCATTAGATATATGAAAGAAGTCCTTTCATTCATTACTGTATCTCGCCACATGTCTCACGGGGAGGTGGAGAATGATCTTGCAGCCATTATAGAACATTCTTGCTCTCTTTCATTTTATCTAAACGCATGAAATGTTTTATTGATCAATTTAAATCATTAGGAATAACCAACAACGTAATTTTTAAATGCATGCCAACACAATGCATGTAATTTTATTACTCTATAAATATACGTACACTCTTGTTCGTATATGTTTTTGTACGTTAATTGAATTGATGGATTAAATCGCGCTCGCATGTTCTTAAACACTCGAAATTCACCTTTGTTGACATGTAACTTGAGTATTTGTAGAAGTGTTTCAGAAATACAAGGTCAAAAGGAGGTTTCTGAGACAGCTTGCATGCAATGTCCTACCCTTCCGTTATATACGCCGTATCAAATGAACATTCCGGCAACATTCCAAGTGGATCTTATTACCTGCCTTGGATTTCATTCTGTCCCCTCTCACACTGCATCAGAAGCGAAGGGAAAATTCCGTTACATCTCTGGATTTTGAATCAAGTTGATCGCTGCTCAAGCAACTATATCTATTTTCTTCACCCACTGTCCTGTCGATCGTGGGAGTCTTTGCATATTGTCATAATTTGTGGACTAGAATACCGTCCCTGAAGGTGTACTGAGCGCAAACCAGACATAGTCATTGATTGGGCTTCTTAATCCCTTGTTTGTGTTGTTGTTACGGACGAGTTGAAATTATCTACATAACATACAAATAGGTATGTAATCATTTACAGTTTGTGCGTATGTGTTGTCCAAATTAAGTCATAGATGAACCTTTTGTGCAATCATCTTTGGTGATTACATTTCTAGCTGATGACATCATTGATAAAAATTATTATTTGGCTTATTCTATTCGTAGTGATCAGTCTGTTTTCGTTTTTGATTTTCTTAGTCGTTGGCTGGTAATCTTTACTCTGGTTTTACTCTTTTATCACCGTAAATCGCCCACTCGAAGGTTTGTATGCATCTTGTTATCCCTGAGAAGTCAAATTATTTGTGATTGCAAATACAACGGATGGCTAATAAACATGAGAATATTTGTTGAATGAAAAACAACTGAAAAATGCCTCCGCTATGTTTGCGAGTTGATTTTCACACGATAGAAAACGCACTCTATTACAATGATACGTGTTCGCCATTCATATAAAATTCTTTACTGTCTGGCATCGTGTTGTTTTACAGTATATCGTTGACACTTCATGTGGTCAGCGCCATATAGTAAACTCTCTTATTGTATACTCAAAGAAGAAATTTTGATGTAATGAGTGTTAAATTATTTTATTGTCACCCAATCCCCTAAACTCCAACTGTTTTTATCCGAATATTTTCGCACGATGAAAACGTGGTTCCTACTCAAGATATCTTGTATAAATATTAACACTCTTGAACAAAACACTACCATCAATACGATTATACCTTATGGAGAATTGTCAGATAATTTAAACACGCATTAGTCGATCTTCTTATACAGCTACGTACGAACGTATTTTATTTGACGATCATAGACATTTTAACTTTTTAATAACAATTTGTTTTTAGTGTTGATTATCACTGATCTGTGATCGAAGTCTACGTTCTTCGTCGTTTTTTCTGTGGATTATGTCGTCTCTACTGTTGGTTTTTGTTGTCTTCCTTTGCCTTCCAGGTATGCGTCATTTTTCTTGTCAAATATCAAGTACATAGTATGTTGTATATTCTACATTTGCGCAATTTTATAAACTCATAAACACCACAGTCATCACTTCTCTAGTTATCTCAGGGCTTGTAGAATATTTATGACAAGTGCGCCTCAACTAACCACGGACATGACCAATAATTCCTGACGAACATTTCAGAGTGTTTTTTTTGTATTTTTTACTTTTTGAGGGATAAATTAGCGGTCGTTTTATTGAGTGTTTTTTGATAGGGAAAACGTATCTAAAAGCGTTTTTCTCCTCGTGGCATTTTGATAAAATCTTTGGCCACTGTAATGATCTTGTAGTGACATATCTATGTCGTTCATGTCCGCCTTTGAAATAATGAATATTTAAGTCACGTGCGCAGCTCATGCAAGTTTTTATAAAAGTTTACCGTCATTTGCATTGTAAAGTTGCATTGTAAAAAAAAACACAATATTATTGTTCAAAACTACTTAGTTGATTGTAGCGTGCGAGGTTCTGTAAGGCCACCCGAAGTTCACGGCATCAGAATAATCATCTTTGATAATCTCTCTATTTGCTGTGAAAAACATCATTATAATCATGACGATAGTACGATGAAGATCGTTATGGATATCATAAATATTTTGTTGCTTCCATTGATAACGTGATGTGCGACAAACATGAAGATTTCATTCTCTTATCTTTGTGTGAACGCAGATGCCGGAGGGAAGACTACTCTGCATGTGTTTCTATAAGCTTGAAAACATGTTTTGTTTGAATAGGTCGTGCTGTCATTACCTTCTACTATTTGTTTTACATGATTTAGGAGATGGTTGTTTTGCCAACATGAGATCTTTTAAATTACCCATTGAATGCACGTTTCCTAGTCATCTTGATGATATGTTTTACCAAGAAGAAAGAATATTCTTATTCTAAAGTTTACGCTACGCGCATTAAAATATTTTCCCACATATTTGAAATATTTTAACTGATACTCGCTATGCAATTGCGTGCTTGGCAGGAAATATGTCACCTTTAAAATCGTCCAACCCTCACCATATGCAAAAAAAACTGTTGCACTAGGAGTGATGTTTCAAATAAATGATAAATTTCTATGTTCACGTGACGATAACGTGGATAATGTACTACAAATGTTTGAATAACCAATGTCTGAGGTGGAATGTGATGATGTATGCCTCGTTTATGGTAATTATTGATCCGGAAAACGAACGGTGACCTGTTGAGAACAGACAGAATCCTGTTGAGAGAACTTGAGAAAATCTTGTGCATGTTCTGTATATTATATAAATGTCTGTCGCCTTTATAATTTATAATTTTAGTCATCAACATTCATTGTGATCATTGCATTCTTGTTGTTTTTTATTTTTTCTGGAGTCATCTTATCTATCCAATGCTCAACCACTGACATTTGAATTCGTTATTTGTTTTTTACGGCAATGGTTTCAGGAAGTGTAAAACATTAGGAAATGAATTTAAAGGATTTATGTATTTCCCAGTTTATTGTCTTTCTTTATCACTGCTTCTGCTTCATCCTTGTGTTTGTGGATGTATCTTTGCTTGAGTTTTTAATTTAATAAATGAAAACGAAATTCAATCTTAGATTACATTTGTAGATAATATAGATTAGATGAGATAAATTCTTTATGGTAGTGCTGCACAGAATTACAAATGTTTTATAATTTTGAAATAAAATTAAAGTGCATAGGGAAATAATTTTGTAATGTAGAGCGCGAGTCTTTTCGTTGAGTATTTTTTGTTTCATAGCGAGAGACAGTAAAGGTTTTGTGCTTTTGAAATGGTAATGACGACGTGGTGTTTCTGACGTGTTTTAGTATTTTGTATTTAAAAGTGATCTGTTGGACTGCAATCTTTTTATTAAGAACCGTTTCCCGTACGACACCTCACTCAAAACAATATTTCCCCGTTTGATGAATTAATATTATGATCATTTTTTTATAAGTTATGATGATCAAATTGACATTTTTGTTGTGAGAGAGTGAAATGTTGCAATAATCTAAATTAAAACGAAACTCTTAAGTAGTTTTTTGTATTTTTACTTAGGTTTGATATCGAGTCAGCTTGACGATATTGAAGAAGATAACTGCATCAGTAATGCGTGTTATCCTTCAACTGGAGATCTTCTTGTTGGTCGTGGTAAAAAGCTTTATGCCAGTTCAATATGTGGTGAAAAAGGCCCACAAAGATACTGCACAATCTCGAAACTTGATGGTCGTTCCTGCACTTATTGCGATTCGAGATCTATTTCACCAAAAATATACCAACACTTACCTGAGTTCATGGAAATTAACTTTAATGAGAAAAAGCAATCTTGGTGGCAGTCTAAAAATGGGCAAGAAAGTGTTTATTTGCAGGTAGAGCATTTGATTTTCTCTCAAAATAATTACTAGTAAAATTTTTCTTATTCATCATTTTGTCCTATTTGATTTTCAATTATTGTTTTGAGTTTTTTCCAATCGGTGATTGTGTGATTATTATTATTATTTTGTCATTTATTATGCGTTTTGAACGTTGAACGTAACTTTATCTGTTTAAATTTTTAGCTGGATTTTGATGCACAATTTCATGTCACGCATGTCATAATGAAATGGAAATCATTTCGTCCAGCTGCCATGTTGATTGAGAAGTCTTTTGATTATGGACGATCGTGGAATGTCTCAAGATACTACGCTAAGAGTTGTCAATTGTCTTTTCCTGGTGTACCGACGAGGCCAACCAGAGACATCTCTATCCCTTATTGCACCCCAAAATACTCTAAACTTGAACCATCTACTGGAGGAGAGGTATGGAAATGCTTATGCAGTTTTAATGATACTTTAACGTTGTTTTGTAGCTCGTCTTGTAGTTTTATTTTTCATTGTCCCATGACATATAGCTGTAGGATTTTATCATTTTGTATATCCCGTTCAAGTTGTCTTTACTCATACCTTAAGGTTGTCTACAAAGCATTGAGAGGTAATGAAAACGCTGCAGATGTTAAAACACAGAATTTATTGCGAGTGACCAACCTCCGTATAAAATTTACCAAACTAAATACTTTGGGAGATGATATTATAGACAACAGGTTTGACATTCAGACCCATTCTTAATCATAAAACACGAAAAATTGTTTTATTAACGCTTTTCCATCGACCACATTGACAGCTTGGAATCGACTTTGAATTACTACTATGCTGTTGATTGGATCACAATTCGTGGCAGTTGTTCGTGTTATGGTCATGCTAGACATTGTCTTCCTGGACCTGGTGAAGATAGTGGTGTGTCAGGAATGGTAATGAACCTTTTGGCAAATGTTGGGATAGGGTTTTACTTGATCCATTGTGATAACTAAGAGTAAAAATTATTAGTGCAGCATCAAAGGAATGTTGGATCGAGAGACCATTGGTATAAACATTTGTGCAGCATTAAGTATATAAGTGTTTAACAGAAGGACACATAAGTATAAACATTAGTGCAGCATTAAGTATATAAGTGTTTAAAAGAAGGACACATAAGTATAACATTAGTGCAGCATTAAGTATATAAGTGTTTAACAGAAGGACACACAAGTATAAACATTAGTGCAGCATTAAGTATATAAGTGTTTAAAAGAAGGACACATAAGTATAAACATTAGTGCAGCATTAAGTATATAAGTGTTTAACAGAAGGACACATAAGTATAAACATTAGTGCAGCATTAAGTATATAAGTTTTTAACAGAAGGACACACAAGTATAAACATTAGTGCAGCATTAAGTATATAAGTGTTTAAAAGAAGGACACATAAGTATAAACATTAGTGCAGCATTAAGTATATAAGTGTTTAAAAGAAGGACACATAAGTATAAACATTAGTGCAGCATTTAAGTGTTTTAAAAGAAGGACACATAAGTATAAACATTAGTGCAGCATTAAGTATATAAGTTTTAACAGAAGGACACATAAGTATAAACATTAGTGCAGCATTAAGTATATAAGTGTTTAAAAGAAGGACACATAAGTATAAACATTAGTGCAGCATTAAGTATATAAGTGTTTAAAAGAAGGACACATAAGTATAAACATTAGTGCAGCATTAAGTATATAAGTGTTTAAAAGAAGGACACATAAGTATAAACATTAGTGCAGCATTAAGTATATAGTGTTTAAAAGAAGGACACATAAGTATAAACATTAGTGCAGCATTAAGTATATAAGTGTTTAAAAGAAGGACACATAAGTATAAACATTAGTGCAGCATTAAGTATATAAGTGTTTAAAAGAAGGACACATAAGTATAAACATTAGTGCAGCATTAAGTATATAAGTGTTTAAAAGAAGGACACATAAGTATAACATTAGTGCAGCATTAAGTATATAAAAGAAGGACACATAAGTATAACATTAGTGCAGCATTAAGTATATAAGTTTTAAAGAAGGACACATAAGTATAAACATTAGTGCAGCATTAAGTATATAAGTTTTTAAAAGAAGGACACATAAGTATAAACATTAGTGCAGCATTAAGTATATAAGTTTTTAAAAGAAGGACACATAAGTATAAACATTAGTGCAGCATTAAGTATATAAGTGTTTAAAAGAAGGACACATAAGTATAAACATTAGTGCAGCATTAAGTATATAAGTGTTTAAAAGAAGGACACATAAGTATAAACATTAGTGCAGCATTAAGTATATAAGTTTTAAAAGAAGGACACATAAGTATAAACATTAGTGCAGCATTAAGTATATAAGTGTTTAAAAGAAGGACACATAAGTATAAACATTAGTGCAGCATTAAGTATATAAGTGTTTAAAAGAAGGACACATAAGTATAAACATTAGTGCAGCATTAAGTATATAAGTTTTAAAGAAGGACACATAAGTATAAACATTAGTGCAGCATTAAGTATATAAGTGTTTAAAAGAAGGACACATAAGTATAAACATTAGTGCAGCATTAAGTATATAAGTGTTTAAAAGAAGGACACATAAGTATAACATTAGTGCAGCATTAAGTATATAAGTTTTAAAAGAAGGACACATAAGTATAAACATTAGTGCAGCATTAAGTATATAAGTTTTAAAAGAAGGACACATAAGTATAAACATTAGTGCAGCATTATATAAGTGTTTAAAAGAAGGACACATAAGTATAACATTAGTGCAGCATTAAGTATATAAGTGTTTAAAAGAAGGACACATAAGTATAAACATTAGTGCAGCAAAGTATATAAGTTTTAAAAGAAGGACACATAAGTATAAACATTAGTGCAGCATTATATATAAGTTTTAAAAGAAGGACACATAAGTATAAACATTAGTGCAGTATATGTTTTAAAAGAAGGACACATAAGTATAAACATTAGTGCAGCATTAAGTATATAAGTTTAAAGAAGGACACATAAGTATAAACATTAGTGCAGCATTAAGTATATAAGTGTTTAAAAGAAGGACACATAAGTATAAACATTAGTGCAGCATTAAGTATATAAGTGTTTAAAAGAAGGACACATAAGTATAAACATTAGTGCAGCATTAGTATATAAGTGTTTAAAAGAAGGACACATAAGTATAAACATTAGTGCAAAGTAAAAGAAGGACATAAGCATTAGTGCAGCATTATAAACATTAGTGCAGCATTTATATAATTAAAAGAAGGACACATAAGTATAAACATTAGTGCAGCATTAAGTATATAAGTTTAAAAGAAGGACACATAAGTATAAACATTAGTGCAGCATTAAGTATATAGTGTTTAAAAGAAGGACACATAAGTATAAACATTAGTGCAGCATTAAGTATATAAGTTTTTAAAAGAAGGACACATAAGTATAACATTAGTGCAGCATTAAGTATATAAGTGTTTAAAAGAAGGACACATAAGTATAAACATTAGTGCAGCATTAAGTATATAAGTGTTTAAAAGAAGGACACATAAGTATAAATTAGTGCAGCATTAAGTATATAAGTGAAAGAAGGACACATAAGTATAAACATTAGTGCAGCATTAAGTATATAAGTGTTTAAAAGAAGGACACATAAGTATAAACATTAGTGCAGCATTAAGTATATAAGTTTTTAAAAGAAGGACACATAAGTATAAACATTAGTGCAGCATTAAGTATATAGTGTTTAAAAGAAGGACACATAAGTATAAACATTAGTGCAGCATTAAGTATATAAGTTTTAAAAGAAGGACACATAAGTATAAATTAGCATTAAGTATATAAGTGTTTAAAAGAAGGACACATAAGTATAAACATTAGTGCAGCATTAAGTATATAAGTTTTTAAAAGAAGGACACATAAGTATAACATTAGTGCAGCATTAAGTATATAAGTGTTTAAAAGAAGGACACATAAGTATAAACATTAGTGCAGCATTAAGTATATAAGTTTTTAAAAGAAGGACACATAAGTATAAACATTAGTGCAGCATTAAGTATATAAGTTTTAAAAGAAGGACACATAAGTATAAACATTAGTGCAGCATTAAGTATATAAGTTTTAAAAGAAGGACACATAAGTATAAACATTAGTGCAGCATTAAGTATATAAGTGTTTAAAAGAAGGACACATAAGTATAAACATTAGTGCAGCATTAAGTATATAAGTGTTTAACAGAAGGACACATAAGTATAAACATTAGTGCAGCATTAAGTATATAAGTGTTTAACAGAAGGACACATAAGTATAACATTAGTGCAGCATTAAGTATATAAGTGTTTAAAAGAAGGACACATAAGTATAACATTAGTGCAGCATTAAGTATATAAGTTTTAAAAGAAGGACACATAAGTATAAACATTAGTGCAGCATTAAGTATATAAGTGTTTAAAAGAAGGACACATAAGTATAACATTAGTGCAGCATTAAGTATATAAGTGTTTAAAAGAAGGACACATAAGTATAACATTAGTGCAGCATTAAGTATATAAGTTTTAAAAGAAGGACACATAAGTATAAACATTAGTGCAGCATTAAGTATATAAGTGTTTAAAAGAAGGACACATAAGTATAAACATTAGTGCAGCATTAAGTATATAAGTGTTTAACAGAAGGACACATAAGTATAACATTAGTGCAGCATTAAGTATATAAGTGTTTAAAAGAAGGACACATAATTAGTGCAGCATTAAGTATATAAGTGTTTAAAAGAAGGACACATAAGTATAAACATTAGTGCAGCATCAATTAAAAGAGTTTAGTTTATCTCAATTGCTTTATTTAAGGTTCATCGTATATGTAACTGTACACACAACACAAAAGGAGTTAATTGTGAGGAATGTAAAGATTTATACAACGATCATCCATGGCGACCAGCTGAACAAGGAAATCCCAACGAATGTAGAAGTAAGATTGTGCCATATTGTAAATATTTGTTTTACTACACTTTCTGTGCTCATCTTCACAACATTTTCAGAATGTGAATGTAACAGCCATGCAGATAAGTGTAAATTTGACGTTGCTGTTTGGGAAGCTTCTGGTCAAACTAGTGGTGGCGTTTGTATTGACTGTAAACATAACACCATTGGTACCAAATGTGAGAAATGTAAACCATTGCATTATAAGGATCCTTCTTTACCCATGAGTGATCCAAATGTTTGCAAAAGTAAGTCATTAAAGAATTAGTAGTTTTCATGATTGTGATTAAAGCATACAACTGCACTTTTAAAATCCTAGTTATCTTTGGGTGAAGTAGTTAATCTATGATGATTATTGATAAATATTGTTAACTGTTGACTACTTTAGTTAGTAATTTAGTTATTGAAGGATTAGTGCTGATAATTATTGATAATAGTTGACTACCTTATAGCGTAATTTAGTTATTGAAGGATAAGTGTTGATAATTATTGGTAATAGTTGATTACCTTATAGCGTAATTTAGTTATTGAAGGATAAGTGTTGATAATTATTGATAATTGTTGACTGCCTTATAGCGTAATTTAGTTATTGAAGGATTAGTGTTGATAATTATTGATAATAGTTGACTACCTTATAGCGTAATTTAGTTATTGAAGGATAAGTGTTGATAATTATTGATAATTGTTGACTGCCTTATAGCGTAATTTAGTTATTGAAGGATTAGTGTTGATAATTATTGATAATAGTAGACTACCTTATAGCGTAATTTAGTTATTGAAGGATAAGTGTTGATAATTATTGATAACTGTGAAAACTATTAACCACAGTGATCGTATTGTACATCAACGTTGGTTAAGAAATGAGATGACAATCTTCAATGTTTTCTTGTATTTTAGCTTGTGACTGCGATCCTTCTGGGTCTGTCGGTCTTGGTGAATGTCAAATGGAGGAAGACCCTGTTCTCAACTTGCGAGCAGGTCAATGTATATGCAAGAGAAATGTCTATGGAGCTCGCTGTGATCGATGTAAGAATGGGTATTTTAATTTGAGAAAAGAGAATCTTGATGGATGTGAAGGTGAGGAAGTCTTTTTTCGTGAAATCTTTATTGTTTCTTTATCCGGAGGTGTTGTTTGTTATTTTTCAACAATCTTTTCATTCTGTTACAGCATGTGCTTGTGACATAAACGGTGCTATTGGTTCAAGTTGTGATACAATCACAGGAAAATGTCAATGTAAAAGATTTGTTGAAGGCGACAAATGTGATAAATGTTTTGTAAGTTTTACATAACAATACATGTCATGTTTTTTTGTACGTAGCGAATTTGTTGTTCATTGTCTTCAATAGGATGAATACTGGGGCCTGGCGTCTTCAACTGGATGCAAACCATGTGATTGTGACCCGGGGGGTGCCTATAGCAACCGATGTGACCCTGTGAGCGGACAGTGCTCTTGTAGACCTGGGATCGAGGGGATGAAATGCGACCGCGTCATTCCTGGGTACTACTACGCACTTTCTGACAACCTTAAATATGAGGCAGAAGATGCGCGAGGGATTGGGGTGAGGGAAGAACTACTTACATTTTCATTTTACTAAAGTCACAAGAAAAGTCACTGTTCGCTGATGTTTATATTTGTTGTTTGTAGTTGACGAAAATAAGACTTCTTGAACGTTTTAACAACACTCCTGTCGTTTGGAGTGATGTTGGTAGTGTGAAGATAACTGAAGGAAATGCAGTAGAGTTCACAGTCACAAATATTCCTGTTACTGGAAACTATAAAATTCTCATGAGATTCCATCCTAGGGTAAAACGAGTTTACGTCATACCCATGTACGTGTGACGTCATTATTGATTACGTAAACACCCTATTGTTGTTTAGACTTTAGCATTTTGGGAGGAAGTAAAGGTTTCCATTACTCGGGCTGATGGTCAAAGGACAGTTAATGGTGTTTGTGGAAATTCTCTATCGTTTAATGGATATTCTGTGTTTATCACGATGCAGTCTTTTCAACAGACAAAACTTCTTGATGATATGGTGTGTTTGGAGAAAGGTGTACATTATTTTCTTCGCGTTGACTTCAATCGTCACCAAGGACGCGATGATCACATAAACTTGGACTCTGTAAGCTCTTAAATTTTAGTGGAAATTCAAATCTTTCGTTAACGAGTGCAGTAAAAGTCGGAATATCTTGTCTGCTTGTACCGTTTTGTATTCTTTGAATTTTTCAGGTTGTTTTGATACCAGATATGAGTTCTGTAGATATATTTCAAGGAGGACGGGGACAGTTAAGGTTTAATGATTTTATAAATTACCGTTGTGAACAATCGAATCTTCTTGCGAGATATCCTCGACTGAAGGTCAACGAAGTGTGTAAAAAGTTACATTTCTCTGGTTCTGCAATCATTTACGATGGAGCCATATGTAAGTAACCTTAAATCACTCTCAACGTCTATTATTTATTACTCAAAATTTATTGTATTTACAATTTTTAGTGTGTGCCTGCAATGAGATTGGCACAGTGAAAAATGTCAGCGGTATTTACACGTGTGACAATGCTGGTGGTCAATGTCCTTGTAGAATCAATGTGATTGGTCGTACTTGCCAGAAATGTGCTCCTGGGACTTATAACTTTGGCCCAAATGGTTGTTCACGTGAGTTGAACCAAAAATATTTTGCCAGCGATATATCATTAAATGATTCTGGTTAATTCCTATCACATAGATCTCCCTCTTTCTTTACATTTCCCTTCTCATAAGCAAAATGGTGATTCGTGCACATATTATTAAACGCTTTAGATAAACGACAATATTTTTCAATTTTATATTTTCAATTAGAGACTTGTTTAGACTTAACTGTTTGTCATCTTCAGTGTGAATGGCTACGTTATTTACAATGTGGGATGTATAATATAGAAATATGAGACAATGTTTCCCACTTCTATTATATATATCCCACATTGTAAATAACGTAATCATCCACACTGAAGATGACTTACAGTTAAGTCTAAACATGTCCGTAATTAAAAAAATAAAATTGAAAAATACTGTCGTTTATCTAAAATGTTTATTAAATATCGTGTTCAAAAGATCATAGGCACTTATTATGCTTGTTAACTGACTCGTTCAATCAGGCCAATGACGACATAAGACTGCCAAAACTTGGTTGCTAAAAACTGAACTATGTGCAATGTACATTATCGTTGATGACATTCAATTGTTCATCCAGCTTGTGAATGCGATCTCCGTGGATCACATGACAATTTATGTGACGTTGTTACTGGTCAATGTAAGTGTAATGGTCTTGGCATTGGTCGAAAGTGTAACGAATGTCCTGACGGAGAATGGGGTTTTCCCACGTGTCGCCCATGTGAATGTAATGGACATGCATCACGTTGTGATCCCGTGACAGGCGTCTGCATCGACTGCGCCCACAATACCGCTGGCGTGAATTGTGAACTTTGTAAGGCAGGATATTATGGCAATGCTACGAAAGGTATCTTACTTTGTTTACTTCATATTTAATTACGTCATGCTTTTTGTCCAACATTACGTTATGTATTCTGTGCAGCATTACGTCATTGGAATCAATTGTTTTAGGTACCTCAACCGACTGCCAAAAATGTCAATGTCCCGGAGGAAGCAGTGAAAATGATTTTAGTCCCACGTGCAGAGTAGATGGAAGTACTATACCTCCATCGTTTATCTGCGATAAATGTGAGGTAAGTTTTCATTTATCCATGTTAAGAAAACTAAAGTCAAGTTTTACTTCTTCAAGTTGAAACTATGTTAAAGTATAAATTGAACAATGTTAACGTTTTGTGTATTAGCCTGGATACGAAGGAAATCAATGTGAGTCATGCAGTGAAGGTTATTATGGTAATCCCCTTCTTCCTGGGGGAAAATGTGAAAAATGCAACTGTAGTGGAAACATCAACGTTACTTTGTCTGGGGGATGTGACAAAAAAACAGGAGAGTGCTTTGGATGTCTTTATAATACCGCTGGCTATTACTGTGACGTGTGTAAGCCAGGTTACTATGGTAATGCAAAGAATCAGACTTGCCAAGGTAAATATTTAGTTATTATAGTTTGCTCCAGTAGCTTGTTGTGACAAAAACGTCGAAATGCTTTTCATTGCAGTCAGAAACTTTTTCTAAAGTTTTTCAATGATTAATTTGTCAGAATATTCTCACGGAGTCAAAATAAGATTGGTTTTCAAAGAGAGATGGTTTGACGTCCTTTATTTTAATTTGATCATTTAGCTTGCAACTGTAGCGAGATTGGAACAGTTTTGAATTCAGGCTCTTGTGATTCTTTCACTGGTCAATGTCAATGTAAGCCAAATGTTGTTGGTTTGTCATGTGATCGTTGTGCGCAAGATTACTGGGACCTAAATAGTGGTACAGGATGTAAAGCATGCAAATGTTGTAAAGATGGTTCAACAACAACTCAATGCGATGAGGTATAAATATGCTTAGTGACGTGTATTAGTGACGTGTATTAGTGACGTGTATTAGTGACGTGTATCAGTGACGTGTATTAATGACGTGTACTAGTGACGTGTTTAGTGACGTGTATTAGTGACGTGTATTGGTGACGTGTATACGGTCTTTTATTTAAACATGACATGTTTTCGAAGTGATTTTAATGAAACAGGTAGAGAGATGTTTCTTAATATATAAATGTTATTTACTGCCTTGGTGGTTCGTACTAAAAAATATTTTCACGAGATCTCAGATCGAGGCCGAAAGCCGAGGGACGCTATTGACGACGAGTGAAAATATTTTTTATTTACGCACCGACCTGAAGGTAAATAACGTTTTTATTTTATGATAAAGTAATTAATTTTGTAAAATGGGCGAGGTGTGCCTTGTTTATGCACAACAAATATCACTTTTGAACTTCGGTGAAGATATCCTAAAAAGCCGCCCATTGCTGCATACAATCAATTGCTGGAAATAAAAAAATATCACTTCGCATGCATAAATAAAAAAATAAATTTTAATATTTTCCAGGTAAGTGGAGCTTGCTCGTGTCGTGGTGATTTCGGAGGTCCCAATTGTTGTCATTGTGAAGATGGTTTCTGGGGTGTACCCCCCGGCCAATGTCAACGTAAGTTACAATATTATATTACGTTATTCAAGATGATTTTTCTGGTTAATGTTAGAAAATTCTTTAGCTTGCAACTGTAATCCCAATGGAGTCACACAGTCACAATGCGATAGAAAAACTGGGAAATGTTATTGTAAACCTGGTATCACGGGACTCAAATGCAATAAATGTGAATTGGAAACAACTCGATTATTTCCGGAATGTAAAGCGTGCCATGATTGTTACTATAGTTGGGATAAAATCATTTCTGAACTCGAAGATTTTGCTCGACGTTTGAATAGAACTATTAGGAAAGATGGTATGTTGAATTACATTATGATAAATATAAAGTTTGTAACGCTACATCTTGTATTGAAATGCGGATAAATAGGATTGTAACAGTACATGGTATGTCATCTGGTGTGTCAGTAGGATTTTAACAGGACATCTTATGTAGAATAGTTGTTGAATAGGATTGTAGCGGTATGTCGTGCGTTATCTGGTGTATGAATAGGATTGTAACTGGATATCTTGTGTAGAATAGTTGATGAATAGGATTGTAGCGGTATGTCGTGCGTTATCTGATGTATGAATAGGATTGTAACTGGATATCTTGTGTACAATAGTTGATGAATAGGATTGTAGCGGTATGTCGTGCGTTATCTGATGTATGAATAGGATTGTAAAGGATAACTTGTGTAGAATAGTTGGTAAATAGGATTGTTACTGTATATCGTGTGTCATCTGACGTATGATAAGGTTGCAAAATGACATCTTGTGTTAGTTGTGTACAATACTTGTTAATATATTAACAACCTTAGTAATGATTATTTAAGTTGACTTTTTCCTGTAGGAGACGATGCTATTGTAAGTGTTGATTATCAGAAGGAAATTGATGCACTTAAAGAAATCTTGCGAAAAATTGAATACATTCTTGGCAACAAAACCACTTTCCTTTCTCATGTTGAAAATGTTCAAAATGAAATGGATGAACATGAAAAGAAAGTCGTGGAAATGATGAAAATTATTGAAGAATTAAAAGAAAACCTGAACGTCACTCGGTTACGTATGAACAATGCAAATATTGAGATAGAGAAACTTTGGAAAAATTATAGAAAATTGAAAGTTTTATTTGACGGTCATTTGGACGAGTTAACGACGACTATTGAAGGACCAAAGGCTGATGATGCATTGAATATTACAAATCATTACTATAGAATATCCAATAAAACACTTGATGACGCTAAAGATGTAAGAAAAATTGTTGACGAGTCAGCAATAAAACGTGAAGAGTTTAAAAGGAAGACGTCTGAATATGAAACAAGAAATAGGAAAATTTTTGAGAAATTAGAAGATTATCGAAGGGAATATGGCGATTTGAATGATATTATTGCTTTGATTAATGCTAAGCTCTGTGGTAGTAACTCAACGTTATGTGGTGGTTGTACAATCATTGGTTGTGATGGTTGTGGTGATAATAAGGGATGCGATGGTGCTGTACCACTTTCTATGGTTGCCTTGGAGAAGGCAAAATTGGCTGAAGATGCATTAAGATTAAAAGAAGGCGAGTAATTTAATATCCTAAGATTGAATTATTGTCGATGAATGACCATGAAAATAAATGGGAATGAATACGTCTTTTTAAACAGAAAAGGCAAACGCAACGCTGGCCGAAGCAATTGAGGCTCAAAGTAAAGTCGACAATGCCATGAACGAAGCTAAAATAGCTCTGGAACTTGCCAAATCTATTGAATTGCAGACTTTCAATAATACTGTCGTCGTGGGCGGTTTAATAGAGGTATTTCTGTTTTATTATTTTTCTTATAACATTTTTTTTTCTAAGGTTTGACTTTTATCTTTGATCACGTATGTTATGTTGGTCTGTAGGTAAGGCCAGTGGGTTTGTATTTTATGGGTAAGTTTGGTTTTGGTCTGAATTAACAATAAAATTTTCTTGGGGTCTTTCTAGGAAATCTACATTTACCTGAACCGTAGTGCAGTCTTGGATACGGACGAGATTCGAAGAATTGGCGAGTTTGTTTTAGGACGAAAATTAAATATATCAGAAGAAGGAATAATCATGCTTGGTGAAAGGATAAAGGAAGCTGTAAGAAAACTTACTGGCATTGATCAAATTCTTGAAGACACAGAAAGAGATTTTGCAATGATTGAAGATCTTAAACAACAGGCAATACAAGCCAAGTAAGTAACTTTCTTTTTATTTAACTATTCCTACCATCAACTTCATTTGAAATCAATTTTCTCTTTGATTTCTACCTTTCCTTCCACAAACTTACTTTAAAATGTGTGTTAAAAAATATTCGCTCTGCATGTATTGTTGCATAAGACCATACTTAAGAGATATTATTTGTAAATTTTTATGTATTTTTGTGCTAGCACATCTGCTACTGTTGCATCGCGAACTGCGCAAAATATAACTAAATGGTTGAAGATGGTCGGCGTTATTCAAAATGGTTGGAAAACATCTTTAAATAAAACAAAAGATAAATTGGATTACATCGACCTTAAATTATTAGAGGTACAAATTTCAAGTGTTTTTTTTTGCAAAAAAATATCATTTTCTTAAATTTTTATTGAATTTAAGACATAGCAAAGAGATTAAATAAATTATTGGTTTGTTTCATATTTGATTGAATAGTACCAGTTCATATGTCTATCTGTTGCATAGATTGAAGGTCTAATAAACAAGACGATGAATAGGTCCTTTGAGTCTGTTCGCATAACGAACGAAGCGAGTAAAAGACTTGGACCTTTGGATATGAAATTCAGTGAAAATGAGAAGTCATTGTTAAACAGTGAAAAAGATATCAATGAGACAGCCAAACTTGCGTCCGACACAAAAACTGTAAGTATTTATAACAAATATTTATGTTGTTGTAAAAGCTAGATTTGAAACAATTGCTGAAGAATTCTTTAACTGTAGAACTCAAATAATGTGAAGATTTTATCGGAGGAAGTAAATGAGCAGTTTAATAAAACTTTGAATGACACTTTAAAGTTTCACAAAAGAGCAAAGAAAGCTTTTGATTCTGCCACGACAATTAAACTGTCACTTATAAACACTCTCCGTCGATTGCAAAGTAAGTTTACTAAATACGTGAAAAAAATTATGCAACGATTTCAATGTTGTTACGGCGTTAATTTTTTGTAGGTTATTACATAGAAAGAAATGACTTGGACGATGTTATAGAAAAATTAAAGATACTGGAGTCGAAAGTGGCAGAGAAGTTTTGTCAGATTAAACTAGACAGTAAGCGACTCTCGGAATGTCAAAACCAAGGACAAGATGTGAGGTCAACGAACACAATTGAAGGTTACTGTGACCAACTTGAGAAGGAAAATTAAAAATATATATTTTGAGAAGAAAAAGGAAATTTAGATAAAGTATGGAGACGGTTTTTTTTAAATTGATACGTAAATTAACGACGTGTCTCCATCAATACGTTTGAATTGGGGGGTATTTTACCATCAAGGTAAAACGTTAATCTATATTCTGTTACATTATGTTTATATTAGTACAGAAGACGTTTTGTTTTCATGAAAAAAATGGTATGTATATTTAAAAAATTGGTTTGCTAGCTATACTTCACCTCTCAACTGAGTACACAAACATCATTAATGTTGAAGAGTGAAGATGTTTTATTATTTTCCTATCATTTGTAACAGCTTTTTATACTTTATCATAAAGTGAAGAATTAATATATACAATGTTTTCATCATTGCTCACACTACTGATATTTAAACATAAAACTAAATTAAAAAGTTGTTTTGCAAAGGCCTTCAGAAGAATGGTGTGCCATTCGTCTATCTCCAAAAGCCTATGTCAAATATGTAGATGGTAAAAATTTGAAATTTTATTATCATGAAATAATTTTGGCAAAATCTGCACTCCTTTCAGAACTACTTGAAGGGTCTTCAGACATAATAGAGTAACTTGCATATCTTGAATTTATATTTGTTTCAGGAAACTTTAATAAACTAAACAACCGAACAAAAAAGATGTATTGATTCTTTTTCCAATAACATGTTTACTAGCATTCAGCTATCTCTCTCATGATCAACTTACCTGAAACTGTTTTGTAAAAAGACGAAATATATAAATGGAGCAAAGAGGGAGTAAAATATTAAAACAGCAACGTTAAGGATACTAAAATGAAGCAACAAGAAAATCAATAAATATGTCTTTCATAAAAATTCACTTTTTGTATTTTGACAATAGAATACACATCTGGTTTGGTGGAGATTGTTACTAAAATACTCACCAAAGTCCCAATGTGATCCTATGGTACACCATTAAGCTACCAATGGCCTCTGCAAGATTGACAACACACAATATGGCTGCATAGTAATAAAATGCTCTGTTTGCTGAAAAAGAGAGAAAGACATGAATGTAAATTTTATTTTAACAAACAAATTAACTTCTAATCTCACTTACAAGGTCGACAAAGAAAACCTAACTTTTCTGGACAGCAACACTTTGTTTGTGAAAGTATAACTAGAGAACTATAAACCTATAGAGAATTTGAAAATAATATGATTTTGTTATGCATTGAGAATATTGTGCAAAAGGAAAAATGCATTAGCAATGGATTTTTGTATTACCACAACAAACATACAGGATGTGACAAACCAGAAGATCATTCCACCGTGATCAAACATTGTGTATTTATCTTTGAATATTTCATCACGATTTGATTTGAACACCTCAAGTGATAACTAAATTGTACGAAGTTAAAATTAATTTCTTGATATAGTGCAGTTATGCGACAATTTAGTATTGCTATACCTGAATGGTTGTATAAACAAGTGCTAAGTAAAAAGACAAAGATAATACTCGTTTGCCAACACCATCCCCTTCATTGTTTCCTGAGGATAATAACACTTAATTACTATGTTATGTTTTTCTCATTGACTTTGATAGAACATACCAAATAAAGCAAAACCAATGACACTTATCTCAACAGCAAGTGCCAGAAAACGTAGAAGAAGCCATAAGCCCTGTATGACAGAATACATAATTATACTGAGTGAATGAGTATGTCATTACCATACATACATCATTTGCATCATTACCTCATTTATGGCATTTCTGTATTGAGCATTTGGTTGGACAATGCTGGCTATGAAACCTCTCATGATATTTACACAACATACAAAACATACCTTTCCAACAAAGAGCAAATTAATGCATTAAATTCATCTCATCCATAAAAATCCCTGATAGTTGCAAAACATACCAGTACAAAGAGAGTCTTGACAACAGGATATTTTCGGTTTGGAAGCAGTCTGAAGAGTAGACGCAAATTATAGGCCAGGAATAGTAAGCATACAGCGTTTGGTACCACCAATGCAATGTTCCAATATGAAATACTACAAAGGAAGAGGAGCCATGGCTTTGTAAAGGTATTTGCTATTGTGAATCGCATTGAATGTCAAAAGAAATCATTGTACTACATTATATGTCAGCAAGAAACAAACCAGAAACCCTTATGGCTTCTAACCAATGAAACGTGCAGTCATATTGAGAGCTCTTTACATATACGCAGATACCTTCTCCAAGATCAATACGACGAAATACAAAAAAAAAACTTCTTACCTGGTATGTCCTATAGACTTTTCTAGCATGACTCGACACACGCCATATTTTAATCCTTTCACCAATTTTGAAGCATTTTTAGTCGCACTAAATCTGGAGAGTAAATTCTGCTCCATGGTAACAATACCACTGCCCACCATGGGAATTTTTTTTTCGTTTGGTGATGCACCTCAAATCAAATTCAGTCAATTTTTGTCTCACTAGAATTAAAAAAGTTACTATGTCCTACATTTTTATTTATTTATTTATTGTGTCAGTACAATTTGTACATTTTTCTAAAGCATTTGTCGACGAAGGCTCACGACCACGTGTGAACCTCATGATACACTGCTGACTTAAAAAACCGTTAGTATTGTTTCGTTTTCAATTATTTTCTTACAAAACCTTCAACGCGAAATGTCAACAATATTTGAACCGTTTCAAGTAAATTTTTAGAGTATTATGAAGAAGTTGCAGCGTCTCTGCTCATTTCAAGAAATCTTAGGAAAATAGCCCGTACTTCTGAGTAAAGAGACATACTGAAATACTCAGCTGTTTTTGTAAAAAATACTTACGCTCTGCGTTCTTGTGTGATGGACAAAAGATGGCTTCGACAACGACGACTACGGTGGCCCACAAGGGAGACGACTCCTTTATACAAAACTCATGTGCAGTCTTCACTTATTTGTAACCTGATCCATGGAAATAGACCTTCGTAGAAATAGACCTTCTTCGTAGAAATGGACCTTCTCCGTGGAAATATGGAAGGATATTTTAATATCAAGGTAAAACGTTAATCTATATTCTGTTACATTATGTTTATATTAGTACAGAAAACGTTTTGTTTTCATGAAAAAAATGGTATGTATATTTAAAAAAATTGTTTGCTAGCTATACTTCACCTCTCAACTGAGTACACAAACATCATTAATGTTGAAGACTGAAGATGTTTTATTATTTTCCTATCATTTGTAACAGCTTTTTATACTTTATCATAAAGTGAAGAATTAATATATACAATGTTTTCATCATTGCTCACACTACTGATATTTAAACATAAAACTAAATTAAAAAGTTGTTTTGCGAAGGCCTTCAGAAGAATGGTGTGCCATTCGTCTATCTCCAAAAGCCTATGTCAAATATGTGGATTGTAAAAATTTGAAATTTTATTATCAACAAATAAATTTGCCAAAATCTGCACTCCCTTCAAAACTACTTGAAGGGTCTTCAGGCATAATAGAGTAACTTGCAGATCTTGAATTTATATTTGGTTCAGGAAACTTTAATAAACTAAACAACCAAACAAAAAAGATGTATTGATTCTTTCTCCAATAACATATTTACTAGCATTCAGCTATCTCTCTCATAATCAACTTACCTGAAACTGTTTTGTAAAAAGACGAAATATGTAAATGGAGCAAAGAAGGAGTAAAATATTAAAACAGCAACGTTAAGGATACTAAAATGAAGCAACAAGAAAATCAATAAATATGTCTTTCATAAAAATTCACTTTCTGTATTTTGACAATAGAATACACATCTGGTTTGGTGGAGATTGTTACTAAAATACTCACCAAAGTCCCAATGTGACCCTATTGTACACCATTGAGCTACCAATGGCCTCTGCAAGATTGACAACACACAATATGGCTGCATAGTAATAAAATGCTCTGTTTGCTGAGAAAGAGAGAGAGAGACGAATGTAAATTTTATTTTAACAAACAAATTAACTTCTAATCTCACTTACAAGGTCGAGAAAGAAAACTTAACTTTTTTGGACAGCAACACTTTGTTTGAGAAAGTATAACTAGAGAACTATAAACCTATAGAGAATTTGAAAATAATATGATTTTGCTATGCATTAAGAATATTGTGCAAGAGAAAAAATGCATTAGCAATGGATTTTGGTATTACCACAACGAACATACAGGATGTGACAAACCAGAAGATCATTCCACCGTGATCAAACATTGTGTATTTATTTTTGAATATTTCGTCACGATTTGATTTGGACATCTCAAGTAATGACTAAATTGTATGAAATTAAAATGAATTTCTTGATATAGTGCAGTTATGCGACAATTTTGTATTGCTATACCTGAATGGTTGTATAAACAAGTGCAAACAAAAAAGACAAAGATAATACTCGTTTGCCAACACCATCCCCTTCATTGTTTCCTGAGGATAATAACACTTAATTACTATGTTATGTTTTTCTCATTGACTTTGATAGAACATACCAAATAAAGCAAAACCAATGACACTTATCTCAACAGCAAGTGCCAGAAAACGTAGGAGAAGCCATAAGCCCTGTATGAAAGGATACATAATTATACTGAGTGAATGAGTATGTCATTACCATGCATACATCATTTGCATCATTACCTCATTTATGGTATTTCTGTATTGAGCATTTGGTTGGACAATGCTGGCTATGAAACCTCTCATGATATTTACACAACATACAAGACATACCTTTCCAACAAAGAGCAAATTAATGCCTTAAATTCATCTCATCTTATCCTTAAAAATCCCTGATAGTTGCAAAACATACCAGTACAAAGAGAGTCTTGACAACAGGATATTTTCGGTTTGGAAGCAGTCTGAAGAGTAGACCCAAATTATAGGCCAGGAATACTAAACATACAGCGTTTGGTACCACCAATGCAATGTTCCAATATGAAATACTACAAAGGAAGAGGAGCCATGGCTTTGTAAAGGTATTTGCTATTGTGAATCGCATTGAATGTCAAAAGAAATCATTGTACTACATTATATGTCAGCAAGAAACAAACCAGAAACCCTTACGGCTTCTAACCAATGAAACGTGCAGTCATATTGAGAGCTCTTTACATATACGCAGATAATACCTTCTCCAAGATCAATACGACGAAATACAAAAAAAAAACTTCTTACCTGGTATGTCCTATAGACTTTTCTAGCATGACTCGACACACGCCATATTTTAATCCTTTCACCAATTTTGAAGCATTTTTACTCGCACTAAATCTGGAGAGTAAATTGTGCTCCATGTCAACAATACCACTGCCCACCATGGGAATTTCTTTTTTTTCGTTTGTTGATGCACCTCAAATCAAATTCAGTCAATTTTTGTCTGACTAGAATTAAAAAAGTTACTATGTCCTACATTTTTATTTATTTATTTATTGTGTCAGTACAATTTGTACATTTTTCTAAAAGCATTAGTCGACGAAGGGTCACGAGCACGTGTAAACCTCATGATACACTGCTGACTGACTTAAAAAATCTGTTAGTATTGTTTCGTTTTTAATTATTTTCTTACAAAAACCTTCAACGCGAAATGTCAACAATATTTGAACGTTTCAAGTAAATTTTTAAAATATGAAGAAGTTGCAGCGTCTCTGCTCATTTCAAGAAATCTTAGAAAAATAGTTCTGTACTTCTGAGTGATGAGACACACTGAAATGCTTAGATGTTTTTGTAAAAAATAGGTACGCTCTGCGTTCTTGTGATGGACAAAAGATGGCTTCGACAAAGACGACTCTTGATTTCTACGCGTTAATTTGAGCTATCTAGTGTATGTAAAACTTAATTGAAAAGAAAAATATATATTAAAAATCGTCGTTCACCATTGCTGAATAAATATTTAATTTATTTTTTGTAGATATGTGGACACAAAATGCCAGTTCAGAAAGTCAAAAGATGGTGTTGGTGTTTATTTTGTTGATTTTGGTGTTGATGTCATTGCACCTAATTGTGTATGGAAGAACGGTCAGTCTATTCCATCTTCACTCTTTATCATAGCTAAGTTGACATTAACATTTTACTTTCAAAAATGACTTGTTTACTTGTACTTTTAATGAAAAAATGGGATTTACTGAGTTACTTTCCATACATAACAAGTGGCCTTGAGTTACAAAGTCACTCAAGGAATGAAATCACAAAACAATAAAATAATTTGAAGAAGAATTGTTCTACTTGTGCATAATACAGAAAAATGTGCTAAATATCTGAAATTTGGTATGGCCACTTAAACCAAAGTTAGTAATTACAAATAATTATAAAGCACATAACCAGATATTTTATGCATTTTTTTACATTCTTACCAACTTTAATGATATTTTAGAGTAGCATGATTTCTTCAATGCTACTACAATATTTAGGAGCAACCATTAATATTTATTTTATGGTTCAAATCTCCTTTTTAAGATACACAATTTTGGGATAAATTTTACAAATTTTATATAAGGAAATGTTTGATCAAAATGCAGAGTCAATCCATCAAATCCATAAATTTCTTGCAAACTTTCAAATAATTCATTACTATACGAGCATGGTCCTTCCAAAATGAGATAGGAAAATTGTTTTAATTTATCCACATCATCATATTTGATGTCTTTCTTTGAGTAACTAAGAAGTTTAAATGAAAAATTCTTGTAATAAATAAAATGACATCAAGATATATATATGTCATACATAAAAGATAAAAGTTTCTCCGGATTTTAAATGATTTTTATTGAGGTTTCGACTCTTTGCTTCGAGCCTTCATCAGAATGAGACGCTCTAAACGTCTCCAAGCTAAAAGCATGTGTAAATAAATAATATCCTCATTCTGATGAAGGTTCGAAGCAACGAGTCGAAAGCTCAATAAAAATCATTTAAAATTCGGAGAAACTTTTATCTTTTATGTATTAAATGCCTGGATTACCAATTTTCAAACTTATATATATACATATCAAATGACATGATATATGCATAGAATTACATCATACCTAGGGGAAATTCAACACATGTCAATAACATTGAATGGTAAAATACTTTACATAAGATAACTCTAATCTTCTATATATTCAGAATGCATAAATATGACTCAAGATAGAAACTTGAAATGAAACTTCAAATGTTTGAAATGAAAAATTGCATCAGTATTTATGAAGCTGGAGAGCATTTACCTTACATATGGATGTACTTGCCCAAATCTTGTCACACCTGTTTGTGCAGCAAGATTGCAAATATGTAAAGATTGAGGAGATGAATTTCTCTTAATTACTTGATGGTGAAACGTATTTAATGCTGAACCACCAGGATAGTTGAGACTTGATATATACATCAACATGGTTGTCATGGTAACATTACTGATTAATCCACCAATAACAAGAGTTGCTATTATTGAGCGAAGTCTCCATTTCCAGATATTCATGTATCTAGGAAATAAAAATTGAAAAACTGCTAAAGAAACATTTGAAAAAATGCTCCTTAAAGATTGATGTCTCAATTAAAGATAAAAATACATCAAGCCCTCACTCGCAAGGACAGCACTAGAACGCTAAATGAGGGGGTGTATATCCATATGTTCACTTGTGGGCGAGTGATTTCTTTTGAAAGTGATTTGGTTTTCTAAAGAAGTCACTGGGGCAAACTAAATATATGAATATTCACCCCCTCCCCAATTAGAGTTCTAGCGCCGTCCCTGCTCACTTGGGCTATTTATTGAAGAGCAATCAAGAGAAGATGCACGTTCATCTATTTCATTTGTGCTTACATAAAGTTTAGTCCAACTGCAGCAACAACGTTTAGAAGAGGTAAAATATAAAAAATAAATCTCAGTTCTTTGTGCGGAAGAAAAGAAAACAGTAAAATATACACAATTGATATCCCGAATATAGTTCTTGGTCTTTTATCAATCCACAAGCCATAAAAGATGAGAATTATAGTGAGCAATAACAATGATCTTGGTATTGCAGAATAAAAGTACCAAAGGAATGGTGATGTCTGTTTAAATTTAAGAAAATTTACATTTTAACAATAACTAAAAAGGTGGAGGATGTTAAAAAATATTTAATCTATTTAGTGCGGAAGGATACGCCCCAATTTGAACTCTGGTTTTGAACTGTGTTGAAGAAGAAAACTTCAGCCTCGGGCCAACAAAATCTTCCCCAAAAGTAGGAGTCAATGGAAACAGTTAAACCTGACATTGTTGTAAATTAAGAAATCATATAAAAAATTGTTAATTGGTGAAATGATTTTGCAATGCAAAAGACATACCAAGTGCCGCTATGCCACTCAAGACAATATGGACAAATGACCTAGCTAACGAAATTCTTTGTTCATATAATTCCAACAGCATTATCAAACCCATTACTATGGCCAGCTCAGCACGAAACAGTATAATTCCAAAACCAGATAACCATATGAAAAATGGATGATTTCCAGTAAACCAACAATAAAAGGCACAAAGTGCTGTAAAAAATAGGAAGAAACATTTTTAAAACTTATAAATATTAGAAATAAATTTTACAAAGATTGTTGATATGTTGCTTGATCTTACCAAAATTTAAAGCAAATGTGTTTGGTAAAGTTCGGGACATGTAAAACACCAAATGAAACTGACTTATGGTCAAAATTGCAAGAAAGTTGGAAGTAGTAGAGCCAAACTTTCTACCAACACCTCTTCGAAAAAGGGAAAATGATGCAGATGAACAAACACCAAGAACAGACCGGACTGCAATAACCAAAAGAAAATAGGATTATTATAAAATTGAAAACTCTTCCTGCTGTAAGAAAATTGACATGGATCGCAAGTAATATTCCCTGCAATGGATTTTGAATGAATAAATAACTTGAGCCAATGTACAAAGGGAGAAAAAAACACAAATACATACCTATAATTTGGGAATACATTTTTGATGCATTGACTACTTTTAATATGTTTATAAAAGGATAGCTGAGGATAGCTAGGGATAATGGACCAATAAAAGTCCTTGGTACAACTCCTGGAAACTCCACGTGATCATACTGTCAGAAAAAAACAAAGTCAGTTGATTATTTTTTAACTATAATGTTGCAGTGGGGGTACCAACTGTTGACAACGCATAACAGTACTTACTACAAGACCACAAGTTTAGTTTACCTTCGAAATGTTGAAACCATGATACAAAATGTCATGAGTTGCTTGAATGTTGAAACTTTCCTCAACCTTGGTGTAAGGACAAAATAAAATGTTCGACAATACTATCAATAACGTGCCCAAATCAAGTGCCAGGGATAAATCCATTTTGTCTGGCTCTACTATTTTAGAGAGAAAAGTTGAATCTTTATCACTCCATGTTGGTCAACTTTGGTGGTTCACCGGATTTTCACGAACTGGTAGCGAAGCGATAACGAAGAACTTCGGAAAATACCGTTTACACGTAACATGGGGGATTCACGTTCACTCAAACATATTATTGATATCATTAATAAATATTATGTTTTCGAAGCTAGTAACTTGCTGATGTTTGTATTTTGTATTTTGTACTAGAGGCACATTGTAAACTTTGTTTGCAGTCTCAGCTCATGGCAGTGTGACTGAGACACTGTAACTTCGTTAGAAATTGTGGGGTGCCCAAGGGAAAGTTTCCTTTGGTGGTGCCCTATGACGTAATGATTTTTAATATCCGCGTCTGCAAGGTATTAAGTACTTTAAAGTAATGCTGAAACTTTAATGAATAAACTTTTATCACAAACAATATGTTAGAAGTGAAAGTATTGAAGTTGTTTTTTTCTGCAAATGTACTTTGCTAATCAGGGATGGTGCCATGAAATTGAACTGTGGCCAGCTACAACTTATATTTACTAAATTTATTGCATCTTACTTAGCTTCATGTTAAGCTAAAATATATGAATGACAACAAAAACTTTGTCTTAGGGAAAAAACATGCTAGCGCTAGCTGAGTGGCTTTCTCCCCCGTCTGAGTACTTAGTACTAACACTCAAATCCTTGTGCTGTTTCTTGGCTATGAAACATCATAGTAACAATGATTGTTCAAATTTTAGGTCATCTCTCGAATTTGGGAGCCCAGTTAAGGTTTGTGCCCAATGCAAAATACACTGTGTCCTCTCTTAGTTGCCACAGTTACTGGTAAGTATTGTATCTTTAGATTGTAGTAAATGACAAAATATTTAGTGAGTGTGCTCTTGCAAATAAACACAAGGAAGATATTAAAAAAAAAAGATGCCATAGTGCGTTAATGATCCTTTGCACCAAAAAAAAAAAAGCTAGTCAGTTGTAGTTTAAAAGATTTAAAATTAACACTTAAAATGTCATAAGATGTACAGATTTTTATGTTTAGTGATGTCCAAAATATTGTAACAATAAAAAGAAGTCTCCATTTGACTTTTCTAATCCGAGTCAACTAAAACATTCGTTAACTAACAAAACTTTCAAATCTTGGTTTGATCAAGGAGTATTGAGGCAAGGAAGCGATGTCTTCTATTAACTTGTGTCCTTTTTTATAACCTTTCATCTGACATTGATTTCTCATCTAAAGTAAAATAAGTTTTGCTTTTATTATTTGGCTAGATATTATTTTAAAAATTGATACATGGACTTAAGCATAAGACAACTTACATGTATATAATACAAGTAGGGATAGCTATGGATAAAAAATGTTACATAGGCTCAAGAATGGAACAACTTTCATATATATAATACAAGTAGGGATAGCTATGGATAAAAAATGTTACATAGGCTCAAGAATGGAACAACTTACATATATACAGAGCACAAGTAGGGATAGCTATGGATAAAAAATGTTACATAGGCTCAAGAATGGAACAACTTACATATATATAATACAAGTAGGGATAGCTATGGATAAAAAATGTTACATAGGCTCAAGAATGGAACAACTTACATATATACAGAGCACAAGTAGGATAGCTATGGATAACAAATGTTACATGGGCTCAAAAATGGAACAACTCCCACACATTATTTTATGTTACCATTAAAATTTTCATCAAGAGGATTGGAATTCTCTTTTTCTATTACATCCTCCCCAACATCTACTGATGCAGATAAATCACTGCTTTGACTTTTTGAATGAGACTCATCAGAGAAACTTGCATTACAAGTTTCAGGTTCACATGATCGGTCTTGGTTGATTTCAATGTTTTCTTGTAGCTTTATGTCACAATTTGACAAAGAAGTGTTGTCACAATTTCTCAAAGAGTCAGATACTTCAGTGTCTAACGAATTAACACCCAGTTGTGATGTTGAGTTCAGTGGCGTCTGGTTGTTTACAGCTGCAGGCCTTATACTTGTTGTTCTTGTTACAGGCGATGAAGAACCATTTGTTAACATTGATGACCTAAATGGTAAATACATTAACTGAACCATTTGCCAAGTATTATAATGCTTGGATTTAGTACCTGGTAATAAGAGTACCATCTGGTTTGATTGTACTGACAACCATGATATTCTACATGAAGTAAGTAAGGGATGTAGAGTAAGAATTATTGTCATATGAAACAAAGTATGAGATAATAAGTAAGAAAAACCTTCTCTAAACCATGAAATAATTTCTCCATCGTTTTATAATATCTTTTTGGTTCATTTAGCAGTTCACACAATCGTTGAATTGTAAATGGTGTACTGAAATACATTAGCATAAATGTTAGTAAATTCTATTGTATGACACATTAGTTATTGACAAAGAAGATAATGTACCCAGTAAAATTATTTATGATGTCAACTAGTCTTTTAACATCAGGATAAAGATTTTTAGGTTTTGAAGTAGGATCTGAATTTGATGCAACATCTAAGGAAGGGCAATTTTCAAACATTTCTTCAAGAACCTATATCAGATAAAGAAACACAAAAATTATCGGGGACAGAAATCGTGTACTTTGGCAGCACACATTTGGCACAAACCTTTTCTAACTTAAAAGCAATGAGTGGCTTCAAAAGATGCCATTGAAATCTATGATATTAAATAACACATGTCTTAAACGTAATGTTCAGTTCAAGAGATTAGGTAAACAAACAAACATACTCAGTTTTGCCTGTCTTTGCTATGTGCAAAAGCAATTCATTTAGTTCGGGACCAATTTCTTTATCTTTCGTATTTTGAAAGTCTGGAAATATGTTAGTTTAAAATTCAACAATCCTCATTAGTGTGGCGTCATATATATATATATATGAATGAACGTAAATAGTAATTTATGTACAATAGTACTATCATAAAACGTGAAATGTAATCAATGTTTTATACTCATAGAAATGCATCTTACCATTTAAACATTGCTGGATTGTTTCAAGGTTATCCATACTTTTTATTTCTATGTAAAACTAGAATTTTATTCAAAAAATTAACACGAAATTTCATTGCCAAAAGCGCACTTTCCATATGGACAATCTCGCTACGAGGGCCATATTGGCGAAATTTCTCCCTAGTGCCAGTTTCTAATTAAAATTCAATAACGCGCCGTTCCAGCTGCACCGGTCGCCAAAAATAGTCGTAAGAATAACGTTCACCTACGATGTTTGGCTGCAAAGTGACATTACGTCCCTATTTTATACAAAGTATTAGTTGTGTTTCATAGATAATTTCTTGTTTTCCTGAGATATTGTTAAAGATATTGGTTCTTGTTATGCGTGAGGTCGAATACATCGTCACATGCATTATAATGACGTCACCGCGGAATTCAGTTTTGTTCAAGTTTCAAAATGGCAGCGACGAAGCAAAGCGAAAGTAGCGAAAGTCCTACAAATTTTCGTCAAAATTCATCGAAACAGAGTGTTTTCGAAGATGATTTCATGTATGGCGTCACCGTTGCACAATCAAGCATTGATTATCGTTTAGGTAAGCACAGAAATATTGTTGAATCAACTCTGAAACTCATGACCATTGACCAACCGCTGGCTGTTACGTTAGAAATACATAAAATATGGTTTATCTTTTATATATTTTGGGATTTATTCAAGTAGTTCAAACATAAGAGTGTTGAGTCATATTTTTAGTGCTGCTCAGTGTCTATATTAGAAGAATGCATTCACCAAATTGAACAATATTTCATAATTTCATTGTTAAATTTTACAATGCGCGAGAACTGAGAAGTTTGTTTTGCTTTTGGATAACGAATAGTTTGTCGTCTTAGGATTTCTCCGAAAGGTTTATGGAATCCTTACTCTTCAGTTGGCTCTTACAATTGTTGTTGCCGCAACTTTTATGTCCGTTGAACCAGTTAAGATGTTTGTACAAGGAAGGTATGTTTGTTCCACAGTTGGATGTTGTCGAGGAATTGTCGTTTTGTTTCAACTATCTATGTTCATCAACTTTTTAGTCCCTTTCTGCTCATTGTTTCTGTATTTATGTCTTTTGGACTCCTTATTGCACTGGCTGTGAAGAGACGTGAAAGTCCTATCAACATGTATCTTCTTGTTGCATTTGTATGTTTTTATTTTATGTAACTTTATCAAGTTTCATGAAAATTTGTGAACTAATAGTTCATTTCACTCTAGACATTTGCAGAATCGTACAGCATTGGTACAGTAGGTATGTCATTTTTCTTTCAAATTCTTTAGTACATGTCATTGCAATGGTTAATACAAAATTCCATTAACTTTTTAGTTACATTGTATGATGTTCAGATTGTCATTCAAGCATTTCTACTTACAATAACTACAACATTGGCTCTGACACTTTATACCTTTCAAAGCAAGAGAGATTTTAGCAGTTGGGGTGCAGCGTATGTTAAAATTGATAATTATGTGATGCTATGACATTGTTTAAAGAAGATTGTTGTTTTTACGTATAGGCTTTCTTCTACTCTTTGGATATTGATTCTTGCTGGAATATTGCAGGTATGAACAAGTATAAATATCTTAATCATTAGCCATATTACACAATAAGTCATTTCAATTATTTTGATGTGTAGATTTTCATGCAAAATGACATTACCGAGCTTGCCATTGCCATTGCTGGAGCTGTTGTGTTTTCATTGTTCATTGTGTATGACACGCATCTTCTAATGCATAAATTATCTCCAGAGGAATACATTTTGGCCTCGATCAACCTTTATCTTGACATCCTTAATCTCTTTATGGAAATACTTAAGATCCTCAATGCTCTCAACAGGAAAAATTAATTATTGATTTTTCATGCACTTGACAATAAATGCGCATAAAATATAAAAGTAGTCAAGAAGAGATCAAAATATTGCTGTTTATTGTAATTCAAAATATATTCAACATGCAACATCAGCACTAAAATTTAAATAAATTTTTTCATTTCAATGAATATTACATGATAAGCTATGGTCACTGTAAAAAATATAATTAGTGTTTAAACCAGGAATTTGTTAAAATATTTCATTTGAATGAGGCAATAGGATCATTTATTGGTCGTTCTTGAAACTTGTTTGATTTTCTATATTTAGCAATTTGTGGAATTGCCTGCATAAAATTAAAGTTTTTACAGAAATGTGGATATCCTAACTGACATGTAACATAAATGATGAAATACTCATTACCTCAATTCTTTCACAAAATTCCTACAGCAAAAATGATATAACTTAATCTAAGATTATTTTTGGAATTACTGTATTAAAAATGTAGTACCATTAACTTCTTGAATGGTTCAACAATACTTTTGTCAAGTATTTTAAGTGAGTCCAGGGTTTCATAAAACATGAAGTCAGGATATGTCAACTACATCGAAAGAAAACATTCTATTCATTATGTATGAAACAAAAAATCGATTACAAAACATGCAAACATTTGTGAAAACCTTGTCTCCTGAAACATACTTCTTGCTACCAAGAAACTTTTCAAAACGGTCCAATTTTTCAACTACCTTCTTTTTATAACTGTCAACAAGTTTATCCTAAATGACAATGATTACATAAAATCAATTATACTACAAAGAAATACAGTTAAAGCTACACAGGCAATAACCTACAAATTCTGACGAGTAGCAAACTCTGTAAAACTCATCGCGCAAGTCAATGATCTGGAAAAAAAAGAAACCTTTCATTTTCATGTCAAGCTATATAGAGTGACTATATGTAAAATGATAATGTTGTCATGTTTCTATGGTAGATTAAGGTGGGCAAATATAATTGTCTCATGATGAGTATTGTTTAGCAAATTATGCATTTGCAAAAAAATGTAGCTTAACTTGACTAAAACTATACTCACACAATTTTCAATCATATCAACAATTGTTTTCTCTTCATCTGTTTCACCACCTTCATTTAACAAATAATATTTCATAGTATTTCAATATTTTATTTAGCCAATTTTGAGACTTACTTAAACCTATTTATAACTTTTAAATATGTAATGCAATCAGTTAAATACTGAAACTGATCATATACTTACACAGATTATGTTTTCTTGCAATATAACGTATAATCTACATTGAATGTTGAGCATTTCAGAATAATTTACACAAAAAATATTGTGAAGTAAATATTTGTTAAGGGCTTCATTACTTCATGTTATACTTACTGCGCTGCTTTGAGTAATCTTTGTATCGCCATCAATAAAATAAGGAAGCTAATCACAAACAAACACAATATTAAAATCCAATATCAATTTTCCACCACGTTAAAAACCTTACATTAGGAAAATCCAAACCAAGATTCTCTTTCTCCTTCAACCAAGCTTCACGATGGCAACCTGAAAAAGTACATGGTATGAGTCTCTGTATTAGTCACATTCTTCATTGTCAATACAGAAACATTGCTCATACACTAACCAGGAGGTGGCCCATGTTGGTAACGTTTGTCTTCAAATTCAGTCTCAGTATAAACCAAAATGTACCTGATTGGCTCACCAAGCTATGAAAACAAATTTGAATCATTAATTATAGATCAGGGTACAAAATTCAGCTTTGTATTTCATTAGCTAACATTGACGAATGCAAAGGATCATTAATTGCACATATACCCTTATAGGAATAATATTACGTCTATTTCTGATGATTGCTTTGGATTAATTTCACAGTTCCAGTAATTATCAAGAGTTCATATAAACTTCGTTAAAATTCAGTCATCGTTCCTTACTGATCTGATGTTCCAGTAGCCAAGAATTGAAGACATTTTTTGTCGAAAGATAGTTCAACTTGATGAAAATACGATGTCTTTGTAATGGCAGTGAAGCAGGTGATGGTCACAAACTGTGAAGACCAACGAATACTATATTGCTATTACTAGTCAGGCCTGTCAAGCAATGCATTGACATGGCATCGCACGTGTCAAGTACATGGTCGAGGAGTGTTATTGTTCCGAAAGTGGTATTGTATGAAGTAGTTTTCGAAAAATTTGTCATAATCTACTTTGAAAATGTATCCAATACATCAAGAAGAAAAGTCGAGAAAGGAACCGCAGTAAATGGTAACTATATGAAGTACAATTTCTTATATAGGAAACATATTGGTGATATTGCAAATGGACATAGTCTTATCATTTTGCTGTAACGTTTTCTTTTATATTTCTTTAAATTGTTGACGGGAAAACGTTCTTGGACAATTAGTGCAATATCACAAACAATTATTGGTCTATTCATCTTCAGTACTTGAGTAAAATATAAATATCGTGTAGCACAATAAATGTAGCTTCAACCATTCACCATTATACGTATATAAAGTAATTAAAGTATTCACGACGAGATCAAAGGATTGTAGTTTAAAACTTTATTGTCATTATGGTGATTTATTATGTATTCAATACACAACATCAGCACTAAAATTAGAAAAACTATTTCATTTCAATGAATATTGCATGATAAGCTAGTTCACAGTGAAAAATATAATTTGTATTTAAACCAGGAATCTTGAAATTCTTATTTAAATGAAGCCATGGCACCATTCAGTGTTCGTTCTTGAAACTTGTTTGATTTCTTGTATTCAGCAATTTGTGGAATAGCCTAAATAACATTGCAGTTTTTAATAGAAACCCCCCAAATACTTACTATTAACTTACTCATAATTCTCAGTACCTCAATACTTTCACAATATTGCTGCAAAAAAATTGATGTATTTTAAACTTAGTTTTTGCTATAATTGGTTGAAATACCACGAATAGTAAAAATATAGTACCATCAACTTCTTGAATGGTTCAACAAGTTTTTTGTCAAATATTTTATGCTGGTCTAGCATTTCATAAAGCATGAAGTCAGGATATGTCACCTAAATTCAAATAATAAAGTTTTAGAAGTCATGAAAGAAAAAAGTCAACTAATAGCATGTTAACATTTGTAAAAACCTTGTCTCCAGCAAGATATTTCTTGCCACCAAGAAACTTTTCAAAACGATCCAATTTTTCCACTACATTTTTTTTATAACCATCGACAAGTTTATCCTAAATGGCATTTGGTACATATTATCAATAATACTATGAACAAACATATGTTAAAGCTGTAGTGGTAAAGATGAAGACTTACAAAGTCTGATGAGTAGCAAAGTCTTACAAAGCCATTACGCAAGTCAATGATCTGAAAATGAAACATTTTGTTATTTAGAACAGAGTCATACATCAATTTCCAAACCTTAAAAATATTTTCTTGTCAAACTAGTTATATTAATATCAATAAATAGAAATGTCTAGTTCCACATTTTTCTTTTGCATTTATAGATTATTTTAGATGCATTATGGCTACAGCAAATGCCAGATTACATTCCATGTACCTTATGCCAAGTATCTTCCGTGTGGATGTTCAATTTTGTAGTATATTATCCCATGAATGTTTGCGTTTCTTCCGCATACAGTTCACATGGATTGTATTTATGAGCAAAAGTCATTCTCCAATGATAAGTAATATAATGAAATATTTATCTTCTAGCTAATAAACCTTTTTGAGTGTATCGAGAATTGGGTAAGGCGCCAGCGTTTGAGGTGGTTTGGGCATGTGGAAAGGAGGGAAGAAAGTGCTGAAATTCGTAGAACGTTGCATATGAATGTTGATGGAGTCCGCAAACGAGGTAGACCGAGAAAGAGATGGATGGATGCTGTGAACAGTGATATGAAGGTGATGGGTATAACGAGAGATATGGCGAGAGATAGAGACGTTTGGCATGGAAAAATTCATGGACCGGTCAACCCCCCTGGCGGGGATTAATACTGGCCGGTATACAAATGTTGTTGGTTTGTTTGTTTGTTGTTGTAGCTAATAAACCTTTTTGAATTTTATAAAGACTTGTGCTTACTCAATTTGAACATAAAACTAACAGTACTCACGCAATTTTCAATCATATCAACAATTGTTTTCTCTTCATCCGTTTCACCACCTTCATTAAACAAATAATATTTTATAGTAGTAGTTCAATAATTTATTTAGCCAATTTTGAGACTTACTTAGACCTATTTATAACTGTTAAATATGTAATGCAATCAGTTAAATATTGAAACTGATCATATACTTACACAGATTATGTTTTCTTGCAATATAACGAATAATCTACATTGAATGTTGAGCATTTCAGAATAATTTACACAAAAAATATTGTGAAGTGAATATTTGTTAAGGGATCCATTACTTCATGTTATACTTACTGCACTGCTTTGAGTAATCTTTGTATCGCCATCAATGAAATAAGGAAGCTAATCACAAACAAACACAATATTAAAATCTAATATCAATTTTCCACCACATTAAAAACCATACATTGGGAAAATCCAAACCAAGATTTTCTTTCTCCTTCAACCAATCTTCAGGATTGTAATCTGAAAAATCATCTCATGATTACATTTTGAGTAAACATGGTTTGGACATATGCAAATTTTTATTAATAAAGTACAAATTTAATGTAAGGTCAAAACTCATTATCAGCAAGTCTCATTGTTAATCATCAATAAATACACAACCAGGAGGTGGTCCAAAAGTATAACCCTTATCTTCGTATTCAATTCCCGTATAAGCCAAAAGATATCGGATGGGTTGAGCAAGCTATGAAAATATTTTGTATCATTGATCAAATAGATCGTGGTGCTATTGTAGTACATTCAGGAACATTTATGAATGTTAAGGATCATGTGTTTTACAAGTCATAACTGTTATATAAAATATTTATCGTCCATATATACTTCATTAAAATTCAAGGTTATTTCTTACCCCTCTTATGTCCCAATAGGCAAGAATTGGAGCCATTTTTAAGACAAAATTGTTAAATTTCGAGAAAATATCAACAATGTGTTGGTGATTGTCTTGTGTGCAATCATGTGCCACGTACTTACTGTTTAATCGTGCCAGTCCTCTTGAGCAGGGCCATGACAACCACATGGTCACAGAATAGAGATACGTAAACGTATCTATTCTGTGACATGGTGATGTGACTGGTGTCTAGTCATGTGTCCTGTCGAGTCAGTCGAGTGGTCGAGATCCACGAAAGAAGAGTTCATTGATTTTCGTAGTGATTTTACAACGCATTTTTTGACAAATTTGTCATAATGTACTATGAAAATCTATCCGATACATCAAGAAGAAAAGTCGAGAAAGGAACCACAGTAAGTGGTTAATTATATGAAGTACAATTTCTTATATAGGAAACATATTGGTGATATTGCAAATAGACATAGTCTTATCATTTTGCTGTAACGTTTTCTTTTATATTTCTTTAAATTGTTGACGGGAAAACGTTCTTGGACAATTTGTGCAATATCACAAACAATTATTGGTCTATTCATCTTCAGTACTTGAGTAAAATATAAATATCGTGTAGCACAATAAATGTAGCTTCAACCATTCACCATTATACGTATATAAAGTAATTAAAGTATTCACGACGAGATCAAAGGATTGTAGTTTAAAACTTTATTGTCATTATGGTGATTTATTATGTATTCAATACACAACATCAGCACTAAAATTAGAAAAACTATTTCATTTCAATGAATATTGCATGATAAGCTAGTTCACAGTGAAAAATATAATTTGTATTTAAACCAGGAATCTTGAAATTCTTATTTAAATGAAGCCATGGCACCATTCAGTGTTCGTTCTTGAAACTTGTTTGATTTCTTGTATTCAGCAATTTGTGGAATAGCCTAAATAACATTGCAGTTTTTAATAGAAACCCCCCAAATACTTACTATTAACTTACTCATAATTCTCAGTACCTCAATACTTTCACAATATTGCTGCAAAAAAATTGATGTATTTTAAACTTAGTTTTTGCTATAATTGGTTGAAATACCACGAATAGTAAAAATATAGTACCATCAACTTCTTGAATGGTTCAACAAGTTTTTTGTCAAATATTTTATGCTGGTCTAGCATTTCATAAAGCATGAAGTCAGGATATGTCACCTAAATTCAAATAATAAAGTTTTAGAAGTCATGAAAGAAAAAAGTCAACTAATAGCATGTTAACATTTGTAAAAACCTTGTCTCCAGCAAGATATTTCTTGCCACCAAGAAACTTTTCAAAACGATCCAATTTTTCCACTACATTTTTTTTATAACCATCGACAAGTTTATCCTAAATGGCATTTGGTACATATTATCAATAATACTATGAACAAACATATGTTAAAGCTATAGTGGTAAAGATGAAGACTTACAAAGTCTGATGAGTAGCAAAGTCTTACAAAGCCATTACGCAAGTCAATGATCTGAAAATGAAACATTTTGTTATTTAGAACAGAGTCATACATCAATTTCCAAACCTTAAAAATATTTTCTTGTAAAACTAGTTATATTAATATCAATAAATAGAAATGTCTAGTTCCACATTTTTCTTTTGCATTTATAGATTATTTTAGATGCATTATGGCTACAGCAAATGCCAGATTACATTCCATGTACCTTATGCCAAGTATCTTCCGTGTGGATGTTCAATTTTGTAGTATATTATCCCATGAATGTTTGCGTTTCTTCCGCATACAGTTCACATGGATTGTATTTATGAGCAAATGTCATTCTCCAATGATAAGTAATATAATGAAATATTTATCTTCTAGCTAATAAACCTTTTTGAGTGTATCGAGAATTGGGTAAGGCGCCAGCGTTTGAGGTGGTTTGGGCATGTGGAAAGGAGGGAAGAAAGTGCTGAAATTCGTAGAACGTTGCATATGAATGTTGATGGAGTCCGCAAACGAGGTAGACCGAGAAAGAGATGGATGGATGCTGTGAACAGTGATATGAAGGTGATGGGTATAACGAGAGATATGGCGAGAGATAGAGACGTTTGGCATGGAAAAATTCATGGACCGGTCAACCCCCCTGGCGGGGATTAATACTGGCCGGTATACAAATGTTGTTGGTTTGTTTGTTTGTTGTTGTAGCTAATAAACCTTTTTGAATTTTATAAAGACTTGTGCTTACTCAATTTGAACATAAAACTAACAGTACTCACGCAATTTTCAATCATATCAACAATTGTTTTCTCTTCATCCGTTTCACCACCTTCATTAAACAAATAATATTTTATAGTAGTAGTTCAATAATTTATTTAGCCAATTTTGAGACTTACTTAGACCTATTTATAACTGTTAAATATGTAATGCAATCAGTTAAATATTGAAACTGATCATATACTTACACAGATTATGTTTTCTTGCAATATAACGAATAATCTACATTGAATGTTGAGCATTTCAGAATAATTTACACAAAAAATATTGTGAAGTGAATATTTGTTAAGGGATCCATTACTTCATGTTATACTTACTGCACTGCTTTGAGTAATCTTTGTATCGCCATCAATGAAATAAGGAAGCTAATCACAAACAAACACAATATTAAAATCTAATATCAATTTTCCACCACATTAAAAACCATACATTGGGAAAATCCAAACCAAGATTTTCTTTCTCCTTCAACCAATCTTCAGGATTGTAATCTGAAAAATCATCTCATGATTACATTTTGAGTAAACATGGTTTGGACATATGCAAATTTTTATTAATAAAGTACAAATTTAATGTAAGGTCAAAACTCATTATCAGCAAGTCTCATTGTTAATCATCAATAAATACACAACCAGGAGGTGGTCCAAAAGTATAACCCTTATCTTCGTATTCAATTCCCGTATAAGCCAAAAGATATCGGATGGGTTGAGCAAGCTATGAAAATATTTTGTATCATTGATCAAATAGATCGTGGTGCTATTGTAGTACATTCAGGAACATTTATGAATGTTAAGGATCATGTGTTTTACAAGTCATAACTGTTATATAAAATATTTATCGTCCATATATACTTCATTAAAATTCAAGGTTATTTCTTACCCCTCTTATGTCCCAATAGGCAAGAATTGGAGCCATTTTTAAGACAAAATTGTTAAATTTCGAGAAAATATCAACAATGTGTTGGTGATTGTCTTGTGTGCAATCATGTGCCACGTACTTACTGTTTAATCGTGCCAGTCCTCTTGAGCAGGGCCATGACAACCACATGGTCACAGAATAGAGATACGTAAACGTATCTATTCTGTGACATGGTGATGTGACTGGTGTCTAGTCATGTGTCCTGTCGAGTCAGTCGAGTGGTCGAGATCCACGAAAGAAGAAGAGTTCATTGATTTTCGTAGTGATTTTACAACGCATTTTTTGACAAATTTGTCATAATGTACTATGAAAATCTATCCAATACATCAAGAAGAAAAGTCGAGAAAGGAACCACAGTAAATGGTAACTATATGAAGTACAATTTCTTATATAGGAAACATATTGGTGATATTGCAAATGGACATAGTCTTATCATTTTGCTGTGACGTTTTCTTTTATATTTCTTTAAATTGTTGACGGGAAAACGTTCTTGGACAATTTGTGCAATATCACAAACAATTATTGGTCTATTCATCTTCAGTACTTGAGTAAAATATAAATATCGTGTAGCACAATAAATGTAGCTTCAACCATTCACCATTATACGTATATAAAGTAATTAAAGTATTCACGACGAGATCAAAGGATTGTAGTTTAAAACTTTATTGTCATTATGGTGATTTATTATGTATTCAATACACAACATCAGCACTAAAATTAGAAAAACTATTTCATTTCAATGAATATTGCATGATAAGCTAGTTCACAGTGAAAAATATAATTTGTATTTAAACCAGGAATCTTGAAATTCTTATTTAAATGAAGCCATGGCACCATTCAGTGTTCGTTCTTGAAACCTCTTTGATTTCTTGTATTCAGCAATTTGTGGAATAGCCTAAATAACATTGCAGTTTTTAATAGAAACCTCCAAATACTTACTATTAACTTACTCATAATTCTCAGTACCTCAATACTTTCACAATATTGCTGCAAAAAAATTGATGTATTTTAAACTTAGTTTTTGCTGTAACTGGTTGAAATACCACGAATAGTAAAAATATAGTACCATCAACTTCTTAAATGGTTCAACAAGTTTTTTGTCAAATATTTTATGCTGGTCTAGCATTTCATAAAGCATGAAGTCAGGATATGTCACCTAAATTCAAATAATAAAGTTCTTTTAGAAATCATGAAAGAAAAAAGTCAACTAATAGCATGTTAACATTTGTAAAAACCTTGTCTCCAGCAAGATATTTCTTGTCACCAAGAAACTTTTCAAATCGATCCAATTTTTCCACTACATTTTTTTTATAACCATCGACAAGTTTATCCTAAATGGCATTTGGTACATATTATCAATAATACTATGAACAAACATAGGTTAAAGCTGTAGTGGTAAAGATGAAGACTTACAAAGTCTGATGAGTAGCAAAGTCTTACAAAGCCATTACGCAAGTCAATGATCTGAAAATGAAACATTTTGTTATTTAGAACAGAGTCATACATCAATTTCCAAACCTTAAAAATATTTTCTTGTCAAACTAGTTATATTAATATCAATAAATAGAAATTCTAGTTTCATGTTTTTCTTTTGCATTTATAGATTATTTTAGATGCATTATGGCTACAGCAAATGCCAGATTACATTCCATGTACCTTATGCCAAATATCTTCCATGTGGATGTTCTATTTTGTAGTATATTATCCCATGATTGTTTGCTTATCTTCTGCATACAGTTCACATGGATTGTATTTATGAGCAAATGTCATTCTCCAATGATACTTAAGTAATATAACTAAATATTTATCTTCTAGCTAATAAACCTTTTTGAATTTTATAAAGACTTGTGCTTACTCAATTTGAACATAAAACTAATAGTACTCACGCAATTTTCAATCATATCAACAATTGTTTTCTCTTCATCCGTTTCACCACCTTAATTAAACAAATAATATTTTATAGTAGTATTTCAATAATTTATTTAGCCAATTTTGAGACTTACTTAGACCTATTTATAACTGTTAAATATGTAATGCAATCAGTTAAATATTGAAACTGATCATATACTTACACAGATTATGTTTTCTTGCAATATAACGTATAATCTACATTGAATGTTGAGCATTTCAGAATAATTTACACAAAAAATATTGTGAAGTAAATATTTGTTAAGGGATCCATTACTTCATGTTATACTTACTGCACTGCTTTGAGTAATCTTTGTATCGCCATCAATGAAATAAGGAAGCTAATCACAAACAAACACAATATTAAAATCTAATATCAATTTTCCACCACATTAAAAACCATACATTGGGAAAATCCAAACCAAGATTTTCTTTCTCCTTCAACCAATCTTCACGATTGTAATCTGAAAAATCATCTCATGATTACATTTTGAGTAAACATGGTTTGGACATATGCAAATTTTTATTAATAAAGTACAAATTTAATGTAAGGTCAAAACTCATTATCAGCAAGTCTCATTGTTAATCATCAATAAATACACAACCAGGAGGTGGTCCAAAAGTATAACCCTTATCTTCGTATTCAATTCCCGTGTAAGCCAAAAGATATCGGATGGGTTGAGCAAGCTATGAAAATATTTTGTATCATTGATCAAATAGATTGTGGTGCTATTGTAGTACATTCATGAACATTTATGAATGTTAAGGATCATGTGTTTTACAAGTCATAACTGTTATATAAAATATTTATCGTCCATATATACTTCATTAAAATTCAAGGTTATTTCTTACCCCTCTTATGTCCCAATAGGCAAGAATTGGAGCCATTTTTATGACAAAATTGTGAGAGAAAATATCAACAATGTGTTGGTGATTGTCTTGTGTGCAATCATGTGCCACGTACTTGCTGTTTAATCGTGCCAGTCCTCTTGAGCAGGGCCATGACAACCACATGGTCACAGAATAGAGATACGTTAACGTATCTATTCTGTGACATGGTGATGTGACTGGTGTCTAGTCATGTGTCCTGTCGAGTCAGTCGAGTGGTCGAGATCCACGAAAGAAGAAGAGTTCATTGATTTTCGTAGTGATTTTACAACGCATTTTTTGACAAATTTGTCATAATGTACTATGAAAATCTATCCAATACATCAAGAAGAAAAGTCGAGAAAGGAACCACAGTAAATGGTAACTATATGAAGTACAATTTCTTATATAGGAAACATATTGGTGATATTGCAAATAGACATAGTCTTATCATTTTGCTGTAACGTTTTCTTTTATATTTCTTTAAATTGTTGACGGGAAAACGTTCTTGGACAATTTGTGCAATATCACAAACAATTATTGGTCTATTCATCTTCAGTACTTGAGTAAAATATAAATATCGTGTAGCACAATAAATGTAGCTTCAACCATTCACCATTATACGTATATAAAGTAATTAAAGTATTCACGACGAGATCAAAGGATTGTAGTTTAAAACTTTATTGTCATTATGGTTATTTATTATGTATTCAATACAAAACATCAGCACTAAAATTAGAAAAACTATTTCATTTCAATGAATATTGCATGATAAGCTAGTTCACAGTGAAAAATATAATTTGTATTTAAACCAGGAATCTTGAAATTCTTATTTAAATGAAGCGCTTGGATTATTCAGTGGTCGTTCTTGAAACTTGTTTGATTTCTTGTATTCAGCAATTTGTGGAATAGCCTAAATAACATTGCAGTTTTTAATAGAAATCTCCAAATACTTACTATTAACTTACTCATAATTCTCAGTACCTCAATACTTTCACAATATTGCTGCAAAAAAATTGATGTATTTTAAACTTAGTTTTTGCTGTAATTGGTTGAAATACCACGAATAGTAAAAATATCGTACCATCAACTTCTTAAATGGTTCAACAAGTTTTTTGTCAAGTATTTTATGCTGGTCTAGCATTTCGTAAAGCATAAAGTCAGGATATGTCACCTAAATTAAAATAATACAGTCCTTTTAGAAATCGTGAAACAAAAACATCAACTGATAGCATGTTATCATTTGTAAAAACCTTGTCTCCAGCAAGATATTTCTTGTCACATAGAAACTTTTCAAATCGATCCAATTTTTCCACTACATTTTTTTTATAACCATCGACAAGTTTATCCTAAATGGCATTTGGTACATATTATCAATAATACTATGAACAAACATATGTTAAAGCTGTAGTGGTAAAGATGAAGACTCACAAAGTCTGATGAGTAGCAAAGTCTTACAAAGCCAATACGCAAGTCAATGGTCTGAAAATGAAACATTTTGTTATTTAGAACAGAGTCATACATCAATTTCCAAACCTTAAAAATATTTTCTCGTCAACTACTTATATTAATATCAATAAATAGAAATTCTAGTTTCATGTTTTTCTTTTGCATTTATAGATTATTGTAGATGCATTATGGCTACAGCAAATGCCAGATTACATTCCATGTTCCTTGTGCCAAATATCTTCCATGTGGATGTTCAATTTTGTAGTATATTATCCCATGAATGTTTGCATTTCTTCCGCATACAGTTCACATGGATTGTATTTATGAGCAAATGTCATTCTCCAATGATACTTAAGTAATATAACTAAATATTTATCTTCCAGGTAATAAACCTTTTTGAATTTTATAAAGACTTGTGCTTACTCAATTTGAACTTAACACTAAGAATACTCACGCAATTTTCAATCATATCAACAATTGTTTTCTCTTCATCCGTTTCACCACCTTAATTAAACAAATAATATTTTACAGTTAGACCTATTTATAACTGTTAAATATGTAATGCAATCAGTTAAATATTGAAACTGATCATATACTTACACAGATTATGTTTTCTTGCAATATAACGAATAATCTACATTGAATGTTGAGCATTTTAGAATAATTTACACAAAAAATATTGTGAAGTAAATATTTGTTAAGGGCTCCATTACTTCATGTTATACTTACTGCACTGCTTTGAGTAATCTTTGTATCGCCATCAATGAAATAAGGAAGCTAATCACAAACAAACACAATATTAAAATCCAATATCAATTTTCCACCACATTAAAAACCATACATTAGGAAAATCCAAACCAAGATTTTCTTTCTCCTTCAACCAAGCTTCACGATTGTAATCTGAAAAATCATCTTATGATTACAATTTGAGTAAATATGGTTTGGACATATGCAAATTTTATTAATAAAGTACAAATTTAATGTAAGGTCAAAACTCATTATCAGCAAGTCTCATTACATGTTTGTAAATGTAGATCGTCCAGGTTGGTATAGTCCTGAGAAGGACTGTTTTTGTTGTTGTTGACTGACGTTTCGACAACCTTAGCGGTAGTCATCTTTAGTTAACTCTGACTCTGGAAAATCTACATTTACAAACATGTAATGATACTCCCGGGTTAAAACCATTTACTTCAGAAAGTCTCATTGTTACTCATCAATAAATACACAACCAGGAGGTGGTCCACAAGTATAACGCTTGTCTTCGTATTCAATTCCCGTGTAAGCCAAAAGATATCGGATGGGTTGAGCAAGCTATGAAAATATTTTGTATCATTGATCAAATAGATTGTGGTGCTATTGTAGTACATTCATGAACATTTATGAATGTTAAGGATCATGTGTTTCACAAGTCATAACGGTCATATAAAATATTTATCGTCCATATATACTTCATTAAAATTCAAGGTTATTTCTTACCCCTCTTATGTCCCAATAGCCAAGAATTGGAGCCATTTTTAAGACAAAATTGTTAAATTTCGAGAAAATATCAACAATGTGTTGGTGATTGTCTTGTGTGCAATCATGTGCCACGTACTTACTGTTTAATCGTGCCAGTCCTCTTGAGCAGGGCCATGACAACTACATGGTCACAGAATAGAGATACGTAAACGTATCTATACTGTCACATGATGGTGTGACTGGTGTCTAGTCATGTGTCCTGTCGAGTGGTCGAGATCCACGAAAGAAGAAGAGTTCTATTGATTTTTGGAGTGATTTTACAACGTATTTTTTGACAAAATTGTCATAATGTATTATGGTAAATGCATCCAATACTTCAATAGAAAATTCGAACGAACGGAACGACATCGAATGGTAATTATATGATTTTAGTTGCGACTGAGTCAGACTGACAGCTTGTAGTTCTGTGACTTGTATCTTAACGTTAAACTTTGGTGTACAAGTCATATCACAAACAATTATTGGTCTATTCATCTTCAGTACTTGAGTAAAATATAAATATCGTGTAGCACAATAAATGTAGCTTCAACCATTCACCATTATACGTATATAAAGTAATAAGAGTATTCACGACGAGATCAAAGGATTGTAGTTTAAAACTTTATTGTCATTATGGTGAATTATTATGTATTCAATACAAAACATCAGCACTAAAATTAGAAAAACTATTTCATTTCAATGAATATTGCATGATAAGCTAGATCACAGTGAAAAATATAATTTGTATTTAAACCAGGAATCTTGAAATTCTTATTTAAATGAAGCCCTGGGATTATTCAGTGGTCGTTCTTGAAACTTGTTTGATTTCTTGTATTCAGCAATTTGTGGAATAGCCTAAATAAAATTGCAGTTTTTAATAGAAACCCCCCAAATCCTTACTATTAACTTACTCATAATTCTCAGTACCTCAATAGTGTCACAGTATTGCTGCAAAAAAATTGATGTATTTTAAAGTTAGTTTTTGCTGTAATTGGTTGAAATACCACAAATAGTAAAAATATCGTACCATCAACTTCTTAAATGGTTCAACAAGTTTTTTGTCAAATATTTTATGCTGGTCTAGCATTTCATAAAGCATGAAGTCAGGATATGTCACCTAAATTAAAATAATAAAGTCCTTTTAGAAATCATGGAACAAAAAAGTCTACTGATAGCATGTTATCATTTGTAAAAACCTTTTCTCCGGCAAGATATTTCTTGTCACCAAGAAACTTTTCAAATCGATCCAATTTTTCCACTACATTTTTTTTATAACCATCGACAAGTTTATCCTAAATGGCATTTGGTACATATTATCAATAATACTATGAACAAACATATGTTAAAGCTGTAGTGGTAAAGATGAAGACTCACAAAGTCTGATGAGTAGCAAAGTCTTACAAAGCCAATACGCAAGTCAATGGTCTGAAAATGAAACATTTTGTTATTTAGAACAGAGTCATAAATCAATTTCCAAACCTTAAAAATATTTTCTTGTCAACTACTTGTATTAATATCAATAAATAGAAATTCTAGTTTCATGTTTTTCTTTTGCATTTATAGATTATTGTAGATGCATTATGGCTACAGCAAATGCCAGATTACATTCCATGTACCTTATGCAAAGTATCTTCCGTGTGGATGTTCAATTTTGTAGTATATTATCTCATGAATGTTTGCATATCTTCCGCATACAGTTCACATGGACTGTATTTATGAGCAAATGTCATTCTCCAATGATACTTAAGTAATATAACTAAATATTTATCTTCCAGGTAATAAACCTTTTTGAATTTTATAAAGACTTGTGCTTACTCAATTTGAACTTAAAACTAAGAATACTCACGCAATTTTCAATCATATCAACAATTGCTTTCTCTTCATCCGTTTCACCACCTTAATTAAACAAATAATATTTCATAGTAGTTCAATAATTTATTTAGCCAATTTTGAGACTTACTTAGACCTATTTATAACTGTTAAATATGTAATGCAATCAGTTAAATATTGAAACTGATCATATACTTACACAGATTATGTTTTCTTGCAATATAACGTATAATCTATATTGAATGTTGAGCATTTCAGAATAATTTACACAAAAAATATTGTGAAGTAAATATTTGTTAAGGGATCCATTACTTCATGTTATACTTACTGCACTGCTTTGAGTAATCTTTGTATCGCCATCAATGAAATAAGGAAGCTAATCACAAACAAACACAATATTAAAATCTAATATCAATTTTCCACCACATTAAAAACCATACATTAGGAAAATCCAAACCAAGATTCTCTTTCTCCTTCAACCAATCTTCACGATTGTAATCTGAAAAATCATCTTATAATTACAATTTGAGTAAATATGGTTTGGACATATGCAAATTTTTATTAATAAAGTACAAATTTAATGTAAGGTCAAAACTCATTATCAGCAAGTCTCATTGTTACTCATCAATAAATACACAACCAGGAGGTGGTCCACAAGTATAACGCTTGTCTTCATATTCAGTGCTCGTGTAAGCCAAAAGAAATCGGATGGGTTGAGCAAGCTATGAAAATATTTTGTATCATTGATCAAATAGATTGTGGTGCTATTGTAGTACATTCATGAATATTTATGAATGTTAAGGATCATGTGTTTCACAAGTCATAACTGTTATATAAAATATTTATCGTCCATATATACTTCATTAAAATTCAAGGTTATTTCTTACCCCTCTCATGTTCCAATAGCCAAGAATTGGAGCCATTTTCATGACAAAATTGTTAAATTTCGAGAAAATATCAACAATGTGCTGGTGATTGTCTGTGTGCAATCATGTGCCACGTACTTTTTGCTTAATCGTGCCAGTCCTCATGACAACCACATGGTCACAGAATAGAGATACGTAAACCTATCTATTCTATCACATGGTGGTGTGACTGGTGTGGCAGTGTGACTGCTGTCTAGTCGTGTCCTGTCGAGTCTGTCGAGTGGTCGAGATCCACGAAAGAAGGAGAGTTCATTGATTTTCGTAGTGATTTTACAACGTATTTTTTGACAAATTTGTCATAATGTATTATGATAAATGCATCGCATCCAATACTTCAATAGAAAATTCGAACGACATCGAATGGTAATTTTATGATTTTAGTTGCGACTGAGTCAGACTGACAGCTTGTAGTTCAGTGACTTGTATCTTAACGTTAAACTTGGTGTACAAGTCATTGACAGTGTAAAAACAGTAGAAAAACAGGTTCCATATTTTTTTGTATGCATAAAATTGAAATATTTGTCTTTAAATGTGAAAAGAATTGTTTACAACTGCATTTGCAAAATAGTTTGAAATAGTTTAGACTTCATGCAAAATTATGATAAATGTCAGCCTGTATGCAAGTATTCCAGACTATACTTGAACACAATAATGTTAGATAATTGTACCAACTGTACATGGAACAAAATAAAATTATGAATGAAATCAATGGAAAAGAGTCCATTGATATTTGAACTTAATATTTATAGTTTTATCCGATTTTCTTGACACCTTATGTCTGAAGAGTGAAAAACGAACAAAAAAAAATGGCTGTTAATTCAAGATTCCCATTTAAATGATTCAATCACAATACTTCATAGATAATGTTAACACCATACTTAGTGGATAATTTTATTCCTATTAAAATGATCTTTTAAATGATTTTTAAACTAAGCATCATACAGTATAACTAAACTTTTTCTAATGCTATGAACCTGAGACAGAAGAACTGGGGGGCTAGCTGTGTCAGTGGTGAATCGGTTGGATTTAGCTTTACTCAAAATAAATTGTTGTTCAATTTTGAAGTCAATTTTGTTGGTTTTGAATTGCTAAAGAATAAATATATACATTAAATACTGTGCTGTAATTTATTTTGATCTGCTATAATGTGCTGCCCCTCTGAAAAAAAATTTTTTAGTTAAGATTACAGAAATATTTGTTAGTATACCAAGGTAATGTGATGAATATATAGCCAAATGTGTGGGAAGTCAATTTTTGAAATTTCATGTTAGTTATTATGGTGTGTCTTAAAGTTACAAATGTGATCAAATAATTGTTTGTATTGCTGCTGTAGCAACTGTACATTATTTATAACCTGTGTGATTGATAAAGAAGACTACCAAAAAGAGAGCTTTCTAAATATGTCACTTGTGCAGTTTAATATCAAATGTGCATCATATGCAATACATTTAATGTAGCACAACTTCCCCGGGGGGTGGGGGTAGCACCTCTATGTTTTCTGTGTGTGTTGCAGCATAGCTGGTGTTGGAAGATGTGTCTTTTGTCACTATCAGGAAAAACTAAAAAAATTCTTAAATCAATGTTTATTTGATTATTTTCTTTAGAATCATTAAGGCGTTTATCTAATTTTACATTTTTATGCAAAATTTTAGAAGAGTAATGTGCATCTAATTGAACGAATATGAAAAACAAAGTGAATGAAAATATTTTTTGAGGTGAGTACTTGCATAGAAATATAATAATATTAATTTATAATGAGCTCCGGTAAAACGACAAACTCTTCACTCTAATCCTCCAAATAAACAATATCAAGCTACAGTTCTACAAACTATTTAAACATCAATAGCCAATAAAGGTCACATCTTATTGGTTTGAGACCAATGCATTTTTTTTGTAAATTTTTTGTACAAAGTAATTTTTTGTACGAAACTGACGCGTGTTCATTGCTGCTATATAAATACATTGCACTGGTGCAACAAGTTATACAAACAAAAGATTTCACAACATTTTCATTGCCATCATCCTTTCTGCAACAAAGGTGCCATAAGTGCAATGAGAAAAATCCCACTTAAAGAACAAAAACCAGCGATAATTTTTCCTATGATAGTTTCTGGGACTGCATCACCATAGCTGATAGAAAAGTAAATAATATGAAGCTTGATTTGTGATAATTAGCATAATAATGTATATTGCTGACTACTTACCCCAGTGACGTCATTGTTACAATGGTGTACCAAAAGCATGCTGGGATACTAAGGAATCCGCTATTGTCTTTCTCGCCGTAGTACATAATAGTTGAGAACAGGACGAGAACTGTGACAAAGCATAAAATAAGAGGTTTGAGTTCATCTTTGTTTTGCTTAAGTAAACTGCCATGTTTTTCAATTTTATCGACAAAAAATCTCGAGACTCTGCCTATACGAGTGATGCGAAGAACACGTAACATGGCCAACATTTTGATATTGCTATGACTGCCAAGCATTAAACTGAAGTAGAAGGGCAAGATTGATATAACATCGATAATGTTTGTAAATTGTCTCACAAAAATCCATCGATTTGGAGAACAGTAAAGTCTCAGTATATACTCTACTGTAAAATATGTGACGCAAATAGTTTCCAAGATGTTGAAATGTTTCTTTTTTTGCGTTCCCCAGGTAGAACTATCTTTGGGGACTGTTTCCATAATCAAACTTACGACAGTTGTCAAAACAAAGACAACTGTCAAAACCCAAACGGCCAGTCCAGGTGTGGACAAAGCTGGTTCTTCAAAAATGAACCACAATTTCTCTTTGAATTTGGCAATTTCTTCTAATCTTCGTGCTCTCAAGGCTTTCGTCAGTCTCATTTTGCATTTTTCTAAACAATATCTCTCTGTCTTTGATTTTGAATTTTCGAAATTCTCCACACAACACAGCGCCAGAGAGGATGGAAAAATTCCAAAGAATTTCAACTCGGATTCAAACAGCTCGACACATTCGTTAGATGGATAGTGAAGAGCACCTGAACGGTAGAAGTTTAGGATGTGTGGAAATATATCAGGATCTCGATCAAAGAAGTATTCTTCTTTTTGAGTATCGAAGTAGTAAAATTTCCGCTTTCCTCCTAACAAAGTTTCTACAAAAGAAATAATACATCAGATCTGTACACAAAATTTCTACTTTCCACTTATTAATTTCAAATTTAAATACAATTGAACGATTCCAGTTTCCCATATTTCATGAAAGTTTTTTGAATTATGCTAGGAGCAGTTTTCTTTTCCTTTTTTTTTACAAATGTTTTGGTAAATTAGAAAACGAGAAAATTCCAACACTCCCTTAAAAGTGGTTTATCCACCTGGGTATCTTGCCAAAAAGCTTTCGTTTGTCATAAAACGTTCACCACTAACGTTAATAACTACGGGCTTGTTCAATAATTTCATCTTATCCATCTCAAAAATATGTGCTCACAGCTGCAAAGAAAAGAAATATTAGGTAAACATGTTTAATTGTCTGAAGGTCCACTCTAGAGAGAAGTAATAGGAATCGTCATAAATAAAAAGCTACTTTTAAATAATTTGATTTCGTGCATAATAAAAACACAAAAAACCAACAAACAGTTTAGTGTGATCGTTGATTACGTACACTCATAAACTACACGCCAATAATTTATGCTTAAGGAAGAACAAGTTTGATTGTAATCATGCATGTACAGCGCAAAATTATGTTAGCGTCCCCGTATGATGATCAAAGTAAGTTAATTAATATCTCACTCAGAGCTACCGATGTTGAATGACATATGGCTTTAGAAAGATTGGTTTTTACAGGAAATGAAATATGTATCCAGCAGTTACAATGAAACATGAATAATTCATTATTTTTCCTATATTTACATACAGACGTTGCTGCAATAAAGGGCTACAATTTTATATTATGTTTTGCTTATTTTACTTTAAGTGTAGGATGTCTTCCTCTCCATTTTCGTTACTTCAAGTCCTAGCAACCAGTGATTTTCAACACTGCAACAATTACACAGCCTTGACCAAGCATTGATTACTGATACAAAAAGTTATACTCACGGAAGCGGAGAAGTGCACTATACACTAGATGTATTTAGAAACTTTATCCCAACATAATTCCATCCTTTAAAACGGTGGACAATTATAGTGCTTGCTTTATTTTAGAAGTAAAAAGTGTTCACTTGACGTCAGTATACTTGATACTAAAACATTTTATGGAATACAATTTCCATTCAATTTTACAAACCAAGTTATCCCGTATCTTCTCCTATCTATAGCTACGTATTATGTTTCCCGTGCAATGTTATTAATATCGATATATATATACAGTCGAGTATCGCTTTGATCCTTGTTCGATCTGTTATCATGTTTTTTAATACTTACCTCAGTGTTCCTATGTCTCTTTTGTTACCAATATGGGAATCTTTAAACAATTTTTACATTACAGTATTTCTAAGTTTTATCACGTTTGTATGTACGAACAAGCACTGAATGCATTTACAAAGAGGCGCGCTGTATTTTTAATAAAGATGAAAGTAAGGCAGGTGTTAAGTCTGTTCTCAATAGTAAGTAGACGCTGAAATTGCGTTCTCCTTGTCTTGCTTATCGCTATTACTACAGCGCCATCGAGAACGAGAAATTGGATATAATATTTTGTGTCAGATTTCAGGATGTCTGTACAGTGAAAATTGAGTTGTTAAAAACTACTTTTGACAGTCAATTTGTGCGATAGGATAGGACAATATTAATATGCAAATAAGTGAAATAACTTAAATAAAATATCAGGTAAAACAGCATGTGGTTATAAAAAGTGAATCGTTGGGTTCAGCCCCATTTTTTATAAACTATATCCTCACTTGTTACATTTCAAGCTTTAATTAAGATATATAGAGAGCTCACTTAATCTATTGATATGAGACTGTTAGAATATTTTCCTACAAAACTTGATCTCATTAAAAGTCGAGGGGAGCAATAATGGGATAATGCTGATCGCATTGTCTGATAAAAAATGCAATATTACCTACTAGAAAATATTACTCTCACCAATAAGTTGGATAGAATTACTTCTCATGGACGAGTGAGACAATCTTTTAAAAATTCCCGACGATTCAGATAAACCAATAATATTTCCAGAGACCATACCAGGTATGAGAATCCCGAAAGCATGGTCAAGATTTTTACTTAAGACTTAAACGACATTTGTAAATATACTCAACGTATGTTAATGAAGTGGATATAGATAATGGAATGTCAAAGTCACATGTAATTCATAGAATTTATCTCACAAGAGAAAATTTTTGTTGAGAAAAAATATTTTGCTAACTTTCCTTAATATGTCGTCAAATTTTTCAACTCAGTGAGTTCCGTACAAACAAACGTTGTATAGAGATATTAATGTTTTTATAAAATTTCTATAATTACTGTATAAACTTTGACTCAATAATAGGGAATGAATGATTTTATTTGAAAATAATCGTTATTGTAGACTAGATCGTCTTTGAAAATCTTTTTTGTGAAAAAGTTTACCGATTTCAGTAAAGATTATATAATCATTAAATTAATTTCTTCAAAGAAACCAAATACCTTTTTTTATCGTAAGATATGATTTTATTTTTACATACCTCTTAAGATGAAGATTACAAATACGTGCATTAGAATAAAATATATTTTTTGTCATAGCTATAAATTTAGAGAAAAATATATTTATCGATTTTTTCACATATTTTTTATACTAATTTTTCCTCAAAGATTGTTCATTAATCTCTGTCATGGACTAACTATTTCTTTAGAGGTTGTAGCAGCTGTTAAGGCAACCATCGCTTGTGATGTATTCTTGCTTTCGTCACCATTCTCCTGAAGCTCTTCATCATCTTTTGTCCCACAGTTCGCCGCGGGCTTCTTTCCTCTTGTTTTCGGACTAACAGGAACAATCTAAACAGAACCCGTTATTTTATGTCATTATTTTACCTAAATATCACATCACCTCTTATAAGTGGTTTCAACTGAATTACAGATTTGATGAACAATAATCTTCATTTTGATAGCAATGTCATTTTCTCCAATAAAACTACAGGACCCTTATGAAATCCAAGGTCAACTACCATCAGCCATATGGAGCCATATGACGACAATAGACGCAAAGCCTTTTTGATCAAAACAACTTTGTGTCGCCATTTTTTACCATCAAGTATATTTTATTCAGTTTTCTGGCTTATCAGCTTACAAATTTCAAAGTATGAATACAAAAATAGTAGCCAAATGGCTTAAACGTACTCTTTTTCAAAACGTTTTAGCCCAAAAATTTTCAAGAACTTTTTAATGAAAGTCAAGGTCAACAACAGAAAGCAATATGGCCGACTATATGTTGATAACTTATGAGAGGTTTTTTAACTCGTGAAGAAACTCAATATTATCCATTTTCGGAAAATTATCTTATAAAAATTAACTTTAGGCTTTGATCAATAAATAAACAAAATGTCGTTCTCACCTCCTTTGTAAAAATAGCAGCACCGTTTTCAGTGGAAGTCCATTCTGTAGCAGCAGGATGAAGAGTAATGTAAGGGTTTTGCATGAGAGGAAAACTGATATAAGGATAGTCAGCATAGCCTTCGACGAAATTTGTCCGAGCCATTGGACGCACGAACTGCTCTTGAACGTAGTTTGAAGCCCCATTTCCCGAGACAGTCAATACTTGTGAGTTGCCTGAAATGTAGCTTGTTGAGGGTAGTTGAGCAACTGGGGCTTGTACAGTAGCTGGGAAATAACAAGGACTTTGGTTGCATACTAGCCAGTGTGGATCAAAGCTTAAATAACCCATAGGAGCAGAGGACGGAGTGTATTCAAAGGTTGACTGTCTGCTTGATAAATGGCGCCTGTTAAATGTATGAGCTGCTGCACCATCTACAATTTGCCGTACGGGATCATTTCTTCGTCTTGCTTTTGCAATGCATAAGGTTTTGTCTTGGAACTTCACCGATTTTAACTGCACGACGGTGTTGAAAACTTCCTTAGACTCAAAGGTGACAAAGCCATATTTCCCGGGCCCAGATTTATGACTTTTGTCTGCAATAATATTAGCATAAAGGACAGTGCCGTAGGTTTCAAAAAACGCTTTTAGCTCGCTGTCAGTTGTCTCACGGGGAAAATCCTTCACGAAAATACGTTGGTCGATGTAATCATCAGATGCCATCACTGAAGTTCTTTATTTTATGGCTTTGCTAATTGTTCATAGAAGGAAAAAAATGAAAAAAGCAAGAAAGTAAAAGTTGACAAAAATGTTGTCAGACGTGACTCAGCGGCTGTATTCGTTTTCGACCAATCAGCTTGAAGATAAGACCTGAACCAATCACGCTGTACAAAAGAAAGTCGTTTATCGTACTTTGTCTTGGTCTTTTCATGAAAATATGGCTCCACAAAAATCAAGAAAAGCATCAGTTAACTGATGCTTGTTTTTCATTAAATAAATAGCGAAGTGGTTTAGAACACTGTACGATGTTAACATTTTCAATTAAGTTTAGTAAATCTCCTTACAATAAACAAACACCAGGATGTATTTATGGTAAACCAAAATTTTATTGACTATTTATTTTCTTTCTCGAACGTTCTGTCAGGCTTTCAAAATATGCATTTTTGAATTGTTGCCTCTTACTTGCTTAGAAACCTGCGTAACTATGCAAATGTTAAAACAAGCCTTCGCTTTGAAAAATACCGGCGTTGAGTGAACTTGAAAAATATAGTCAATGTTTTACGCTTAAAATTTATACCGCACGCTTAATGAGAAAGGTCAAAACCAATGTAGTTATTTCATTTTAATGATAAGTGGACATTTTTTGGGAGAGGGAGTCTGGTAAAAATTTGCATGAGGACAGCCGGTCGTCCATTTGTATATAACATGCAAATATATCAATAACATCTGTCATAAACACTCGTCTCCACATTGTCGTTGTCAATTTTCTTTCACTTATAGTTTTCAAAAGAAAAATATAGCGACGACCAGTATAGTAGCGACGTTTAAAGTGTGTGAGAAAGGACGATAAAGAACATGACGAAACAAGAAATAAGAAAATCTCCACGTAAATTCTTTAACGGCACCTGTTGTAAGTTTCAATAGCTTATTGCAATATGAATTAATATTTCTCATTAAAGTAAAGCATTAAAGAATGGCTGCAGACGTTGGTGCATGGTTACCGTTTGCTCGAGCCGCTGCAATAGGATGGGTTCCACTTGCTCAAACACCAATGCCTCATGCCCCAGAAATACAACGTAATGATGACAAAATCATTATCAACGTCTCGGGGAGAAAATTTGAAACATGGCGCAATACACTTGAACGCTTTCCAAATACATTGCTCGGAAGTGCGGAAAAAGAATACTTTCATGAAAAAGAGAGCAACGAGTATTTCTTTGACAGAGATCCTGATCTATTTCGACATATTTTGAACTATTATCGTAATGGCAAGTTGCATTATCCACGAGGCGAGTGCGTTGCATCGTTTGAAGATGAACTTATGTATTTTGGAATCTCGAATAACAACGTTCATGATTGTTGCTGGGAAGATTTTAGCGAAAGAAAACGAGAATGCATCGAAAGAGTTTACGAAGATAAAGCGGAGGAAGAAGAACTTCAAGACACATCCAACTTAAACAACAGAGAAAGATTATGGGCTGCTTTTCAAAATCCTGAAAGCTCTAAAAAAGCCACACTAATGTATTACATGACAGGATTTTTTATTGCTCTTAGCGTTGTAAATACAATTGTGGAAACAGTACCGTGTAACGATAAGGAGAATTGTGGTACGGCACACGAGAATATCTTCTTTGTTTTGGAATCGGCTTGCGTTGTGGTGTTTACAGCCGAATACATAGCAAGGCTATACGCTGCTCCTGAAAGATTCAAATTTGCAAGAGATCTCCTTAGTATTGTTGACGTCGTCGCGATTTTACCTTACTATATAAATCTCTTTGTGAAAGGGAACATCAGTGGCGCTTTCGTCACGTTACGCGTTTTCCGAATTTTTAGGATATTCAAATTCTCACGCCACTCAAAGGGACTAAGAATTCTTGGTTACACTTTAAAAAGTTGTGCGTCTGAACTGGGATTTTTGCTGTTTTCACTATCGATGGCTATAATAATATTCGCAACCATCATCTACTATGTTGAGAAAGATGAAAATAAGACTGAATTTACAAGTATTCCTGCCAGTTTTTGGTATACCATTGTGACAATGACAACTTTAGGGTAAGTATATATATATTTATTTGTTACAAAGATTAAACAAGCCTTTAAAGTTTTAAATCGTTTCTATTATTTTGCTATAACCTTATATAAACAAAATTAACAAGTTGCTTACTTTAAATATTTTTCGTATAATATATTGCTTTAAGAAATCTTAAGTTCCACCTTGACCCTATTAAATAATTATAAAGTCTTAATTCATTGCAACATTGGATATGATTTCATCCATTAGTTAAATGATGAGCACAGCTAATTAAAATCAGTGAATTGTTTGTTAAATTTTTCGCTGTAATATTCGAAACGATGACATTTGGATATTTTCCCCCTGGACATAATTTCCACGAGCTTATGATGATGCAGTCTGAAAATTGCGGTTGATACCGACGTGAAGATTTTTTCAACCACGATAATTTTTTTCGAGTAAACATGACTATCTTTGAAGAGCTTAAACAAAATCCAACTGCTTGTGGTTCGCTTTCAGGAAATTAAATTAACTCCCTTCATTGGATTTGTTTTCGGAACAGCTTTTAAAGAATGGAAATGAAATGTTCGGTTAGTTCAAACGTAAGAAAAATTTTCTTGGGTGAAAGTTTTACGAAGTGAAAATTTTCTTGAAATTTCAAAGAACATAGATGTTAGTGTGTAGTATTGACTCCTATGTAAGGTTTTCGTCACTGAAGTCGTCATTTTACATTGTTTTATCTGTTCATATTTCAATTTGACTTGAACTGTAGGGACAGGTGATGCAAGTTGATGAATAATTTAGGTAGTAAGTAGCCACAGTTCTTCATAATAAGTCTAAAGTTAGAATTTCTTGTTCAGACAGCATAAGCATGAAAAAAAACACGTTAATTACGCTATAATTATCATCAGTAACGTATCTTTAAAATTCAATAAAGAAGCAACAGGGCAACGTGAAAAATAATTATGAATGAACAGTCCAAGTTTTTTTTTACAAAGATTAAAGGCGGCAGATTATCTTGAATTATTTGGTATAATATCCGCGATAGTTTATTATATTATTATTTTATTTAACTGTCAATGCCTTGTCGTGAAATACTTTTTGTAAATATCATTGAAAACTTGTGTAAAGGCCCGTTCACACCATCCGATTTGTCGGAACCTAAAAAATGCATCGTGTGGAAACATATACAGCGAGCTTCCGACAGTCGGATCCGTCAATCTGAAAATCGATCTTAATCTCTCAATCTCTATACTTTCCAAATTTCATTTGGCGCAAACCATCAGATGTGAAAAAGACTTGAAAAAAAGAACAAAAATACACAAAATATATTAATAACTGCACTGGATAACGTAAATGTCTGCTCCCATGACTAAAAATATCTAAACGAATATAAAAATCAACAAAATTATTTGACCATTTGAACAAGCAACCAAAAATCGGAAACGAAACAATCGGATCGTGTGAACGGGCCTTAAGAACACAAAAAGATTTACAACATATATTAAAAATTAAAATTGATTAAATGGGTAAATGTGATCTCGCACTATCTTCAAACAAATTGTTAAATATCATTTTTCTCGTTTTGCCAATTCACCAAGAAAAGTTAAAAACACATGAATCTTTACGGGCTTAATTGTAGGTCGTTGTAGTATTTGCAAAAGAAAAATGTTGCCTTAGCAGCTGACTGAGATAAAACAGTATTTTCTTTCAAAGTTCAACGCCATATTTATATACATAAAATGGAAATGTATATTTTTCACGATCATTAACTTTTATTTCATACATAAAGAGTTGCTGTTCATAATATTTTAATGTTTTTGTGAATCAATATTGCAGCTTTTATATTCAATACTTGTTTTTGTTTTCTTGTTGACTCACATGGTTTGAGGCAAAAAATATATAGTTTACACGTTACTAAATGAAATATTTACAGTAAATAGGTTAAATACAGTATGTAATTATTGTATCGATAGTATTTATTGATTGTATGGATTGAATATATGTGACCGCTGAATTACTTTATTTGTACATAAAAGGTTGTTTGGCGATTTTTAACCATGTTGAAAACCTCTATACTTACTGATTACCCTTATTCTTTAAAACACAATTAATGAGGATTATAGACAACGATGTACACTAAAAAGAGAGTAATGGAAATGGTTGTTTTGTCAGCTTCCTTAATCAAAACACGTCCCACCTTTGTTAATGTTATAAAAAGAGAAATTGGAACAACTATGACTATAAAGTATTTTGTGCAAAATAAGAAAATAATTGAAAGCATCCATATTCAACTTTATTCACCTCTATATTAATCAAATTTACTACTGAAAATATCTACTAATTTGCTAAATCATTTTTTAAACAGTTATGGAGATATGGTCCCAGAGACAGTGCTTGGTAAAATAGTTGGTAGTATATGTTCTTTAAGTGGAGTTTTGGTCATTGCACTACCAGTTCCTGTCATCGTATCAAATTTTAGTCGAATCTATCTTCAAAACCAAAGAGCTGATAAACGCAAAGCACACAAGGTTGGTATATGAAGCAAACGTACTTGCTAGTCTTCAGAGATATGTGTTACAAATGAAAAATGTTCTATGGAAGTTGGTTATAGGAGTAGAGCCGGAATTGTATTCTTTGGATGTTATTTATAGGAATAGAGCTGTATGGTGTTCTATGGAGGTTGGTTATAGGAGTAGAGCTGTATGGTGTTCTATGGAGGTTGGTTATAGGAGTAGAGCTGTATGGTGTTCAATGGAGGTTGGTTATAGGAGTAGAGCCGGAATTGTATTCTTTGGATGTTATTTATAGGAATAGAGCTGTATGGTGTTCTATGGAGGTTGGTTATAGGAATAGAGCTGTATGGTGTTCTATGGAGGTTGGTTATAGGAGTAGAGCTGTATGGTGGAGGTTGGTTATAGGAGTGGAGCTGTATGGTGTTCTATAGAGGAGTGGAGCTGTATGGTGTTCTATGGAGGGAGTGAGCTGTATGGTGGAATAGAGCTGTATGGTAGAGCTGTATGGTGTTCTATGGAGGTTGGTTATAGGAGTAGAGCTGTATGGTGTTCTTAGAGCTGTATTCTATTATAGGAGTAGAGCTGTATGGTGTTCTATGGAGGTTGGTTATAGGAGTAGAGCTGTATGGTGTTCTATGGAGGTTGGTTATAGGAGTAGAGCTGTATGGAGGTGGCTCTGTATGGTGTTCTATGGAGGTTGGTTATAGGAGTTATATGGAGAGTAGAGCTCTTTGTAGCAGAGCTTCTATGGAGTTAACTCAGTAGAGCTTTTTGATGGTCAATGGTGATCTACTATGGTTATTTCTTAGAGTTGAGACGAAAAGGAATCAACAGTAGTTGCAAAGTTAAGATAAAGATGTGGAGCTATAACCATTTGTAATTTATTTTGTCAATTCCTTAAACAGAAAGCAAAGATTTCAATATCACAGACCTTGACAGGAACAGCGTTTGTCGCTCCTGGAAATCTTGCTACACTATCAATGGTAAAAATATGATAACGTTATTCATTTATGAAACCTTCGCTGTACTTCACTTTATTTAATCGTTTTATTTTGATAGGGCGGTGGACTTGAGCTCCAGAAGCTTGCATCACGTGACAAGGAGAAGTCAATATTGCATAAACAACATGAGCACCTGATTAGATGTCTAGAGAAGGCAACTGTGAGTTTAATACTATTCAATTGAAAACATGAACATTCGATTAGATATCTAGAGAAGGCAACAGTGAGTTGTTTAGGTCATGCTATACAGGCGGAACCAGGTTTTCAACATATGGCCCTAAATGACTTTTAACACGATTGGCATTAATTAGTACACCATTATTTGTGACATTTCTTTGTAATTTATCAATACTCTTCATTCATTGTTATTTACAGTCAAGATATTATACGGAAATGGAATATGTTTACAATGGTGAACCTTTAGGACAAGATGCTCAAAGCTCTTCAAGTTTTTGTACTCCTAGTGGATCCCCTCTTGTATCAACACTATCCTTAGATAACCCTGATACTTACGTTAACGAAAGGAAAACTTCTTCAAAGAGGCGAATAAAATCTGAGCCTATACGAAAGTCAGCCACAGAAAATGACGTAAAAGGCAATCACGTGACAAAACCTCAGAGTAATGATGATGGTAATGATATGGAGACTATGGTGTTAATACATCACGAAAATGACGTCAAAGGAAATCACGTGACAAAACTTCGGGATGATGATGATGTTCACAATGAGATGGAGACTGTGGAGTCAATGTATGAAGAAAATCACATCAAAGGCAATCACGTGACAAAAATTGAGGTTATGGATGTTGAAAATGAAACGGAGACTATAGTTTCGATGAGTGACGAAAATATTCTTGGCAACCACGTGGGAGAATCACGTGAGAGAAATGGTCACAATGGAAAGCGAAGGCCATCGCGTGAGTCTAGAGTGTAGTTACGTCATGTTAGTGGAAAAAGGGAATGCATGAGCACTTCCTGAAATAAACACACTGATCTCATGAAGTGCGTCCATCCACGTGTACAAGACAGTAGCAAAAATTGCGGGCTCATGTGGTATCTTGATGAATAATTGTTTCGAAGTCATTGAATTAAACATAAGTGACAATTAACTGGGCAAGCATGAAGTATCTTAGCTATGGATGCAATTACTACAATGAAAATCGACGTAAAAGTTTAACTATTATTGACCTTCTTAAAATAAACCGTGCTGTGCACTAATACTTTAATTACTTGTAGAGTTTATAATGACCTCTTTTCAACTATTTTGATTTTAAACAATATTTTTCCAGCCTGCTAGAACTATGAACTTTTAAATTATATGTTGATTTTAAGAATTTAATACATCCCAAAGATGACAACAACTTTCAATGAATGTGCAGTAAATATAATTTATAGAAAAATCAAAGATATTATTTGCATAAAAAGAAGTCTTAAAGTAATATTTGTGAGTGCTTTTATTTTATCTTTAGGAGTTAGGTGCATGAACTATAGTCTTTCGGAGTTAGATGCATGAACTATAGTCTTTGGGAGTTAGCTGCATGAACTATAGTCTTTGGATTTTACGTGCATGAACTATAGTTTTTGGGTGTTAGGCGCTTGAACTATAGTCTTTGGGAGTTAGGTGCATAAACTATAGTCTTTGAGAGTTAGCTGCATAAACTATAGTCTTTGGCAGACTATAGTCTAGCT